GTATAAAGAAAATATATCTAATATTCTATATTTTATTACTAGAATTTATACTAGAAAATATACTAGATACTACTAATATTAAAATCAATAAAACTAATAAAGAAAAATATAAAGTCAAGAAGATCCTATAAAATAGATAGTATAGAAATTAGTAATAGATTTTTATAAAATAGAAAGAATACTCTACCTCAGAAAATATATAGAAATCTATTAAGAACTTAAGAGACTATTACTAACTAGTTTAATAGTATTACTAAAAAGTAAAATAGATACTATAGAGAAAGAAATAAAGAAAGTATTAAAGTTAGTATTAGATAAAGGACTAACTAATACAATTATCTATATTAGAGTAGAATCTTTAGATATTACTATAAAGACCTAATAGTTCCCTACTAAAGTATAATTAATTCTCTCAACAGTAGTACAAAAAGACTTAGCCTTATACTCTTTTTACTTAGACTTAACACACTTATCCTTAAGGTATTATAACTCCTTAACCTTATAATACTTAAACTTTTCTAACTTAGTAATTTCTTAATATTTATAAACAATAAAATTACTAGTACATTTTTTCAATAACCTCTTTTATTTTTATAGATATACTAGTTTAGTTAGTATTTCTTATTAGATAAAGAAAATCTTTTCCTCCTTATCCTCTAATAAAGTTTAGAAAACTAGCAGTTAATACTACTCAGTATCAGTAAATAACTCTTTAGATATCTTATACTTTACAGTACCACTAGTATAGTTATAACTAGTACAATAATAGAAACAGTCAGACTGGATATATATTTTATTCTAAGTAATACAACAAAGATAAGGAATAAAGAACTTAAAGCCCTTACACTTAATCAACTAGTAAAGTTTACACCTAGAGATACCTAAGGAAAGTATAATTAGTATATATTAAAAAAATAAGACAGAAAATAAAGAAACCAATACTTACTTAAGAAGGGTAAGTAATTATAAAGGATTCTTAAGGATAAGAATTAAGAAGAGAGAAAGATAATATTACAGACTTTACGATAAGGGACTACAACTTACTAATAGACTACCAAGAGCCAACCAAACCAAAGGAATATATATTAGCTCTAGAAATCATATATATAATAATAGATACCTAAGGCATCCCTAGGACTAAGGATTAAGAATAATTACAGATCATATAATAAACAGCCAGAATCAGCCTCTAATTCACTAATATAAACTATACTACACTTAACCACAACATAGCTAGTATAATATATAAACAGGTATTTATTCTACTATTACCTATATTACGCCTAAAATGTAAGTACTAGGAAAAAACCTATATAACTTCCCAACAATATAATAGAATCCTATCCTATTACTAGGATAGGAATCCTAACTATAGGATAGGAAGGACTAGGATATATAGGACGCTTATTATATATATATATTTAGTTCTTTATAATTAATTAATCTAAGTTACTACAGTATACCTTTTAGGATTACTCTTTATTTAGTTTCAGTCTTATAACAAACATACTACAAGTAGAGGAGCTCTTCAGACTAACTTACTTAGTACACTACCTAGTACCTCCTTTAAAGTTACTCTACAGAATCCGAGCCCGTATAAGGCTTAGCACAGCAACAGTACGATTGCAAGTAGAACTTAAGGAGTACAAGTAATAGATATCACGAACAACCAACAACACAGACAACAACTAGTAAGTTATCACCCAGATCTAACCACTCACTATAACCAGTTAGCAAAGTGTGTAACAATTGTCCCTCCCTAAAGTTTAAATTAAAATCTCTCCCTACTAGTGCTGCACTACTATATCTGATTTTATTCGGTCTTTTGATTTATAATTACTATGTATCTTCTATAAGGTATTTAAAAATTAAATAAATATTATCCTTTAAAGTGTTTAGAGCAGTATAAATCAATTAGTATAGTTTCAGTAGAGAGTAAAAGTGAGAATATTGATAGCTTTTATTTTATTGATCTATGTGACTCTTGCTAATTTGTCTGTTAAAGTAGGTCCTAGGTATTATATAATTTTTAATCTTGATACTACTATATATCTATCTATTTAAGAAAAAATCAACAAAAGTAGTAGTGGCTTAGAACATTTAGATTCTAATTCTATAGCTACCTTAGTTACCACCTTAGTAGCCTATATGGAAGAAATAGGGATACCGGAGTGTATCCTAGCGGAAAACAATATAATTAAGCCTTGGGAAATAGGGTATAAGAGAGTGATTAATTATATAAAATCTTTGCTATAGAAGAGTAGTGTGAGACAGAAAGTCCTACAAGCATCAGGGGATGTTTGAATATCTTCACCGATTGCCAAAAGAGGAAGTTGTATTAGAATATTGGTCTTGAGCTTAGTAATCAGAAGATGAGATGAAAGAGATCAATAAGAATGATGATAAAGATAGGTTTGCTGGGGGGGGTGCAGGCCCTTTTTATGTTAAATCTCTTGGGCGGTAAGCCATAGTAGACTAGGCCTGATTAGGCCTTAGGCAGAATATTGTTCATCAGCGGTGTGACAAAATAGGCTAAGCCTATTTGGGCCTTTGGCAGAACTCCAAGCATCCGAAATATATTTTGATATTTTAGTATCAGATAGTCAGGCTTTTAGTTAAGCTTAACGATAATAGTTATACTCAATAAGCCTTCCAGTTAAGATATTTAACCGGAGAATAGTTAAGTCTTTTAACTATTTAATAGTTATAGAAGTTTCTCTTCTTTATATATTCAGAAGTAGAAAAAGGATAAGAGTTTTATACTCTCTTTAGGGAGCTTTTAAAGATAATCAATCTGTAAGCAAGAAACAAGGAAAAAGTCCTATCCTATCTTCAGAGAAATAATCAGTCAGCAAAGAGCTAATCCTAAACATACGCCAATATTTAGAAATAATAATAAACTATCTTAATTCTATGATACGAGGTACATCATCTGAGATAACACCGGAGATAAAGGCACTATTATAACTTACGACTAAATTGCTGTTACAGAAGCATAATATAGAGACTAAAAAAGTAGAATTAGGAGCAGATTCTATAGAAGATACGGCTCCTAAACATAAGAAAACGGAATTTATCTTCAAGAAATGTACTGATGAGAATGGTAAGCGCTACGGCTGAAAAGTCAGAAAAGGATTTCTGTAAGCTGCTTAGTGAAATCGCCCAATAACAACTAAGACTGTCAAGATAAGAGGGAAAGAATTAATTTATATATTTATGGGGCTACCAAGAGTTAATGAGGTTGAATATATATGGCCGGACAACTTTAATTAGTTCTTAAGGAAAGTGTAAGTCCGGGCTTCTGTTTATCCTATTTACTGTTGGGCTGCCTTGTATAGCACTGGTTTAGTATTTTACTTTATATATAAGGTAATTGATCCTGCTACAATATATTACTTAAAGCTATCTTAGTTAAGAGTACATTATACATCAATATATACATAAATATCTGTATCTCTGTCAATACAAAGATATATCAGTAATTATATTTACTAGTTAAAATACTGATGATCAAAGTAATACTCAAAGACTACTAAGCATAAGTAATGACCAGGCTACAGGCTCAGAACATACTATTTACGGTAATTACACAATCTTATTTTATTAGATACCTACCTATAAGCAGCTTATTCAGCAAGGGGCAAAGGCTTATAACCAGATCAGCACAAAGATATAACGAGTCCAAATTTAGCTGATTATTATTTGCAAAAATCCAATCCTGGGACTGTTTTTCTCCATCTAAAGTAATACATACCGCAAGAAACCAATTTTTCTTAAGTTGCTCCAAGGAGATACAATAAGATTTTGGAGGTTGACGGGCCACTAAAAAAAGCTGCCCAAATGCTGTTCGGCATCTGACGACTATACTTGAGTATGAAAGGATCTCTTCTATGGAACCCAACCAGCCGATCCAATTCCTTCTCTGAGATTAATAACTAATCTATATCAGAAAAGGAAATCAATTATGATATGTTATCTAGATGAAGGAAGATAGATAGCGAGTCTTTCTTGTATAATAGGCTCAGCGACTATAACTGCTTTTGATTGCTCGAAGAGGCTTTTGGCATGATCTATATCACTAAAGAACCTCTGTAGCAGATCGCAGGATTCGACCGAGAAATGTATTGCGTCTGTCGCTCACTTTCAAATACTGTTAAAATGGTACACAAATTTTGGTACCTGATAGGAATAGACTCTCCGAAATAGTTGATATACGGAGCTGGATACTATCTTTATACTACTTTCAGTAAACTATAATGGGCTTGAAAATACCGCAAACTTTAATGTTACTGTGCTTCCTAGAAACAGATTGCTAATATCTTATCTTCGGTATCAAATAAAGGATAGAACTTTCCTTTAAATTCCAGAGGGTAAGGGGCCACGGGTGAGAATGAGATCAGGACTAATTCAGACATGACTATCCAGGAATCTAAAACTACATTCTTCTGTAGAACAAACATTTGTACGGGAACAGCCCCGCATATATGGTGATTTTACAAGATTAAGTCAAGTCCCTAGAGGCTTTTGTCGGTCTAGTGGTTTATTTTACTCAATACAACGGAACTCTTCATCCAATGCTTTTCTTGAGGGCCGAATCAATCTAAATTCCACTAACTTGTATCTGACTGCTGAAATAGTCCTTTCGTGGAACATGAAGAAATTATTGAAAGTAGCTAACAAGGAAAGAAAGGATCAAGGAGTGAGAATCTCGAAGATAATTTGAGCTTGTCAAATACTTCCCCGTTAATACACACTCCACGACTATGCTTGCAAGCAGCACCTAGCTGTTATAAAGCTCATGAATGGCGTGTAAAGGCCGAGTACTATCGTACTTTGAGATATGGGGTCCACTAGTTCATAAGTTGCCGCGGCTACTTGTCCACTGATAGAAGAGGAGGGGAAACCCCAGATCAACGCTCGTGACTCGGTCATTCTCCGCGCTTACATACGAGAGTTTCCCCTCCTCTTCTCCACTGCGAACTCCTCCAACTCCCAACGACATGGCTTCGGAGCGTGGAGAATCCAGACGACCGCACGCCCGCCGACGCATCATTCAGACCTGTCTTCCTTGTCATCGAGCGAAACGAAAGTGCAATCGCAAGAAGCCGTGCTCGCAATGTCTTCGACGACATACAACCGGTAGCTGCGTCTATGAAGCCATCGCCGCCAGCGACTTGGAGCTGCTGGAATCGAGTGATATCGACCTCGCTGCCGAAAATGCCACTCTGCGTTCTCGCCTCCACGATCTCGAGGCTGCTGCCAATGTTTTTCGCGAGCAATTGCGGCAGACGAAGAACCTGCTGGCTCAAGAACAGAGAAAGGCCGCCTCGTCTCCGGCACAATCGTCGTCGACGGGACACAAAGACGAACAAGGAGTTTACTACGGTCGCTCGTATTATCTCGGCGGCCCAGCTGCACCGGATCTGCTGCAGCAAATGATGTTGCTGTTGCCAGATAACCAGACGGACATGCTCTTCGCCTTCTCGGGGTCGTCGAACAATCTCCAGCCGATGCTGAACGACGCACCATATCTTTTCCCGACCTTTCCGGCCGCCTGCGGTGTCGAACACATGCTTGCAATCCTGGACGATATCGGCCGAGTTCGGGCGGATTCTCTGCTCGACAGTTACTACGAACTGGTCGATCCGCTCCACCACTACGTGCCTACGCCCTGGTTGATGCAGCGTTATGAGCGCTGTTGGGATCGGGAAACCCTGCCACAAGCCCAGGAGGCTGCCCTCGTCTTTGCGGTGCTCGCCTTGGGTAATTTGGTCTCGGATAACGAACGGTCCAGCTTCCTGTTATCCGCTTCGATGCAACTGCTTCGCATCTCCAACATGCTCGCCGTGCCAACCCTCGATACGTTGCACAGCTTCTGTTACATCGCGGTATACATGCAACATCAAGGCAAGCTGAGTGAATACTGGCCACTGCTCGGGCTGGTCATTCGGCTGGCGCAATCCCTCGCTCTCCACCGCGATCCCAGCACGATCCCTTTGCTACCGCCCGAGGAATGGGAAATCCGCCGACGTCTCTTCTGGGTCATCGCGGCGCAGGAGACGGCGCTGAGCTTGATGTTTGGTCGTCCATACGGGATCGGGTTCGCCGACTGTCAGATGCCACAGAATGTCCGCGATGACGAACTCTTCAACCCTTCCAGCACAGTTCCTCGGGAGCCCACCTACACCGAAATTTCATATAACCGACTGACATGGGAACTGGGGGAGATGACGCGGGAGATCATGGACGATGCGTTTCGGCAGCGTGGACCGGCCGACGTCAATCGTTTGAAGCTCACCGAATCGCGCATCCGACATTGGCATGAGACGGTGCCGGTCGAGTTCAAGTTCACCCCGTCGACGAGTCGTGATCTGCAAGAGTGTTCTAATCTGGAGAACCGCAAGCGATCCGTGCAAGCGGTCCTTTTACACATCATTGTCAACCACAACATTTTGGTCTTGTTTCGCAAATCTCTCCTCGCTAAAGGGGACTGGGAGGTTCGTCGGCCCTGTTACGAGGCTGCGTTCAGCATCGCCGACGGTTGGAAGGCCTTGCAGGATAACTTCCCCAAGATGGCGCGCGTGGCATTCTTACACTGGTTCCGGGCCTTCCATGGCGCTCTCATCTGTTTTATCGCCATTCGCATGGAGGGTCGCGATTCGGGCTACCGCGACAAGGCACTGGCGTCATGGATCTCGTGCTTGAGAATCTTTCGTCGTGTGCAAGACCAGAACCCGAGTATCTCAGCCTGTTGGCGAGCGCTCGGCCGACTGGACGTCGTCATGAAAAAGGAAATGGCAGGGGAGCAACGGAGCTGGCGCCGTACTATTCCCAAGGACGTCAAGGATTCGTCGTATAATCTCCTCCTCGGACCATCCTCATCGCAACCGGATGACCATTCTCACAGCATGACGCCTCCCCATCAATTAGCCCCCCTTGCCCGAGAACCCTCTGCTAGGCGATTTCAACGTGCCGCCGGCTCCCAATGACGCGAACGAGCCAGCGCTAAATCCAGCGGCTGTTGGACTGGATGACGGCATCGAGTTGCTCTACGACAATTACAATGCGAATATTTTCGATCTGGACATTCAAAACTGGCCTGCGTGGTTAACGGGGTCCAACAGTCCTCAGTACAGCACCTATTTGGGCGCAGATCCTTCCACGGCGAAATGAAGCATGAGGAACACAACATTCAAATTTTTAACGCTTGTATATAATGAACCTACATCCCCTCCCAACGCCACCTACAACGCCTCCACTTCCTCCCGTGTCTGCGTTTCTGGCGTTGGCTGGGCAGCGATATCCACCGTCCCTCCCGCCAGCACGTCGACATCCTCAGCATCCAGGTGCAACTTGGCGCCAAACACGTAGGGACCGTTGTCATATACCGTCGTCCGTCGCATGTCTCTGCGATTCGCTTGATCCTCAAAGGCAGTGGCGCGATGCATCGTGCATCGGTTATCCCACTGGACCAAGTCGCCGATGTTCTTCCACTGCACCTTCAGCTGGTACTTTGGTTGCTGGGCGTGGTTGAGCAAGTATCGAATTAACTGCGTCGACTCCTTGTTAGACATGCCGATGATGCGGCGCAGATGGCTGGCGATGTAAAGTGTCTTGCGGGATGTGTCGGGGGCCGTCTGGACGACGGTGTGATATGCCGGCGGGATAGTGATCTTCTCCTGGTCGGTTGGTTTGTCGAATTCTTCGGGAGCGGCCAGCTTGCGTGAATGCCAGATCCAGTGTTCTCCGATCTTGCCCTCGAGGTCTTGCTTGACGTCGGCAGGGAGGTCGTCGTAGGCGGCTCGCATGTCGGCGTAGAGGGTCGCGCCGCCCGAGGAAGGGATTTCCACGGCTCGCAGGGCGCTGTAGCAGGATCGGTGTTGGTTAAAGGAAGAGTCGGTATGCCAGAGTCCTATGAAAATGAGTCAGTTCGATCATGACGGGGGACACTTGCTTACGGGGCGCTTCTCACCATTTCCCTTGCTATGCCACCACGCCCGGCTGTGCTTGGAGATGATGTTTCCCTCGGCGTCGAGGTTTCCCGCATCGTACAAGTGCGGCGACGATGCTCGACGAGGCTTGTTCACGCCATGGATGCTCTCCAGCGCACCGAAACTCTTGGAGTATCGCACATGCATATCGTCGTCGAGGCCCGTGGACCGGAAAGCAAGCACGCCATATTGATTTTGCAACTTGATCAGCTGCGCGATCACGGGAGGCGACAACGGTTTGGTCAAATCGACGTTGGAGACTTCTGCGCCAAATGTGCCATTGACAGCACCCAGAGGCGTGGCTTTGGGGAGAGTCGAAGACGCAGTAGCAAGGCCGCGGCAGGAAATTCTCCGGCAAAGTTGGCGCGAGAGAGAGTACATGATGAAAAAAGTGGTCGTAGTTCCGTTGGCTTATCGATCGTGTCTTTGTGACTCGTTCTGATTGCCTCGCCATTTAACCCAGACTAACTCCGCCATCTCCACGTTCTGGCGAAAAGGCGGCGGACGAAGTTTCCCCCCATCCGAAGTGCTTTGGACACGGACTCCAATGGGGCTGGATACGATGCCATTACCGTCCGCCATCTTGCGGTGTTAAGACGGCGCAGAGCGGCGTTGTGCGGGGGATGGACCATGCATCGGCGGCCGATACTCGAATGGGATATAATAAATGCATCACATATCATCAGTATGATCTGAGTGGTCATCAATATCATCAATATCATCATCATCAACAACCTTGAATCTTTTACCCATCACCATGACTGTCGCCAACGGATCTGGACGCCTCCAGGGCAAGCGTGCCCTCGTGACCGGCGGCTCAATGGGGATTGGCGAGGCCATCTCACGCAAACTGGCCGGGGAAGGAGCGTCCATCCTCATTGCCGATCTCAACGCCCAGGAAGGCGCACGCGTTATCGAAAGTCTTCGCACCGCTGGGACCAAAGCCGAATTCGTCACCGCCGACGTGACGAAGCGGTCGGACTGGGAACGCATCGCCGAAGCCGTTGCCTCGCATTTTGGCGGTCTGGATATCCTCGTCAACAACGCCGGTGTCGCATATACCGCCGAGTCGTCGCTGACGGTGTCCGAATCGGCTTTTGACAAAGTCTACAACGTCAACGTCAAATCCATCTTCCATTCCGTGCAGACCATCTTCCCCATTTTGATTGACGGCAAGGGCGGTTCGGTGATCAACATTTCTTCCATTGCTGCTTTGCGCCCCCGAGGCAAACTGGTCTGGTACAACTCCTCTAAGGCGGCCGTCTCTAATGCCACCAAGGCGTTGGCCCACGAGTTCGGTCCTCAGGGTATTCGCTGCAACGCCGTGTGTCCCGTCTTGGTCCCCACGCAGCTGGCCAACAACTTCGTGCCAACCTTCGAGAACACGGAGGAGGGTCGCAAGAAGGCGGCCGAGCTCTTCCAGATTCCATTGGGAAGATTGACGACCACAGACGACGTGGCAAACACGGTGCTGTGGTTTGCTAGTGATGAGAGTTCGTTTATTACGGGAATGGATCATAGTGTGGATGGAGGACGAAGCATCTAGTTGGACATTGTATTTCCATAGATGAATTGCGATAAATGAGAAGATATTCGATCGGTCTATATATATATCATACTTTGCTCCCTCTCTCTCTCTTTCTCTCCTTCCCTCCCCCCCCTCTCTCTCTCTCTCTCCTGTATTTTCTTTCCTATATTGCTATTGCTAGAAGAGTACAGTATCTTCGGTCATTATATATTTATTATACTTCTTTCTCTTTCTTTCCTTTCCTATTCCTATTTACTATAAAAGAAATACGTTCGGTCAAATGAATCTCATATATATTCTCAGCGAGAGAAGTAGAGAACTACCGGATATCAATCATTACACATCTAGTCTAAGCATCTGGCACCGCCACTATAATAGCCTTAGTGACGGTAAACTCCTCAACCCCCCATCTTCCCCCCTCAGTACCAAACCCACTGTGCTTGACTCCACCAAAGGGCAATTCGCCTCCAGCAATGACGCCTGTATTGACGCCCACCATGCCCGTGTCCAGTTTCTCGGCCACTCGCCATATGCGAGCGCTGTCCCGCGTGCAAATATAACTGCCCAAACCCACGTCCGACTTGTTCGCCAGCGCAATAACTTCAGCTTCGGTGTCGAATGGATACAGCGCCGCGACCGGCGCAAAGATCTCCTCGTCGTGCGACAACATCTGCTCGGTCATGTCCGTCAACACTGTCGGTTCGAAGAAGTTGCCTGATCCCTCGATGGGTTTCCCGCCATGCAACAGTTTCGCTCCTTTACTGAGAGCATCTTCCACATGTGCCTGCGCCTTCGTCACTCCCCTTGCAATTGTCAGAGGTCCAACCACAACGCCCTCCCCAAACCCATCCCCCGTTTTCAACGCCTGGAATTTTGCCACGAGAGCTTGCGCCACCTTCTCGCCGATCCCGCGCTGCACGTAGATGCGATTCGCGCACACGCATGTCTGTCCGGAATTGCGTACTTTGGCCCCTATCAACGCCTCGACGGCCGCATCCACGTCGCAGTCGTCGAAAATAATAAACGGCGAGTTCCCCCCCCAGCTCCATCGACAGCTTCTTCAACGAGTTCGCGCACTGTTGCATCAGAAGTTTCCCCACGCTCGTCGAACCTGTGAAGGACAATTTTCGCAGAATGGGATCCTCGCACAGCGCCAGCCCAACCTCCTGCAATCGTCTTAGACTCGTCACCACGTTCAACACCCCCTTGGGAATCCCCGCCTGCTCGCCCAGATACGCCAGCGCCAGCGCCGTCAAGGGCGTCTCCCCCGCCGGCTTCAATACCACCGTGCACCCGGCGGCGATGGCAGCCCCGGCCTTGCGCGTGATCATAGCCGCAGGGAAGTTCCAGGGCACAAGGCAGGCCACAGGGCCGATGGGCTGCTTGATAGCGAACTGGCGATTTCGCGTGTTAGCCGCGGGGATGATGTCGCCGTACTGGCGTTCGGCTTCACCAGCGTAGAACTCGAGGTAGCCAGCGGCGAATGCGATCTCGCCCTTGGCTTCCGCGTAGGGTTTCCCGTTCTCCAGCGTCAGGATCATCCCCAGATCACCGGTGTTGGCGAGCATCAGATCCGCCCATTTCCGAACGATCTTTCCGCGCTGCTTGGGCGATATGTCGCGCCAGGAGTTGAAGGCGCTTTCGGCTGATTGTGACGCGGAGGAGACGTCGCGTGCCCCCATCTCGGGGATTTTGGCGATTACAGTGCCATTGGCTGGGTTGATTACGTCGAAGGTCTCTTGGGTGCTAGATATGCTCAGCCATTCGCCGTTGATGTAGCCCTTGGTGATGAAGAGGGAGGGGTCGCGGAGGGTGGGAGTGAACAACATGGTTGCGAGTGAGGATTGGTTACGGTGGCGTTGAGAAGAGTGGAAGTGGGTTGCATTCTCTTTGAATCTGTGCCATAATAAATAATATCGTATCGCCTTGTTCTACAAAGACTGGATGGAGATTCGCCTGCGGAGTTAGACCGGCCGACCGGCGCCGCCGCAAACAAACCGGGCCAATTTATGGAGATGATAAATGGATGGAAAAGCAATTCACCTATAGCATATGGTTCCATCACGATCACTTGATCAAGATTAATTCGGAAACACGACCAAAATCTCCAAACATGACCGACCTCCACGCCGACGCCGCGGAATTGGCGCATCCCAACCGCATGCAGGAGCGACTGCAAGCCGGCGAAGTCGTCAGTGCCATGTCCATCCGGTATTCAAGAGGCATTGAGATCGTGGGATATGCCAAAGCCGCGGGCATGAATGGGGTTCTGATCGATTTGGAACATAGGTATACATTCATTTCCTTGCCGAACCTCCCTTGTACATGACCTAATAATAAACTCAGCTCCATCGATCTCGACCAATGCGCCCAATTCACCCTAGCATCGCTAGCCCATGGCATCACATCCATTGTGCGCGTACCATCGCTAGCCGGCTCGGTAGTAGGCCGAGTGCTAGACGGCGGCGCACAAGCCATCATCATCCCACACGTGAAGACGGCACAGGACGCGCAGGAATCCGCCAGCGCAGCCAAATTCTTCCCGGATGGAAATCGATCAGCGATTGGGGGATTGGCGGCGTTGAGTTACGGCGTGTTTCCGACCATCGTGGCCAACAGGGCGGTCAACCAGCGCGTCATGTGTATCATCATGATCGAGACCCTTGAGGCGTTGGAAGCCGTTGACGAGATCGCCGCCGTCCCCTACGTGGACGTGTTACTCATCGGCACCAATGACTTGTCGGCCTGTCTGGGTGTACCGGGCGAACATGACGATCCCCGAATTACGGAAGCTTATGCCAGGGTCATTGCTGCCTGTCGGAAGCATGGACGTGCTCTGGGTATCGGGGGGGTTGTATGCGCGTCAGGATCTGATTGATCGGTTTATTGGTATGGCGGATGGTATTGGGAGGTTTATTATGTGTGGGAGTGATCAGGACTACGTGCTTGAGGGGGCAAGGAGGACAGCTAAGTGGTTGAAGGGGTATAATTTGTAGTCTTCACTGGTATGCACTACTACTCCGTATACATGATTCAGAAACATACCTTAGGGCATACACCGGCAGGATTCAATTCAATTTCACCATTTAGCCGTGTCATTCCCCGTCTTAACACCGCAAACCTTGTCACTCCCCACGGGGCCCCGGGATTGACTTGCTTAGCCGCTTAACCCTAATTTCCCCACCTTCTCCGGAAATCATAGTATGTGGGGAGGCCATGCGGAAGATGCACCTTAAAGCCGGTCCATCCCTAGTATTGCCATCTCTGGTCCATTGCGTACTCTACCAACTCGAAGAAAACTCGAGAAATTCGCCATCATGGGTGTGCTGCAGAACTTGCGCCTGTGGGAGAACAATGTCACCCAGATCAACGAGTATGGCGAGAAGGTCACCACCAAAGTGCCTCGACGCATGCCGCCGAATCCCTGGAGGATTCTTCGTTTGCTCTCGGCTAAGTCGTATGGATACTTTTTCATGGGAATGTAAGTCTCTGCCTCTCTCTTCGTGTTTGTCCTGTTATAGGCGTCTGACTCCTTCGACTAGAGCTGCCTGGACAGCCGATGGATACGACTTCAACTCGGTGAATCTCGTCACGACGCAGCTGTCCGCCAAATACGGCGCATCGCTGCCCCAAATCACCCTCTCCATCACGCTAACGCTGCTCTTCCGTCCGCTGGGCGCCATGCTACTGGGCATGGCCTCGGACATGTGGGGACGCAAGTGGCCGCTGGCCATCAACATGTGGATTCTCGCCGTGCTGCAAATCGGCACCGCCTACGCAAACACCTACGCTGCCTTCATCGGCGTGCGCGCGCTCTTTGGCATCGCCATGGGTGGGGTTTGGGGTCTGGCCGCCGCCATGGCCATGGAGAACATGCCCACCGAGGCTCGCGGCTTGTTCTCTGGGATCCTCCAGCAGGGATACTCCATCGGATATCTCTTGGCAGCGGTCGTGAATATCACTGCCGTTCCGAATACCAGCGAGGGATACAAGGCCATTTTCCACGTCGGGGCGGGGTTTTCTGCCCTCGTGGGGTTGATTCAGATCTTTGTGCCCGAGTCAAATATCTTTGTCGACGGGGGCGATGAGCCAAGGGTGTCTCAGGCTGTGCGGATTAGAATGTTCGTCAAGGATCTGAGGTTGGTGTGTAAGCAGTACTGGCGCATGTTCTTGTATTGCATCTTGCTGTGTACTGCCTTCAATTGGATGTCCCATGGTGCCCAGGATATGTACAGCACGTATATGAAGTTGGGCAAGGGGTTTAACAACACAGGTATGTCTCTTGCTCTTATAACCTCTTGTCTAATCCTTTGGTACTAACCATGACCATGATAGACGCCTCTCGCGCAACGATCGTCGGCCAAGTCGGCGCCGTAGTCGGCGGCACCATCTGCGGATACTACTCGCAGTTTTTAGGCCGTCGACTAACGGTGGTGCTGGCCTGCTGCTTTGGACTGGCGATCATCCCTCTCTGGTCGCTGCCCACGGCCTGGGGCCCATTGGCTGCGGGTAACTTCTTCCTGCAATCGGCCGTCAATGGCGCATGGGGCGTGATGCCGGTGCTGCTGAACGAATACGCGCCGCCGCAATTCCGCGGCGCTTTTCCGGGAACCGTTTATCAGATCGGAAACATGATCTCCGCCCCGGCAGCAGAGATCCAGACCCATGCTGCCACCGCGTGGATCAAGGATGGGAGACCAAACTATGGCCAGGTCATGACGATCACCCTGTGCATTGTCTTTGGCTTGGTGGCGGTCATCACGGCGTGCGGGCAGGAGAGACTCGGTAGTCACTTTGAGCTGGTGAAACGAGCGGGTGCCGAGGAGAATATCGTGCGCGAGATGGCGGAGATGGGTATGGTGAAGGAGGACTTGGGGGATGCGAAGCATGTGGAGGTTGTAGGAGACAAGGTGTAACGTAGTATTATTACGATTTCACAATACACCCCGATGTGATATGGCGATTTCCACGAGTCTCATGTGGTACTGTATTAACTAAAATACAATTATTGTATAAAATTTGGCTAGTGTATTTGTATAAAAAAGAATATTTGACTCCATACATATATGCGTCACTATCCGCATTGTCGTACGATAGTTATCGATCGATCGTATCCAACTGCCGATAACGATAGTTTTTCATTATCGATTATCCTGTCTCGGTGATAGTGGCAGATATTGCGGGCATAATTAAAGAGCTGTTCAACACTAGCACCGCTTGCAGGAGTAGAGAGAATATCCCGGACTAGTACTGCAAGCACTGGGTATTCCTGCTCATGCTTCTTCCAGAAGAGACAAAGGTTTCCTTTTATAAGGCCTGTAGTATTGTAAGCCAAGATCTAGGGATTACTACAGAGATATAAACCTTTTGAGAGATATTGGGTAATCTTATCCACTGACTGATCTACCTCGGGTTGCAGAGCTGTTTGTAAATCCATGATGAAAGCAAGATCATTATTAGGATTGTCCTGAGAGGCTTTGGGTTCTGTTGTATTGATCTGGGGGAGAATACGCTGTTTGTAGTGTTTAAATTCGGCTTGTAATTTATCCTGATAGATCTTTATAAAGTCAGCCTGCTTACTATTTGCATGAGTCCCTCGCCAGTCGTCATTATCAAAGTAGCGGAGCTTCTTAGATAGGCAGAGGATAGTAGCAATTGTATAGACTGCTCTATATAGCTCAGTATCAGTCGCTGTATAATACTTCCTAAGCTTAGCTTTAGCTGTACATAGTGCCTGGAGCATCCTAATCTTCCAGAGAACACCCTTTCGCTTAAGCTTTTCTTCAGCTATATTAAGATAATTAAACAGTTTATTACAGATACTGAACACAGAATAAACTGTTACATCACAGGTCTTTGATAGAACATATATCATATCAAAGAACAGCTTTATAATAAGGAGAAGATAGTCCATTTGACGCTATTCTTCCTCAGAGAGCTTGAACTAGGAATAGTGATATATAGTACAGTATAGATCAAATACTTACTGTAGTTACTTAGCACAATTAAGCATCAGAAATTTTGAATTCTAGCGTGTACGTACATCCTGGATTAGCAGAAGCCTGATAGGTGTTGTTTGAAGAGCCTGGAAAGCATTATGTTGTTGAGGACTAGCATTAATAAACACAGTAAGCTCTCAGATCTAGATTAAGGATTAGTTACTAGGATATAGTAGTATATACTAGGAATGAATATACTTTCTTTAACGTATTTGTGATATTACCTGATGATTGTTCTGAGAAAGACTGGATTGATTTTGTTCTTAATTCTGGCCACTCTGATTCTGCTTCACTATTCTTTGGATTAGCTCTGATTTTCCCAAGAAGATTGTGTAGGCTTAGCTATATAATACGCACGATACAGGGAATACGGAATATCGGAGTATCACTAAGCGTCAGAGGCCCAGCTAGCTCTTGAACAGCTTGGATCATCTTTATATTATTGGATGCATTATCGGTTATGATTAAGAGTACTCGATTGGTAATCTGGTGCTTCTTGAAGATGTGTAGAATAGTTTTACTGAGATAGGCCTCTGTATGTGATCCAGGCTGGTGCTTAAAGCCGAGAAGAACCTTACAATAGTTCTAATCTTCATCAATAAGATAGCCAGTGACAGCCATAAATGCCTGAGAGAATGGGGACATCCAGCAATCAAGTATAGTAGGTACCTCTGCCCAGGTGGTCGCACTAAGTACTATTATATAATCTGAGATTAGGCGGTAGAAAACAACCTTGGAAAGTCCCACCTGCCACCAACAACCACCTACTACTACTAGTAGGTACAGTCCTACCAGGAGGAGATTAGACTCTGGAATCTGCGGTCGATATTCTACTCGGCTTTCTCATATGTGTAGCAGGTAATTAGCGGATCAAATCCCGAGTCCGATATCAATTGAGTCAAAACGCAATGAGTCATTCCGGTAGCATAGCACGTCAGCAAAGACAAAACAACCTTGGAAAATGAACACAATAACAAACCTAAGAACCATCAAGAAATCCAGGAATCAGTACAGCGATCTCAATTGCTGTTCCAAAATGATCTCCGCATATTCCCAAGACCAATTATCCAAGTACCTGATCTACATCGCCTTACCAACCCCTTACGAAAAATACATCTCAAACCCCTCCTCATTCCCAAAAACCAACGAAGCCCTGACAGCCCTATTCCGCTGCCAAATAACCAGATTTCCATACGACAATCTCTCAGTGCACTATTCCGCGACCAATCTCGCAAACATCGAGCCGCAGAGCATTTACGCCAAGTTTCTGGGGCCACAGGGTGACCAAGCCACGCGTCGCGGGGGTTATTGTCTTGAATGCAGTATCTTCTTTCATCACGTTTTACTTGGACTGGGATTTTCGGTTTACCTCACCGGCGTGAGGAATCGGGCTCGCATTGATGGGATTCCGCAGGGGGAATTCAAGGGATGGTACGAATGAAAATGTTGTGAGTCATTTGAATCAGCCCGCTAACCCGGTCGCAGGACACATATTGTGAATATAGTTCGACTTCCCGATGGAAAGGAGTATCACACCGATGCTGCGTTCGGTGGAGACGGACCGACCAGACCTCTGCCGTTGATTTCGGGCAAAGTGTGGCCGAACCTTGGTGCGCAGGAGGTGCGGCTTGTTTATGGTAATATGCCAAAACAGCAGCGGCCGGAGCAGAAGGTTTGGATGTATCAGTATCGGAATGGTGCGGAGAAGGAGTGGAATACTTTTTACAGTTTTGCCGAGTTTGAATTCTTCCAGGATGATTTTGAGGTGATTAACCGGTATACTAGCTGGGAGGCGCGGGAAAGGGGTAATTTTTGGGTTGTCAAGTTTCTGCGCAATGGGGAGACTGCCGGTCTTCCTGTGCTTGAGGGCGAAGCGTTGAATGAGAGACCGGAGGATGTCTACGTGGTGGGGAAAATCATGTTTGTTAATGATGTGGTGAAGGTGAATTTTGGCGGCAGGACGAGGGTGATTGATGAGTTTAAAACAGAAGAAGAGCGGGTCAGCGGGTTGAAGAAATGGTTTGGTATTTCTCGGCTTGATTAGGGGTATCTTATGGTATGCATTTTCCAAGATTTTTGAGTTAATTTGTTTATACAGGGCAGTTTAGACCAGATTGCAGGTGCCTGAAGAATACAAATCTCCGAATGTAACCTTACCGCGTGAGAAGAATGGATGATCTGATAGGCTGGATTTGATAGTCCCTTGACCAACATTCGGCGGGGCTGATAGACATAAAGTCGCTCTGCACCGCGGGGTTCCCAACTTATTCTCTTCCATATAATCATTCAATATAATCACAAATATGAATATCAACGCAGATGAGAGATTGGATCTGACATCCGTGACCAATCACGGAGACAATACCTCCAATTTATCAAGCCAAGAACAGAAACTATTCAAGGTTCTGCACGATGTTGTCCAGCCCGGCGATGCGATAACGCCAGACGCAGCTGCAGAACAGATCAATGAGTATCTTCGTAGCCACCCGAATCGATCCGGGGAAAGGGAAGAAGATACTGAAGTTGTCGGGGATTTCCTGGGTTCTTTCTGGTCGCTATTGACCTCTGTTGTGGAATATACACCTTACAACCACCCCGGCCAAGACCGACTCGTCATTACGATGCAATCCTTGACCAAAAGGACTCAGGGATCTTACGCAATTTGGGGGGTATGTTCCCCAAAATTGAATCTAGAAATAGATGATCAGCAACTAATCCAATCCAGCAATCTGCACTACAAGTTTGGTCCGACCTACCTTTACTAGGACCCTGCGTGCGAGAGAAATGGAACTGGGCAGGTGAGTAGACATGAAAATAAGAAAAAGCGAGAAAGAGAAAAAGGAAAAAATCCAAAAGCCGAAGAGTATGAATACTAATACTAACCATCCCAGCAACCCCCTCCTTCAACAACCCATACCATGAAATGCCTGGCGCAAAAGAATGGATCAACATAAACGCATTCACAGCCCGACTAATCGGTGCAAAGATCGTGAACTGGGAAACCTTTCCAATCTGGGCCCTGCGGGAAGCACTCGAAGAGCCCTTCCGTAGCGTGGCGGAAAACGATATCCACGCCCTTGTCGCTGCGCAGTGGATTTTCCATGCTGGGGAGGTTATCTACGGCCTTAGTGTTGAGGAGTCTCTTGTTGAGAACCCGAGGATTACGAAGGGGGGTTCGCTGTTTGATGGAGAGAGCGGGTTTAATATGAAGCGGTGGGCGTTTTGGAAGAAGAGGGCCGGGGCATTGAGTAATGAAGTTTCGGCTGATGTTAGAGAGATTGCTTCTGCTGTTGTTGAGAAGATGTCTGAGATCGAAGGGAACTAGTGGGCACATGAATGAGTTCAAGTTTTGTATTGAAATGGAATAGAATTTATATCTATTGTGTATTTTGGTGTGCGTGGCCTTCTTTACGCTTTGCTAGGAGCACTTGGTGCTTCCACTGCCTGCGTCGCACCGTTGTCCACATCAACTTCCACATTTGATAAGGACCATTGCATGCCAATGTATGAATCACTGAACAGCTTCACATTCACGCGAGCCGTGCCGGCCGTCGTAACGGAGGAGGATTCGGCGAGAGCAGCGCTGGGGAATTTGACTAGCGAGCGCACACTGATCGACCCGTTGCTCTTATCCTTGCTCGGCCCCTGTGCTCCTCGGCTGGAGCCTGCACCTGCGCGGCCCTTTCCGGAATATTGCTTTGATGGCCAGGAGACTCGCTTCAGACCTAGAAGCTCGCCATCAGTTCCGTCGGGGCGGGCATTACACACAACCAGGAAGTAACCCTCGGTTTGAGGCTTCGGGAATCGAGGTGCGTAAATGCGGAACTCGGAGTGTGTGGGGGTGTTGTGGCGGGTCAGATTGACACTCATGCCCTTGGGGGAAATGCCAGCAATGGAAATGGAAACGTGGGGCAGATGCGAGGTAGCTTTGGAAAATTGCGGTGGGAGGTTGAGTCTCTTAACCATGCCGTAGACGGAGGACGAAGGCTGCGAAGAGAGTGCGACCAAGGAAGCTGGTAGGCCTTGGGGTGGTTTCTCGACAGCGATGCCTGGTAGGATGGACAGAGGGTGATCCTCGGGCCAGCGGGCAGACTTGATGCATTGAAGCAGAGTGACCAGCATCTGGCAGGCTGGAATGTATCCTAGCTCAGCCATGACATCGATGGATGCTTGGATAATACGGATTCCCTGGTCTAGCACGGATGTTTGATCACCTACGTAATCCGAGATGGGCAGGTCGATTCGAGACATGTATGCCTGTAGCAACAGGAAGGCCTTGACATGAGGGTCCCACATTGGCACGTCGCCCATCGCTTCGATGGAGAGGGGAAGGTTCTGGGCCAGCTCAGCGTTGATGAGATCCTCATTGTGTCGGACGGGGAGTTCGTCGAATTCAGTGGCAGAGCACATCCAGCTGAGAACATCTTGGAAGGTCGGGTCACGCTTGGCGTGGGACATCAAGTAGCGGACCGTCTTATGCGAGAGGTAGTAGTAACTCATGATCTTGCCGAATGGCGTGGAGTTGACTTCGCCGGTCGCAGAGTCGACCAGAACGCAAGAAGATTCGGCAAGATCATCGAGGGACTTGTCGACGAGTTCAATCATGAAGTCTTGCGCAACAGCCTGGGCGGCCATGGTGTTTTGCTCCTCGGCAGAAATCTCGAGACCATAATATGAGGGGTTCTTGTGCAGTCGGCGGAAGAAGAATGTCCAAGTAAGGTAATCGAGAGCATCCTGCTTAGTTCCGATCGTACCGGCAGATACCTCAGCGCCCAAGTGGTTATCCAAGACCTTGTGCAGGGTCGACTCGACGGGGAAACCAGTATGGAGGAAGTGTTTGTAGAATGCCTTCTTAGAGTCCTGGGTGAAGATACGTGCAATACCGGAATTATCGAATTGAGGACGACCAGCACGGCCAAGCATTTGCAGGACATCGGTCAGGTCCATGTCACGATATCCTTCGATTTTGGCATCGAAGAATTGAGTTCCTTTGACGACAACCAGATGGGCGGGCAAGTTGACACCCCAGGCAAGAGTACTGGTAGCGACCAGAACTTGTATCTTGTTATTGGCGAAGAGTTCTTCGGCCAACTGTCGATCAGACTCGACTAGACCAGCATGATGCAGGCCGATACCAAAACCGAGTGCTTCCCTCAGGGCATCATCCTTGACACGTGCAAGATTGAGGTCCAAGTCGTCCTCGGACATCCGCACAAAGCGACGAGGATTATCCTCCATACCACAGTAATTGATCAGGTCTTTTGCAGTGAGACGGGTCTGTCGACGAGATGCAACGAAGACAATGACCGGCTTCTCGGGGGAGTGATTCTTGATCGCAAGGAAGGTAGGGCGATTCATGGACTGCATGAGTGGGCAGAAGCCACGCTGCTCAGGGAATCCGTCGATGAAGATCTCAAGGGGAACAGGTCGGACAGAGTGGCGGAAGTTGTAGAGACCTTCCTTTACACCGAGCCAATTTGCGAGATCACTGGCATTGGCGCAAGCAGTAGACATGCCCATGAGACGGACAGAGCCCTTGGATTGCGACGCGATATAGTTCATACGGGACACAATGATCTCGAGAATTGGGCCACGATCACCACCTAATAGATGGATCTCATCAATGATAACGAGACTGACCTTTCGGACGTAATCACGAGTCTGCCAGCTACGTGAGATACCGTCCCATTTTTCAGGAGTGGTAATAATGATGTCTGCATCGCGAATGGTCCGGGTGTCGGGGGTGTTATCACCGGTCAACTCAACCAGCTTCAGCCCCATCGGACCAGTGAGGCGTTTGCGCCAGTCTTGTACACGCTCACGAACAAGCGCTTTCATTGGTGCGATGTAAACAACCTTCGACCCTGGCTTCTCGCGGAATGCCCACCACATTGCCAGTTCGGCTGCCACAGTCTTTCCACTACCAGTTGGAGATCCTAGCAGAACATTGGCAGGGGTGTGGTAAAGCAGGTGGAAGATCTGCGTCTGCATAGGATTGAAGAAGTGAAATCGTTGAGCATACAGCTCCTCAAGGATCGGATTGCGAAGAGCGGATACCGGTAGAGGTTGGAGATTCAACAAGTCTGTGTATACACTCTCCGTATCGGGACGGATGAGATGCTGGAACGAGACCGGGCTGACGGTTTCCGCGCCAAGCCAGCGATCGGAAATGAGGCGAACATAGATCTGACTGGGCAGGGGATCGGACAGTGGAATGGTGAAGTTTAATTCGTGATCATCGTATAGCTTCTTGCGGCTCAGGATGAAGTACTCATGATGGTAGATCTCGGAGGTCTCCGAGTTTTCAACCCAAACCCAGAATGACTCGGAAGTTCCATGATGACGATCGTTCCACGAAAATTCGGGATAAATGGAAAGGCGGATGCGAAGCACATCTCGGTTTAGCGGGGCAATCTCAGTTTCCACACTGAGAGTGGGGAAGTTGTCCAGGAGTTTGCTGATGGTCTTTCCCATTTTCTGGTTGTGGACCAGCTGGCCAATCTCGGCAGTATCCATCTCCTTCATCGACTCTATCGATGATGTTGGGAGGCGATCCTCCAAGTTTCGGAGGATAGGCTGCGGAAGGTCGAATTGGCGGAATGGGTGATCGAAGGGCCATATTTGCTTCTCGATCGACTTGCACAGGGAGAGAAGGACTTGGCATTGGTAGCCCCATCGACGGTTCAATGCGATCATGAAAAGGGCTCGGCAGATACGGGCGGAGTTTTGAGCGACATATCCCATGTCAGATACTAGTGCAAAGTCTTCAAGCTTGGCGCGAGAGATGTGAGCTTGGAGGAGCAGATTTGTCTTCGCATGGGGAGAGTCATTGCCGCCTTCGACCTCAGTCTGGGCAACATCGTCACGAAGCCGTTGCAGTTCTTTCGATTCGGAGTCACGGGACTGAATATTGTCGAATTCCCCGCTCATACTGATCATCTTGAGAACATCTGCCTCGCCAGCGCGAGCACGCATCATCGTATTGAATATTTCCACACTGCTCTGCAGAACGTAGTACTGGCTGGCGATGCGACCGACATCCTTCGCTTTCAGGTCCTCGGTCTTCTCGTTGAAGATGATCATTTGACTCTTCTGCAGCGTCTGTGCAGCTTGGATAATTAGCTGCCGTCGTCGTTGTACGAGCATGGGATCATCACGAAGCTCTGCGAACTCGATGCCATAGTTGCGGGGCTCGCGCTTCATGCGAACAAACAAGTAGGAATAGCCGAGCCATTGCACGGCTTCGGGGACGGAGGTGACAGTTCCGAGTGAGATTTCAGCATTCAAGTTATCAACAAGTCGACTTGAGAAACGAGACTCGATGGGTTGCTGGGCTGTGACCGCCGACAGATAATGAGTGAGTTTATCTTGGGTAGTGCAGATGAAGCCAATACCGGTGTCCTGGAATTGAGGACGACCCGCACGACCAAAGATCTGCAGGACATCAAGAATGCTCAGATCGACAAATTTACCCTCTTGGGCGTTGTACAGTTGGGTTCCCTTGATGACGACCGCGGCCGCCGGAAGGTTGACACCCCATGCAAGGGTCGCAGTACAGCAGAGAACCTTGATCAAGCCCTCGGAGAACATGCGTTCCATCAAATTGCGATCGCTTCGACTCATACCAGCATGATGGGCTCCGAATCCACCGGCGAAAAGGTCACGCAGCTCGCGTGCACGCGCGTGCTTCATATCTCGTAATGCGTTGGAATAATTCTCGTGGTCATGGCAGCTGAACAGGTCCTCGCAACCTTCTTCCGCCGCGAGCTGCTTCAGCATGCGAGCAGTCATCACGGTATCTTTACGTGAGTGAACGAATACCATCACTTGATGACCTCGCTCGAGCATGTCGCGGACCTTTTCATAAGAGACGGTATCGATATTCTCTCTAGATTGCTTGCTGCCAGGCTTTCCCTTGACACCGATGAAATGCTGCTCGAGAGGGACAGGTCGAAAAGATGCATCGAAAAAAAAGAGGCCAGCCATCTTGTTGACCTTCAAGAAATCGGCGACGTCGATGTAATTAGGCAGGGTGGCGGACAGACCCACAATGCGAATTAGGGATTGGGTGCTTTCAACCTGACGTTGTGTTCTCGCAACCAAGGATTCGATGACAGCACCACGTTCATCATGCAGCATGTGGACCTCGTCAATAATGAGCAGCCGCACCTTTTGAACCAGCTCAGTGTCACCAGTACTCTTCCGGGTTACCACATCCCATTTCTCAGGGGTGGTGACGATGATCTGAGTATCGACAATTTCGCGCTTAGTTAGTTGCATGTCACCAGTCAATTCACGGACATGAACTCCCAGCCAAGCGAGGCGTTTACCGAGCTTCTCTGTGATTTCTGCCGCGAGGGCTTTCATAGGGGCCACATAGACGATCTTGAAGTCGTCGACCTGCACCGTGTATTCGGTCGCATCCGGCTCTTCTAATGGGTGAGGTGCAGTGTTCTTTCCGATCGCGTTCAGGACAGTCAACATCGCAGCGTCGGTTTTACCAGCACCGGTTGGGGCACAAATGAGCATATTCTCGCTGGTTTTATATGCGACATCGTAGAGAAGACTTTGCATGCGATTGAGTGTTTTGTAACCCTTAAAGGTCCCGCGACAAAGGCCATCCAGATCGGATATTTGGACCAACTTCTGGTTCTTGGCCAACGATCCAACCCTGCTGGCGGGAATCTCAAATTCGGTGTACTTAGGCTCCTCGTGCTGCTTGCTGCCGACTGGGAGACCAAACTTTCGTCCATTTGCAGAAAGAGTGTTTCCTGAGGTGCTGGACTTGAAGACATGGGGATATGTTGGCTCCGAGCGGGTTTGGGCGGCCATGAGAGGAGCATTCTTATGATCGTAATCCCTCTGCCAAACAGCTTCCTCCCTCTCAGCCCGCGTGAGCAGCCTCCCCTTGGCTAATCCATCTGTTTGTGATTCCACGCGGTGTGGTTTGTCCGACAAGATCTCTGCGCGGTTGGCGATGAGCTCAATGACCAGGTCCAGGTCGTCGAAGCCCACAATCTCAGCGAGAGACATCTGTAGTTCCGCATCATCACTATCTGCCGCCAGAGTCGCCACAATCTGCTGGGAGAGCTCTACAGAATCCATGGTCGAGTTACGTGCTGCCAACTCCTGACATTTGCTTTCTAGCCATGACCGATTGTAAGAGGACGAATGGGGAGGGTGGGAGAGGGAAATATCGTTCAGGTCGTTCAAGTCGTCGAGATCGTCGGTTGTTTCTTCATCGGAGCTAATGACATCCCAAACATCGTCAACAGTTCTCGGGGAGGAATAGTCATCGTCAAGGTCCAGATCAATATCACTTCCATAGCTGATTGAATCGCGGGGCAGGTCTTTTGGGAGTTTCAGATCAGCGATGGCCTGGCGCATGGCGGCCAGTTGGGATAGCCATTGATCTGTGGCAGATAAGGCAGTATCCATGATTCAGTAGTTGAAGCAGAGAACAGATCAAGAGTGTGAAATTGTGAGAGTGGAAATATGTCAATATGTAATGAATGTGTTGTAGTTGTAGTCATCGTTGGCTGCAGAGCCTCGGCCGGTCCCAAGGCGGTGAAACCACCATGGCGGTGAGATCTCAATAGGATGGCGGTGAGTGGTATGCCCGACGAATTAGGCGGAGCTGCGGAGTCTCTCCCGTGCGGTGATCTCCTCAGGAGACCAACTCACCTCACTTCGCCTCTGCCTTCGATTTTGCCCCTCGCTGACTTTGAGTGACTACAGCACAGCTGCTCCTAATTTCCATCCCCGTCCGACGATTTTTCTGATTCTATATCGCGTCTTACCTTTCCGAATCACCTCATCTATCGCCTGTCGCCGTCATGAAGATCCTCTATATCGGAGTGCGTTTCCAAGACAGTGGCAGCTCTTTTCTCCATGGTGTCATCATGCGCTGACTTTTGATCTTTCTCCAGGTGTTGCGGAACGGTCTTAACCCGAATCGTCAGCAAGGCGATAAAAAATCAGATACCGTGGTGCTCTGTGGCGCAAAGGATCTCGAAAAGACGTGAATATATCCTCACACCGTATCATGTCATAGGCCAAGCGCTAACCATAAACAGCTTCAACTGGGCCCAGCGATCAAGGTATGCAGATACCGCCCTGCCAAATTTCGTACGAAGCAACCATTAACAAACTGTCGCTAGGGTTGAGCCGCTCATGATGTTCAATGTTCACGGCATCGCCGAGACGACCAAGCCCGGCCAACGCCAGAACCTAGAGCATCAGAAATTCGTTTTCCACGCTTACAGCCGGACGCAGGGCTTAGCCAGTGTTATTGTCACCGATGATGAATATCCTTCCCTTGTTGCTCACCAGCTTCTCTCCAAGATTATGGACGAGTTTCTAACAAAGTACCCTCGTGCTGCCACCGACCCTTCTCCAACCGAGAACTCATGCCCATTTCCCTCGCCACTCGAGGAATGGATTAAGAAATACGACAATCCCGAAAATGCCGATAGTATCATGAAAATCCAACAGGAGCTGGACAGTACCAAGATCGTTCTGCACAAAACTGTACCGTTCCCCTCCCTGCTGAGCCGGTAGATATTGTCTTCCCATACTCACATTTTATAGATCGAGTCTGTTCTCGCTCGAGGTGAGACTCTCGACCAACTACTGAAAAGATCCGAAGACTTGAGCGCCTCGTCGAAAGGCTTTTATCAGCAATCCAGAGCACAAAACTCATGTTGTATTGTGATGTAATCGATCGAAGTGGCTCCTCCATTGCGACTCGATAACTTTGGACGCTGACTACGAACATGCCGCTTTAATTTTGCACCAAATCAATAGCGGTACCCGCTGAGCCTTTATCTTTCAGCAATGATCTCCGACCTTTACCGCGAGGACACGTCTTCTTGAACCCCATGCCCTGATATTATCAATCATTCGGTGCTTGCGTACACATTTCTCAGTCCTGGATCTGCCTTTAATCTATTGCCTGTCAGTATGTAACTGGTTGCCTCTGAAATGTGGACACAAGCAGCGAGTTTGTTCAATCGGAAACGATCTCTAGTTTTATGCATAATGTATTCTTTGCTGATTTATAAAGTCTCTTGGATCCGATATCCCTGATTCCATACTTCGGTATTCCAGTAACGGTAGTCTTATAGCTTTTTAGTAGTAGCACTAGTAGTGACATGGGTTTTGCCCAGGTGCGTACTACTACCTACTACGTCCACATTCAGGCTCTACTACTGGTAGGCTAAACCTTTCAGCTATACTTAGTTATATACAGTGGTATTTCGAGGTGCCAAATTGAACTACGAGGCTGTGTAGTAAGTTCAAGTTAGTAGTACCTAGGTAGTGGCATCTTCCAAGGTTTCCGGCTCCAGGGCTTGTGTTATCTAGGTATTAGTGTAGTGGGGGCGTGGCTACAGATAAATATAAAGCGAAATATTACTTTGGTACTACTACTAGTAGTAGTTTCAAGCGGGGTTATATGACCTGCCCAGGTGGATATGTAATATACTACCTGTTTACTAGTACTATAATATTAAGAGCCCTGGAGTACCTAGACGCCTTCCTCTTCATAATCTCTGTCTCCTCTCTGCATATGGCTCCTATACTCTAAAGTAACCAGCTCATGACCTCGGGAGTAATATCCCACTGCCCTACTTTACTAGGTAGTATGAGAAACGTGGACGCTTTCTCTCCCGAGGCGTTAAGCCCCTGCCGTAATAAAAACGCGGCGAAACTTAAATACACTAGTAGAAGAAAAGAAATCGTTACTACTAGTACGCAAAAACTTTCCACAAAATGTTCCAAGGTCTCCGAGCTCCACGAGAATGGAGCTGAATGGTGGTATTTTAGATTCCGACAGTCACCCTATGCTCCCTGCCCTGAATGGATAGCATCTAATCTTTTCCTTTTGAACACCACGGCACTGATCCAATTATTGAGAAACATATAGCAGAATACAACGCCGATAATGCTGAGCCCAATCAGGGGTCCAAGAATAGAGAAAACGGTGAACCCGTACGATGCCAACTGGAACGTGCGGTTTACAACCAGGGCGTCCGTCGCCAGGCCAACTTGCATAGCTGCCAATACGACGGCGATGTACACCGTGACAGCAGTGAGCCAGGCGAGGTTTTCTTGGAAGAAATCGCCATATCGAGTCCATTGCCAGTGTGACACATAACCTCGTAGAATTGATGCCTGGCGGATATTATAAATCTTGTTCAGCCGACTCAAACGAAGTTCGCCGTAATTGAAGCGATCGTCGATCTTCTGGTGTAAATTATTTGTAGCGAGAATTTCCTGAACAAGGGTCATCCAATCTGACCAGGTCACCTCTGGGGGGATCAACTTCTTATCCTTGGCGATCAAAAAGTCACTCTCGTGTGAGATCAAGGCAGCATATGAATAGAGAAACCCAAGTGCTGACCCCCACAGCCTCTCATGATGGGCGCGTGGGGCAATATCGTCCTGGGATGTATAGTATTGAGCCAAGCTGTTGGGTTCGAGTTGCACGCGAGTGCCTCGCGCCGGACATGATAAGTATTCAACCCAAATATCAGGGCTGAGGAGGAATCTTGGTATTGGCTTGATAAATATGCGACCGATGGTCCAGACGAGATGCATATCCATTCGCTCCGTGATAAATATATCCCGTGAAAGGACGAGCTGGTGGTGCAGCGGGCGTGGCGGCACCGGGCGACCGGCAATCCACAGCCATGGAGAGATCTCATGCAGTCTTTTCAAGTCAAGTTCGCTCTGAATACAGGCCATAGTGTTTGTGATAGAGGCAGTCAAATCATTCCCCGTGGTACGGTATGACGCAGGAAAGAGCAGGTGGAGTGAACGTTCATCAGTTTTGCTATGGTGATCATGCTCCAAGAGGTGGACAAGAAAAGGGCATATCTGCGTAAATTCATTAGGTCATAATGTTCGAGCCCCTGTGCTATGCCATGTGTCATGATCATGACAATGGATGGGCAGGGAAAGGCAAACAAACTTGCTTCTGTTGTTCCTCCCTGTCAACCCCGTCTTGATTTTGATTGGGATCCAACATATTGATCGAGTTGTTCATCTCGGGGGTGGATACGGAGTATATTCACAATCCATGAATCAGCTTCCTTGCCTCCTGTTCCTTGTTCCTTCATCAGGGGAAAGGATGTTTGCATCGCGTACTTTAGTATCATCACGTGCATCCTGCATGGCGATGAGATTTCGGCAATGCTGAACCTGGCGGCTGGGGCGGGCGGCTAGTTGAAACACGCTGTCATGAGGGAAACCCCCCGGTAGAAAAACACCTCCATCCTCAGAATCCCACCCTTGTCAAAGTCTGGTGGTTTTGAATATCAGAGCATCAAATTTTGGAATACCGTCCCCAGTACCATGGACGGGATGGCTGGCTACAGCCGTTTAAGGTTTTGGGTTACGGCTACGGCTACGGCTACCGTGGTTGTCCTCCCTGTCTATCTCCTCCACATCCGTCCTATCATTGCCCGGATAAGCCGTCGTCGAAAGTCGAAACGTCCTCACGGCCTTGTCATTATTTCTGAGCCCGTGAATGCTGACGATGTCACTTTCGAGTGAGGGCCCAAAGTTCCTGTTAAAATTATCGCTCTTGCGTGCGCTAACGCCCTTAGAATTGTCGCTGTACATGGCCTGGGCGCGGATTCTGAACATACATGGACGGCTGCCGCTGTGGAGTCGCCTGACCCGGATAGTAAAGATAGGAGGCGTATTCACTTGCTCAGAGACCTCCTCAAACATGACTTCCCCAGCGCAAGAATATTGGCATTCGCTCACAATTCTGACTGGTTGATCGACGCCCCGGTCACAACAGCGCATCAAATTGGCCACCGGATGCTCGTTGAGTTGGCAAACTATCGGTCGAAATATCGAGTGAGAACTGCTCAATCTCATGAACACGACGAATCTGACATATACCGTAGCGTGTTCCCATTATATTCATCGGCCACAGCTTTGGGGGCATCATCATAAAAGAGGTACGCCAGCACACCATTCCCGCCTTCACAGATCTAATCCCTTCGACAGGCCTTATGTCAGTCTGGTGATACTGCGAGAGAAATAGTCGACAGTACTTCCGGCATCATCTTTCTTGGGACCCCTCATCAAGGATCGCTTGTGTCAACTCCCGGGGCTATCCTAGCCTGGGTGACCGGGGCCTTGGGTTCCCAGACCGGGCTGCTCGTCTCCCTCATGAGTTCTCGACCGGAGCTCGACGATTTGGATGCAAACTTTCATCGTTGTATGAAAGAGAAAGAGCAGCGAACACAGAAGACTGAGATCATAGCCTTCTGCGAACAGAGATCGACATATTTTGCTGGGATATCGGTCGGAATGGAAAGTTCTAGTATTCATCTGTTGAATGTTGAGATGCTGACATCCTTTAGCTTGTGTCCGTGGCCTCAGCCCGAGGCTGTCATGGCGCTGAACCTGTATCTATCGACACAGACCACTCAGGACTGAATAAGTGCAGAAGTACCAGCGACGAATTATATGTTCAACTTCAAAACAGGTTGATTAAACTGAACAAGTATGTCATCATGATCCAGCTATGCTGCAAGGTTCGAAGCCTAACCGAGAAAGGAATGCCACCCCGACACTCAACGGCAATCAGACCTTCGTCATAAACAAACTCCGAAAGGTCGAAGAAGCTCCATTCAACTCTAGTGCAAATCAGCACGACCCGACCTGTCATGGTGAAACGCGTCGCGAACTGCTTCAAGAGATCCATGAGTGGACTGATGGCCCAATAACAGGCCAGCATATATACTGGCTCCAAGGAAAGGCTGGAACTGGAAAGTCAACAATTGCCCGGACCGTGGCTTGTAAGCTTGACGGGTGTGGTATTCTTGGAGCCAGCTTTTTCTTCAAAAGGAATGAATCTGGCCGTGCTAATGCTGGCTATCTCTTCTCAACCATTGTTGCCCAGCTGGCACGAAGACTGCCCGCCACTGCCGAGCACATGCGACACGCCATCGAAACTGATCCTGAGATAGCCAACATGGCATTTCAAGCACAATTCAGAGAACTGATCGTGAAGCCGATGATAAAGTCTATTCAGGCTCGCACTTACAGAACCATGACAGTCGTGATTGATGCGCTCGACGAATGTGACAGACCCAATGACGCAATGACAATCATAAAGTTGCTTCTACAGACTGAACTTCCGACGGTAGCTCCCCTGAAATTCTTTATCACTAGTCGATATAAGTTCCCAGTTCTCTCAGATCACCAGGGAATCCAAAGCCGAGTCACCGAATTTCTTGTTCACGACATTCCACCGCCGATTGTTGAGCGGGACATCGCAGCCTTTCTGACATCTCGATTGGGTGATATCCGGAAAGAGTTCAATATGACATCCACTTGGCCAGGCCAGCCACAGTTTCAAAGGCTGCTGAAGAGATCGGTTCCGCTATTCATTTTTGCTGCCACTGCCTGCCGCTTCATTGAGGAACGTCAACAAGGTGGTGGACCGCAGGGTCGCCTTCAGAAAATCTTGCAAAATGAATACCAAGGGCAACTTGATCAAATATACCTGCCTATTTTAAATCATATGATTTCTGGACTTTCGGACTCTGCGACTCGAACGGCACTGAAGGAATTCAACCTGATTGTTGGCTCGATCATCACCCTTGCAGATCCTCTGGGAGTTGGACCTCTGGCGAAGCTCCTAAGTTTTAGCACTGACTGTATTGAGGATAGACTATATTTCCTTCATTCCGTTCTCGACATTCCACCCGACGCTGATAGTCCTGTGAGGATATTTCATGAATCTTTCCGTGACTTCCTAGTTCACCCTGACTCGGAGGCTGGCGCAAAGTTCCAGGTTGATGTGACGGCCACGCATAAGATGCTTGCACGGAAATGTATTACGCTGCTCGGCGACGGTGGAGTCTTAAAAAGGGACATTTGTGGGCTAGGAGAAGCGGCTAAGGCACGTGCCACTCTTGACCAACAGGTTATTGAAGAAAAACTGCCAAAAGAGGCTCGATATGCAGTTCTTTACTGGGTACATCACCTCAGGAGGAGCCAACCTAGTACAGTAAACGATGAGGGACAAGTACTCCGGTTTCTTCAGAATCACCTACTCCATTGGCTTGAGGCTTTGATTCTGTTGGAGGAAATCTCAGAGGGCATCAAACTTATTGGTGAGTTACAGGTTCTATTCAATGTAAGTCGCTTGTCTGATCGCAGATTTATTTGCATGGTAGCTGACGTGCACAGGGGAGTCGAAAGTCTGTAATTTCCGAGTTTTTGTATGACGCAAAGCGGTTTATTCTTCAAAATCGCCAGATGGCCGACCATGCACCCCTCCAGCTATATTACTCGGGCTTAATATTTGCACCAAAGTCATCGGTTGTCCGAAGATCTTTCGAAAGAGAATTGCCTATTTGGATGACTCAGCTGCCTAGAGTCCAGGATGACTGGAGTGCAGTGTTGCAGACTCTCAATGGCCATTCAAGAGGTGTTCGAGCAGTCGCCTTTTCACCCGACGGGTTGATTCTAGCATCAGCCTCTTTTGACGGGACAGTCAGGCTGTGGGACACTTTGACAGGAACTTTGAGACAGATTCTGAACAGCCAACGCACACTACAGTCGGTCGCATTCTCGCCCAATGGGCTTTTACTAGTGTCTGGGTGCGATCGTGCAGTGCAAATACATATCTGGGAGATCAAATCGGGTATTTTGCAACAAACTCTCCAGGGACCGTGTCGTGAGGGTTGGGTGAGTTCAGTTAACTCACTTGCTTTCGCCGACAACCGAATACTGGTTGCTGGCATGAGCGATGGAAGAATTATAATCTGGGATACTGCGACGGGAAATATACAGGACATTATTGACGCCCATTCCGATATAATCAGTCAAGTGGCCTTCTCACCTGACGCTTGCCATAGTATGCTGGCTTCTGCTTCCACCGACAAGACAGTGCGGCTCTGGGACCGTGACACTACCAAGAAAACAGTCACACTGAAGCATACTCTCGAGGGCCATTTAGAGGCGGTTGAATCAGTTGCGTTCTCGCCTGATGGCATGCTTTTAGCTTCTGGGGGTGCCGATAAGACAGTACGTCTCTGGGACACCGTTCACGGTACATTCATATCGAAGCTTTGCCATTCTTTTGAGGTAGATGGATTGTCCTTTTCGGCCGATGGCCAAACGTTGGCATCTAGTTTCAGTGGGACAGAAGTGAATCTCTGGGACACTGTGCAGTGTAGTCTCGAATATACCCTAAGGGGTGATTTACACGGTGTTCAATCAGTGGTCTTCTCGCCCGACAGTCGGATGTTAGCATCTCGCTCACATAGTGATGTGCAAATCTGGGAGACTTCAAGAGCTGAACGCTTACAGCCAGATCATTTTGAGAGTATTGTCATGTTCGGCTTTCTTGGATTTTCCCCTGATGGCCAGATATTCGCATCTGGATGGATGTCTCCCTCGGGTCGAAGAACAATCCAGCTCTGGGACCCTACAACAGGTGACCTCAGGTGGACTTACAGTAGAATTGGAATCCAAAGTTCGGCTGGTGAACTGATTTTCTCACCTAACAGTCAGATGCTAGCATCTTCCATGTGTGATGAGACAATAGAGCTCTGGGATCTCAGAACAGGTACAGGTATCCTGCAAACTACTCTTAATCGCCATTTCAACACAGATAATGCTATGGCATTTTCGCCTGATAGCCTGACATTCGCCTACTGTACAAGCACAACCACGATCGTGCTCTCGTATACCGCGAATGGGGCTCTACATCTCACTCTGGAGGGCCATTCGCAAAGAGTTCTGTCAGTGGCATTCTCACCCAATGGCCAGACTCTAGGTTCTACCTCTGATGACAAAACATTGCGACTTTGGGATACTACGACAGGGGCCCTCAAATCCATCATCAAATATCATTCGAAGTTTCGAGGGTCTTTAGCCTTCTCGCCCAGTAGCGATATTGTGGCCTCCAGCTCCAGTGGAAACAAGATTCAGCTATGGGATGTTGGATCCGGAGCTTTGAAATACACTATTGATGGAAAATGTGGATTTGGAGACGAAAAGGCGATGTCACATAATGGCCGGATGCTGGCATGGTTGACTGATAACACAGTTCGGCTCTGGGATCTTGGAACCGACACCTTGCGGCAGAGCTGGACTGTCAACCAGTTGGTGAGATTCATAGAATTTTCACCAGATGATACATCCATCGCGACGGATTTTGGCTCCCTCGACATTGAATCTGAGTCTCATGCCAGTTCCGCTCGTCCGAACCAGAACTTAGAATTCTCTATTGAGGCCGAATGGATCACATTGAAAGGCAAACGAGTATTATTCCTCCCTCCTGAAGCGCGGACTGATACATGGATCGTTCGGGGGCGAAGGGTTGCGCTAGGGCTGGCCTCAGGGCGGATTTACTTTCTAGAATTCGACTTACAGTCTAGCTATCAATGATTTCCACAAAAATGCAACACCCTTGGCATTCACTCAACTTTATTTGACAGCAGGTGGACTGTGATATCTTGAGAGAAAAAAAGAAAAAAGATGACTAGGCGGAGAATGCAGCCAAGATTGTCAATGGGCGTTTTTCTCGCTTCAACTCTCGGCGCAACTCACCTTCCAATTGGTGTAGCTGGGTGTACAGATCCTAGCTGTAATCAGGAAAAGATGCGTATCAGCCGGGTTGTATTAATGGACAAGGAAAATAACGAGTTTGTGAAGGATGTTGAGGATGTGTGCCTAGCACCCACCTCCTCAAGCATCCATGACACCCTTCTCTGAATGGTTTCACCTTAGCTCGCTATCTCTTCCGTCTGATAACCTTTTCGTATCTCTATTCCTTTCGCTTGATGGAAATACGCGTTAGCGGACTCTGGGTATTACTTCTCTGTAGCATTTGCTACTTATGTTTGGCACCACAATTTGAATAGCCCGATGGCATAAAAATCATATTTTCGATGTCTAAGTATTTGCGAAGGACGTGAAAAGGAGTAGTGATTCAGCGACTTTGAATCAAACTACATCCGAATAATTCTCAGGCATCAAAGACGGAGATTTTTAGGGTACAAGAAGAGACCCCCCCAAATCGATGGTTGCCCCTGGTCAACCCCCTCACTTTCTTTCCTTTTTGTTTCATTTCTCTGATTTTTGAACCTTACATTCTTGACTGGCCCATCTTTCGATCCTACACTGATTCAGGCGAGCACCCCGTTGATTCTAAGGTTCTGTGTGCATGTTGAATCATTTCCTTTTCCCTTTCATTACTTGCTCGGACGACCATTCTATTGTGAGATATCAAAGTCAGTAACCGGGGCCGCATAGAGGATATCTCGCACTAATAAGGAGTGATCACTTACCAAAGTCCGAGCTTCAAGCGTCTCGGCCAGCATCATGGCGGTCAATCTTGACACCCGCGCCTTTTCCACCGTATCAACCCGCATGTCGCTAACCGTGGCTCCGGGCACTGCAGAAGAGCGATTCGCACATCCTCTGGTATTCAACCCTAGCCTTTCGAGAGAGAAAGTGGTCATGCTTGAAAAACTCGAGTTGCTTGGGTCATCAGTATGACCCATCGGATCTTCCGTCTGGTTAGCATCGATGACTCGACTCGAATCTCCATTTTCGTCGGTAGTCTGGTTTTGATTTGCATCCTTGTTTCCTTTGCCTTTTGCGGTTCGTTCTTTTCCTCCGGCTTTTCTTCATGTCCTTGCCATCTCCATTCTTCTTGGATGCCAATGTTGCGAGGCCATTGAGTCGGCTTTTTCATGGATCTAAGGAAAGAAAAAAAGGACAATCTGCCTCTCAGTTTCGGGTTCAATCCGTGAATTGATCACGATGCTCGAACAATTATCACAGCGGTATGGGAAATACTACTACTAGTATATATCTAGGTACTGCCCACTATTGCACAAGACTGAGCCCTAGAGCCCAGGCTTGCCGACTCGAATTTTGATCTCACCTTCCAGGGCTAGGAGCCAAACTGGTTTTGAAAAATCTTCATATTGACCTGTGCTAAATGGAGAAACAGGGGACGATTACATCCGTCTAAACTATTACTCATCCTGTGCCTTATCTACATGATCTATCACAAGATTTTTATTGATCTCACTATCGCCACGAGGAGATCGGAGCAACTGGAGTGGACTTGCACTTCAAATGATTTGCCTCTTGGGGATATGCCTAGAATTACCATGGCTAATAATCCATCAAGCGAGAGATGCGGCAATAATATTGCCCCTCAGGAATCTTCCGAGGCCTTGATGACCACAGGAAACTCACCATTTGGCGTACTGTCATCAAGAGTCCATTTCAAGCCGTAGATACCGCTCGTGTTGGTCGCCGAAGCCCAGAACTGTGCCTCAAGCAGCGTGTTATTGTTATACACGAGCTGTGTCGCGAACAATGCGAACCCGGACACAGTGCCGTTCAAATAAGCTACCCGGGTCTGTGGCAGAATACCGACAGCATAGTCCTTCTGCTCCATGATGTACATAGACCCGGCTTTCGTCCCGTTGACGAATGTAGCGTTTGCGATCCAGCATTCCCCGGTGATCGATGCCAGGTCCCAGGTTAAAGGGATGAGTCCTGCGGTTGCGGTGGGATCTTGTGTGATGTAGAGGAGACCTGAAAACGATGCAGATTAGACAACTTGGCCTCACAATTCATTCAGGGGATCTCTGTTTCGGAAAAAGAATTGTCATACCATCGCTCTGACCATATGCAACGGGCCAGGAAGAGGCGTTTGTTCCGTACGCGTAGAGCGTTGCGTTGGTTTCGGCGCCTCGCTTGGCGTGTTGGTGAGGAATACCAGATGCAAGCGCAACTGGCATGAGAAAAGCCAAAGAAATGGAAAGGAAACGCATAGCTTCGTCGTTGCAACTTCCAAGCTTTCTTCGTGCGAGTTTGCACTAATTTTGAATACCTAGGTACCTAGGTATATAATATGTCGTGTGAAAACGAAAGCTCGGGAATTGGTGCAGTCAACTCGGAGAAACGACGGAATGAAACGAGACCAGAGAACAAGTAGTAAATAATAGCCTAGAAACCGACTCCTGATTCGGTGTGAAGAAGCACCGCGCAGCAGTCTTCCAGTTTCTCCGACATATTCGGGCCAGAAAAGGCTAGACTCACCGGAATCAAGGCGGGATGGTTCCCGCCAACCTGGCACACGACCCGCTATCTATCGGAGCTATAATAAGCTCTGTACTCTATTTAGCAGGCGTACGTGATCCGTGCCGATCAAACGATCAAAGACTTTTCGTGATATGGTTGGGAATGGGTAATATTTTAACAGCCGCATGAAGAGTGGCTAGCGGGAGATCTGCCGCCCCACCGTGCTCCGCCAGTCCCGTACCCTAATGGGATATCGTGGATCGCATCCTTTCTGAGCAGGCATTCGTACCATTCTTCCGTCAGCCGTGGCGCAATATCTCAGATATTTTAAATTTAGGTTTGCATTATCTGTTGCTTCATTGGATCAGGTCCCAGTCGAAAAGGCTCAATTAGAGTCAGCCTTGCAGAAATAACAAGCACCGACGTGGCACAATAGCCTTTTTAACGGGATTATGCCTTGTGGATCGGATACAAACCGAGCTTGTTGGTGAGCTAGTAGGAAGATCCCGATATTTATCGGAAAGAGGTATCTATGGTCGATTTAGTGCCCTGTTGGGTGAAATTCGTCCGTCGGAAGACTTTGTCCGCTGAATAACAAGGTCTGGGTGATGTGATATGTAGATCGTTTCCCCTTTTCAAGAATACCAATCTTTCAGATATACCGATTACAGAAGGTGATTATGTAGATGCATAGGATGGTGCTGTCCAAGGGTGTTTTCGGCTTTCATAACTCATAGCATTCGAAGTTGAAAAAATCTCAAGGCACGATTGGTGCGTTGTATATGCTATTAGCTTGAAGCAAATCCTGGGAAGTGGAACAGGAAGCCAGAAATGCATCCTCTGGTCTGGTAATGATAAGTGGATTGAAATCTCTGTTTCGACCGTGGTTGAACGAAATGGGAATTTTCGACGAACACAACCTTGGTGGGTACTTTGACATTAGTTAGCTGTCAGACCTCTAGTGGAATCAAGTAGCAGCTAGGGTAGTTCTAGACTTGCGTGCTGTATTGCTCAAATCGACCTATAAGATATAGCCGGAGGGGCTTCCTGGGAACTAACCTCTCTCTTTGCTTCACTTCATTCTTTCGTTTCATCTCGTCATTTGCACATTGATTTTCCTCGCACCTGGAGCCACTACCTGGCGGATCAGCCCACGATGCGTTTTCCACTCCTTTTCATCTCGTCGCTCGTTTCGCTCTCAACCGCGTTCAGTCTCTCGGGGCCGTCGAAACATTCACGCGACACCAGCTGTGTGAACAGTCCCAATAATCGGAAATGCTGGAGTGAGGGATTCGATATCACCACAAACTATTATGAGAACGTCCCCGACACCGGTGTCACGCGTGAATATTGGTTCAACATCGAGAACACTACTGCTGCCCCCGATGGTGTCGAGATTCCCGTGCAGCTCATCAACGGATCCCTGCCCGGCCCAACCATCATTGCAGACTGGGGTGACGAAGTTGGTGCGTGCATTCAGAAAACATTCCATCACGGTCAGGAATTATGCTAACGCCGCACACTAGTTGTCCATGTGACAAACTCGCTCCAGGCCAACGGAACGAGTCTTCACTTCCACGGCATTCGCCAGAACTGGACAAGCCACATGGATGGTGTTGCCAGTATTACCCAATGCCCGGTGGCTCCCGGCGACTCTTTCACTTATAAATGGCGTGCGACCGAATATGGTACTGGCTGGTACCACTCCCACTTCTACGTCCAGGCCTGGAATGGTGTCTTCGGGGGGTGAGTCTTGAAATCGGCGAAAGCAAGAAGGACCCAGAAGGAGGTGCTGATCAATTTTCCCGATTAGAATCCAGATCAATGGACCTGCGACCGCTAACTACGATGTCGATCTTGGCCATGTCTTCTTAAATGACTGGTATCATGTGAGTGCCTATGAGACATGAAATCTACCTCCGAAGGGCATCAAGCTGATCACAACACCAACTGGGCAGACCACGGCCGATCGACTGGTTCTCCAAGCCGCTACGGGCGGCCCACCAACGGCTCCCAACGGGCTAATTAACGGCACAAACACCTGGAACGACGAGGGATCGCGATTCGAGACAGTCTTCGAAGAAGGTAAACGGTACCGACTCCGCCTGGTCAATGCCGCCGCAGACCAGCACTTCCGGTTCATGATCGACAACCATACCATGGAGGTGATCGCCAACGATTTCGTGCCAATTCATCCCTTCAACGCAACACAGTTGAGTATGGGAATGGGCCAGCGCTACGATGTCATTGTCACTGGAAAGCAACTTCAATCAGGCAACTTTTGGATGCGCGCTATCCCACAGTCTGCATGCTCCGAGACTGACGCCACTGATAAAGTGAAGGGTATCATTCGCTATGACAACTCATCCACTGCGGACCCCACTACATCTGCCTATAGTTATACCGACTCTTGCGCCGACGAAGACCCGTCCAACCTCATTCCTTATTTGAAAGTCGATGCTTCCGAGACATACACATACAAGACGGGCGAGAATGTGGAGGTGCAAGTCACCGACAATGCCATGCTTTGGCTCATGAATGGCACCTCTTTGCATACGCAGTGGGAGTATCCGACTCTCCTTCAGGTGGCTCAGGGCAATGACACCTGGCTAGCACGTCAGCGCCTCATTGAACTACCCGCCGCTAACAAGTGGGTTTACTTCGTCATTCATAGTCCATTCGCTCAAGACCATCCCATGCATCTTCATGGACACGACTTCTGGCTTCTACAGGCCGGGTATGGTAATTTTGATAGCAGCATGGTTGACAGCTTGACCTTGGTCAACGCCCCGCGTCGTGATGTTGTTATGCTACCGGCAAGTGGGTACATTGTTATTGCTTTGAAGACGAATAACCCCGGAGTAAGTTTGCTCTTGACATACTGTTATCCTCTTTACCCTGCTGACTTTGAGGTTTGAAGGTCTGGCTCATGCATTGCCATATCGCTTGGCATACCTCCGAAGGCTTCGCAGTACAGCTTCTCGAACGTGAATCGGAAATTGGATATGATATGACATCGTTGAATTCGACTTGTAAAGCTTGGGACAAATACGTGCATGCGGATGATGTGAACCAGTACGATTCTGGCGTTTGATACATCCTTAGTACGTTCCAACTTGTTGGCCCAAGCCCGGTGAGATTGTATTAATACTACTAGCACTCTATAGTTGCTCTGCATATCAATTGACCTTGCATTAAATACCAGTATGGGCCGTTTGCCAGGTTCCTTATAAAACTTCGCCTTCAAACCAAACTCTCGAGAAATGATATTTTATACTGTAGTACTGTCTATGATACCGGATTCCGAATTGAGGCGGGTGCTGCTTTTGTATTCACCGCTGCCTTCCTTGCCACTACTCCGTCTTCCACACCTCCAGTACACTCAACTAAGAATAAAGACTCTACCAAAGATTCCATCAACTCTGAATTACTACCATTCTTTGAACCAACCTGGGGTATGTGGAACATATCCTTACCTTATCAATGCTACGCCTCCCCAATTCCCTCCACCACGTCGAGTGTCGAAAACTGACAAGTTTATAGTCTTGCATTGATAAAGGGCTCTTTGAGCAGTGCTCGCAATAACTCACTTTTGTCTCGACCCCTCAATCATCTCAATAGTACCCCTGTAGATCGTCACCGATACTTTGCCAACGCCGATCTTTGGAGCCCACAATGACACGAAGACACCGTCCAAATTGGATGGCTCCCCACCAGAATGAGATGGATGATGTCAACAGATATCATGAATGCTGTGCAGGGCTTTTACACGTTCGATCAATGTGGGAAAAAAGAGGATTCGCTATGATAATGGATGTGAAGGAGGGGGCAGCCAAACTTGTATGCGATTGGTAGCTACGATTCCCGAAAAGTGCGATCGTGAATCATTCAGCTAATGCCAAGGTATTATGAGAAACAGTTATGCCCAGTCGACGGCAAAAAACAATGATGCGACTGTCTATGGTGACTTCTATGAAGGATTCGCTGGAGCCAGCTTGATCACAGGAACTCCCGTATGCTTGGGAAATGTTGAGATGATCAACATGGAGGGCTGGAGGAAGCAGGAAGCAGATAATACATCAGAATAGTAGTGAGGACTTTGTGATAGCATTCGATTCAAGAGAGCCCTTCTACATGTTGCAAGAATCTAGAAGATGGAATTGAGATAAAGATTGCCACCGGCATATGCCTGTACGGGGCCAAAGATAAATTGCTCCCAATACGTAACACAGAACTCCGTGAAAGATAACAAATGGGGCACGAAGTAAAATAAAACACGTATCGGCAATATTGGAAACTCCCTGCAGATCCCGCTTGTTCCTCTCCTAAACTGACTTGGCCATCACGATGTCCACACCCCGTCCGTCACTTGTCCTCGTCGATCAGAACGAGTGTCAGCCATGTATCCCTTACAGGCATGATGAATCCTGTGCAGGGACTGGGGCAAGATGTAGCTCAGCCTCCTTAGATACCTTGCTGTCAGTCGCCTTCTCCTTGGGATCCTTCTTGGGTTCCTGGGTCTTCTTGGTAGAGCCCGCGCCGGCAGAAGGGACCTAGATAGACCGCATCAGTATCTGTAGGTTTAAAGTCATGATATAGCTCGTTCAAGCTTCCTCCGTGATAAAGTGAAGCCTTACCTCCAAGTCAACGACTGGAGTAAGAACAAGATTCCCATTCTTGTCCAGGCGGGCGTCTCGCTCCCATGTCAATCCGTCTTTATCGAATCGGGCAAGTCGCATCTGATCAGCGGTCCCGGTCATAAAGAAGGGCTGGCTGACGGTATTGAGCTCCTGCTTGATCTTTTTGGCCAGGGGGGACTTGAGGGCCTCGCGAAAGACCCTTCCTTCTTCATCGCGGAACATGTCCTCAAGGGAGCATTGTTCGATGACGGGGAACTGTTGGTATTTGTGAGCTTGTTCTTTGCTTTTCAAGAGCCAGAAACGATTGCAGCCATTGATTGGTCTGAAATTCTGGGTCGCCTTCAGAAAGGAGTGGGCTGTGCAGGAGAAGTACGTACCATGGGTTCGTTGTCGGGTGACATGGTGGCAGAGTGACACGGATAAAGGATGTAGAGGATATTTCAACTCGCACTTGAAGCTGAAAAGGAAATGAAGAGCGGTGGGTTGTGGGAAAGACCGTGACTCGGAGTTGATTGCGTGGGAGTGTTGAGATGGAAGAGGAAGAAGTTGCTGAGAGGGCAGCGACTTTATAGATTGAGAGCCCTGGAGGTTGACTTGCCCACCCGGTTCAGGCAGCAAAAATTCAATGAACAATCTAATTATATTGTTTAACGTGTTTCATTGACAAGTCAGCCGCCTAATTGAGATATTTTATTGAACTTGACTACGTCTTGTAACTTGATAGAAATACAGGATATACTTCGTTAAGGTATTCAACCATGACTACCCGAAACCTTTTCATATTATCCGGAGAGGCGAGGAAGAGTCAACATACCCCGGACGCTGAATTTACTGCACGATGCGGCCGAGAATTGAGAACTGGGGAATCTCTAAGAAAGCCCCCCCGCCCAAGGGTGTGCCTGGAAGAGAAGGATGTGGCTGTCTGGGTAAAGCGCAAGAGACAGAAGTAGAACATGAAATATGGGTCTAACTATATCCGAGCCTCCTCTACACGCAATAGCCAATCTTGACAGTGGAAGTAGAGCCAATCTACTAGTACTAGTACTACTAGTAGTAGCATCCATCGATGTATAGTTATTGGGACATAGAAACCTTGGAACTTGAACTTGAAGTTAGAACCTTGGAAGACGGACAACTTGAGCTTGAATGGTACCGGTAATAGGTCACTCCCGAGCCCTGGTCTTATACTATACTCCAAGATTTTGATCTGCCCACCTGGGCAGGTGAATTGTCAACGTCAAATTCAACCTTGGAATGATTCATCTGGGTATCTTAGCCTGAGATAGACTCTTGAATTGAAAAGAAATCTTGGCAAAAGTACTAGTATCAAATGAATCTCAAGTTTAAGTTGACTACAAGAGACTATGATCGCCCATCATGGAAGTATTAAATGATTGCTTTCATGATTCCCGAAGACGGCCGTGTTGGTGGATTAGGGACGTGGGTGCCTCAGGCATCAGAAGGAAGTCCAAGCCCAACGGAAAACCTTCGGCCGACGCAGCCCCTTAACTGCCCAGGTGTGCAGTCGGTGATTCGCCCAGACCTTACCCCATGATTAATTGGGAGATCTTGGTGTCAAACATCGATATCTCATTCCACGAGGAGGCTCCGGTTTTAAAATTATCTTCGATTGTGTGGCTATCGACCGCCACCGGTCGGACTGTTCGCGGTGATGTCCCCGTCTTTTGATCTGCACCGGAAGGCGAGGCCGAGAAGTCCGAGACACTCGACTCGATATACTTATTAGCTCGGCTGGAGCATTTGTGCAAGGCCAAGAAAAAAGCCCATTTCACGAAATCTCAGAATTCATGAAGACGACTTCATGGGGCTGGATGGTGTTTTCCGGTTTCTAGGCTCATTATTGACGCGTTCGCCTGGGCTTTTTCACCTCAAGTAAGTTGTGATGAATTCGCTTTTTTATTCAAATAAGTCTAAGACGCGACCAAGTACCAGGCCATCACCCTTAGCTTTACTGCCTAATCTCAAATTGCGTTGAGTGTGCAAGCGAGACGGAGAGTATTGGCCTGATGAGTTGCATATTGTTGATTGGTTGCCGAGCGAGTGGATCGTGTCCTGTCGCCTATAGCTGCCTGGACCCTTTATGCACTAGATCTAAAGCAGACTAGGTCACTTCTCCAAGCTTTATGCTATAAAACCCTCTGTTATTCTTCTCGATGGGATATACAGCATTCGGTTCATCATTGCCACTAAAGATATCCCCAATTTTCTGATCTATACCACCCACCATGACTTCCCAGTTACCTTCGGTGCCAGTAAAGCACAAGAATTTCATCCAACATGTCCAGTCACACCAGAAGACACCAATTGAGGAACTTCTGAAGCCCTACAATGAATACGATGCTTTGGCACGGAAGATTTATGCCCAAGAGCCAGCTCACACTTTGCTGAAAGACAATCATGCCAACATTGTGCCTCTTTATGATGCTGCGACTGGCTCCACAGATATTCGTGTTCGCGCGCGAGATCTCAGTTCAGAAACACCTGAACAAAAGGAGAAATACATCTTACCTCTCTCCACCGACAAGCGCAGAGATGATGGCTCGCCTGCTGTTGTCCCTACGCTCGATGAGTTTCAAAACAATTTCGCCCTCTTTACTGAAGGTGCATTGAGCGAGCTCGACTGGAGCAATGTGATCGCTGCTGGCAGTGCTGTTGTGACATCCCTTTTACCTGTGCCAGAGCAATATCGCAATTCCAAAAGGGGCCTCCGCCAATACTACCACGATGAATTTGCACCCGCATCGGATGTCGATTTGTTCTTGTATGGCTTGACCGAGGAGCAAGCCATTGATAAGATCAAACACATTGAAGACAAGATCCGTAACACGATCTTGTATGAAACAACAACCATCCGCACGAAAAATACCATTACGATTGCATCCCAATATCCCACCCGGCATGTCCAGATCGTCCTTCGCATCTATCGCTCGATCGCTGAAATCCTCACCGGGTTCGATGTCGATTGTTCATGCACAGCCTATGACGGCCACCAAGTTTACGCATCTCCTCGAGCTATTGCGGCGTACATCACGCAGACTAATCAAGTAGATCTGACGCGCCGATCTCCTTCCTATGAAAATCGCTTGTCCAAGTACTCGCATCGCGGTTTTGAAGTGTTTTGGACTCAACTTGACCGGTCAAAGGTCGACCCGGTATGAAAATATGACACACGAAGCAAAGATATTGATGGCTGATGGTGCTGACCTTTGGAACTAGACTATATTCGAAAGAAGTTTCAGGCGAACTGAGGGACTCGCACGTCTCTTGGTTCTAGAGCAGCTGCCAAAGCCAGGCGACCGTGAAGACTATCTGACAAAGAGACGCGAAGAGCGAGGAAGACCTGCTCTCAGTTTGTATCTACAGCGTCGTCAGGGCAAGGAATTGCGAGGCAATATAAAAGACGACTGGGAAGATGAAGTCCCGGAATGGCAGGAAGAGGACCAAATCTCGGACTACCATACGTTTGTAAGTCTCGAGCCCTGTCTGTTCCTTGAAAGGTAATCTAACACTCCTATAGACCATCCCTTACGGTCGGAGATTCAATGCACGGAAGATTGAGAAGCTTCTCTACACCAAGGATCTACTCCTCAATGCGCAGTGGAATCAGAAGAAGGATCGTGGAGTTTATCTTCATCGCCACCCTGCTTTCTTCGGTGAAGCCGAACATGTCATTGGAGACTGCTGTGGATCTTGCCCCAAGCCAGTGACTGATGAAGAACGCAAGGTGGCTGAAGAGGAGAGCAAGATCTACATCTCCGGCAATATCACCTTCATCAAAGATAACCCCGGTCGTCAAGAAATTGGCAGTTTCAATCCAATTACTGAGACGGACTGGACAGGTATGGCCCATATATTCGTGTTTTGAGTATAACGAAATACTGACAGCAAGACACAGAAATGGCGTACATTGGTCGTACCGAGCTGCTCTGCCAGGCAATTGTCTCGCATGACTTGCAATCAGTGAAGAATTTCCTCGACCAGGAAGATTCAGATCCAGACCGCCGAGATTACACTGGACGCACTCCTCTACAATTGGCCTGCATGATCTCTACTCCGGAGATTGTTCAATGTCTTGTTGATCACGGCGCGAGACTTATCGCTCGGATGGCAGATGGACAAACCGCATTGCATCTAGCTGCTGCGAGAGGTGCGACTGAGATCGTTCGCATTCTACTGATTAAGAGCAACCAAAACGAGGAAGAAGAAGATCGGAAAGCTGCCACCACGAAAGGCGAACCCATGGAAGTCGACGGTCAGGATGCTGACGATTGCATTGAAAATGATGTTTGCTCTCAGACATCTGCATCGTATGTCAAGGTGGACAAGGAGGACACGGACGAAGTAGGCCCAACCTACGATACAATCGAAGAGAATGAGCTAGACCCAGACATCTACGATATCAACGTACCAGCTTGGGATAATTTAGCATCGCCGCTCCATCTCGCAATCCTTCATGGACATGTGGAGACTGTCGAAGAGCTCGTTACATCATTTGGAGCCGATGTTTTGTTGCCAATCAAGATCACGAACGATTATGATAAGCGACCAAAAGGCGCAATCATGACTTTGGTGTTGGTGCTCTCTCTCCCGTTGGAGAAGGCCAGAGAGATGTCGAAAACGCTGTTGAGGCTCGGTGCTTCCCCAGCCCAGGCGGACATGTCTCACCAGACAGCACTCCAGTACATCGCACAGTCCGACTATAACGAGCTTCTCGACATCTACCAAGAGCATGACGGACCGGGAATGCAACGAGCAATAAACCATTTGACTGCCATGGGAGCCGCTTGGTATTCTTCCAGTTTCGATTTCGCCTCGGCTTTGGTCAATGCGTTGTGTGCCAAAAATCAGGTCGGAGCCAAGAAGCTTCTCGAGCTAGGTGCTAAGCCTAGTCATGATTTGGCGGATTGGTTGAAGGCAGTGAAATCTCAGTTTCCTGATGCATTGCTATATGGTAGGGAGGAGAGGTTCGCGAAAACACACCACAAGCAGCCTATTGTCTACGCCATCGAAAATGATCTACCAATCGCCGCTATTGATCTGCTGCAACGCGGTGCCGACCCCAACACAATGCACCAACGAAGACACGATCGTGATGAAACACTTTTAGATTCAACAAATCGATATTTGCGAGAGTTGCGAAACTGTCTGAAAAAAGAAGCTCCTTCATGGTACCCCACATATGGTCTTCCAGATCCCGTCATCTTCGAGCAGGACGATTCTTCATACTTCACCGAATTTAAAGAGGGTACTTACAAAATATTCTCTGCAAGAGCTCAGCTGAAGGAGGCAAAGGAAAACAACAAGAAGGTCGAAGAGAAAGAAGCAGAAATTGCAAAGTCATCTGAAGACAAGCCGGGCGAAGCCGAAAGGAGAGAGGCAATCACGGAGATGATTGAGAAATACGAGTTGCTCAAAGCGGAATTGTTATCCCGAGACGCAAAGACTTGGGATGAGCTCCACCCGGGAGAAACACAGGGGCCGGAGCCCGAAGGTTATCGAAACAGGACAAACCACATGAAGAAACCTTCCGCAAAGCCATTCAAGATCGAGTTCTTCAGTTCGCTCTCGGGTCTCTCTGATATTGCCAATGAAGGATATGTCAAACTGTATGTCCCTGAGATCATATTCTTTAGAAATATTTGATCCCACTACTAACATATGAGAATAGCTTCGAGGCTGCATGGGGTGGAGATCTGGAAACCATCAAATCTCTCGCCCTAGGCATGTGGGGAGAAGACAAGGATCAAGTACCTCTCAGTATTTCCAAAACAGATTCTTTAGGACTCAACTGTCTTCAAATTTGTATCTTGCGAGGCCACCTTCGCATTGCAAAGGCCATTTTGCAGATACTCCGGACCCAGTACAAGGTGAAGGATGATGTCACTCATCAACACTTTGAGATGGACATTGACTCAGATAACGAATCTTCCGATACCGAGGGCCTCAACATTGTCGGTCATGCCGTGGATGAACAATTTACATATGAAAAAGTCGGAGAAGTGACGAGCCAAGTCGAAAGCGAAGTCTCACCACTTCAAGCGTTGGAGCGATATTGCCCCGTTCAATTATTTCTGGACGAAGAACTTCCCCCCCAGGCAACATTCCGCCTTGTCGGTATGAATCATTGGAGCGGGTCTCCTTACCTCCTGGTGAACAACCTTTTTAAATATGCAATTTTCAAGAACGACGTTCGTCTGTTGGAGTGGCTTTTGAATGCCGGACACGAGTCCGTCAGGAGTGATCCTTCCAACAAGACCCCATTTACTCTTGACCAAAGTGAACTTCAGCTTGCAATTTCGCTCGGCCACACGGAATGTCTTGCTACCATCATCAAAAGTACTGCTGTTGGCCTGCCGCTCATGAAACTGAGCGAGGAATCCGGGATTGCTGCCAGCGAGGAGCCCGAGTATTACCAGGGCTTGTCAATCCGAGGCCAGAAACGCAAAGACTGGGCGGATTCTGGCCGACCAGATAATTCCAGCAAAACCGAGAGTCCCAGTCGCCCGCCTCTCCTTCTCTCGGCATTGCAAGGAAGCTTGCCTAGTACCGAGTGGTTTCTCGGCACAGCGCCCAGTCGTTACTATCTGGAATACGTTCATGCGCACTCAGAAAACGATAATATTAAGAGAGTTGCCCAGTCTACACTGGGGCTTGACGCAACTGTTCTGAAATGGCTCCAAGGTCGAAGTGAGTTTGTTAACAATCCCATGCCAGAAGATGGATTATACTAACTTCAGTAATAGATAACCTTGTCCTTCACTGCGCAGTGATGGCCCGAACCTGTGAAGAATCAGAGCGACTGGTTCAGTATCTTGTTGATCAACACCCCGAATGCTTGGAAGTACGATCATCGGAGGGCCACACGCCGCTTGCACTGGCGATATCACTTCAGAAGGTCAACTTTGCGCGGATTCTGACCAAAGCTGGCGCTAACCAAGCCACTCGTGATAACCAAGGACGCAATCTCCTCCATTTGGCGGTTTGCTCTATGTCAGACGCCGTGACAAGAGTACCGGATGAGATTCGTAAATTGGTCGACTTGATGGACAAAGAGCTCGTTTCTGCCATGCTTACGCAACGTGCAGGTGAAAGCTCACAAACCCCCTTCGCACGCTGGCTCAGCAAGTCTAGCTCTGACTTTTTCGCCGACGCCCGTGAGAAGGACGATTCTCGCTCGATGACACACTTCTTCTTGGACCTGGGGCAATCTACCAATCAAAAGTTCCTGGAATTGCTGGATGGTACGGGGAACACACCGGTCCATGACTGTGTGAAGCGAGCATACCCGCAAGTTCTGGAACCAATTTTGGACCAGCGACTTGATCTCCTCTACCGAGAAAATGCCACAGGAAGCACGCCACTCGAAATGGCCGTGGACGCCTGGGTTAATGCGACGACTCGCGAAGTTCCCCAGAGTTCCGTCACGTCGAATCGGCAGAACCAGTGGCCAAACATCACGTCGCGTGGACCGGAGCATTTTATCAAGAACGATGACCAGAGGACCAGAGTAGAGGTTATGATTGATGTTTGCAGGAAGCGAACACAGCAGGTCGTTCAGAAAAGAAGACTCGTGACTCTTTTCGAGGCTAATGAGGTTGCCAAAAGGCTGGCTACGAAGAAGAATGACGGGGAAGAGAGTGGTCATAGAGTGAACCGATATGGCCAGCGCATGGGAAGGGAATTTCGCAAAAATCGAGAAGACGAGGACGGGCATCTCGATGAAGTTGCTCTGTGGGTGGGATTGGCCTCGCAGTGGAATTAGCCGATGGAACGTCCTCATTTTCTTCACGTTCTCAATGTTTTGAAACTGGGTCACGGTGCACTCATATACTTTGACAATCATTAGTCGCTCCGTGGTGCTTCAAAGACTCTATCTCTGCTAGTAAAATACAATGAAATCATTCCAGATACTGGATGATAGACATCATAGTATTATAAGTGGAGGATAATCTCAAATCAGAGCCAATACCACTTCTGCAAACATCCAAGTTGTCAAGGCACGATGCCTGTGGCATTCAATGATTTTGCATGTAACTAAGGAAATCATCATTTGACCGTTTCACTTCCAGGGTTGGGGTTGAATATTTGTATAGCTTCAAGTTCGGTCTCCTACTAGCTTGCTTGAATTCATTTAGATTCTGTAGAGCATAGTATGCCAATATCTACTCCAACCATTTCCGTGTTTTCCTTGTATCGGAGGGATGGCAAACTTCATCTTCCATTGATATCAAAGCGTATAAACCAGCTTCTTCCCATGAACACGACCTTGTCGAAGTGCCGCGACACCATCCAAAATACTTGCCAACCCTCCTTCCCTAACTTCGACTGGGATGGGTTGCAGCTTTCCACTTTGAAGATGTTTTTCAATCAATTTATAAAAAGAAGCCATGAACTCTCGGTCGGTCTTCGATGGCTCCCACGTCCGCTTGATTTTGACTTGTTCGTTAATTATCGTGAATCTGCGTCCAAAGCATGTGTATACCATGTTCCACCTATTTATGAGTCTTGCCGATGGCGAAATTTGTTTCGGTGGCCCTGGTAAGTCCGAGTCTTCCATCGGCATCAGGGCTGCATAGATGTACTGCACGGGCTGCCTTGTGAGATTTTCCGCCTCGGTAAAGCACTGGTAGCAGAATTGTGCCGTCTGGGGTTTCGCGACACAATCCAGAACATTCGATATTCCATCTTGGCGACCCAATGCACGTATCTTTTGTGTGCCTTGTGGATCTCTGTAATCAACGACCTCATCAGCCCCGAGGGATTTAATCCATGGGATATTATCTTGAGAGCATGTCGCAATTACTCTCAGTCCTGATCTGCGGAATTGTTCAGCGCCTAACTCAAACCTGAATCTCGCGGTCGCAGTCTGTGGGGCTCTTACAATCTGGCCAGCTGCACAGCAATAGCCCCGGTTGCTGTGCTGGCTCCGTAAATCAATATCTGAGACGCGTCGGATGTCCCCAGGGGCCTTTTAAGCCCTGCGATTGGCGTATTTGTTGGGAGAGGCAAATGCAAAGATTGGTATAGTGCCTGCGCCGCTGTGCTCACGCCCATTCCCAAGGCTGAGGCATTGACATATTTCAATCTATCGGGTATCCGAATCAATAGATCGGCATCAGCCAAGATGAATTCGCGAAATGCACCAGCACTGTAGTTGGCTGCATGGCCTAAAGCGTAAATGATCAGCATGAGACTTTGATCCGGCGAGATTCTCTTACATACAGCCATGCACGAATCCTGCTACTCGATCGCCAATATTGCAGCTTTCTGAAAGAGCTTCGCCTAACTCCACGACTTCTCCAGCAAAGTCAAACCCGAAGCCCGCGCCGGACCGCCCCAAATGATCAAGGGCTAGGACATCTGGCGTATTCAGTCCCACGGCGTGTGTTTTCACAAGAACTTGGCGATAGTCAGGGGATGGAATTGTTAGGTCATGCATCACTTCGGCTGCGCCCGGGCCAGTTATGATCAGCGCTGACTGCGTCTTGATTTGAGCCATGGCCACTGGTTTGCTGTGAAATATAGTGGATTTTTTGATCGAGCGCCTGCATGGAATTTCAATTATGCATTCAAGTTTCTATATCCTTCCAGCTGCAGATTTTGTAACAAAATTTTATATCTCGGTAGCTACGGTGGCAACTTCTATGTTTTTTTTTTTTCAAACCGATGACGATTAAACTAGATGGCAATTCGGGTGTCGGGTATATTCCCCGGCTCATCCAAAATTTGCAGTGCGAGCCCCGGAGGATCAATACCCGTGCTTCCTTCAGCGCTGGAATACCGACTCGGATCTGAAACTAGTAGATAAGGTTTTCCCCCACGATTCATTATTCCTAATTATGGCACGTGTCCATCTAATTCGAATTCCAAGGGTATCATATAGACAAGCGGTGTTATGGGATTGCCTGGTGGCAGCGGGATTTCGGATAGCCTTTCCAACCTTATCGATTAACTCCAACATATTGTGCAACATGCCGTGCAACATGCCGTGCAACATTCCTTCCCCACCCAGACAGCGCACGACAGTCATCGTGGCACCATTTAGCGCCCAATTTTAACTGTTTGCAGGGCGGACAAGCATGTTTCAACACACCGCTACATGATTTTGCCAATAATTTTGGTTTTAATACAGTTATATTACATCCCAACCTCCATGTGGAAACAAAATCTTCAAATTCTAGTAATGTGTAGCAGCATCCCCCATTGCATTAATATCTGCCGTCATATTTGGGATACTGCGCCATAATAAATTCAAAAAGGGGTCCGGTATACTATTCCACGCTGTCAAAGGTATATCACGCAGTATATAATGCATACAACTACCTAGTTGTAAATCAGAATTTATGGGAAGAGGCTATATTCTGTAGTAACATTGTACCAATCCTAGACTTATGCTACAACAAAGATTGAAAAATATCAATTTTAAGAAACAGTAGACTCACAATATAACTACACGCACATATTTCTCTAATTTTCATAATTCCAGAGAGCCACTAGACCTTTATTTGGGCCACCAAGGTAGATCTAGACTATAATACGGGATGATTGTTTGGTTTGAGAGATAACTACAGAGTACCTAGGTACAATTTTACGGTATATCTCGTCCGAAAATCGATAGATATAGGATAGTTATACGATACTAGCCGAGCTTAAACTAATCTTTATCGGAAAATATAACCCATTTCTACTTCTGGGGATACTATTCAATCTTTTTCTATGTCTAAATAAGTTATCGTTTACGATATGTAGCAGTATTTAGGGATTTTTGGCCTGCTGGATACACAACTCTTTCTCTTTTCTTAACAATGTGTGCAAGGGTTTTCCATATACACGCAATTTCAGCTACATAAAGACTGATCATCAGTATATCAACACACGTCGTTGGTCTGAAAATTGGATTGCTTTGAGGATCTGATTAACGATTTTGGGGGAAAGCTTTTAGGGATACGACCGGATTTGCTTTTTTGAGGGATTAACCATCATTTATCGAGATATGTTTAGCGTACCTGGGATGGGAAGCAGCCATTCTTTTACTGAATCGCAGATAATGAAGCACCGTTGTTACGAAAGGTGCGTATAATGAGGCGTCGATCGCGAGAGTCATTAAGCATGGTCAAGATGGCAATATTCTATCGATAAGGGGAGTCGCGGAGCGGGGATTGGTAAATTGTATTGTATTGTAAGGGGGTGGGCGGTAGGCCCACCTCTATGTACAGGGGTGCCAAAGTATCCTTGTCTGTATGTGGAAACCGATTATACCAGTGGCCTGGTAAGCCTGAGCGTTAGACGATAGATCACAATTTTGAAGCAGCCAGCTACGTCAAAATTACTCCGTATAGCCTGGGAGTTGCAAGGTTCCAAGGTTGGAAGGTTCTTGCAGTCCAGGTATATATTCTCTCGAAATCTGCGCCCATCTGGCACTCTTGATCAGTGTTAGTTGCTAGCTATTGATTAGAGTCAAGCTCCCAAACACCCGAAAACAATATCGAACTTGAACCCAAAACCTTCAAAGCTATCTGCAGCCCTTGAAATTTCAGGCTCTATCTTCTAAACTTCACGAAGTCCCCGATCCACCTTGGAATTAAAACGAAATCTCGACAATATGACATTGCAAGAACCAATTTATGATTCCAGGTAAGCGCCAACTTTGATTCGCACAAATGAATCTCAACATGAACTTACGGATGTTCTAGCAAGCCGATGCCGGCCATCGATCTCGTCTCTCAATACGAATTGAAGGCCCCTGGAATCTCTGGAAAGACAATCGTGACCGTGCGCATATCGTATGGCCCTGGTGCTGCAACCCCTCCTCACCGACATGGCGGTTGTGCCGTCACGGGATACGTGGTGTCGGGCACAATATTGAACAAAATGAACGACGAGCCGATGAAGGTTATCGAAACTGGCGGGGCTTGGTACGAGGCTCCCGGATGCCACCATAGGATCAGCGACAATGCAAGCACGACTGAAGACGCAGTTGTACTCGCTAGTATGGTTGTCGATACTGATGCTTTGGAGAAGAATGGAATGGGGGCGCTTATGCAGATTGACCCAGAGTATCTCTGAGCACCTTCACCACAGAGAGCTGGTCATGAAGCTTGGTCAATATGTGTCAATATGGAACATGAATAGATCAAATTCAAATGGCAAATGATCGAATCCCGGTCCTCCCTCTCCTTTGCAAGGTGTTGTAGTTGTATTTTGTTGTGCTGGAGAACTCGCAGTCCCGGTTGTCCTAGATGGTCATCGGTTTCCAGGCTCTGGCGGTTTCACATGCAGGGCCCAATCCACTGTCCGTATCGTAGAACACACATATTATGTTCCTCAACTAGCTTTAGTTCGGGTGCAAGTGATTTCCAGTTTGTAGAGGATGTATCAACGAGGCTTTCTGGCGTGAGTGCTGTTGTGGATTATGAGAGAGATCAAATTTGAGAATTTAGTAAACTCAACAACCCACGCAAGAACCGAGTCATGATGGAGAGAAAAATAGACAATAAGAAAGGAGTTGTTCGACAAGAGCCCTGGAGGTATCTCGTCATGTCAGCGGTAAGATGCAAAAATTGGGAAATAGAGTCATTGGTTCTCGGAGGTCTGGCTTACCAGCTCATATGACATGGAATTCAAAATCACCTGTTTGATGAATTTGGTGATATACACCGTGCATTCACTAGAAACATAAATATGCCGAGCTTCCAGGGCCAGTTCGATAGTGGTACGCGTCTTTTTTGGCTTGCACCAGTGAGGTCTCACGGTGGGAATAATTAGCCGCAATCGGCCAGGAGATGCTACAGTGTGTCCCGAAACTGGTGCCACCGCTTTCACTCTTAAACTGTTTCTTGAACTCAATTAGTTAAAAACACTAGTCTACGTTAGGAACCGCTTCGGATTATTGATCTTCCTGTATTTTTCAAGAATAACATCATACAGATTATATTCAGATTAAAATATGGTACTTTAGTTTTGTTACTGTATCAGCGGTCTGTCAGCAACTGGAAGCTTCTATGCCACGCAAACAGATCAAATACTTGAGCCCGAGACTGTTCTGGAACCTAGCTAGTTAAACTTGCCTTTACCACCCCTGTTGCACCCAGCCGCTCTGGTCATTTGGGATGTAATTAGCGATCTGCTGCTGATACCACGCATCGTTTCAAGCTGGGGGGGGGTGGTGCTAATTGAGGTACCATGATGGTCTCTGTGTTGCCATCAATCTGGGAAGTTGACGAGTTGGCCAGTAGCGTGGGACAACACAAAATCTGGTTCGCGGTGCGGGCCGATTCGACCCATAATCAGTAACTCTACATAGCCGGAGTCCCGTGATCTCTAGTAACACGAAGAGATGAACCATCATTCTGAGTGGCCACACACACCGGATGGCACCAAACTCAGCCCCTTGAAAGCTTGAGCTTATCTCTGACATGATCCACAGTGGAGAGCTATCTGTATCACAGATGGCATAGGCTGCTGATTGCAATCGGAGATCTCTTCTGTCTCTAATATAAGAATCTTCGGAAATGTCACAGACTCAAAGCCCCGCCTAATAAGGGCGGCCACCACGAAGTGTCACTCCAGTTATACTCGGAGCTCTCTATACGATCGCCTGAGTAAGAGACTAACCTTTTTTCTTCGAGATGGCGATCTTTCTCTAGATAAATTCGCTATCCAAGCAACAACATCGAGTATCAGCCGCGCTCTTGCGTCTAAAGGCTGGTTCAAAAGTACTGTCCGACTCAATACCCGAGAACGCAATCAGGGGTTACGCGATGTCTACACTCTAAGCATACCTAGGTAATAAGTAATCTTCGTAAACTATTTACTGAAGTGGGATAGATGCCCAAGGCAGTCTGGCCGTGGACATGAACGGCTGTGTTTGATTGACTACATCTGTATTGGACGTAGAAAATATTATGTACATATTATACACAGAACCCTATAAAAGAAACCCGTCCCGATGAGTGCCCCATTGCAAGAACATTATTTTTAGTCGCTGAGCAGAGGGGTCGATATTCAGGAGGAAGCCACAGTACCTTTTCACCGTGAAAGGTTACCCACTGACCCTCCAGTATAGATATGTCCGTGTCCGAATCCGCCTGAGATGAACCAGAAGGATGATTCTTACACCAGGATTCTATTTCAACCGATCTCGGGTTGGAGCTCGAAACTCTACTAAATTCAGAAAATTCCAGGTCAACGACTTTTCCTTTAGTTTTATCCGTGGAAGTCTGCAGCAGGACGCCTGTGCTGGTATCCCAGAGCCTAATTGTGTCATCATCCGAGCCGGAAGCCAGTAATCGACCGTCAGGGGAAAAATTCATAAAAGAAAGGGAGCCTGAATGGCCCTTGAGAATCCGCTGCAGCGTGCCCGTGCCCGTATCCCAAAGCCCAATTGTCTTATCACGTGACCCAGACGCCAGCAGCTTGCCATCAGGCGAGAAAACCACTGATTGAACCCAGCCTGAATGACGCTTGGGAGTCTGTTGCAGCGAACCAGTGCAAGTATCCCAGAGCCTGACAGCCTCGGCATACGAGCTGGACGCCAGAATTCGACCGTCAGGGGAGAAGGCCACAGACAACACTGTACTTGCATGGCCCTCAAAAGTCTGCTGCAGTGCACCCGTGCCGGTGTCCCACAGCCTGACTTTCACCCCCGAGCCAGACGCCAGGAAGCGACTGTTTGGAGAGAAAGCCACAGAGAAAACCGACCCCGAATAGCCTCTAATGGTCTGTTGTAGCGCGCCCGTGATGGAATCCCAGAGCCTAACTGTCTCACCCGATGCGGTCGCCAGCAATTCTCCGCTGGGGGAGAAAGCCACAGAGGAAACGTAACATGAATGACCCTTGAGGCTTTTCAGTAGCGCGCCTGTGGTAGTATTCCAGATCACAACTGTCCCATCCTCTGAGGCAGAAGCTAGCATTCGGCCGTCGGGGAGAAAGCTACAGAAGAAACATAACGTGTATGACCCTTGAGACTTCGTTGTAGTACACCTGTGCCAGGGTTCCAGAGCATGACTATCTCACTCAAGGCGCAAGCTAGTAGTCTGCCGTCTGGAGAGAAAGTCACAGAAGAAATCGGACCTGAGAAAGCCCAATCCGAATCGCCGTCGAGTGTCTGCTGCAAAGTGCCTGTGTCGGTGTTCCAAAGCCTTATTGTCCTATCACTCGAGCCAGAAGCCAGTATCCGTCCGTCAGGGAGAATGCTAAAGAGTAAACTGTACCTGAATGGGCCTCGAGAGTCTGTTGCAGCGTGCCCGTGGTGGCATCCCAGATCCTCACTGCCTTATCACTCGAGCCGGATGCTAGGAATCGGCCAAGGGGGAGAAAATCACAGAAAAAACATAACCTGCATGGCCTTCGAGAGTCTGTAGTTCTGCGCTCCATGTTTCTTGAACTTCTGGCAATGTACATATACAATCTGGAAGTTCTGCTTCGAATTGCTTCCGAACCATTGCCTGTTTAGGCGCAAATACAAGTCCTGCGTAATAAATCTGAACAGGAACGTCATCGGTGATTCGCCGATTTTTAAGAAAAAAACCGCTTTGCATCATGTAGGAACTCTGATAGTTTGTGATTTTCATCCCTCTGTATCAATTAGCGTAGATTATATTTAAACACTTCATAAACACTTACGTTCAATGCTGACTGCAGTAGATTAATGATCCCCACAACTTCAGAAGCAAGCCCCAGAACGCATATTGCTTCTATCCAGTGCAGGAAATGTTTCTGGAGAAAGGTAAGAGCATCATCCATTTCAGAACAGGGGTTTTTGCATTGTGCTAGATGATGTACCCAATAACGACAAGCGTATTGCAATTCTTCTGGTAAGTGACTCTGGATTGACTGGGCATCGATCTCCCTCCTCTGAGTGCTGTAGCTTGATAGGCCACAAATATTCCTTTTCAGTCCACCTCGCATGGTCGTAAGGCAATATTGGGTGATAATCTTGTGCGTATGTTGCTCATCCAGACGGAACTTGCTCCTAGAATTAACGAGGAAATCTCGAAATGATGAATGCAGGAGCCTGACGGGCATGTTTTGGTTCTCAGGTATGTTGAGTACAGACTGGAAAGAACTCAATAGGTTGCTGATAACCCCTCGTCTGGTACGGAGAAGCTGGGAGAGTGCATTGACTGAAAGAGGAACAGCAAGGAGAATTGTGATGCCGACTATGTCCTGAAACTGTTGCAACAGCTGCTCTGACTCGTCATTATCTTGATGCTCAAGGAGTCGCCTGAGGACTGGTAGATAAGTCTTCTCCATTTTAGTCGCATACTTGGCTTGGTCCTTGAGTAGTTCTGCAAGGCGCTGTTCTGGGTCCCACTTCGGATCTTCAAGGAATCGGCAAACAGTGGCGGCAGAAATGAACAATGGAACTGACATCATAACCAATGTCTGGATTTTATCATCGCCAGGCCAGTCTTTGGAGACGTTTCTCGTTTCTCTGATCTTTGAAAATCGGTCCTCCAAAAATAGAGATATGTCGTGTTCTGTCACTGCCTCAGGAATCTCATGGAGAGCAAAAACCTCACGATGATCTCCAGCCCCCAAGAATCCTAGTGTGATCGGCATTTCGTCCCTGCTTGTCAAGAAGATCAGAACACGTATAGCAGTCGATACGCGTAGCTGTGGTAGTAACTGAAGTATAACTCGGACGTCTTTGTCATTCTCACATTCGTCCAATGCATCAATCACTATTACCGTAGTTATCACTTGTCCCTTGGTTGAGTCTAAGCTCAGAAGGGGCTGAAGGAGTAGTCTATCAAACTGCTCTTTTAGCGATTTGCCTCCGAGATCAGGTTCATCCTTGAGTGCTTTCAGACCGCCTGGTTTTAACTCAGGTATGCGAATCATCAACTGCTGTGCAATTGTCGGGAAGAACTTCGTGGCATTTCCCCTGTCACCTTCTCCCCTCTTGAAGAAGTAGCTTGCTCCTAGGAGCGAGGCCTCTCTGAAATATTTCGCCACTGTTCGACAGATAGTCGATTTCCCTGTCCCAGCCTTGCCATTTAGCCAAAATATGCATTTGTCCTGCGGCGACCCGGCCCATTCCGTGATTCGGTGAAGGAGCTCAGTTCTGGTGCCTGGGAGACATACATCCTCGTGCTGATCCATATATGAGTCAAACTCGGCTCCACACGCGATCGGCAGCTTGTCAAGAATCAAATATTGGTCGATCTGGTCTATATTCTGAGCGACACTGGTTAAGAGAACACTGTATAGGTATAAGCTAGTCGCACAGTAACTAAAGCACTTTGATCGACTGTCTTACGTCTGGTCCACCTGCAAGGATAAAGTGAAGGATGACTTGTACCTCTCTAGATCGTTGAGAATCCTGCCCACTTCTGTGCGTTCGAGTGGCCATTTTAAGGCTCGAATACCAAGTCTCTTCATCATGCGCTTCCCTCGCCCTAGATCAATTTTCTGTTCCAAGGCCTTGAGGTGCGAAAGGCAATCACTAATATTATTGACTAGTGAGGATGAGGTAGATAGTTTCATGCCCCCAGGTCCTTGGAGAAGTCTTGCAAGTTCCTCAAGGATGCCTTCAAGGCCTGCGACCGTCCGTTGCAAGGTAATAATATCATCTCGTGCGTCTTTGATCTCATGAATATAGCATCCACAGATCTTCGCAATACTCCCTGTAAGTTGAATAACCGCGATAACGCTGGATGCACAGGAAATTCCGTCCATTTGAAAGATTTATAAGGTCTAGACAAGACTGGGGTTGTATAAATCTAGGGACCTCAGAGAAGATACCGAAGACGTAATAGGAAGGAGGGGTGGCCCCATAATGAGGCGAAGGTATCTGTACACCGCCTCCCGATGTAGCTTGTGTTTGCAGGGACCTCATCATCTCGTCAGTGGTGAAAAGGTGTCAGCTGTAATAAAGTAAAAGCGACAACCCCACCATGGCGGTAGGTATTGTGTGTATGAAACAATACAGGTCTCAGTTCCAACGATACTCGGAAAAATTCCCAATTGGGACTAGCTAAGCTTAGGAATTCAACCCCGAGAAACAGTGTAAGAGTAGAAGTGGTGGCACCAGTTTCGGGACGTACTGTACGTATCTTCATCTAAAGCTCACCAACCTTGGAAGCTGATCCATTCGTTCCTTTGCCTAAACTCCCGAGGACCCTTTACGTGCCCAAGTGGAACTCTCTACTTATGTACTCCGCATAGATTCAGGCCTGGAACCAACGAACCACGACTTAGCGTATTGATAGTCGTCTCTCAGGCTAGGAAACGTATTTTGAAATAACTCATTAGAGATCTTACTATGTATTGAAAGATGGGAATCGCACGCTGGCTGTCTGCGTGAGCAGACGAGTCTATCGCAGGAAACAAAACCACTACACCCGTAGGGTGCTTGGACTGATTAACGAGTTGTATTGGCCAGGCAGATAAGCTTGTTCCCAGTACTATACTAATGAAGCTTCATCTCTCAGTGGATCAGATAGCGGTCATTGTACGAAGCAGGGGTTGATTCATGAATAGGAAAATATTGGTTAATTCTCAAAACTAGAACTGCGCGCGCTACATATCTCACCACCAGAGTGGACACCTTATTGCTGAGGTACCACGTAACAGGATCTCTGCTTGTTGCAGAGCGAGAATCCCCATTGCACTTGGTAGTATGTCATCAAATCCACCAATGGCATGAGATGTCTTAGAATGGGTTAATCTCTTCATGTCATCATCTGTGGATCTACTGATGTATTGATTTCAGTACGGCAAAAGAACGCGCAACATCCATGATAATGCACACGCAATATTCAACATACATGATCCTTTATCAGGTCATCTACTGCGTACCGCTGTCGGAATACTAGACCCTTGGAAAGACCCCCTTAGCATCCACAGAGAAGCATCTGATCACCCGGGATGCAGTAGTCCCAACCATTCCCGTACCTGACCTGAGATGAACTTTTTAACTCACTGAGCCACAAATAAGCCGAACTAAGCTCCGTTCGGGTTTAGTGTGCGGCCCCAGACCATCTCGCCCCCAGCCGTTGCGATAGTCTCTAGGTTTGAAGTATACGCTGCTCATTACTAGACGATGGTGATATTCCAAATTGCACAATTGGATTTTTGTCTCAAATAAAATTGTAACAAGACCATGTTAACCTCAAGATCAGCCCTACTGAATAAGGAAAAATAAACACTTGCGATCGCTCAACTCTGAATTGCCTCTTCGTCATCTTGTGGAGAGACCCACATGGGATCTTCGCGCCGCGTGTCTCGAGCGAGCATGCCCAGTTCCGGCCCCAGGTCGAGAAACGGTCGATCGCACACACTCCACCGTAATTGCATCAGACTTCTTTCACTGCATCCAATCAGTTCACCAACATACGCGCAATCATTACTACCGGCGCCTGCTCAAAGACATACATTTCAAAAATGCCTTGTTCGGTTGTGCTTTGGTCCGTCCTCCATTACCACCCTTTCGTCTTATTGGGTCGCCTCGTATCTTGAAAGATCTTCGTTTAGCGCCAGGCAACATCAATCTCGACACAATCATAGAATCACAACAATCACAGAGTTGTACATTCGGGAACTCAAGATCCACCAGCTTCGTAAGTCGCCACAGATCAATTCGTTTCAGATGAACTCCAGTCTAGAGCCCTCGGGTCAACTGTTGTCGATCATTTCAACTACATTCTAATTCGGTTTGTAGATGCTTTCCTTGAAGGGAAGCTGGCTGACGACAGCCTCTCCCGCTTCTATGAATTGCCATGGGTCACCATTGCGAGAGGCCATGACGTGACAAGAGATCTGCTTCAAGTTTGTTCTGTCCGACTTCTTGAAGGGTACCACCTGAGAACACATCAAGGGTATATAAAGGCTGGAAAAACAGTCGGCTTCACTTATACCCAACTCACAATCAATCATTCATTCCAATATCTCAATAACATTACAATTCCACCATCACAATGAAGGTTTCCGCAGTCCTAACTACCTTGATGGCCGCCGGCCTGGTTGCTGGCGCTCCTCCTGCCCCAGGTAACTTCATACTCCTTTGATCATCGACCGCCGAGCTATAACTTCTAACACGTTTATCAGTCCCCTCCGATCTCTCGTCTCTCCCACCACCTCCACCCCCCACTGGCACTGAGATCCCGCCTCCCAAGGGCACAGATGATGGTCAGAAGCGTGACCAGCTACCTACCGGCACAGAGCTGCCCCCGCCTCCTCCTAGCGGTACTGAACTGCCTCCTCCACCCAAGGACGGCAAGGACAAGCGTGATGAGCGTCCCACTGGCACCGAGATTCCTCCGCCACCACCCAGTGGTACAGGACTGCCACCCCTAAACTCGGACGGACCTCCTCCTCCCAAGCCCACATCTGATGGCAATGAGAAGCGGGACGAGCGTCCCACCGGCACGGAGATTCCACCTCCTCCACCAAGCTCGGATGTTCCTCCCCCTCCTAAGCCTACCGAGGATGGAAATGAGAAGCGTGACGAGCAACCAAAGGGTACTGATATTCCCCCTCCTCCTCCTTCCGGATCTGCTCCTCCCCCTCCTCCTTCTGGCAGTGCTCCTCCTCCTAAGCCTACCGAGGATGGACGCGAGAAGCGTGATGAGGAGCCCAAGGGTACTGATGTCCCTCCTCCCCCTTCTGGATCTGCTCCGCCTCCTCCCCCCGCCGGCACTGCTCCCCCTCCCAAGCCCACCGATGCTTAAATTCAAGAAGGACTTTTGGGATTGTCTAGATCTTGATTTGTCTTGACGCTTGACAATGCTGAATAGATGATCATGGTATATGGATGATCAGTTCAATGGTACGATATGGTAGAGCTCAGGTCACATGGCTCTTGGGTTAGATTTAGATGCGATGGAATGTTAGGGTGGCTGGTTTCCCTTCTAATTGACCGCCATCAGACGGTATTATTACTCCTATTACTTAAACGCCTCAATACACTCGTTACTTAAGCCTCGATGTTCAACCTTCAATTCAAACTACTAGTACATGTCGCTGCGTACTAGCAGACCGGAATTGATTTCTTTCAAGCCTCCGTTTCCTGCTTCAAAACATTAGGCCCTCTGTCCATCACGACATCGCTCTTCCAGGCTTTGAAGTCTCGGGTAGGTAGATTGAGCGCAAACATCCGGTCAATTTCCATAGGCGACCTGTCTTTCATTTCAGGGATGGTGAACCAGGTTATGATGTAGCCAATGGCTGCAAATGCTGCCATGACGAAGCCGGTCTTTCCTCGCAGGTTCCCAGAATCCGGATTGTAGATGTAGGGGAGAATGATGGAAAACACACCAGTAGCCACACCACTGACAAACCAACCCACTCCTTGGGACTTGGATCGCAGTGTGAGCTCTGAGGTTTCAGCGGCAACAACGTGCGAGGCTGGCCAAATGCCTAGACCGCAGACCATGGTTATGACCATCATCGTCACAGCGGTGTACCTGATATCTGGTTAGATGGAAGAAAAATTGATTTCGATGAGACATACCAAATAGTTACCACCCCAGTAAAACATCCAGCAATTCCTAGGGCAAGCCACAAAACAAAGGCTGCACCCAGCGTCCATAGAATGAGAAAGCGTCTGCCGAGTGCGTTCAATGTGAAAAGACTGACACCGTTCGCAATCAAACCCAACCCAATTCCCAAGATGAGAAAGATCAAGCTGTTTGTTGCACTCATTCCAACCATTTGCATGAAGTATGAGGCACTCGCAAGTAGTTGCAATCCGAAAAATTGTGGTAAAGCGCTTGCGAAACATACGACGAAGGTCCGGCGGCGATTGACTGCTCCCTTGAAGCAGTCGGAGTATTTTTGTGTTTCGCGTTCCTCCTCTTCTGCTTTGATTGAGGCTTGCAGATCTGCGAATGTCTTCGCTGAATCCATATTGCCGGTATCAAGCTTGCATTGCATTTTCAATGCTTTCTCGAATTGTCCTCGTCTTATGAGCCACGTCGGACTTTCAGGCAGTACCCAAGAGAGAATGAAAGGCACCGCTGAAAATGGCCACTGTGATGCGAAGCATATTCTGTATGACTCTGCCCCGGAATGTTTAAGCGAGGTATACACCACGATTGATCCTATCAGCTGGCCCAGAAGGGTGAAGATGGGTAGAAAGGCGATGATTGGTCCCCGGAGTACGACAGGGAGAACTTCCGACATGTATGTCTGAATCATGCATAGCAGCATCCCGATGGTGACTCCTTGCAGTAACTTTCCGGTGAGGAAAAGACCTCTTCGAGAGTTGATGGCCGGGTGGAGATCACAAAGGTAAATCACAATTCCCGCAACAGCTGAGAGGAAAGATCCTGTTGCTAGCGATAGTCTGCGCCCACCTCTATCCTGATAGTACCCTCCGATAATTGCCCCGACCATCATTCCAATCGGACTTGCTGCGTTCCAGAGTGAAAGCCATTCGGAGGGAATAATATACTTGCCGTTCAGCTCGACACCGAAACGATGCCTAGTAAGAATCATCAGTACCTAGGTATACACAGGAACTTTGGGATGGCAGGGAACGTACTGAAAGGCTGGCATGGAAGAAACATTCGCCACAATAACCAAGTCATATCCGTAAAGCAGGATCGCAGAGCTCAGAGCCAGATTGTATCCTACCACCTTGGGCCATTTCTTCAGGGAGTGCCACAGCGGGACGTATCCCTGACCAGATGTGTTGGTATCGGAAGAAGATACATCTTCGATAAACTCCTCGGGTTTCTTATCTGTGGGCTCTTGCATGATTATTTGATCATACGGGATAAGTTGAAGACAATGTAGCGGCGATCCGGACTTGAATTATAATCGAATTCCGCCCGCACAGACAGCTTGAAGGAGGGGTGAGAAACGCACCGCGGCACCATCTCTTTTGTTGGCGTTGCATGAGCTTGGACATGATGCAAGTAACTTTCTAAGCGAGCTCTCGGACGGGAGAAAATATACTCTGCCAAGAAGAATCATGTATGAAGAATAAGCTGCTGATTTATTCGCTCTGGGGAGCTCTGCTGCCGACGCCGCCAATCAGGGTTTGGGATGGGCTTCCCCGCACTTCTGCCAAGTGAGTTCACAGGCCCTGATACGTGTTAGATACGCCCTAAAATATGGCAAATGTCAGGTTTGCGGGGGTTTGTCAGAAATAGGATGTATCTGCGGTTTGGGAGGCGGCACTGCATATTATTGCTATAATGTCCAACGTCAGCTGATCAACCACCTGCATACTATACTAAATCGACATTTGTCATTTAAAGGAGCATATTCTTATTTTAGAACTGAGTTTGATGGGCTATATGTAATACTCTGCTACCTTTTATTTCCATCGCCGGCACATGCTCGGTACTAGTAGCCGGTGCTGGCCGTTCAGTGATGAGCTTCATCCTGTGCCAATGGCGCGATCTCCACCATGGATCGTGCCTCTCTCATCCTTTCCAACTTAGCCAAATGTTTTCTGCTATTGCTTATCTCTTCCTCTAGCTCACTGGCCGATGCAATTCGATATTTCAAGGCCAGTATTCCGGCCGAGATCATGAGCAAGGCGATGCCGACCAGGTACGACCACTGCCCAACCTGCTGCGCCGATTCTTGGTTTGACCCTTGCGGTCCATCGTTACTAATCCACCACTCTATCCAGACAATGAAGGCAACGGTCGTAAGGGGACTGATTATCATGCTGAACACCAACCCGAAGAGAATCAGACCGTCAAAGAGGACGCGGGATGAAGCTTTCATGACGCGAATAGTTAAGGTCGGCCTTACTTTCGTCCAGATTGAAGGTGCTTTCACAGCTGAGGCCTCCATTCCTTTCTCAAGGGACAGTTCACTCCTTGATTTTGACAGTGCATCTCGAATGTCGCCCTTGAAACTGCTCCATATTGTCTTGCGTTCGCGCCAGATGACAATAATCTGAGCAGACGGGATATTCGAGCGATATGGTAGGAATTTGAACAAGAGATGAACAAAGTTGAGGATAACGGATAGGCCGACTAAGCTGTAGATGTATCGTTTTGAATAGATGACCCTGTTAATAAATTTGGCCGGATGGTCGAGCTCTGAATCTCTAGTCGCGACCCAAGACTGCAAACTGGTAGGTTGCCGCAAAATCTGACTCGAGTTGAAACAGGGATTGAAGCAGAGGTCTCCGAGCTCATTCCATCGAGATATGTTCGAGAAGGTTTCCCATACGCTCTCATTCCAAGATGAAGTTCGCCAGGATGCCTGCCAACCATCGCTAGAGGTTTCATCGAATGGCGGAAGATCGGGATAGCAAAACATGTATTGGGTGGGAGTTTTGGACTTTTGTTTCGAATACACCAGTGCGCAAATGCCACCCGCCAGCATGAGAAGATTCCATAGGCAAAACAGGAGAGTGCGGGCTCTTTCATGGCCTGAAAAATATCGTGACCAACACATCAGAGGCAAGAAGACGAGGTAGCCCGTAACAACGATAGCAAGAACCGCATCGCCATCAAGCTCAATTGCGCCCGGGGATATCGACAAAATGTTCGTGTCAGTCACTAGCTGAGGAAAGCTGTTTTCAAGCGTCGTGTTTTGTGCGACATATGGAATTGCCACGTCGGAAAGCTCTTGAAACCTTTGCGGGGTCGACACCAGAATGAATGCTTGGATAGAGGCAGTTCCTGCGTATGTCGCCGCGGCTCCCAAAAATACATCGCTAAGCCATCCAGTCCATCGCGTGACGATCGAGACCGCGAGAAGGGCGTAGAATAGATACCGCGGACATGAATCATAGATAGTGCTGATTGGGTAGAAGCACACGGCCTCTTGGGCCACGAATAAGGGGCTGCTGGTGTTCATCTGGAGATCTGCATGATAGTGAGTATCTTGCCAGTGCGGTAGAAATACCAAGTGATGATTTTGAAGGTTTCGCTTGATTCCAGGCACTTGAATTTCTAACTTTTCGCCTGCCATGGCGGTCTATAATTGCTGCCTCAGACATTGTGGGGACGCGACCATGTGTCGACGTCATATACTCCCCGCTGCCGCTTTGGGCGTAGCAATACATTCACATAATCAATAAACCACTACAGGTGGTAGATGATTAATATTGGAATATACATTCGCATACAACATAGCAGATTCTGAGCAGTCCCCAAGGGCTAGTGCAGAAAACTTTCACGGAAGCCTCAGGCTTCAACTTGAAAGTTTTAATCTTTTTAACTTTTAACATCATGCTCTAACGGCTGCATAGACCTATTCTAGTGCGACAACTTTTGAGAAACGTTGTTCAATGTCAATATTCTACTGGTAGGCCGTAGTCCCGATTTCAAAGGGTCATTGCCATGTTCAAATAGCCACCTAAATATAATAATCTTTGCGTAAGAATCGTGAAGTCTATTTTCAATTGGGGAATATAGAAATTAGTATCTGCGTAAATGACAGATCGTTTTATAGAGGTCATGCTAGAACATCAATCACTAGAGCACGGTCGCACCTAGCAGCTCGCTTTTGTGGTATGGAATATTGTCGCCCGGAGACAAGCTCAGGACGCTGCAAGACTTTCTGTGAGCATCCCAGGTCCTAATTGCATAACCTCCGTCAAGCAGTACCAAGGTCCCCGCGGTCCATCCGGCTTGCTCCAGAAGGTTACGGAAAATGAAGGAGATTGTCCCTGCTGCACTTGAGAAGCGCCGGCCACACTGAAATCGTGAATGCAAACTCGCCTCGGAGGTGGGTGACCCTCCGCAAGAGCCGTCTCCGGAGACCAATCCTGATACAATTCTTCGAGCTCTTTCATCCGAGATGAGATTGAGTTGTAAGGTTTTGTACATTGAAGTAACTCGGGTTGAGCAATACGAGTTCGCAGATCGAGTCCATGGCGATCAGTATGTGACCAGGTCGACCTCCAAGCGATGGAATGCAAGGGGAAGGCCATTCCGAAATCTAAACTGAAGGCTTTCGACAAATCATCGGTAGATTGGGTGGCATCGGACGATAAATGAGATAGTCGTGTCATCACAGCTGATTCGTACTCAGAGCGGTTGATGTCCCAGTCCATGGCGACGGTTTCTCGTTGTTGTTGATAGGTGCCGATCTGGCAGTCAAAGCCGAAGGACATAATTCTTACGGTGTCGGCTGCTCGCTGCTCGCTTTCGTTCCATGTGTGCTCCTTGCAGCGAACAAAATCGTCGAATTTGGAGTTCCACTGCTCCCTATCATATGCCACAAGCTCGTGGAGGATAGATAGTTGCGTGTCGGAGGGGCCGTGCTGCTTTGAAAATAAATCGTATTGTTGGAAATGCAAGGTTGCAGACGCAATTAAGTCAAGAAGAGTGGCCCTGGCTTCCTCGATCGAGTAGAACTTTTCGGGTAGAATAATGTTTCCCTCGTCGTCGACTGGGTTTAGAAATAAGGTGGTGTGTGTGTCTGCGTCCCATTGTAAAGAATTGATGTTGAAGAGTGAAAGGAGTGGCCCAATCTCCGTTTCCATGAAGTTGGCCTCTTTTGAATCGTATTGCTGGCCCCATGGCCGGCTTAATTGTTTGCGACTATTTTGACGCCAGCAGTTTAAAAGGTTGATCCCGCTTCTGATATGCGCTGCAGCGGCTTCGAGGTTCCCCTGGAAGTATTCGAAGCATATGAAGAGTATATTCACGATCGCAACTATTTGGGCATTATGAGGATCTGTCGCGAGCTTTTCTATCAGCGACCGGATGGCCTTATTATATAATTTGATTGGCAGCCCCGGTATTAAGGCATTTCGACGTGAAGATTGGAGATTATCTGCCGTGGAATGTTCATGGAGACAGCCGAGGGCCGCGATTGCTTGACGAATGGCAGGCTCGCTGAGACTGAGTTGCAGAACACTACCCTGGAAGAAGGTTTGTTGAAAGTTGCCGGCAAGCTGTGGAGCCGTTCGCAGAAAGAATAGCTCCAAGGCTTTCGCAGTGGTTGAATCGACCTCTGGAGATGGGGCAAGGGTGCGTGGTAGCGGTACAATGACGACAGAGCATGATTTAGGCGTACCATACGCGCAGGTCCGCCCGCCGAGCAGGCATCTATGTCCATCAGCCGGGGAGATTCTAATTTTGGCCCATGGAAGAAGCGAATGGAACAGGCAATACCAGGCCGTCTAGTCTAGACTCGACCTTCACTGTCAGGAGAGAAGAGGGCCATACCGGGCGCACACGGGCTTCTCCTCGTCACATTTAACGTGACGAGCCCTGCGGAAGATTCAGCGGCAAGTTGGGTGTTATGTTGGAAGGAATGACGGACTTGCACGTAAGGCAGCCAGAACGCACTTTTGGTCTGCTCGCACGCTGTCGGGACATCGGATTGGGTTGAATCATGACTCGCGAGGGTCTTTCATTGTTGAAGAGCAACGCCCAACGCGGGGGAAAGAGGCTTGGCTGATCAGTCAGCGTGGAATGGAGCACCGCCTCCAAATGTAGTATGTTTCGTCGAAAGAGGTGCTCAAATTGTTTTCTTTATGGGCAGAAGATTGCCATCTTTGTGGGCCGGAGATCTTTAAATATGAAGATGCTAAAATGAATCTGCCCAGACAGTTCTATTTGCATGCTCAGGTGTCTGAGGGGTACGCCTACCGTAGATCAGAAGCCCTGGGGCGGCTTAAGCCTCATGGGTGAATTGCGATTGGATTGGCGAGACTGATGAGGCTGTGTCGTATGGCCCCCACCTGAAGAAACCAGCCCCTGCGGTCCCCCACAATGCAACGATCTGCAGCTTTGTTGGCCGGCATCCGACCCCCACGAAGCTGCTGCCAATGCAGTCCGAATTTTTATTTCTGTCACACTCCCTGGCATTATTATTCATTGGCTGTGAGAAGCAATACGTTGAGCCCAGGAGCGAAATCATTATTGCCCGATGTGCGCGCCATGTCATTTGGACGGGGTGGAAATGATGGAATTTCGTGCGAGTATGGCATGTTGACGAAATATTTTGAACGATTCATCATGGGCAACAAAACCCACCCGATTCCGTTTACTAAATCTACCCAAGTAGCAAACAGAACTTAAAAGCCTAGCTACTCCCCGGGTAGGGGTGATTATAAGGCGGAGTGCGGCATTAGGCCTAGCTATCGTGTTGGGCGTCAAGTACAAAGTACTATCGAGGACAGTATAAACCGGACCACCGACGAGCGATGGCGTAATACATACTACGATGGAATTGGACAGGGTATCTCTTCATGAAGACTTCGATTCTGAACTTTTGTGCCTTGCATAAAACTCAATAACGTCATGGATAATTCCAGCAGATCGTCGCTCTTACAAATCAAAGTGGGGAGCTTTTGGGATAAAGAAGCGGTGGAAGCTTCATTTCACCATCCCCACAAACAGACCATCTCAATTCAGCACCATGAAGGAAGCCGTGATCGACAAAAACACCGGGGTGACAATTCGCGATGTTGACATCCCTGTTCCCAAGCCCGACCAGGTCTTGATCAAGGTGATCGTTTCGGGAACCAATCCGAAGGATTGGAAATTACCAGTCTGGCTATCGGACTCTCCGGCTGCCAACCAGGGAGATGATATTGCCGGCTTTGTTGAGGCTGTCGGAGAGGGCGTCTCCAAGTTCAAAAAAGGAGACAGAGTGGCCGCTTTCCATGAGATGATGACCCCCGCCGGAAGCTATGCAGAATATGCGATCGCTTGGGAGCACACAACCTTCCATATCCCGGAGAAAACCAGCTTTGAAGGTATGAACTTCTTGAATGATCGTACCTGGATGATAATTAACATAAACAGAGGCTGCGTCTATCCCCCTTGCTGCAATGACATCCGCCCTGGGATTGTTTCAAAGATTGAGTTTGCCTGTTCCGTGGCACCCCGCGACTGAGCCACTGCCCCTGGTTGTGTATGGAGGTGCCTCGGCAGTTGGGGCCTTTGCAATTAAACTGGCTCGTCTCTCAAATATCCATCCGATCATCGCTGTGGCCGGCAAAGGCGCACCATTCGTGGAAACTCTCATCGACAGGTCCAAGGGAGACACCATCATCGATTACCGGGAAGGTGACAGCGCCGTTCGGGAGAAAATCCGAAGTTCTGCCGGTGGTCTGCCAATCCATCATGCCTTCGATGCGGTCTCCGAGAAGGGGTCATATCAGAACCTGGGCGACGCACTCACAGTGCCGGCAAAGATCACGGTCGTTTTACCCGGTAAAGACTATAGTGATATTCCAAAGGGAGTCGAGGTCATAACCACAAATGTTGGATCGGTTCACCAGTCTGCAGCGTCAGGGCAGACAGTGGGAGACATCGAGTTCGGTGCTGCATTTTTCGCTCTTTTCGGAAGAGGCTTGGGACAGGGATGGTTTACGGGGCATCCCTACGAGGTCCGACCCGGTGGCTTGACTGGTCTCGAAGGCGCATTGGGAGACTTGCGGGAGGGAAAAGCTTCTGCAGTCAAATACGTAGTCCGTATCGCCGACACGCCGGGTCTGTAGAGAGTTGTATGGAGTGTTGACATTTGAGTTCGGCGGAACACCGTCGGAAATGCGTCAGATGGCAATAGTCTGACTGCAGGAACGGATTGACCGTTGGAACTAAGCTTCTGCAGGTTAGTTTGAAGGAAAATCAATATAAATAAATAAACAAGAACTTGAAGAAAACGAAATAGGAAATCAAAATAAATGAAAATGTTCGGCAGGAAGCAGAATTGGGGAAATGTCTCCGGGAAATACAACTATGGATCAATCGGAACGATGCCATTATTCATCTGTGTATAGTGAAATGCCACTTTAATTTACAGCTACGAACCACTCGGATAGGAGATTCTCGCACGTGGAAGACACGGTGGGAAAATCGTCCGACGTCCGAAATCTTATCGCATTAGCGAGGGGGCTAGCAGATCACGCAGTGGGGTTCGTCCCAAAAAGATCGGGTCACCCGCTTTGCCAGTGTATAATGTTGCATATCCCGAGCTCAGTGCGCGTCGATCGGCATGCTGCTAAATTCTCGCGAACGGCGTGGGTTTCCTATTCGGCATGATTGGGCTGGGTGATCGGCGCCTACGCGGGAAGCTGAGAAGACGCGCCCAAGAATATAAATCCTCCGATCGGCATGCCTGTCATGTCTTCTGTCAGGAACAAAATTTGTCGACCAATCCTGTTGTCGTGATTACTCGCAAACATGGTTGGGTTTGCTACGATTGTCAAGGCATTGCCCCTCGTGGCAGCCGGCACCCTTGCCAGCGTTACCTATCCCCCCCATTCCTGCGGATCTCACCACCCCTGTTCAGCAACGTCTTGCTGTGTATGGTCCCAATTGTGAGTGCTCCCCAAAGTACCCGGGAGTTACAAGTGGAATGAAGTCTAACGGCCGTCTAGCTGTCTCTGTCGGATGGAATACATACGAGCAGCTGAATCAGAGCTGCGTGCTCTATGGCACATCCGCGGACAATTTGTCTCAAAAGTCGTGCTCGACGAAGTCGACGACTTACACGACATCGAGGACTTGGTCCAATGCCGCGATCCTCAGTGGCCTAACGCCGGCAACGACGTACTATTACAAGATTGTATCTACTAACTCCACCGTCGATCACTTCCTCAGCCCGCGCACACCTGGCGATAAGACAGCTTTCACCATGAACGTGGTTATTGACTTGGGTGTCTACGGCAAAGATGGATTCACCGTCAGCAAGAAGAAGGACACAATCCCCGTCGTTCTACCTGAACTTAACCACACCACGATCGGCCGTCTGGCACAGACTGTTGACGACTACGAGATTGTCATTCACCCCGGTGATTTTGGCTACTCGGACGACTGGTATCTGAAGTTCAAGAATATCCTGCAAGGTAAGGAAGCATACCAGGCAATCCTGGAGCAGTTCTACGACCAACTCGCACCCATTGCTGGTCGCAAGCTGTACATGGCTAGTCCCGGAAACCACGAAGCCGACTGTTCGGAGATCCCATACCTTTTGGAGCTTTGCCCCGAGGGCCAGAAGAACTTCACAGACTTCATGCACCGTTTCGAAAATACGATGCCCGTAGCTTTCGCCTCGTCCTCATCCAACACAACAGCCCAGCAATTGGCGTCCAAGGCGCAGAGTCTATCGAACCCCCCCATTCTGGTACTCCTTCGATTATGGATCTGCGCACGTTGTTATGATTGATACTGAAACCGACTTCCCCAACGCTCCCGACGGGACTGATGGTTCGGCAAAGCTCGACAGTGGCCCCTTCGGGAAGTCCGGACAGCAGCTTGAATTCCTGAAGGCTGATCTCGCCAGCGTCGATCGCACCGTTACCCCATGGGTCGTCGTCGCAGGACACCGCCCGTGGTACTCCACCGGCTCTGGAAACACATGCGATTCATGCCAGGAGGCATTCGAGAGTATCTTCTACCAGTATGGCGTTGACTTGGGTGTCTTCGGTCACGTTCACAATTCCCAGCGCTTCCTCCCGGTCGTCAACGGAACCGCGGATCCGAACGGAATGAAGAACCCCAAGGCTCCCATGTACATTGTCGCTGGTGGTGCTGGAAATATTGAGGGTCTGAGCAGCGTTGGAACTAAGCCGTCTTACACCGAGTTTGCCTATGCGGATGCTTACAGCTATGCTTCCATCACCTTTGTCGATGAGCAGAACTTGAAGGTTGATTTCATCAGCTCTTCTACCGGCGCTGTTTTGGATTCGAGCACGCTGTACAAGGAGCACAATGTTCAATTTGTGCAGCAGTAGATATATACCAACTTTGGAACGCCCCGATGATACCAGATGTCCATCGAGATAGATTAGGTTATGGCGGTATGAAAATCAATTTCCTTATATACTTTTATTTCCGAGAAGATATGTAATTTACGTCCAATACTAGTACATAACTAGAATCGATTATGTTCCCTTCCAAGGTTGTTTCTAATCCTTGTTTATCTAAACAAATGAGTTAAATGTGACCTCCAGGGGGTTGGTATCGGTAGTACTTCTCTATTCCAAAGTCAAAAGTTATTAGTAGTAGTAATATAAAAGTATAAATACCAACTGCGGACATAAATGTAGTCAATGCCCTATTGGGAAGGTGTGTTTTGAGTGAATGAACGACTCAAGCGACTTCCCCAGACTCGACTTTCTTTCCTTCTTTTTCCCCCAAGTCCACCCGAATCCCCCGAATTGTCAAGACCTTCGACCTCACAGATTCCCCAGAATCTGGATTCCGTTTGCCTTCCGCCTAATCATGTCGTTTGACCGCCACAAGAAGGCCACCGCACAACTTGTAAGTGTTGCCACCTCGGTGCCTGATCTACCCTCGGCCTTAGCCACCCGGGCTTTATCACTCTATGGGTGAATGCGAATGGCACGATATGCATCCTGTCTATCCCATCCTTCTCTGCCCATACTCCCACTTCTCCTTTACTTCTCAAAGACCACACATTTCACTGCTTCATTCTCGGACCCTGAAGATCGGAAAAGATCAATCTAACAGCCGATCAGGTTGCTATGCTTGCATCTCCTCCGAGTATCTCTTCTCCTCCATGGCATGCAAATAGCTAATTCACTTTCTCCCTCGCCTTCTGGCGGTAAGTGAACATCGCCCTCCCCGTCATACTCAGAGCACCCGTTTCCATTCCTCACGCCATGGAAGACTAAGTTTTTATGCAGCGTGCCATGGTCAAATGCCTGTCAATCGAACTCCGATCCGACAATGCCAACCTCGAGGATATTGAGATTGTGGCGAAGAAAGCACTGAAGAAGGCTGTCCAGCTCGCAGAGAAACTTGCCGCTGCCGCCGACGAAGATACCTCCCCGATTATCGAGGAGTGCCAGGAGGAAACAGAGGAATCGATCAATGCCTTGAAGACCATCATGAAATCGTGTCAGGATCGAAAATAACAAAGGTCGGGAGGGTTAGTCTCGGAAAATTCAAGACGTCGATGGACAAGTCCTCTTCATCTTGTCAAGACATGCCCTCGCCAAGGACCGAAAGCTGGCTGAAGCGCTCTCCATGGCGTCGGCTACCATAGACTCGTCAGAGATGTCCCAAGACCAAAACGTGTCCCAAGAAGAGATGTAGATGTTGATTGAGAGACTAGAGGTCATTGTGCAGATGTGTCTGGATGGAGAATTGCGGCAGTGCATAATCATTTTCATCGTCTTTAAGTTTCTTTCGCGGCCAATGCTGACTTTGGCCTAGACGGCTATGCTGCTTCTTTCCGTGTACCCTCCGCACCAATAGCATTATGGTAGGGAATTGATGTGCCTTCATATTTTCATGACTACACTCATACTATTGCTAGACCAGAGACCCCGGAGTTCCTTCTTTACTTCATTACAATCAACGTCAAACGATATCATCAAATCCAGATCTAGTTTGAAGGATGGATCGTGCTGCTTACGCGGAAATAGCCAGAGAAATGGTGAGTTACTGATCCACTTTGATGCGACTCACTACCGCTGCCTACATAGAGCTAACAGAATTTCAAGTCAACAGGTGATAATCTGCTGACCAAGGAACTGGAGCACGTTGATGCTCTTCTCGCCCGAATCTAGAAAAAGGCTAATATACTCGCGATGGAGGGTATTGCAATGCTGGAGGAGCTGGACACGGACATGAAAGCCCCGGAACGCGATCCGACTGTCCGGGGAGAATTTCACAGCAATATCCAACGCCCTGTCAAGCTTCGGAGGTCTGTTTTCCCCACGAGCGAGGTCACGTATTGGTGGCAGCGAAGCACGTCCAATTTCAAAGCTAATTTTCTCAAGTCTAATAGATATGCCACATAGGTACACGAGGCATCTGGGCAACGGGACATAAATTCCCTTGACAGCGGGGGACGGACCTTTTCCTGGTTACAGATCTACATTTTTAGGCTTCCCCATAGTGTGAGGTTTGACGGGGATGGTTTTTGTTTCCATTTACAGATGCCATTCCATTTGCACATCGTCCAACTTTCGAAACAGTCTTGAAGAGCTTCCAATATCAAAGAGGTGGATTGCCATGGTGGAGCTACGGCCGAGCGGGTTGCCCTTGCCTAGGGATTGGCTACAAGTTACTCTTTCCAATATCCAACTCACACCAGAAATTTCAGGCAACCGCCCAGATGCACCTTCCTCCAGGAGAAGAGGTCTACTTTACAAACACAACCGTGGAACTTGAACTTGAACTCTCATCGAATCTGCCCAGGACAAGTTCCAAAGCTGGCAAGGTTTCCTTCCAGTTATCCCTTCCTCCCGACGACTTTCCATCCAGCATCTGTTCGTCTACCGAAAGATATCCACCATATCGTATCCATTCGCAACAGAGCCGCGATGAGTTCCTCCAGCACGTTGTCAGACCACGGTCGTCTGCGCGATTCGCAGATGACTTTTTACGATCGTTGTATCACGGGCATTGCGAGAGGGGCCATGGAAAGATCAATTGATTTTGTAAGTCACACCATACATGCCTCTAGCTCATTTTGTGGGCCACTGGGACAGTCCCTAATAAGCTATTTAGATCCAATCCATGCAGGATATGGGTGAAGACGTCGCAGTCACCAATCAGGAACAACAGGAGTGGTTTCAGGACCTGCAACTCTTCGAGCGTGTTGCAAATGACAAGCTGGACTTTTTTGGCGAGGCTTGAGGCTCAAGTCGTGTTTCTCCTCGCCATCATCCGACAGCTAGGTGATATCATTAGGGAAAAATAAGGCCCGTCTTCTAAACCTTGCAGATGAATCACAACCGGGATGGCGATACATGAACTGGTCTCGAAGTTAGCACGGTTAGTGCCAATAGACTTCTGATTTTGCCCGTTTTTTTCTTGCTGCCGTTTTCGTACTCATCTTTATCCTTTTTCTTTTTGATCTTTCTTCTCCTCTTACTTTTCTTTTCATTTTGCTTTTCTGGCATTTAAGCGGGGTTAGCAATCAGTGGTCTCTTCTTTGATTCTCCATTTCCATCCTCATGTACCAGTTTGGATCTATTTTGCAAATATAGTGGCACTCCCGTTGAACCTTTCTTCTCTACTCCCGTCCACCCCTCTCAATCCTCCAGTAATCGCCAACAAAACCTCAGTGACAATCAACCATCCGTTCCAGCAACTATCATTCGATCAGCCGTCAGTTACGGATCATGGAATCTGAGAAACGATCCTGAAAGAGGTCTACAACGCAACAGGTCAAGATGTAGTAAACCCTTGACGTGATTGAACAGGCCCACGGTCCAGCCAATTGGGTTGAGAAATCCAGAGCGATCTCGACCTCCAGAAGGGGACGCTCCAGTGTGTGGCACTGATTGTCAAGGGTGATATCTGGAGGCGGAAAAAGTGATTCGTGGTCTACTGGGTCGCCCAGTACCATCATCTCCTACAGAGCGATGACCGCCGCTTTTATTTTGCTTTTACGATAACGCAACTCCAGGCGTGCTATTTGTCCCCTCCTTTCCTATTCTCGTATTACACGGACACATCTCGGGCTGGTCAAGTCTAGCATGAGAGTAATCCCCGGCAAAGAACCATGGTGCAGCCAAGTCAGACAATGGGATATCTACTATCAGTTATCGGAGCAGGGATTTTTCGGCAAGATAACGAGTATATGAAGAAGGATCCTGGAGTTGGCAGCACGATTCAGCTCTGATTTTCTTCATCTAGGAAAGCTAGTTCAAACTTCATATTTGCGTCTTCATTTTTTTAAAGGTGCTTCGCTTTAGGCACGTACTAGGAACTTAGCAGAGTCTAGTTTCGGCGATAGGACTGACAAGCTTCATAGACTCAGCGATGCGCTGAATTCGACAGCCTGCATTGAAGTGTATGGCATTTCCCCTCAAGCCGAAAATTACCATCTTGTTTTTGACTAATTGTACCCTCTCCGGAAGTTCCATCGCGCTACAGTTGAGCGTGTGAGGTTATAGGGTACTATCTTAGCCCACAAAGAAAAATTCCCATTGAAGCACGATTGCTCACCTGGACATGTGAATGAAATAGTACCGTTTGGAAATATAAGTAGCCTTTGTCCAACAAACCTTGGAACCAAACTTGCCTTTCACACACTCCATCGCCGACCTCGCCACCAAATAGCACATGGGCGCACATATCTGAACAGTACCTTCTCGCCATGAGCGAAACTTTCGTCACATGCGCTGAGATCACCGCTCAGATGGTAAGTTCAAAGTTTGCACTTTCACTAGCTAGCTTCCTTACACTGGCATGAATGTGATGAACCATCGCACTCTAGGCCCGGTTCATAAACGTCCTTAACTCAGCGTCCCTTCTCCCTCCCGAGTCCCGAGGTGCATTTGAGTCTCTTGCCTTGGTCATATCGGCAAGAGCTTCGCAACATCTTGAAAATATGTGTCAGATGGCCCATGTCCCTCGGGGAATTATCATGTCTTTCGAGAGCATCACGAAGCAGTTCAATGAGACTATTTTCCAACAAGCCAACACTGGTGCAAGGGATTTAGAACATTCGACTTCTGTGCAGGCGCAGGATGTTAATATCGATGCATATGGAAAAGCGCCGTGCGAAGACCGTTGATACCAGCTTGGAGGTTATTGATCAAATCCAGATTGTGGGGGATATCATTTGAAGAGGAATGGAGTATGCCTTGGAACTGTTCGGATTGACATGTCCATCCTGTTCTCCATAGCCATTGGATTGATCAATGAGAATAGCAATATAGCCATGCCTCCAGATTCCCAAGTCATATACTAGTATTTCCTCTTGAAGTTTCCAGTGCATCTCTCTCTTTCGCCACTATCGCAAGGGGTGGTTATCATAACCAATAGCTTTCTCCACAACAACTCGGAAGTATAACCACACCTATGCACAACCTTCATGAATAGACCACTCTCTACTCTGCTCTACTCTACTCATTTTAATGACCAATATGACAGCCTACGTAACTCAATTTTTCTGACCGCTGAGAACATCGGTACTCAATCGACATCCGACGATCCTTCTGCATTTCAGATGTCAGATGAGATCGCAGATCCAAATCGGGACTCCTCGATCGGCATGACATCACCCAATGCGAAGCTCGTTTTTTATATCCCACGCGACGCGTTTTCGCGACAACCTCTCTAACCTCCTCTACTCCAAAGCCAACACCCAATCCAACTTTAACTCACCATGTCCAAAAGAACCCTAGACGCCTTCTTCAAACCACCCCCCCAAACGAACCAAACCCGACACCAACGATGACCTCGAAAACACCACCCCCCAATCACCAGACACACACCCAACCTACCCTCACCCAATCTCCAAATTACCAGCACACCTCGAAAAAGCCATCCAAGAAACCGGCACCGCATCTAAACCCAACCCGGAGACAAAAGACCAACTCAAAGGCAAACCCATGAACAACCAGCCCGACCTAGACTGCATATATTTCCAACCCTTCCTCCCACGCCGAACGGCCGATGAAATATTCCGCATCCTGAGAGCCGAATTACCCTTCTACCGGGTCGTATATTTCGCCAAGAGAGGCGGTACAGACGTTGAAATCAAAACGCCCCGATTTACGACTGTTTTCGGCGTCGACGAGGGGTGTTTTTTCGAGGATATCAATAAGTTGGATACACCCGCAGAGACACCAGGAAACACCACCATCTCCAACATGAAAGTGGGAGAGAATCAAGAATACAAAACCTCTCCCCTCACCCTGCGCAAAAAGTCCACAGTGACAAACCCATCAACAACAATCCCCAACTACACCCGCCCACCCCGCCCAATCCCAACCCTACTACACACCCTAAAAACCGCCGTCGAGACCGCAACCAATCAGTCCTACAACTTCGTTTTGGTCAATTACTACGCTTCCGGCGAAGATAGTATTGCCTTCCACTCTGACGATGAGCGTTTTCTTGGCTTTGAGCCGGCTATTGCGTCTTTGTCGCTTGGGGCGCAGAGGGAATTTTGTCTTAAGCATAAACCCTCGCCCTCGCCCTCGCCCTCGGGTAAGCCTGGCGGTAGTGGAAGTGGGGGTGTGATTAAATTAGCGCTGGGGTCGGGGGATATGGTTCTTATGCGTGGGTCTACGCAGGCGAATTGGTTGCATGGTGTTCCTAAGCGAACTGGGAGGGGTGGAGTGGGACCTGGGGGGAGGATTAATGTTACGTTTCGGAGGGCGGTTGTGCCTGCTGGGACGGATAATTATTATCATTATAATGTTGGGGATCGGGGGGTTTGGAGGTGGGATGAGATTCGGAGGGAGATGGTTGAGGTGAAGGGTGAGAGGGAGAGAGACTTGAAGGGTAAACTTGAAGGGGAGGTGTAGAGTGGATATTCTAAGATTAATTAGTGGTTGGACCGTTTTATGTCTCTGGTTTAGCTGCACGAGGTGGCTGAGACATTGTCTAAGTACGGAGTACTCCGCTACTATTTGACTACTAGTTAGCTAGCTGGCATTGGCATTGGCATTGCATTGCACTGCACTTGGACTACGTTAGCGATGATACATCACGAACCCAAACATCAATTCATTTACAGCAACACCCTCAATATGCGAGCTATGGCCCACCAACTCCATGTACAAACAAATATAGCAAAGGATAAAATAGTCACATCGCGTCGAGTCGGTCGAGACGAGACGAGACGAGACGAATCGAATCGAACTGACAGACTCCACTCGGGAAGAATCGAAGAGAATAGTCATGCGGTGATCGTGACGGTCGCGGCCACCTCCCGCGAGAAGAAGGAAAATGGTTGAATACAAAGTAGTGAATACAAAAAGGGCGGGGGTGGGTGACGCTGCGGCGCGGAATAGACTCGGGCGAGGTCTCGTCGGTCTCATCGGTCTCAGCCCGGTCTCAGCTGAGTCTCAGTCTATAACCACGGCTAAGGGGCCATGATGACTTCTTCGCCATAGACGTCTTTGTAGCACTCGAAGGTGTCGGGGCAGCTGAAGAGCAGATTAGCAAGAGATTCACGGGAAAAGACAGGAGGGGAGGCCTCGAGAGAAGGGCAACTCACAAAATAGGCTCCTTGCCGAAAATAATGTGCCAAGAATACTCCATAATGTTGGAAGTCACCTCATCGGGCAAGTCGTTATTCAACACCCAGTCCAGCATGCGCTTGTAATCGCTGCGAGAACGCTGCAGCACCTGGTCGCGGGAAACTGCAAACTGCGAACAGCAGGGCGCGCCGATTTGCTTCGGGACATTGCTGTTGCCGAACAGTTCCTTCCAGGCGGCGGCGTAGTGTTTCTCGCCTGTATTACCGGGCTTCGCCGGTTGGCGGAAAGGTTGCATTTCAGCTGGGCATCCGGGGGAAAGTTGGCAGCGCAGACTGACGTATCCCTCGGACAGAACCCATTCGCGTTGTAGCGCCCGCACCGAGTCCACGTTGCTGTAATCCATGGTGTCGGTGTGCCAGGCGGCGGGCCAGCCGTCGCGGTGCGGGTGAAGGAAGACCATGATGGGTGGGAGGTCGTTGTAATGGTCGACGATATATTGGAGGTAGGGCTGGGCTTCGCGGCCTTTGTTGGAGCGAGTGTGGATGGGGGCGTTGACGTCGTCGACGGTATAGATGAAGTTGCGCCATCTAATTAGGCTGGTTAGCAGTGCAGTGCAGGTGGGAAGGGGGAAGCCCCCAGCAGCCCCAGAAGGGGCTGGGAATTGATTCAATTCGTCGGGATGAAACAATTCAGGAGTTGAAGGGTGATTGTTGACGGATTCACTTACTCGGCCAATTCGGCGGACACCCAGGCGGTGTCCTCGTCGCGCAGCTTGCCCATTACGATGATACCCTCATTGGGGACCTCGATAGGAGTGCTTTGGTAGGTCACGCCATTGGTGCGATCAGTGCCAATTCCCCATTTGCGACGAGCGGCGGTGGAGGTCTGAGTGTGTGGGCGCAAGGCGGAGCGGAATGAAGTGGTGTCAAAATGCCAGAAGGAGGCGGGACTGGTCGAGGGGTGATAGCGCTTGTTGAGGAGGACCAGGACGAAGAAGATGAGCACGGCGGCAGAACCGACACGAATTGCGAGCCTCATGGCATGCCGTGGCCAGACGGACTGGTGTGTGGTGGTGGAGGGGGGGGAGGTGGGTGAAGGAAAAAAAGAGAAACCTTGAGGAAGTTGGGAAGTTCCAGCGGAAGACCCCGTGAGCCACTAGTACCACTGCTAGGCTAGCACCACAGCACCATGGGAACTGAAAACACCTGGACTTAATCAAAGAGAAAATCCCACTGAAATCCAATCAAATCAGAACGAAATGAGAATTGAGGGTGGAGCGGGACAATCACCCGAAGTGGGCCTTGGCAGCACAGACAGTTCTACTATAGAGAATATCATGAGTATACTATACCACAGTAAACAAATAACAGTACTGGGATAGTATATACGGAGTAAAGTACAAAGTGCAAAGTATTTGTACTTATGCTCCGTACTCGTACTCTGCAATATAGGTATACTCCTATCGTACTACCAGACTCTTCTCGAATGTCTCAACCCCTGAGAAGTGGGCACTGTATTGACTTTGGCGCTTGGCGGATTGCGTGAGATTGGCAGATTGCAGTGGGGCGATCCTGCAAGGGTCTACACATACAACATCGAGTACGAAGTACTCGATGTGTACAGTGTAGTATATGACTATGGTATAGTATAGTATAATACTCCGTACTATACTATGCTACAGAGTAGTACTACAGAGTACCTATACTATATAGTATACTGGAATGTACAGTGGCCCATCTATACTAGTAGCAGGGTACACTCGGCCCGAGCATACGGCCGAACCAAGTAGTTAGTTACCAAGTACCAAGACTGCTAGTAGTACCAGCAAAATAACAAGTAACAACCTGGAAGGAGCAGACGTCTGGTACGGCCGATACTCTATATCTTTCTGCTACATGTGTAATAATAGATTAATAGAATAATAGAATTGTCTTCTCCGTTCTCGTATATCTGGTGGTGCTAGTGACAGGCTGACTAATACATTTACCGAATTCGATTGGTGGGCCTAATTCGGCACTTGTCCAGATCTTGCAGGCTGCAGCCTGAAGAATATTTACCGGGGTCTAAATCGGCAGACTCCTTCACCCGGGTCTATTTCTATTAGTATTGACTATATAGAAGATACCTAGCTAATCAATAATTAGTATATAGTTATAGCAGTCGCTGTCTAGTAAATAGTAGAATATTGCATGCCCAGGCGTAGTACTCGCCTATACTAGTTATATATGTAGTAAGGGCACGGTATGGATACCTACCTAGGTAGGTATAGTTACAAGGCAGGCACTTGACCAGGCAGAACGATCCAGTATTACATAATACCACCTGGGCACATGGGCATCCGGGTGACCGCATGCCATGTCTTCTTCTTCTTCTTCTTCTCTCATTATGGTTCAAGTTCATTCTCTTGTTCCCTCAGGCTTGTTGCCCATCACCAGCCTTGGAGCGCGCACTCTGCTGCAAGGACAATCCGGTGACCTCTGTTGATATGGTTCTATATATGACCTTTCTGAAGGTTAATCACCTTTCTGAAGGTTAATCTGCTACTCGACTTGACACGACTGAACGAATCAATATTCCCCATCGTTCCAAAGTTCCCTACCTTCCCCACCAGCGAGTACAATTACTCGGAAGTCGTGCAGGGATCATCAACATCGCCCTCTGTTCGTCTTCAACAGACCGGCCCTCTTCTTATGCCCAACTCCCAGAGTAAGGCGCCTCGGGAATCGACAACCCTACACATGAATATTGGATAGCCGGATATCATGCAACAGGAATGATTTCCTCTCGGGCAAGCCTACGAATTTCAAAGGGAAAGAAACGATGAGACTTGACCTACGTGGAGCATCATCAAAGCGGAAATTCTGGATATGCGGTTAGAATGAAAATTGAGTGGCAATGATGCAGTGAAGTCAATGCCTCTCTTCGAGTATGGCCTCGCCAACTGACGGGATCAACGAGTGCTGAAAACCGGTCTGGAAACCTGCTAAAATTGACCCTTGAATTCCACCCTTGCTCACAGTGGAGTGGAGGTCTAAGGGGGACAACCCAAAGCTCTCTAGGTTTGTTATCACATCTGCCAGTGCCTCATTCAGATCCATTCTGATATTGACTCCAGGGAACTAATCCTAAAGTGATCTCCGAGACGCTCTTGCTTTTTGCAATCGGAATACCACTATCAGAAAATTTGATATGGCTCAACGTCTTCATCCTTTCAAGTTCCTGCAATCTCTCGGATCTGTGGACACCTGCTGATGCACATACGGAGGAAGTTTCAGTATGTCTGTATCCATGCACTCTCTTTGCCAGCGACATTCATGGGTATGAACAAACTCACACTTGATTCGTCGACTGATTCATCAACCGAGCTCTTCTTACAAAGTGCCCCACTCACCCATCCCGAAGAAGGGGACGAAGGTTCAGCTTCTCAACAAGCCGCATCAGAAAGCCATCCAAAGACATCTCCGAAGACATGAAGTAACTGGGACTAGATAACTTTCGATTCCGACGAGAAAAACTCTGGCTCCAAGGTTGTCCTGAATGAAGGCTGGCGCACGACTTCTTGTTTTCAATATATCCTGGAGTCGTACCTTTTCACGGCGGCTGGGCATGTACCCGCGGTAATCGACTCGGAGAACTCTTGGGAATCTCAGGTCTTCGTATCGAACGTGGCACTAGACTCTAGAATTCCAAGTCAAGATCTTAGAGGAATCCCGCTAAATTTCCGATCAAAGAGATGCCCATGGGTGTGAAATTAAAGTTCAATCCCAACAGGAGAAAGAAGCCGGAGCATCGACTCCCGACAGGCAACTCAATAGGTTCCACGAGAGCAGAGAATATAACGATTAGATACAACTTGAACTGAATCGTTCAAATAGCGCGAAATAGATCTATCGACAGCGAAAACAATTATCGGTGAAGCCTAGGCGCCGCCTTGTATTCTTCCTAGATTACTACCCGGAAAGCGAAAGTCTCTAGATTACTACCACAACACAGATTTATCTCCAAGTTGAGAACTATCAAAAGCCACTGGTAGTTACTACATCATATGCCCAAATCTGTTAGAAACTTGATCTTTTGATTTTGTTGTGAGTTTACTTGTGTAGTATCATTGAAGTTATTACATTCATCCCTTCGTGTTTATGGCGGGAAGCGGATGTTCAGCTGTGGAATTCTTAGCAAAACACCTCCGGTATGCTTCACAACACAAGGAATTTTAACATGTATCCATGCCAGTGGATCCCTGCTCGCAAAATCTCGAACTTCCTACACACTCCTGCCTCTCGTTATCGCGTATAGCTGAAGCTCCTACACTTCAAAAATGGATATGAGTTTCCAAAGGGCTTCATGGAGCTCTTTACTCTTGATCGCCTTTGCTGTCCTCATTTCCTCGGTCGAATGCGCAAGGGATCCTCTCAAAACCCTCGCGAAACCAAATTATACATTTGATCAACTCTGGGAACTCGAAAAGTCCTTCTGGGATTCATTCCTCTACCCAGCCAACGTGAAACAAACAGAAGGAAACGCCTCATCAGTCTTCGCCACAGATGTACGCCGACCCCGGGTCTTTCAGCCAATATGCCCACTGACCGCAGATACTAACACCGAAATGCATGAATAGGTCCAAGGCCGCGTCGACATCACCCGCACCTTTGACGGCGACGAGTTAAACCGCGAATATATCTTCGGCCTCTTTTCGGACCCGGCACATGTCAGTCTCGTGGGCGTTCCGATCGCATATAATATCACGCAGTTCAGCGCGAACGACAACCTCGCGTCCGCAACAACGATTGTCACCTTCAACGCTACAACTTTCGGCATGCTTGTCCCTGTCACGATTGATACGTGGATCATGTGGGACGCAGAGGGCAAGATCACGCAATATGACGCTGTGTTCCGCCGATTCGAGTACCTGGTTGACTATTTGATTGGGAGTGTCGCGACTAAGATCAATGCTACTTCTTCAGAACAGGCGGTTGGGTATGTTTCGGATCTGTTGGCTAAGACTATCTGCGCTACGCATGAGGAGTATTGTACCGGGGCGAATGAGCAATATTCGGATTCGAAGGCTTGTTATGAGTTTTTGACTGGGGGGGTTCGGTTTGGGAAGAGTTATGAGCTTGGGAGGAATACGCTGCTTTGTCGGGAGGTTCATGAGCATATGGTGCAGTATCGGCCTGATGTCCATTGTGCTCATATTGGTCCCAATGGTGGTGGATACTGTGTGGATGATATGAGCTACACGGAAACTGTTTGGCAGGGTTATTTTAACAGTTCGTGGATTCCGTTTGGATTTGAGGGTAACTGAAAAGTATAATTGTCAAGGGAGAAGAAATTAATGGTTGCTGCTGCTACTTTGCTCTTATATCCCCTCTTGGAAGAATTAAAGTCGAACTTGAACTTGAAGCCGTGGGCCAATGACTCTATGTTGGTGCCTCGTTGCCTCAACTTGAAGGCCCGGGCCGCAGGGTTTAGCCCTGAGAAAAACAAAACAAACATCCCAAAAAATAAACTCCTTTGGGAAAATAGAAGAGGGAAAGGAGAGGGAATTTTTTGTTTCTCGTATCTTAAGACTTCTGAAATCCATTATGTACCTGGGTGTGGTAAACCGTATCTCCAATTCACTGTCGACTTTTATACCGATCCTCTAGTTGTGTGTTCCAAGGTTGACAAACATCGAAGTACTAAAGATAGTATTTGCAAAACTACCAACCAACCAGTCATTGTAATCTTCTTTGATCGAAATCTCCGCCATATGCCCCACCGTTCGTCCCCTGAATCTTACCGCATCGTGGAGTCCTCTTCGTATTCAAGATCGCCTTTTCGGCCCCCTTACCAGAGGAACCACAATTTTTCCGCTACGTGTGGCCTCTTGGAATTTATCGTTATTCTTCCCAACGCAATTTCTATCACTTGAAAACTGATACCGCTCACCAGGTGTTATCGAAGATGACTTTGTCTCAAGCCCCGCCATCCAAATGCATCCTCAGTAAAAACACTGCTGCTCCCGATGGCATGCCCTTGTCCTCAATTAAGAGCGAGCCAGCTGGTACATTCAACGCAGACATACTCTCAGAGTTAGAGAAGTCTCTCTCCCGCGCTCCTCTCAATATTGCCGCCTGGGACGCAAGGTCGGATCAGGCTTGGACCTTCGCCGACTTGGCCCAGCAAAGCGTTGCTGTCGCGAACCGAATATGTTCCTCCTCAGGAGTTATTGCGCTATACTTTGAGCCGTCGCCATCTTACATAGTAGCGATTCTCAGTGCCATTCAACTCGGCAGACCGTATCTTGCCATCGACCCCCGGATTCCTCGGCAACAACAGGAACTGATGCTTTCAGAAACCGAGGCTTCAGTGCTTCTACATTCGACTTCATATTGGCCAGAACAGAAGGCTTTCAACGTCGAAACCTTGGCCATTGAAGATATTGCTAGTACTGCTTCCCAAGAGCCACATTTTCGACCGTTTAATCAACCGATCATGTGTATATTGTACACATCTGGCTCAACCAGCCGTCCGAAAGGAGTTAAAATCCCTTATTCGGCTGTCTTCAATCGCCTCTCTTGGCAATGGAGGACGCAACCGTTCGCCGCAGACGACATCGTGGCTTTGAAGACTGGCATTGGATTCGTAGACTCCATAGCCGAACTTCTGGCCCCACTATTGCGAGGGATTCCTATGGTTACTATTCCAGGCTCGTTCTTATACGACAGCACAGCTATGCTTCAAACTCTGGAATCATTCCGCGTCACTAGGATTTCTGTTGTCCCCTCATTTCTGAGGACGATATTGGCCCCATTGAAGGAACGACCAGCCTTGTATAACCTCTCTTTGAAAGTCGTGGTTTCTTCGGGGGAGGAGCTACTTTTGGATATCTGCGAGGAGTTCTTCTCGTGTCTGTCGCACTGCCAGCTTCATAATTATTATGGTTCAACTGAGGTTATGGGTGACGTGACAGCACTTCGATTACATACCGTTGAGGATGCCCGGGCAGCTAGCCTTGAAGGCCGCATTTCCATCGGTAACGCAATTGATAATATGGAGTTATCACTCCACCACTGTGATGAAGAAGGAGTTGGCGAGCTGTTCTGTGCTGGTGCGGGTCTCTCGGTAGGTTACCTGAGGAGCTCAGGCGAACAATCGACCGCTATTGGCCCATTCGCAACGACCAAAGAATTCAACTTGCAACATGTACAATCCCACGAGGACCAAATGTGGTTTCGTACAGGAGACCTGGTCAAAATGCAAAATGGCCAAGTCTTCTTTTGTGGACGACGTGATGACATGGTCAAAATTGCTGGCAATAAAGTTGACGTCGGACATGTGGGGAGAGTTGTTCGTGAAGTTGGCGTTTTCACACTCCCTCCGGTAATCATTCACTCCAGTGCTCTGTCGAAACTTATATTGTTCTATCGCCCGGAGAGGAATATCAACGTGGAGGATCTATCCGCGGCTTTGAGGGAGAGGCTGCCTAATCCCGCAATACCGATCTTCGCGCCCGTGAAGGAATTCACATTCCTTCCAACCTCTGGAAAAATTGATAAGAAAGCCATGCTTGCTCGATTCGAAGAGGAAATATGCAGGGACAAGGAGCCTGTATATGATTGGGCTGATATGAATCACTTGGATTCTTCGATTTTACGACAACTGCAAGATTTTGTGGCCATTCTTGGGCGTGAGGGAATCAGATCAGAGTCGCTTCAGACTCTGCTAGCGGCGAATTTCTTTACCGTCGGGGGTACATCTCTGAATCTGATGTCCTGTGTTGTGCAACTTCGGAGAAGTGGTATGGATATCAGTACCGCTGACCTTTTTGCTGCCAAATCGCTTTGGCAGGTGTTTGACTCGGTTGTTGGGCATCAAACCAGTCTTCCACCATCCTATCCGGCCCCCGATTGGACGGTCAAGCCTCTAGACCAAAGCATTATAAGTGACGCATGGGAGGTGGTGGCATCGAACATGGTTAACACTCCGCCGGTATGTTTCATGTGGGATGATGCCAAGGGAAGGAAAGACTGTCACGATGAAATGATACAGATCACAAAAGCCTTGGAACCTTTTACGCTGCGCACGCCGTTTATCACATTCGGGGTGTTTGACTCCGAAAATTTGCTCATAGGTGTCTGCATCAACATTTTGTCTGATAGTGGTCCGGAAGGTCTCCTCGGTGACGGCATTGTAAACAAGTTTCTGCAGTTCCTGGGGGAAGTTGAAGAACCCGTGATAAACCACCTTCAACAAAAAGGTTACACGGGTCTGTTTCTGGAAAATGTTATAACGGCCATTGACAGGAAACACCTACCTGAACCTGCTGAGCGAGTCAAGTGTATGTATTTTATTGAGGATGAAGTGCTGAAGGTCGCGCGAGAGAGGGGTGCAGGCTTTGTTCTCACGACCAACACAAGCCCGGTGACACAGGACATTTCTCGTTTTCTCGGGTATAAAGAAGAAAGCTTGATAAATGCTTGCATCGAATGGACAGACGAGAAGGGGGAGCCCTATGTACCGTCCGTGGACGGTGATTTCAACGTACAAGTCACATACAAGCTCTTGGAAGAGTGAAAAACCTTGGAATACTCGAAATCGTCAATAGAGATTTGCTATACCCACCTGGGCAACTATACCAAGCAGGCATCCGGAATACATTCTCAATTGAACCTCAACAACTCCATTACATGACTATTCATCAAAGGAAGAAACTGCAGAGATAAAGCTCCTTCGGGGACAAAGATTTTGGATTCAAGCTCTCGCAAGATAACCCTTCCGGAGCATGATCAGGATCTAGGCTCTGGTTCACTGCTTGAAGACTACCTAACCTCTTACTTGCATCTGCGGCGCATGTCCTATACTCGGAAAAGGAATCCGAATTCCCAACTGCGACATCCAAGTTTGTTTGGCACGAAGTCACGTATTCCGAAGTGAGCGTCTCCCTGTATGCTTCAAGCTCTTCGTTGGCTAGGAAATTAGGACTGGAGCCCAGCTGTATGGTATTTGGTGTGCATTGTGGGGGCAGTTCGTTCGCGGGTATCATGTCATTCGCCAAGACCATGCCAGCTAGATTATCGTCTGTGTAGCCAGGTGAGGCTATGTATGAATCGTTACTTGGGGGCTCGGGAGTTGGACTTGTCAACCATTCGTGCGGTGACGATGTGGTGCCCCCGTGGGTGGTGTTGGGTTCGTGATGAAAGTATGTGGATTCCAACGCTGACACACATGATAGATCGGTTTTCTTGGCGGATCCGAACTGGGATACGAATTGGGGTACCCCAATCAAGCATTGTTGGGGGTTGTCAGTTGAACTTGAGGATGCAACTTCCTGTATAGCCGGGTTGTTCTCAAGTTGGCGTTGTATGCCGTCGGTTGGGGAGACATCCATGGCAGATAGAAAACTTCGAAGTTTGAAACGCGAAAGCCCTGTTTCTTGATGTTTTGTTGGAATTTTGGGGTCCTGCGGCGAGCCACATTCCTTTTTGCTGCAGACCTTGGTCCTTGTCTGCGTCACAGGATTTGTGGTTGTTCGTTCAGGCGAAGGAATTTGCTGTTCTCTGGGGATTTGGTTATCCAAGAACCTGAACATACTGGGAAACCCAGTGCATGTTTTACCACGCTTGGTACAGCGCTGACAGGCTGGCTTAAGGCCATCGCACTGCGATGCACAAGTCAGAACCAGCAAGGAGCGGTGTGACTGATGTACTCACTTTCACTTTTCGCCGCCGGCATTCATGGCAGCAGTAGCTTCTTGGTCCGGAGGATACCATTTGGGATATAATATGTGCTGAAGGAGAGCTGTGACTTGAGTTGTGTCCTGTTCAAACTTCTTGAATGTCAAGACTGCCACGGGCGTGGTGGAGTTCTATCAATCAGAGATTGATAAGACCGAGTCAGGTCCACAGGGTGGCGCGCTAGGCGAAGATGCCTTGGCATGCGTTCCTTAATTCTACATTTTTTAGGCATCCAATATTTTAATTCGTCGTTTGGAGTGATCAAAGCCATCTCGAGTTCCACAATCCGCTCGGTTTGTTGCCGATTCTGCAGAGCCGATGGTTGGGTGGAGCCGAATAATGGGACCCTGGGACAATGTGCTCATTTTACTCCGTCGGCGCCGCTTTTTGATTGCTCCCCCATCGGAATTTACTTAATACGCTCATGCTTATACCGGATCATCAAGGATAATTCAGTCATAAACATTGGGGCTCCTGCTTCTCCGTTTCAAAACTCGATTTTATCATGTCACCGAGTGAATATTCGAAATGACGGGTTGGCACTCGATCTGGCCAGTAGCTTAAGAGAAAGGGATCAATCCAAATATATAACTCGGTCCTGTCAATTCAATCAACTTCGGAAGTAAGCAAGGCCAATGTAGTCACGCCACTACTTCGGCAGTACTTAGGTAGATGGTAGTTGCGGACCCGTCCATAATTTATTTAAGGCCTCGTGAAATACTAAGCTTCATAAGCAATAACTACGCATACACGGGGTACCTAGGGACGTCGGGAGCTTTTACGACAAACGGAAGATCGCATAGGTCCCCGCTTTCTTGACTCGGTGTTTATTACCGAGTTCTTCCTGTCAAAACTTTCGCAATCCTTTTTCGGAAACCCCACCGGAATCTTCTCGGTCTCCGCACCTCCGCCATCGCTCCACATGGTGAATCACCATCTCCTATTCGCTAAGTACAATATTCGATCAGCATGGTCGGCCTAATTGTCTCATATCAATTTGCTTGATCCCGTGTGGAAACAGCGTCTCTTCACACTTGAATCGGCCAGCTGAGGCTGTTCATGGAGCTGGGAAACAAGATACTGCTGATCAAGAACAGTCTCGGAACATGACCGAGGAGTCATTGTGAAGGAAATCAAATTATTTGTATCATGAATGCTTATCGTTTCGTATTGGTTATGTCTGCACAATGATGCTCATGATATACCAAACTGTTTGAAGTAGTACAGTCTCGAATGATCAAACCGAAATCTGTTCAGAGCTGCGGGTCAAAAGTACCGATTCAAGAGTACGCAGGTATTAGGCAGAACTTGAAATTGGTGGAAAAGTTTCCGAAACCGTCATGGTATTGAAACCCCTATTCTCGCTCATTCCAAGCAAGGTTGAATAAAAGAGCTTTTCAGGCTCTTTATTATATACGAAGTGTCGCAACATGGATATCAAAATAACCGCCAGCCCTACCCAACAGGGCCCCAACTCCAAATCCAATTCAAGACAGACCCGAACTTGGCGAAACCGAATAAAACGAAATGAAACAGAGAATGATCTGACCAAAGAGATCAAAACTCCTAAAAAGTTAGCAACTCACTTCACCTACGCAGGAAGGATATTAACATCGAAATTCTCCTCCACCTCCGCAACCCTCCCAACAACACACCTCGTACTACCGAGCAAGCTCCCCGCAAACCCTCGATGAACCATCCCTAGGTGATTCATGAAGACATCCAAACTGCCAAACGCAAGAGCGGATCGATCATTCTCAAAACAGCAAAACATACACCCGAACGTACCAATCCTCGACGTATCGCCATTATTTCGAGTCTTACGGGCGATATGGGACTTTGCCAGGAAAGACCACCTGTATCGGACTTTACTGGCGGCATGTGTGTAAACCCTTTGGTCGAAGCGCGCGTCATTGGAAGAATTGCCTCGTGATTGGGAATGTGAACTGGAGGGCAAATCTTTTGATGCCATTGGCATATCAAAGAAACAGCTTACGCATTTCCATTTCGGGACAAGACTGTAGTATCCGACCGGCACGGAGTGGACTTTAAATCCTTCAAACCCGGAGTTTTGTTTCCAAGCCCCCCTTGCAGAACCCGGCATAGTCGTTACTTCGGCTTGGTGGCCAGAGCGCGACAGTAGTTGAGAGGGGTAGAGGGATTATATCACTAGCACTTCGGTTGGAGCTGCCGCTATCGAGGGACATATCGCTGTGTATGGATGGTGTTGGTGGTGCTTTGGATACGCTGAGGTTGATGTTGGGTGTATGTTGCGTAGGGGGTGGTGGTTGCTGTTGTTGATGGTGATGTTGCTGTGGGTTTTGATAATGTTGCATTTGGCTCGGACTATAGTGATAAGGGTATGATTGATCTTGGCGATCCTGCTGTCCGTAAATCAGGTCATAATCTGCTCTTTCTTGTTCTTTCTCTTCGATGACTGATATCCAGGGATTCTCGCTCAACACGTTCTGCTCAACGGGCGTCTCGAGCCCGGGGGGCCTTCGCCGTGGAATTGGACGCGCACCACTGGGTTCCATGTAAGATGTCTGCGGTGGGGATGGAAGTCCCGTCGGAGTTCCTGAGGGTAGACCTGAAACAGCTGCGATGTCGGACCGGTCGTCTCGTTCGCTTCGATCGCTGGACTCCACGGAAGATCGGCGTCGGTCGCGCAGCCAGCTATTAAACGTCGAGCTAAACGAGCTAAATCTTCTCTCGCTTCTATCGCGGGAGTTTCCTGTATCGATTGAAGCCCTATGGCTAGCAGAGGTTATTTCTGGCGGCGAGCTGGATAGACTCCCCGTGAAAACCCGTCCTGACATTGTACCTGGCGCTGGCTGGCCCGGCGAGTAGTAGAAACCCGCAGGATATGAATGTTGCTCGGAAGGTGCCTGGCTCGACGAGAGTGCGCTGATAACACCGATGTATTGAGCGAGACCCGATTGCGGCTCGATAATAGGTAGCCCCGGTGCAACTGGCGACATCATTTGCCATGGTATTGGAGCTGTTTGTGCTAACCGCTGATATAGTTCGTGCATGGCGGAAATCGTTCTGGCACGGCTCAGATCGGAAACGTTGAGGAGGGCTAAGATGTCGAGATGGGCACCATCTTCGCGAAGGTGCGTGAGGAGGGTTATTTGAAGCCCGATGAGAATGTCTTTCATCGTGGCTTGGGCGATTTCATCGCCCACTTCGAACCGTTGGCCAAGGCGACCGACGTGTCCGTTCCACTGGGTTAGGATATCGACCCTGCTCCGCTGCAGGGAATTCTCCAGGTCAATGGCAGTGGAGGATGCTGCCTGGGGGTGAGAGTTACGACGTTCACGCCATTTCCTTCTCACCTCCTGGAAGACGGCGCTTCCATCGTGATAGGCGGAAATGACTGTCATATAGATGTGAGCTGAAGCCGGATAGCCGAGAGGGTGTAGTAATTCTTACCAGCAGCGACACACGCGACAACAGCAATTACCTCCACTCCAGACATCGCGGGGAGTGGAGAGCCTTTTGGGATGGGTTGGCTGATTTGATGATAGTCCAAAGGCTAGCAGTGTGTTGTTGAAGAAAACTGGCGATGGTTGAAGATGGGGGCCAACGGGGAAGGATGGAAAGGATGAATGATAAAGAGGGGAAGAGGGAGAAAGGGTCTAAGCTTCAGACAAGCAGATGAGAAGAAACGCCCAGGCGTTGCGGTTTGGCCCAGCTTCAGTCAGCACAAATAAAATGAATCATTTCACCCGGGTGAGGGGCGCCAATGAAGACGAACGCTTCCAGTGAGGCTGAGTCTTGGCTCGCTTAATCCATGCATAATGTAGCAAGGATGAAGCACCGTAGGCAACGATAATTCCGTTTGAATACAGATGATAGTTGTAATATAGTAAATTGAGCATTATTTGCAGGATTAGTATCTTGTTGATACTAGCTAGAACTATCCTGTCAATATACATAGTTGCTGGAGTGGATCGACTCCACCGGATCCGCCATAATGTCAGATGCGATTGAGCTAAACATGTCCAGGTACAGATTACATGAGTAGTTGCAGCAAGGCGAGTAGCTAGCAGTGCGTAGGATTTATTTCTACTATTTGGCAACCAAGGAAAACATCTACCGGTGAGATATGCAACCCTTAAAATCAAAGGTTATTGCCGACCTTCTCCCGTTATGTCGCCTCTCAATCTGCGCTCGGACACTAAACCCCACGTGATATTAGCCAAGATGCTTGAAAAATCTCCGAATGGACAGATACTGTTTATCCAGTAGTTCGATCGTGTCGGCCGGGACGGGAGTAAAAATCATCTATAACATGATCAGAGCATCATGGCCACATCTGCCAGCGCGCCAAAGTGACATTCGAAAATTTCCTTTGCCATGATAGACTGGAGGACTGCCATTGGATGTAATTATTCCGCAGTTACCCCTTTCAAATGTGTGAAAAGGCTTGGTACTTGAGGCTTGTAAGCTTGTTTCATCAATGTTCAAGTTGGAGATCATCGTCCACGTGTGGGCCAACTACCTAGGTATAAATTACCCAAGTGCTTCAAGTTCAAGTTACTTTCGCTCACGTTTCATGCCAGTGCCAGTGCCAGTAGTTCAACAAGCTTTTAGGTTCAAGATCCATCTTAGTCTATCGCTTGATAGCCTAGCCTATACGCAATGTCAAATTCCATGCGACTTCTTAGAGAGGATAAAAGAGTTATTCTAAGGCTTGAAGGAAAGAGGTCAATACTTGACCTCAACTCAAATACCACAATCAGCTTTATAGTGCTAGTACTACAAGTCCTAGTATTTTTTGATACACAGAAATTAAATGTATATGTACAGTGTAATGACAGGCCGATTACAAAATCGATCAGCGATAATAGAAGCTCAATTATTTCCAACCCCTTTTCCACCTTCAATTCACACGATATACCTTAGCAGTTTTCACTCGCTGTGAGAATAAGATTTGGTGGTTGGGCCTTCCCACTTATGCCGTCCTCGAACAGCCCAATCCACACAGGCGAATAACATCACAAAGCCAAGTACCGGTCCGGCATAGTTCATATTCTCCGCTGTAACGGGCAGGGTCGCAGGAAATGGCAAGAAGATAGAAAAATAAGTAGCAAAGAGAATGGCAACAAGATTAATGGGGAGCCCAAGTTTCCCTAGAGTAAAGTTTCCTTGTGGGATATCCTGGGGTGCCGTCAAACGCTTCCAAACAAGGAGGCCAAGAGGGATAAGGTAGGAAATGTAGAGACCGAGCGTGCTGAGGGAGAGAATAGCGTTGAATGCAGCAGTGGACCCGATTTGAATGAATGATAGAGCGAAAATGCATGATGAAACCAGGAACAAAGCTCGGATGGGGATTTTGTAAGTTGGGTCGACAACGGCAAAGAAGTCGGAAAAGGGAAGCCCATTATCTCGAGCAAACGCCCAGGTGAGACGTGTGACGGAAGCAAACCCGTTGAAGAGGGCGATCCAGCCGGGCATCATGCCCATTGCCATAAGAACATAAGTAGCTGCTTTTGATCCGGTTGCCTGGTAGGCGATTGTTATGATGGGGTAGCCTGTTGGGCTGGTCAGGGCTTCGACGTAATCTCCCATGCAGTAGAGAGTGGCGATCAGGTAGGCGAATGCGAGGGTTCCGTTGATTAGGGTACCGTATATCATAGAGCGGGGAACCACGATTTTGGCATTTTTGACTTCTTCCGCCATGTGGATTATACCGTCGACGCCTGTTGGAATTAGTCTTGTTGAATTCTCTGACAATTTGGAGGGACGTACCGGCCAGGGGAGTGATGACACCAAGGAGACCGATGGAGTACACAACTCCCGAATCCTTCCATCCACTCAAGCCCTCGACGAAAGTGTTCCACACAAAGCTGTCGGGGTTCCGAGGGGCGAGGCAAACGAAGACAGCGATAGTGACGGGCAGGAAGACGACATGCATGATTCCCGCAGCGACCTCAATGGCCCCCATAACACGACGAGCAAATATGTTGATAACAATAGGAACTATCGCAACTGCCCACATAAGCAAGGTACCGCGCCATCTTTTCATTTCATACTCAGGGTTTGCCAGCACAACCATGCCCTGGATTTCGGTTCCGATGAAGTATGGCGCGATACCGACGAGAGCGCACCAAGAAAAGACAGTCACCCAACCTGATATTTTCAGAATTAGCCTAGAATAACGAGAAATTGGAAAGGTATATGCCGACCTTGGAAGAAACTGATAAAGCGTCGTCCACGAGGTGCGAGGAAATAACTCCAGTGATATTGAGCACCTGCGGTTGGGTGTCTGTTCGTCTCGGGATTAGCAGGGGAAGGTCGCATCGAGTTTTTCCACGTACATAGAAGCAAGCTCCGCTAATGAGCACGCGATTGCCATGTTACCAATGATGCTCACAAGAATACCATAAACAATCACGGCAGGACCACCATTGTAGAGCCCCGCGAGCAAACTGCCACCGGCAGACTCCCATGTTGCAAGCAGAGTAGCAGAAAATGCAATCGAAGAAAAAAAGTTCAAATATCTCTTTTTAAATTTAGCGTCTGAAAACACAGTTGAATGCTAAACCTTGGAATACTCACCTCTAATTGTTGTTTCTGGCGAAATGTTGCTCCTTCGTAGGCATTATTCCCACTGCCTACAGGTCCAGTTCGCACAGCGCTGCCGCTCTTCATCTCGATTTCTTCCTGCATATTTTCCTGCATGATCAAAGACAGACGAGTCCGGAAATGTTGAAAGGAGAAAAAGAAATTCTACAGCAAATAGACTGTAATCGGCCTGGGCACGGGAAGAAGTACTCGAGAATATTTCTCGCCCCCCCTCTTTTGCATAGTAAACAGGCGCTAGACAGGGATCTTGAAAGCGCAATGAATACGAAACTAGTATTCAACACCAATGCTGCAAGTCTCTGCGCCGCGCTGGAAATGTTCCCTCTAGCTTCGGCGCAAACCCCTTGTCGTTCGAATTGGAGTACGCGACTAGTATTGTTTAGTGCGGGATCGGGAATCCTCTGAACCAAATCCCCGCTTCGGGGCAAATTTTAATTGCACGGCCAAGTCTCCGCGCCTTATTGTTGGTAGTTAGCCGTGCGCCGTAAAATGCTCGGCATAATTCAGAGGCCAGCAGACGCGGCATTCTGGATCCTGCGTGCATGTCGCCCGGCCGATTGTAGGCCTTGTGGACAATCCTATTGATGGAACCACACTCGACCCACTTAGATTGTCTCTAACCATTGGATATACTAAACAAACTAGTACTGCACTCCATAACTACTGGACAGGGTTTCCATCCTGTTAGTTTCACATTCCCAAGGATTCGTATCCCTGTACATACAGAGAACTAGACAAGATACGATGGTGCTGCACGAAACAAACAGCCACCTCGCGCGGCTCCTGCAGGGATCACTGGCCAGAGCTAAAGAAAAACCGAGGGCTGTAAATTGGCCCCAGAAACAGAGTTTACATACTGTCAGGGATACCATGAAGCAGGCTCTTATTAGCTATGTGGTGGCACCCATCTTTGCAAAGTTTGAAAAGTTTGAAGTCGATGTGATGCTGCCATGGCCGACCAAAGAGAACCCTTCTTGACAATATCAAGCGATAATCGTGGTGCTATTATCACTGTCACCTCCATCGCTTTTCTCATTGTGGCCATAATATTTGTGCTAGCTAAGTTCGGTTCAGCCATTTATTTCAAGCAACGAAGATCAGCAGTCAACCTTCCGATCTGGAGCGCTCTAATCCTTGCATTTATCCAAGTCATTATCTTGCAAAAGGCTGTCTACCATGGACTGGGAAAGCACCAGGACTGGCTCAGCGAAGGGGAGATTCAGTCCTGGAGCAAGTTCGCTTTCGCTGGCCATATTCTGCGCATTCTTGTCTTGACACTTTCGAAATTATCGACCACCCTCTTGGTTTGGAGGTTAACACCGAATAAGAGCCTTCGTCGCAATTGCGCTATCACCTCTGGGGTAGTTGTCGCGTGGTCAGTATTCGCCGTATTGAGCATCGCTTTCCAGTGCGAAATGCCTTATCCGTGGCTATACTCCCCTGATCGATGTGCCGGAAAGGTCAGAAATTACCCAAATACCTGCAACCATTTCCTTACCAGCTCATCTAACCGTTAACAGGGAGCTTTATTATACCCGATCGCAATTTTCAACATTCTCACTGAGATTGCAATTGTTGTCTTGCCATTCATCATGATGCATAATGTGCAGATGGTCTGGCATAAGCGCGTCAAGGTCCTGTCCTCTTTTACCTCACGGCTAAGGTATTTCGTCATGACTTTCAAAAACATCTCGCCGGATTCAATGGCTAACAAAATAACCCATCACAGTATCGCCATCCTGGGCATCGCTCATCTAGCCCTCTTACCTTCATTCGTCCATTCAAATGATGTCTCCTGTTTGTGACACCCGGTCTCCTTTCAATCCTCATCAAACTCTCTTTAAACTCATCTGACAATCATATAGGGGCAATTGTCGATTGGGAAATAATGGGCCAAGTAATGATGCTCACATCCGTCATAATTGCATGTGTCCCAACCCTCTATCATATCTTCGCTGGCCTACATTCGGGTCTTACCTCAACCGAGATCCCCGACGCGATCGGCCTCGAGGGCCCACGGACGAAAGGTAGCGCATATGTGAACCAATCCTGGTCCGGAGGAAGCCAGTCGCAATCTCAATCGCGCTCGCGGTCGCGGTCGCGGGGAAAGCCGAGGAAGAATGGTCGCTCAATGTTCGATGGTTGGGGAGGTGAGAATCGGGTAATAACTGAGGTTTCGACGGGCCAGGATACGAATCGGAATGATCATGGTCGTAGGGAGTCTGGTTCAAGCGATGGCACAGAGAGCACGAGACATTTGACACAAGATCATCATGGGGCAGGGACAGTTCTAAGGACGGTTGATGTTACGGTCGAGATTGAAGAACAGGAGCAGTATCATCGGGATCGAATTTGAGGGTCCATACTTGGTAGTGCAAAAAGGGCTCTGATAGATAGAGGACATGAAGTAGACCAATACCAATATGCCGATAATGAACCATACCTTCCGCAGGGGCGTCCATATTGGACAGTGCTTCTAAAATTTCCGAATCACGATTTCTCGGTAATAAATTCACCTTACTTGAGGGGTAGCGTGCCCTATTTCCAAAGTAGGAATTTGAGTCAAGTCAATATCCACATGATAAAACCCGCAATTTTGCCCCACTGGTCTTATTGTACAAATTAACAGACCTAGAAATACTGAGTACGATGATTGAAAATCAAGTACTAGTGAATGATAGAACTACGCTAATCAATTGTACTAAGCTTATGACCATATATATTGAGAGTACCTAGGTATCCACAAGGTTCAATGCGCGTATGTAAATTAACTACCACATTTCATGTGCCGCTTATAAATTGGCCTCGGTAGAAGCCGGGGGTGAAGCACGGAGTACTAACTATTGTAGTTAGCAGGGATGAAAAGGTCCATCGGAATGCCACTGCCCACTAACACCTGGGCAGTACTTTTGTCCTAAGCGTGGCCTCGTCTAAAGGGGAATCGTGCTTGGCGTCTCGGGCATTGACTTTTTCGTTTTCATTTTTTTTTCTTGTTCACAGTATGACTGTTGAAGGGGCTACCTCTTCGCTAAGGTTAGTGAATAATTACTACATGCCTGTACATTGAATGTGTTCTCGCCGGGTAGGACTCCCATATCTTTTGGTTGTGCTATATTATCGGGCGCTCGATGATACCACGTCACTCTCTAGGGCCGGTATGGGGGACCTAGTGGCAACTTGAAGTGGCGATGCTTACAGACGTCGCGTAAATCATCTACCTAGCTATCTTGTACGAACTATCCCTGGGCGCCAGTACTACTAGTAGGTATGCCAAAAGTGCCCAGGTGGTAGCCGAGAGCCCTGGAGGTCCAGGGACTCGGATGGCTTTTCACTACTGCACCTGGGCAGTAGGCGAGTGACTTCAAATATATTAGTACAACTTCAAGTTTGAAATCCCGTGCCAGGTGGGCCCATCTCGACTCAGGCTTGGTGGTATTCTTTACCCCTTTCTACCTAGGTACTAGCCAGGTATACTAAATGCCCGTCAGAGTCGGCGATATTCGATAGCAGAAAGATTCCCCTTATATCCAAGCTAACAGCAAAGTACCGGGGTGGTTTGTCAAAAACAAACTGCCTTCCAAGGTTGATATTGATTTCCCATCATCTCCCCCGCCCTTGAGTAATTTTTTCGAATTGTTTGCATCAGTCGAATAGGTCTACAGCTCATTCTCTAGGAATTTTTAAAGGTCAATTAAACGTTTGCAGTCTGTCGGGGTTGACCCTGGTATGCCCAATGCGGGTTACGACCCAGGAAACATCACAAATCATAGCTTGCCCAGGTGTTCGACAGGACTGGTAGCAGGATTTCAAATTGGAACCTTGGAACTTGAAGATGATGATGTTTACCGGCATAACTACGAATAGAAATGCCACCTGGGCAGTGCGAAACAGTGTCCTGGGGTTCTCGTAGATTGCGACCACATACTTTCAATCTGAAAGGGATGTAAAATATAGAGTAGTTAATCATGTGCTTGTATTTAAATTATACTGTATCGCAGGGCGCCAATGCAGGTATCAGGGAGAGAAAAAAACAGAAAAAGAAAACGAGGTATTAGAAATCAAACCAGAGACAAACCGCCAGGTACAAAAAAATCGGATACACTCTGCTGCTTTGCTAGCAGCATCCCCCCCCCGCCGGCGTGCTTGAACAACCCGGACCTCCTCAGTCTCGATATTCGGCGTCGCCAGTCCGAGCCAACTTCTTCTCTTATCCCCGATCCCCAGCCGGAAGCTCCCCTCCACACTGGGGGTCGGCATGCCAAAGACCCCATCTATGCCTGGGGTCATTGCAGCTAGTGCAGCAGCCTCTGCGTCTCGTCGATTCCGCTGTTCAACCAGTTTCCGTGTAATAACACGGAATACTTCTTCGATGCCTTCTCCGTCTTTGGCGCTGATCTCATGGCAGCAGTCCCACCCGATCTCTTGTCCCCAGAAGGCAGAGCTCCGTTTACTATCCGGGCTCTGTAATGCACAAGCACCCACTGAAGTCGCGACACCGAACGCACTGGTGCTTCCTGCCGAAGCAGAGATACTGCCAGGGCCAGGGCCAGGACCACCAGCCCCGCCCCCACCATTGCCAAAGACGCCAGATCCAAAGCCCAGTCCTGCGTTGCTGATGCCCATGGCGGTGGCGGGCGGGGTGGATGCTTGTGTGGGGTAGAGTTGTTCGGCGACGTAGGCGATGGTTCGTTCGAAGGGGATGCGTCGACGGCTAGGATCTTCAGAGACGATGTCTGACTTCGTCCCGACTACGTGTATCACGAGGGGTTGCTGATCTTCTACACCGCTAGCTGCTCCACCGCTTTCAGTGCCGAGGTTACGCCGCAGTTCGCGGAGCCAGCCGGCCATCTCTTGGAAGGAGTTCTCATCCGTAATGTCATAGCATAGTAAACAGGCGTGTGCGCCGCGGTAGTAGAGGCGTGAAATGCTTCTGAATCTCTCCTGACCAGCTGTGTCCCATATTTGTAGCCGCACGGTTGTGTCGGAGGGAGTATCGAGGACGCGTTTTGTAACGAAGGATGCGCCGACGGTGGAGGTTGTTGTGGAGGGATTAAAGTCGTTGCGGACGTAGCGTTGCACGAGTGAGGTTTTTCCAACTCCTAAACGTGCGAGTGTTTGTTAGCTGCTCTGTTCGTAAATATGGTCTGTTATATGTTTTGCCGTGGAGGGGTATGGTACCCTGCGCGCCCAGGACGACGATCTTGGCCTCCAGAGAGGAGCTCATCGTGTGCAAGAGGTTTTGAGCATATCGGAGTGATCTTTCGTATGAGAAGCCAATGGAAAAGTGATCCTAGATTGCACAGAAATCACAGGAAAATGGTAGAGGTGGGAGGAAAATGAGTCAAGGGGAACAACGGAAGGGAAGAAAGTTGGCCGAAACAGGATGGAATAGATTCACGGGATCAGCTGAGCCGATCACTCGCGTCAGCCTTGCGCCACTTGACTGTTATTTCGTGTCTGAGTACATTAGAGCGAGGGGTAGAGTTAAATCGGAAGTATAAAGCAAGTCAGATTGCAGTGGAGACCTGCATGAACTACTTTTGTACGGAGTATGGGGAAAATAACCTGAACCAGTTCCACTTTCACGATGGGACGGGTACAGAACATCAATATTGGAAATCTATGCACTTAGAATATCATAAACAATTTTAACAGCATCTTTTGTTTGATTTACTGACATAGTGCTTTAATCCATTCCAAAGTCATTGCTATATTTCATCATCCTCCGCTCGGATGCATTTCTTTGAAATCTCTACTTTGCGAGCTACGTCATTGGTGGAAGGAATTGTGTGAAAATGTAGAATTGCTGGAGGAATAGCCGAGACCATGCCTTCATCGACATAAATCATGAGACAACTTGAAAAAGAAATGGGTATATATATGAAATCCAATCTGGTTTGATCCCAGGCCTGCAGACAAAGAACAATCGCACCTGCCAGTGGGCATCATTGCAAGTTGTAGCACCGCGATCGTGTCACTCCGCACCGGAGAGGCAAAAATATCAATACAACCATTTCCCCTCTACTGCGGCTGCGACTGAGAGTACTCCTCGGTCATCTGGCTGCTCTCCGCCTGCCGCTTGACATTACCCTGTTGTGAAGAGTTGGACGAAGCAGACTGGCCCTTCTCGGCATCATCACCACCGCCCCCGCCAAATCCATACTCCAGAGCCTTTTGCTCAATCTCCTCGTCCGACAGCTTAGGAAGCTCCTTCGCCGCGCGCACATATGACATGTTTTCGCAGAAACCCTTGGCAAAGATGAGGTCGATCTCCTCGAGACTGCGGCCTGCGGTCTCGGGGTAGAAGAAGATCATCGGTGGGATGAATACGGCGTTCATGACGGCGAAGAAGAGGTATGTTCGCCAGCCGATGTGCTCGATCATAACGGGGGTGATCATGACAACGGTGAAGTTGAAAAGCCAGTTGGAACAGGTTGAAACGGCGTTTGCCTTGGCGCGGGTTCGAATGGGCGAGATTTCGGCCGGGTATAACCAGGGAAGAGGGAGGATTGATGCGCCGAAGAAGGACATGTATAGGAACAGGCCGAAGACTGCACCCTTGGCTGGTTCGGTGGTACCGGGGATAAGGCAGGCGAAGACAATAATCATCGAGACCATTTGGCCTGTCATTCCGCCGATGAAAAGCTTACGTCGACCGATCTTTTCAATGAAGAACCAGGAGAATGTTGCGAAGATTGCGTAAACGATCATGTTTACACCACCAATTAGGAGGGACATAAACTCGGTTTGGTTGAGGGATTGCTTCAGGAGGACAGGCAGGTAGTAGATGACTGCGTTACAGCCGGACAGCTGTTGTGCGATTTGAGACGATGACCCGATCAACATGCGACGAAAATGTTGAGTCTTGCCTCCAGTAAGAAGGTCGGAGTATCCAGCTCCGTCGGAGACGCCAGCACTGATGGATGTTAGCTTGTTTCTTTTCGTTCGATGGTCTCTTTAGGGACACATACGCTTCGATGGACTCAATGACAAGTTGCTTCTGCAGCTGGGTCTCGGGGTCGTCAATTTCCTTGCCGGCCAACGCCGCCAACACGTACTCTCCTTCTTCGATCTTGCCCTTCGAAATGAGGAAACGGGGAGAATCGGGCAGGTAATACATTCCGACGATGATGATACCACCGAAGATAACCTGGAAGGCGATGGGGAACCTCCAGGCAAGGTCTGGTGGGCCGTAGGAAGCACCGAAGTCAATCCAATAAGCGATCATAGTACCAATGGCGATGGTACCTCCTTCAATACAGATGAGAAGACCACGGTTGCTGGTGCGCGAGCACTCAGCCTGGTAGGTAGGAATAGTGGAAGTGTTCATGCCGTTACCAATACCGGTGATGACACGGCCGAAGAAGAACTGCAAAAGAGGAATGTGGTCGACAAACGAGGTAACTTGAATGATCACACCGATAATCATGATGGCCGCACCGCCGATAACCATCTTGCGGCGACCCAAAATGTCAGCAGTGAAGAGAGCAAACATGGCTCCGAAGAGACAGCCCAGCTCATAAACTGCAGTAATCAGAGCTTGCATTGTGTTGTCGCCCTTGGCAGCTGTGAAAACGTCGGTGAAAGCAGTGGCGGAGATAATTCCAGACATGACACCTTGGTCATAGCCGAAGAGTCTGAATGTGTTAGACATGGTCTGGCACCAGTAGAAGGGGAGAGGGAACATACAGGAAACCCATTGTCGCAATGGTTGACACCGTCTGCGACAGTGACCTCCCACTCATGCCAATAAAGGAGGGCGCCATGGTTTGTATCAAACGATCCTGGATATGTTATGAATTTGTATACTCGAGGCAGTATATTGGAGAATGGATGCTCAATCCTGCACGTGGAGAAGGGAGAGAATAGAGACACGCAGAGAGAAAAACAAAAAAGGCGAGATAAACCGCGGGGGAGGAAGGGGATATTTGAATACCGCTACATTTTACGAAAGTGGCAAAGAGATGCAATCGTGGGGCATCACTGACTTCCCCGTGTCTCTGGTCTCTGGTCTTGCACAATGCGTGCAGCAAGCAGCCAGCAGTGAGGGGAGACTAGGACAGAACCAGCACCAAGGACGGTGTCGAGACGGTACACTGGAACACTATGGAGTCCAAGACGATCCACTTGTCTGCGCCGGCGGCTCCGCGAGGTGGAGCCAAGATCCCGAATGCATCAATTATCGTGGATTAAGCATTTTCCATGACCCCCGCCCGGGCTTGTGCGGTTTGCGTCCCTGGCGACATCAACTAAGGTGGAGCGAGTCGAAATTTTAGGTGGGCGCAGAAATGGCTCAGTTATGATTGGTATTGTCGGTATTTTCCTGGTGCCATCTCCCTGGTTAATCCGAATTGGAGTAAATGAAGAGGAAATAAATGAGACAAATAAAGTAAAACTAATTTCATTATTAAGGGTTGAGGCAAGGAGCTCAGTTGAGAAACCAATCAACCGAGAATAGGTTCGACTGCCGCCTTGACAAAACCAAATAATAAATCAAAACAACAGCTTTGCTTACAATGATAATATCAACATGCAGTCTGCCGGGCTGGTGGTCTGGATTCTCAATTCGCCTTGCGCCCAAGTGGGTGGATTTTGTTTGTTTCCGAATCCATCAGGCAGGTATGTCGAGCTACGCCATCGTGTAGTGCGGTGGCTTCACATACAGTACAGACGCTCGATCTAATTACAGCTTGTCGGCCTTGCTGTTACCCTAATCGATCTTGTGCAGACACGATCTCTTGGCCCCGGCACAAAGGCCTCGGGCTATAATTATCGGGATACCGTCACCGCGTCCCGAATCAAGCGGTACGGTGGACGATGATACAAGAATGCAGCCGTGTTGGAACTAGCAAGCGGATCAGCGGGGCAAAGGGTGGAGCCGTGCGTGGAGCTCGGGCTCCCTTCGTCAGGTAGAATGTGCATTCTTTGCTCATAAAAATAGCGGCAAGCCAGATGGATGCACGTTCTTTTAGAGTGAGAGCTACCTACCAAAATCAATATAGACAGGGATGGAGGGGAAAGACAAAGTGCGGTGAGTGGCTGGGACTTTTTTATGCAGATACCTAGGTAGTTTAATTTAAAAATTTGTCTTAATCTTATTGCACGTTCTAGATACAAGTTCACTGTTTCGGTGGGAGAGCGGAGCTTGGCCTTGTCTTAGCCGTAAATCTGAATGCATTGTGTGTAGCGTCTGGTTAGTGCACTTCAATCCCTTTGTTCGTCTTCGTCTTGTGATAAATCCAATTTTGAGTATGCCACAGTATACTTCCAGATGCTTTATAGTTCGATACTTGCTTTGTGTCACCCTTGGTACAACCCAAGCCTAATTTCATGGCCTCCCGCAAACTTGAACATGTTCATCAACCACCGTTGACCATAACGGCGCCCGGGTTGAATACGAGATGCTGCCAACCCGTCAACTAAAGCACCTTGCCCCACGCCATGTCTCACGCCCGACCGAGAAACCTCTGGCCCAACGGGCGACCGATATCAGACTCCGCTATGATGTAGCTGCCACAGGTGGGCCATGGAAACCTTCGAGAAACATTCAAGAGGATCAGTGAATGGGCGAGGAGACGGAAAAGGCACGGGGATTTTGATTCTGCCCTCCCACGACTACCTACATGTACATCTTAGTCAATGAATGGACTGACCTGCGGGCAACGCCCGAGCTAGTCAACGCTGGATGGAAGGGTATTTCTTTTGCCATAGACTAGTACCAACTGGGAAGGCCGGTAGGGCTCTCAAAGTATTGATTGGGTTTTACGTGTAGCCTTCATTACGTGTTGTCGTCGAGGCAAGCCCTCGGGTAGGATGATCGGAATGAGGTTTGCTTCACGTTGCGTGCATTCAAGCACAGACTTCCTCCGCTTTCCCCGATATTGGCCTCTCCATCCCTCATCTTTCGTATTGAGTTCAAAGGGGCGGAGGCAAAGATACTGTGACGCGATAGTCTAGCCTAAAGAAGATGAACATTATATCTGCCCTGTTTATGCCAACCCTACGTCATATCGAAGTTGACGAGTACCAGGTAGCCATTCGTATCTACATAGTGTAGCTGCAAAAGCTCCTCAGCGAGAGTTTTCTGTTCAACTGCTATAGGCCACCATATTTCTATCAACTCTCGATGCGACGTCGGCTGATGGTTTGGTAAAGGTTCGTCTAGCTGGGCTGTGACGTACGGGGATCAGTCGCGTCCGCGGGTCAGCTTCACGGTGTTATAACCCCGCATCATTAGATACCATCTTCACACAGCACAGGTGTCTGGTTGAATTTACTTCAGACCAGTATTTCTAGCAGAAGAATACGAATACCTGAATTAGGAGCGAATCTACACTCTACATAAGGACCGCGCAAGGCGAAGACGCGGTAGCACTCGGAAGCCCCGGCATCGCCAAAAATGAAATGATGGAGTTACTTTTTCGGTTGATTGGCTAGAGCAGTGAATGCAAATGCGGTCTCCATGATTTAATTTCGGTCTGGGGATATCCCGGGGGTTTGCGTTCTGGAATTTCGTTCCCAGGAAAGCCTCGAGGTCTATGAAGCCTGACATGGGATCGGCAGTGGCGTCGCCAAGCATTCTTTACCGCGATCGATTTTCTCCCTACCACGGTAAACTTGTTTTGTTACCCTTTTAACGTTATTTATACTGTCATGTTGTAAAGAATTGAGGGGAAATCACCCAAGTGCAATTTGTTACAATTTTGGTTGGGGGGATTACAATCGTCGTGGAGTCCAGCGCAGCCCCTTTTCTGGGGCTGTTCGCGTCGCGATCATCGCCCTTCGTGCGTGCATTCTCGCCTCGCCTTTCCTTCCCAAGGGATAGCCCTAGGGATAATATCGACCTCGCTTTCGCTTCTAGAATTGTCCTGTCTCGCTTTTCCTGCCTTCTTTGGACATTTCTGGAATGCTTCCTCGCCCGCACACGTTAATAAAGGTTCTAGCTGCACATCCGAGCCTGCTTCAAACTGATTATCGATGATTGGCGGTGGATGCTGTTGATCACTCTCTCCGCAAGCAAATAATTCCACTCATGTTGTTGGATATTACAAGTACATCCTTTAACATGGATAAATTGTTTTGTTTACTGGAATATCTTCTCTACACAATGTTTTGATCTACTATGTACATGCAATTTTATATTTGAGTATCCATGGATACCTAGCCAGAATAATGAGAAGCCCTGAAGAGGATTTGCTCGATAGGTCTTTTTAGCTACTTATGGATCAACTAGGTAGTGGTAGGAAGTCCTATCGGCTCCCAAAGGAGCTTGTGTGTTGAAGAGCCGCAATCCATGAACTTGGGTACCTTAGGCCATCTGGACGTCGGGATGTTAAATAATGCCCGTGGGCCTACTAGGTGCCTACTGGGTAGCTACTGGTGTCACTGTACTAGGATATGTCCGAAGCCCTCTAGGCTGGCCTCGGACATTCAAAGGACTCTGAATGTATTAGTATCCATGGATCCATCAACATTACCAAAGCGGTCATGGGCCCGGGGAGCTTCTCCAGGGCTGCCTCAAGTGGGTACCTGCGTACTTCAAAGTCTGAGCTCAAGCTGTTCAAATGTAATAACTTGAAGAACTACTACTATTACCATGAACATGGCCAGCTGGTGGGCTGCTAATTAAAAACTTGAATTGAAAATGAACCTGGAATATAATCAACTTGAATAACTCGAAAGAGTGAGTCTACCCGTACCTCCAGGGCTGTCTTGAACGATGCCAATGGATCTTTAATATGCTATCTTCCAACAGTCTAGAATTGATTGAAATTCACACCCAGTAGGCACTGACTAGGGAAATCCATGGATGTATCTCCATTGAAGGAAGGATAACAGTTGAGTTAGACGTCAGAGCCAGCTCTAGGATCCCTATCCTGGATGTTTAGATATTTAGACACTAACATGTCTTTTATCTTTCTTGCATTATTCGTGCTGTCCGACAGAGATGCCCCCCGTCGACCTTCGAAACCAGAAACATAGAAAAGCCCCGGTGCCAGCTCCAACTGATCATCCTTGGCCGGTTGATCCCTGTTTCCATCCACTACAGGCAAACCATTTGGCCAAAATTTGCGATTAACCCATCGAATCCAGGGTTTATAGAAACATTCGTCCCTGTCCATCCAGTACGTTGGCCCCGGTATCCCCGCCTGCGGTATGCCTCGCCGAAGTGATATAGTAAGAAACCACCTTCCCCATTCGTTAGCTTGTAGCAACTTTGATCCGGAAAGGTGACACTCTCTCGAGCCTTGCCGCATTTTTTCATCAATGCGGCAATATCATCGTCTGTGAATGGGGCCTTGGATACAAGTCGGTAAAGGTTCTCCGGCCAGATCGATCTGTCGTCATCAAGTACAGTACTGAAAAGCCTTGTGATCGAGATAAACGGCGGGGTTGAACATGAATTTCCAGGATCTGTTTTTCCATCGCTTTGCACGTTCCATATGATATTCGGCCCGTTGGCGAATGACCCGCGGCCGTGATGGAGTGTCGAGTTGAACGCCTCGCGAGCCAGTATTTTCCCCGTTATGAAATTCGTGACGTGGAGAGGAGTGTAGCTTGTATTATCCGGAGTGATTGGCAGCGAGGGCTGAACCGAAGGTGTGCTTGCCCTAAGGGGGCGGCAATGATAACAGAGTCAAATGTCTCGTTGTGATTTTCTGTCAGTCCCCCGGGAGATTGCACTGTCCAATGGACATCCCATGTTGAATCAGGCCGCCGAGTCAATTTGGTCACTGTGGATTGCAAATTTAAGAAAAAGTTCTTTCGCTGGCCCAGTTGCTTGACCACGCGATTTAGAAGAATCCCAAGTCCCCCCCAGAGGCTCACTTGGGGTTTTGAGCTTATGAAGTAGCGTTCTGAGAAATCGGATATTGAACCTTGGTCTGGACCTGGTCGCGTCTGTATGAGCAGCTCCTTCACCCTGCTCTGAAACCTATGCCAAGCCCAATTTTCCTCGTCGTGCTCCAAAAGATTTCGGATACCCTGGAGTAAAGGGTCGATGTAGTGGTCCGAGACTGATTTTTTATTCAAGGAGGAAAATACATTATACCAGTATCTTGGGGACAAGAGATAGGTTTGGACAGTCCCTACCGCGTTTCCCCATGTTACAGGGACATCATCAGTCGGATTCAGGTGCAGGGTCTGACCATCCCATGTACTAGCTCGTTCGTGGAGTATTGTGCCGAACTGGTCACTCCCAAGAAGAAAGTCACTCTCAATCTCAGCCTCAGAAGAGGTCTTACGAATCATATCTCCAATCGCTGTATCGTCTGAATCAAATGTATGCGCTCCGGTATCGATAGGTATTGTTGATGTCCAACGATTTCCCGGGAGCCCGTCGTATTGATAGGCTGTTCCGATTCGCCCTCCAAACTGTGGCTCTTTGTCAAATATTGTAACTCTGGTTGATATGAGGCCAGGATCGTTACTTTCGAGGAGGTCTGCGAGGTATATTCCGGCAATCCCGCCACCTTAGGAACGTTAGAAATGATCCAATAGGAGCGGTTTTGCCTAAAATGTGCTTTCGTTGCCGATAAAAGATTCAATTTCAATATGAGAATATGGCCTACCGATAATAGCGACTTTCGCCTTGTTGCCAGTTTCAACTGTCTGAGCCCCGAGGGGTTGTCTGTCTGGATATGGCTGGTGTATCCCAACTGGATATGAATTTGAATTTGGTTGATTTTTTCCCTTACTTGACCCAATTCCAAGCGGTAAGGGGTTTTCAACGGGTAGGGAATTGAGTGCCGATATGGGGACGGCAAGTAGTAAGAAACAAGCAACCGCCAGAAGGCTGGAGGACTGGCCTTGAGAACAAGATGACCTTTTACGACGAAGGCCCATTTTATCAAATTCAAGCACCACTTTGGTACAATTGATACCGTGTTAGTGTATTTGCGCAAGAGAAAATACACGAGAATCATCTTTTTAAATGTTAGCTTCAACCCTGAAGGATTGGTTGGCCCCCGTCCGAGAATCTCAACACCGTGGCCCCAAACACCTTGGCAAGTATGGGTTCAAGTCTTCTCAAGATACAAGTTGCTGGTAAATTTGAGTCATGTAGATGTTGATGAAAAAGACAGATTGTGCTCGGAGTAAAGGATTTTTGAACACACTACCGCAGTTCCGAATATAAATCCTTGATGGTGGGAAGCGGGTCATATTTATGCCCAGGTACTGCGACGGACTATAGTACAGGCTCGGGTTTGTCGCCGATAGTCAACGACTGCCAACCTTGGAAGGTTCCAAAATTGGATTCAAGACAATTCTCACCTCAGAATCCTGATACAAATTCCATCTATACATAGCTAACTCACAAAACCAAACCCTCAAGTCAGCCAATTCCCCTCCTCATCCTCCCACCCAAGATCAACCACATCCCAACCCATAAACGTCCTCCTTTTACCAGGCGTTTCCTTCCAACCGAAATCAAAAAAGGCCTCATCAGTAACCCGCTGCTTCCCAACCTTCTCATGGAAAGAATTAATTCGCTCCACTTCATCTCCAGTCAACTTTGCAAGCTGTCTATTCTGCGCGAGGCGGACCGGAGAACTCGAATGCGGAACAACAATAACACCACGCTGAACAAGCCAAGAGAGGATAACCGTCCCGGCTGAAATATCATATTTCGACGACAATGATGTGAAAAGCGGATCGTTGTAGATACTCGTCGTATTCGTGTATTGACTCGATATCCCACCAGCAAGCGGACTATGCGGTACTCACTCGTTAGCGTAAAGGTTCACAGCCCTGATATTTCCAACTCACCCCCAAGCAATAGGCCGAATCCCATTCTCAAGACAATAAGGCACAAGCATAAGATTAGGATTCCGCGGCTGAATCTCAATCTCATTAACAACAGGCCTAACAAAGACCCCCGGATCCCTCAAAAGCGGCTCTAACGTTCGAATCGTGAAATTTCCCACCCCAATACTACGACACTCCGGTCCAATCAGTTCTTGCATCTGTTTGTATACCTCGATATACGTTGGACTTTCCCCAGGCCACAGTGGACGTGATGGGTCGTCTTTGTTGTATCCTTGAGGCCAGTGCATGATGTAGATGTCAATATAGGTGCCGATTAAGGCGCGGGATCGTTCGAATGCGCCCCGGACATCGGTCACATCTGAGGGTGCTAGTTTGGTGATTATGGTGAATTCTTCGCGGGGGATCGGGCTTTCTAACACCGCTGCTCCGACTAGGTCTTCTGTGAGGTAGATTCTGGATGTGTCGATTGTGCGGTAGCCGGCGTTTATGGCTTGGGTTATTAGGCTTTTGACGTGGGTTCTTTCTGAGGGTGGGAATGTGCCTCCGCCTTCTGGGTTGGTTTTTTAGTTGGAACTTAGTGGATGGATAGGTTCATGTTGATATTGAGAGGGTTGTGCTTCGGGTTTTGGCTTTGGCTTACTTTTCATGGCACCGAAGCCGAGGGCTGGTACCTTTTGGCCTGGGGGTACATTTGGTGAGTATTGAGGATTTTTCGAATGGACAGTGCTTTCTTACCATTGTTTAATTCGAAAATGGTGGTTCCTTGCGGAGTGGCACTGGATGAAGCCATATGAGAGGTTATCCTGGAGTGATCGAAAGGGATGTAAGTGGGAAAGGCGTGGATATATTTGCAGCCCTGGAGTGAATTGAAAAAGGCTAACAATCCATCGATAGCCGGGATATCAGTAGCTTTAATAGCCACAGTATAGGACTGGGATTATCCGGCGTGCAGGGGTATGGGGTATCACATCAGCATTCTAATTCTATTGAAGGGCTAGCTTTACTTACTTCTCGCGTATTTCAGGGTCCGAAGTCCGAGTTGCTAGTCTACATAGGCCGTTACTCTTTTGTATGGTTGAATGGTATTTGTCAGCTTACTACTAGTAACTAAGTTAATTCGGATTTGTCAGAATTGTATTTGCTTTTTGTTGGGTATCTCCAAGGGTCATGGGCATTGTTGGAAGATCCATGAGATAGTTGCTATTGAGATGCAACTCTGTACACCTTACTAGTAGGCCCAAGCTAATTTAGTAGTAGTTCACATACTGGTATGCAAGACCATAATGTACATTGATATTGGAATGTATCTTCGGTGAAGTTAAGAAGGTGTATATTTCATACTTCAAACATGGTACGGTATACACGTCGACTGATGAACCACCACCAGTACGATTGATTAGGTGGAATTCACAAACCACCAGTTTTTAATATTTACAATTAATCAGCCCAATAGGACAAAGTTTTCAAAGAAGTCGAGAGGCTGGGTGCTGGTGCAGATACAGACATAAATGCACCCAACGCAACGCAACGCTAAAAGGACGCTATACAAGCAATAGTCAACTGGATCCATATAGTTCACAGCTCGACTACCTGCGGCGCATTGGCCAGTTTTCCACTCGCCCTATACATGCATGCTGCATTCACCATCCACCCGCCGTGTTGACTCTCCCCGCCCCAGACCTGCGCCCAAACCACGCCCAACACGCCATAAATCAATACGCGCGCCGCATCGATCCAGCTGGCCGGGTCAAAGAGGTCGCGAAGGAAGCCAGCCAGCGAGAGGAGACGACCGTACTTTGCGCGCGGTCGGCGTGAGGCGCAGAGTCGTTCCCAGGCGCGCTGGGCTTCGTCCCAGAAGACGGGTTCGCGACCGGCGGAGTTGTGGATGTGGCCGAAGACGTGGAGGGCAGGCTTGATGCGCCATGATTCGGCGAGGAGGTTGGGACAGCCTGTTGAGTAGATGGGTGACATGTCAAGGTGGGATTGTGGCGGGGTGTGGGTGACTAGGATGTCTGTGTCTGTGGGAATGGTGCGTGTCCAGGCGTCGTGGTGAGGTGGGTAGGTGAAGGCGTGTTCGGGACCGAAGGGCATAAGTGCGGGGATTTGGGGAGCGCCGTAGATTGTGAGTGAACGTGTGTGTTCGTTGTTGATTAGAGGTGTAGTGGCGGTTGGTGGGGAGGAGGGCGCAAAGTCAAGTGTCACAGATGAGTGTTGGAGGTAGTGGATGTCACCCCAGTCGATGCGCGAGGCGGTTAGCTCGTCCAAGGACCGGATGGAAGCTGTGGAGGAGGAGACGGTGGCAAAGGAGGAGGCGCTGGTATCTTCGCGATCTTCTTCAAGGCGCGATCGCATGTCGAAGTAGCTGTCGTGATTGCCGCCAATGACGACTTTGTGTTGGTGTGGAAGGCTGCGCAGCCAGTCGACAGCAGCTTGGATCTCGCGGACGGAGCCATCATTGGCAAGATCGCCGGCATGTATCAAAAGATCGCCATCGGGGACATCGGGCCATTGGAGAGTATGTGTATCGGAGAGACAGACAACGCGGATTGGGGGATCTGATGGCGGCAGTCGGGGAGAGCCGCGGAGACGGAGGAGGAGCTGGTGGAAAGGGTATAACAGGGCGACAAGGGGGGATGAGATGAAGTAGTCGGGGATCGAGCGATGGTGATAGGGGTTTGACATGGTGGGAGGGGGAGGGAACTCGAGAAGTGGTGAAGTAGAAGAGAAGTAGAAAAGAGAAGAAGCGGAGGAGGAAATGCGGAGAGAAATGGATGACATCAGCAGCCAACAAGAGGTAGTATAGCTACAGGATAAATGGAATAAAAACGTGAAAAATAAGTGATCAATAGGGAGTACTAGCAGTAATTCTAAAGAGTATAATATATTTATATTGAAAGAGAATAACAAGATGATGGTAGGTATACTGGTATCCTAGATCGGCAGTATATAAGAGGGGATCTCAGAGAATGGAATGGATATAAAAACGGACAGTATTAAATCAAATAAATTGGATAAAAATGAAGAAGAATATAGAATACAATATAGATAGTTATGTAAATATATACAGAGAAAACAAAGGAGAATGGGCAAAGCTGAGTAGAGATACTAGCAGTCCAATACTGTAAGGGTTAACTACTGCAAAGGGGAATGGATATAAGACTGCGCAAGATTGAATGGAATAAATTGAATAGAAATGTAAGAAAGAGAGTTCTAGATCTGTGGATCCAAACGAATATATACTAAAATAGAAGAGAACAAGCATTGGAAGGTAGAGAGATAGCCTGGTTGTATAAACAATGCTCCAGTGTGTACAGAGTAGTAGTACATAGTTGACTAGGTTGATAAAATACACTTCTATACAGCTACAAGTACAACAGAAATTAGCAAATGATCAGAAACACTCTATAGCGCACTATTACTCTTGATAACAACACGATAGTTACAGAATTGTAGCACTGATGGCATACTCTAGTTGTAGCATCGGTACTCTACTCTACTTCTCTCTACTTCCGCCACTGCACTTCTTCCCTCCGCATCTCCCCTCGACTCCGACTTCGACTTTGCGGACTCGATTCCCTCGTCGCATCCTTGGCCTAGATTGCTCTTTTGCACCTTTTTCTTGCTCATTGGTATCCTCTTTCTTCGTCGTGACCTCAACATCCAAGTTCCCAGGTATATTGGCACCGATCTCAGGCCCACTTGTCGCCCGATGCGACATTTGCCACATCCGTCCCAGCTGTACTCAGCTCTGCTGCATGCGGAATCCGATCGTCTCGATTCTTCAATATTCTGATCATCCCAGGCACTATCTTGATCTTGATCTTTCTGTGTCAAAGTTGGGAATACACCACAGAGTCGGCCTGAAGTCAACCTCAAAGTCGCCACTCACCCCAGCCACTCACCACTCACCACTCACCACTCACACCAACTCAACACGGGCCCGCACACTTCATTGCCCCGCCTCATCTTGCACTCCACAAACATGGAGGGCGTTGATCTCACCAAAGTTTTAAACAAGGGAAAACAGATGGCCAGTGTCGCCGCCTCCGCCGCCAATGGCAATGGTGCTGGCAAAAAGAGGAGAAAGGGTGACTTGAAGCCCATCGTCACTAGTGATGCGACCCCCGGCGCGACGGAATCGTATGTAACTATTTTTCTTTCTCTCAGCTGCGAAGCTATCAGCTCCCAACAGCTCCCCCCCCTGCTTTATCCCAGCTCTCTTACCTTCTTTCACCTCACGTCACCGTCCACCATCACCACTAATGCCTTTCTCCAGTACCGGCGCCGCCACCGCTGCCTCCGCCTCTAAATCCTCCGCCCCCGCCTCACGATCGCCCTCCGCCTCCTCAGGTGATGAACTCGAAACCACAGCCGAAGAGGAAGACTCCGAAGACTACTGCAAGGGTGGCTACCATCCTGTGGCTGTCGGCGAAACATACAACAATGGTCGTTACGTCGTCGTGCGCAAACTCGGTTGGGGTCATTTCTCGACCGTGTGGCTATCGCGCGATACCACCACCGGCAAACACGTCGCGCTGAAAGTCGTTCGTTCCGCCGCCCACTACACCGAAACCGCCATCGATGAAATCAAACTGTTGAATCGCATCGTTCAAGCCAACCCTTCCCATCCCGGTCGCAAGCATGTCGTCAGTCTGCTCGACTCCTTCGAACACAAGGGCCCTAATGGTGTCCACGTCTGCATGGTTTTCGAGGTCCTCGGAGAGAACCTGCTGGGTCTGATTAAGCGTTGGAACCACCGCGGGATTCCCATGCCCCTCGTGAAGCAGATCACCAAGCAAGTGATGCTTGGTCTGGATTACCTCCATCGCGAGTGTGGCATTATCCATACCGATCTGAAACCCGAAAACGTTCTTATCGAGATCGGCGATGTCGAGCAGATTGTCCAGGCCCACGTTCAACAGGAGCAGGCGAAGAAGGATAAAGAAGACAATCGCAATGGTCGCCGACGGAGGCGTACCCTCATTACTGGCAGTCAGCCCCTGCCCAGTCCGTTGAACAGCAGCTTTAGCGGTTTCGACTTTAAGCATAGTTCCTCGAATTCACACAGCAGTCTCAGTCAGATGGTCAACGAAGCAGGTGAGTGCGGTCGAGATGATGCGGGGATGTTTCCTGTTCGCTCTGGCTCAGTGTATACTAACTTGACAGCATCGGGAGACCCTCCATCGATGAAGGAGTCACTTGGCATCGCAGAAGAAGATAAACAGCAAAGCCAGCGCGAAAAGACAGCGTGAGTTCACACCCCGTCTTCGCACACTCCCATTCCCATTGTCTCCCCCATGGACTGCGCTAATAGGTCACAGCGATCTCCTGGAGAGAGAGGTATCTGGTATCTCGCTCAACAAAACTTCCCAACCCGAAGACGAAATCGATCCGAATATAATCTCCGTTAAGATCGCCGACCTCGGCAACGCCTGCTGGGTCGGCCACCATTTCACCAATGACATTCAAACGCGACAATATCGTTCCCCTGAAGTTATATTAGGTGCCAAGTGGGGTGCCAGCACAGACGTGTGGAGTATGGCATGCATGGTGAGTGTTTGAAAGCCACCCACCCTCGTTCATTCGGGTTGCTTTGCTTTGCTTTGCCCGCCTCAGCTCTAACAACCATCAGGTCTTCGAACTCATCACAGGAGATTACCTCTTCGACCCACAGTCCGGCACAAAATACGGCAAAGACGACGACCACATTGCGCAAATCATCGAACTCCTCGGCCCCTTCTCCAAATCCCAATGTCTATCCGGCAAATGGTCCCAAGAGATCTTCAATCGCAAGGGCGAACTGCGTAACATCCACCGTCTACGCCACTGGGCTTTGCCCGAGGTCCTGCGCGAAAAGTATCACTACACCGTGGAGGAGAGTATGCGCATTAGCGAGTTCCTTCTCCCGATGCTGGATCTTCTTCCTGAGAAGCGCGCCAATGCGGGTGGCATGGCGTCGCATGAGTGGATGAGCGATACGATTGCGATGGAGGGTATTGGGATGGGAATCACGCCCGGAACCCGCGGTGAGGGAATTGATGGGTGGGCGCAGGAATACAAGAGGCGATGAAGGGGGCTGGCCGAGTTGGAATGTTGGAGGGAGGGGACAGCGTTGTTTTCGTGCTGAGTTGAGTGGGAGGTTACGATCTATTACATCCAGTCCGGTTCTGTCCAGCGTCTCCTTTGAGGTTGATTTTTTCTTTTCCTTTTCTCTTGACTCTTTTCCGATTTGGATTTATTCTGCTATGACCATGATGTTGTGAGTCTAACGATCTTTTTTACCTCCTTTCATCTCCTCCTCTTTCTTCTTTTTTGTCTTCTCTTACGGGAATCAGTCTGGTCGGGCCATGTCTTTGATTTGATTTTGGATTTTTATTTCGCTTTTGTTCGGGTTGGGTGTTTTTGTTCTTCTCCTTTTCCCCTGCGCTGTCCCGTATCCGATCCCACCCCATCCCATCCTATCAATGCCTGCCCCTCGCTCGCCTAGCCCGCGTTCCCTGGCTTCTATAGATTCTCCCGCTAGCCTGATATCATCCCTAGCGAGAATAAGCAATGCGCTTCTGCCGCTTGTTATCAACGTATACGATTTGAACTGCCTCGGGCTGCATTATAGATTTCATTTATATCCGTATTCGGGTTCGTATTCATTCAACTTCGCTCGGTAACTCGGCCGGAAACCAGCCTACACTCGACCAATCGATGTAGAATTCCCCCATGCTATCTTCTTTTACCTCGACGCCTTCGGAGCGGAGGACTTCTGCTTGGCGCTGGGCACTGCCGGGTCCACTGGTAAATGTCAATGCATGCGAGGAGTGGGGAATTATGAGACGGAGCTTCGCGAAGTAGAGTAAAATTGCCAGGGACTTACCGGTGAGAAATCATTCCTTTGGCATTAACGACTCGCTGCCATGGTACGGTGTCGTTTGTATAGTGATGGCCGGAGTCAGCGTCGGGTAGTGATTTGAGACATACGCCGACTTGGCGGGGTCTTTGGGCTGGATTGGTCGTTAGTCTTGGCTGATTTCGTCATATAGCCTCGTTTAGTCCTGGAGTCCTCTGGATATGATATACTGGACATGCTGGGAAGAAGGAAATGATATTGGAGACGAGGTAAACGTACGCTCTCCTAGAAGTAAGGCGATATGTCCGTATGAGGTCACTTTTCCGTGGGGGATTTCTTGAATTGCGGAGTAGACCGCGTTGGCCCATTGTTCTGCTTCTTCTGAGCGGGGCATTTTGGTCTGATTTGGGTTCAGGGTTGGATTTGGATGATCTTGATCGTTCAAGTTGTATTTCAAAGCATATCCCGGTGGAGGAGGTCTTGTTGTAGCCAAGGAGTGCCAGTGTGCTGATTGGTTGAAGGCTGGAATTTTGTTCTTCCGGTTTTTGGGTATGGTAATTTTCAAGTTGCTGTCTGATGTATCAAATTTATCAATATCCTCTGCTAGTAGTTTCGATTCTAGAACCTCAGCATATTTGATTAGCTCTTGGTATCGGTCGTTTGACGGTAAACCCGCACTGCTGAACTACTAGCTGGGAGGGTGGTTTGGCCTCATATGACAAAAGATTTCTTTTGTCAGTCGACGTTGAGTACGGAACTTCGGAGTTTTCGATTTTCATTATTGAGCAAGCAGCAACTACTAGTATATTGGTGGAAATTATCGGTGCATGATCTATTGGTATTGCTTGTAGTATGTGGACTCATTAGACCACACACGTGGAAAAGGTACCGCCTAGGTAGTACCATTGATGGGGGGGGGGAGTTAATAATGAAGTTTATTTAGCACTGGTTAGTTAATACCCACCACTGTATACAAGTCTTGAGTAATGACTTGGCAGCTTTTTCTAAGTACCTAAGTATGTACAGGGCTAGGTATAACTACTAGTATGGTGTCGGAGGGTGCTACTGAGGAGGAAGCAGATGGCTTGAAACTGGTGATGAGATGAAGAGAGAAGCTATCTAAACATTGAAGGGGCAGTCTTGGATGCCTGAGGCGCCGGTGCTGGCTAGGCACCTGCCCTCAACATATGAGCCCTGCTCTTACTTGAACACACTGGCAGATATAATCTACTAAACATGACTCAGATCTCACACTGCTGAAAATAAATTGAGAATACTAGATAAAATCAAACCAGGTGACCGGTTCTACGTCGGGAAGAGTATCTAATAGCATGGCGGGATCAAAGATGAACAGAAGCACTCGCCCCGACGAACAACTAATGCACAGTGTTGAATCTGTAGAAACACTGTCTCCGGATCCAACAAGAGGGCCATTTCGGTACTCTGGTGGTAGCCACAATAAGCATCGAGAATGCCAAGTGATAAATCTGCTAAATCTGCGGATGCTCCCGGATTGGCCCTGTAGAGAGCCGTAGTGTGTGAGACTATTGGGTCCATAAAGAGAAAATGAATCTGACACGACAGTACCATTGAAAATCTTCAGACTCGGGTTTTCGGAGAAGAAAGTATCCACATAATAGGTACCGATGAACGTCTGCATGCATTTCGCGCTTTTTATATCCCAAACCCGAACTGTGTTGTCACTAGAGCCCTCTGCAAGAAGGCTGAGGTTATTTGAGAACATTAAGGAGTATGTTCTTCCACGTGAACCTTTTAAAGTCCGAATGCACTGCCCGTTTTGAGCATTCCATATCTTGATTTCACAGGGGCTCCCGTCCTCGACCACCGCGACGGAGGCCAGAAGCCTAGAATCATGAGAGAAGTATAATTCTGATTCACAATTATGGCTGTCAATTTGACGCGGTTGTTGTCGATCCTTGGCATCCCATATTCTGACTGTTCCATCAGCTGAAGCTGAAGCGAGGATTTGAGAATCATGCGAGAAGACGACGGAGCTTACGGCAAACTGATGGCCAAAGAATGTCTGAAGGCATTCTCCGCTATATGAGTCCCATAATTTGATGCTATGGTCCTCTGAGCCCGAGACAAGAAGTTTTGAGTCATGTGAGAATTCTAATGACTCCACCCAAGATGTATGGCCGTGCAGAGTCGTAATACAGTTCCAATTCTGCGTTTCCCATAGCTTTATACCCCCATCCAAGGTTAATGAACAGGAGCTGAAAAGCTTGAAATCAGAAGAGAAAGCCAACGAGTTGACCATGTCTTCATGGGCATCAATAGTGTGAAGGCACTTCCCACTGTCAATATTCCATATTTTGATCGTTCTATCGCGTGAGCCTGACGCAAGACACTTTATATCTGGGGAGAAGGCAAAATTCGTGATGCGATCGCTATGTCCTTCCAGTTTCCGCAAAAATTCCCCATTTCCAGAGCTCCAGAACTTGATAGTCCCATATCTTGATCCGGTCACAATGGTATCGGGCCTCGGAAAGAATGCGCCACAGGATACTTCATTGTCACAACTGCCGAGGTTCGAGATGCATAGCCTCTCAGTGATATCCCATACTTTGCCAGGTGAGGTCAAGGCTAGAAGCTTCGAGTTGGACAGATAGGAGATAGCGAAAATCCAGGTTTCCTTCACATCGAAATTAGATAGACATTGTCCACTATTCGAATCCCATACCTTCACAGATCCAGTCGAACAAGACGATGCGACCAGCTGAGAATTAGGAGAGAAACAAACCGACTCGACTGGGCTTCCATGTTCGAGGGCCTGTAAGCATGGACTCCAGTGATATCCCACCATCGGTTTATGATTTATCCAACGTGGCTCCTCAGCTTGATATTGAAGTCTTGTTATACTCTTCTCTGGGCTAAATATTAAGGCACCAGCATACACTTGGAGTGGCCAGTCCATAATCCCGCTTTGACCGTACAGGATAAATCGACGGGCATCCTGTACTCTATCGATCAAGTCTTTGCCAACTCGTTTTGTCTTAATGCAAGCAACAATATAAGTTAGCAATGTGGTAACCTTCGTACGTTGTCCTCATGTTTCCATCTTTGTGTTGATATGAATACATACGTTGATCAGTGCCTCAATCTTGAGAATCAATGGTACAACATTTGAGAGACTCCTCATTAAGCTCATCGCTTCAATCCAGTGAAGATAGTTTATGCGGAAGAATTTGTCCACAGGACCATCCTTCTCGAATCCGTCTAACACATCTTCGCAGACCTTGGACGAGCATAGCTCGAGATGATCCACCCAATAAAGGCATGCGTAACGGATTGGGGCCAGCGGGTCAGGATCTGGCTCCTTGACTTTCCCTATAGGGTATCCGGGATGTACTAGATTGTAGATATCACGTCGAAGTGTTCTGTTCATTGCGTCCAAGGACCTCAAAAAAAGGTCATGATGTAACGCTGTTTCGCCATGAGGGTAGATCTCGTGGTCTGCTTCTCGACGAAGGAAATCCCTCCCAGATTGGTGAACTAGTGAGATGATAGATTTTCGGAGAGTGAGGAAGGAACCGCAAAGACCTATGATCTCTTCAAGATCTGAAAGTTCGATATGATTAGGCATATAGGAGTTCAGCTCGTCCAAGGTAATCGGACGATACACTGCGGTACAAATACCGAGTACAGACTTGCAAAGCTCGGCATCTCCGGTGTGGCGCATCTGATCAAGCATCCGCTGATAGAGACTATCAAGGCCAGCAGGAAACTCTCGTAGCTTCCTGTGAACAGCTCTTCTGGAAACATCAAATCTGGAGATTTCCTCACAGACCAAGGCCACCCACAGAAATGTACCGCGTGCATTTTCTGACAGATACTGACAAATCTCATTTCTGTCATCAGTAGAGATTTTCATTTTACTTGTTAAGATTTGAACCTTGAAGTTGATAAATGAAGCAACTGCCTTCGACACGGCAGCTTCATTGATCTCAAGCCAGAGTCTCTCTTTTCGGGGTGCTGTTTCGATGGTTTGCTCGATTGTCAGCCAATTACGGCTTGAGACGAGCCACTTAACATGTGGATATAAAGATGACTTCTCAACAATCAAATCGAGAAGAAGCCCCAAGTCTGTGGTGCATTCGTCTAGGCCATCAATTATCAAGTATACTTTTTCCAACAATGGATCTTGGAGGATACTAGTCAGTATCACTAACAGCACCTCCCAAGAATTTGCATCCTCAAAGGCCTTTGATCCAGCCCTATCATACTCACGTCGCACATGAGAGATCAGGGAAGGATTTTGATCAATAAACATGAAGATCAAACCACGAATAACAGCAACAGCATGATTTATCCGAGCATCCGCGGCCTGACAGAAAAAAAAGACAATAGTTGTCTCTGGATGACACACAACCTTGGCCAGTTCGTTAATGATTCCACACAAAAGCATGGTCTTGCCTTTCCCAGGATCCCCTTTGACCCAAAGAAGATGACTTTCTTGCTCACTATTGGACCATCGATTGAAATCCGCATTATCAAGCACCCACACGTATGCGTCTTGCAACAATCCACCCTTGGCTCGCTCAATCCTTTGTTTATCGAGGCGAGGATTGGTCGCATGCAAAGCTCGAAGGCAGGCACGATTTTCTGACACTTCTGCATTTTCTAAAGAGATATGAGTATTTGTCTGAAGCGATGTATTGTAAAATGCTTACCAGTCTGTGAATAAAAGTTTGCTGTGATATTGCCATCGTTTCGTTCGACCTGAAGGCCCGAGTTTCCAGCACCAAAAGAAGAGGTAGCCAGTTGGGCCCCAGACCTTTTTTCCGGTTTCGGGGACGAGAGATCCTCGTGGGATCGGCGCCTTTTGAGTACCTGCCTGAAATCCTCCATCTAGGTATGCTTTTTGCTGGACTCAAAGCTGCAAGCATGAGATAGATGCTACAATGATTGATGGTTGTCATATATTAATTTTATGCGAAAGCACTGCATTTTCCAAGGTTGTTTGCCTGATCACTCCCTGATCAGCCGCACCCCGCCATCAGGTGACTTTGATGCAAGGTCGATGAACATGGAATAGTGCATTTTCTGGGGCTAATACCTCCAAGGCTGCTCATGAAATATGCCTTGGATGATTTTTGATATACTATGTACTCCGGGGCTACCTAGGTAGTACACTGGCACGTAAATACTTATGTATGCCCACTGGCAGGTGATTCATGCGTCTAAGGTTTACTATACTATCCTCCGAGCTTGTCCTACTTTCCGTGGTTTCTTGTTGTGAGAATCAGATTTGAACTTCCAAGTTTCACACACAAACATTTAAAATGAACTTCAAGTACACAAGACTTTGAAAAATCTGTTAGATAATTAAAAGATGATTGCTATGGATAATTGCAAGTGTTTTTTGTTTGTTGGGATACACTTCGGAGTAAGGATAATCCGGCCATCGGGTCGCCAAATTCGGAAGGTTCCAAAGCGGAAGATCGAAGCAGCTTCAAAGTTCAAGTTTAAGTTTACTTCAAGTTCACCACAACCACTACACACATTCCAACCGTCGCCATGCCTGGTTCACTCGCCGATTACCTGGCGAAAAATTACCTCAACGCCGACCCAACCACAGAACGACCAAAAAAGAAGCGCAAGAAGACCAAAACCACCGACGCCTCCAACGGCCTCATCATCGCAGACGATGACCCTCCAGACCTGCGCAATATGTCTACAAAGACCGGCGATGACGACGAATATAACCCCACAATCGACTCATCCTTCAAATCGGCCGAGTTCCGCCGCACAAAGAAATCAACCTGGACGACCGTTGGCGGATCCGCGCCTGGCGCGGATGACGACCAAGCTGCCGCCGACGCGATTCTCGCCTCTGCAGCTGCAGAGCGAGCTGCACGAGAGGATGACGATAATGAAGAAGGGGCTACACTGGTCAAAGAGGAAGATGAGGGTGGACCGAAAATGGAGTCTGGAGTTCGCGGAGGTCTACAAACAGCAGCGCAGACAGCCGCGATGGTAAAAGCGCAAGAGAAGAAGAAAAAGGCCGAGATGGCCAAATATCAAGACCCCGCCGCTGCAGACTCAGGCTCACAGGAAACGATCTACCGTGATGCCTCGGGACGAATTATCAATGTTGCTATGAAACGCGCGGAAGCGAGGAGGGCGGAGGAAGAGAAGAAAAGAAAGAGGCGGAGGAACGTGAGGCGGCTATGGGTGATGTCCAGAGACAACAAAAGGCGACGCGGAAACAGGAGCTCGAGGAGATCAAGTCTATGCCTCTTGCGCGGACAATTGACGATGAGACTCTCAATGATGATCTTCGGTCGCAGGCTCGCTGGAATGATCCTGCGGCGGGCTTCTTGACGAAGAAGGCAGCCCCTGGGGCGAGTGTTACGGGGAGACCTTTATATCGGGGTGCGTTTCAACCAAATCGATATGGGATTCGACCGGGACATCGGTGGGATGGAGTGGATCGAGCGAATGGGTTTGAGAAGGATTGGTTTGCGTCGAGGAATAAGCGGGATCGCATGGAGGCGCTGGAGTACCAGTGGCAGATGGATGAGTAGGGAGGAGACATATTATAAACGGGGTATAGTCTGGATATACTAGTATTAATGTCGATGATAGGGTGGTGCTGATGACGCTGGCGTTACAGTGCTATCTACTACAGTTTACAGTCAGGTGTCTACTCTTGTAGTATTTAGTGTAAATATTATAACAAGCCGTATGACGATCATATAATTATCATGCTCATTAATTCAGTGTATGCAATAAAGTGTAGAATATAACTAATTACTCTACTGCACTCTGCTCTACTTTGATGTCACGTTGCCGCGGAGGTGATGTTTACCCAAACAAAACTTCTCCCCCACACAACTTCAACTTCATCTTCAACCCACCCCTCCACTTCAACTGTAGTCCACAAAATGCAGTCCAGAACAGCTGAGAGTCCGATGGAATTTGAGTGGCAGCATCGTCAACCTGGCGATGCCAGCTCCGGCTTCCATCAGGTCGCTCTGCAGCATGAGAACAAGAAGCGTGCGCCCTTCATCCCTCCCCTCCCATCAATTTCATTCCGTTCGATTCCATGCGCCTTTGCCTTTGACCCTGAACTTTGCTAACAAACATCTCATTGTAGGCACATACAGCGCGTTTGGTTCCCCTGAAAAGACAAAAGTGCCCGGTCTCCGCGCTCCCAATTCGCATCCTTTCCTTTTCTCTCAACAACCGGCTTCGCCCTCACCAGCACCCTTCACCTCGCAATCATCTTCACAGACCCCACGATTCGGCCAGTCAGCTTGGACGACACCGCGCAAACCTGCTGAGATCGATTTCTCCTCCGGCGCAGAGAACTTCTCATCACCCGAGAACGCAGACAACGAAGATACACCCGAACATCCCTTCCGACACGAACGACAAAATTCCCTCTTCAACAATCGCGGACGCTTCGCTCCTAACGCCAGTCCAGGTCGCGGGGAAATTCGCAAGAATCACTACTCCGGCGCTGTTGCCCGTCGGGTCTTCAAGAAGCGACAACGGGATAAAGAGATTGGCCGACGAGTTCGCGTGGATAGCGACGACGAGAGCGATCGACCCAGCAGTAGCGAGGGGCTACCAGGAAAAACGAAAAACCAAAAGAGATCCGGGAGGAGGGACCAAGCGACAAACAGCTCTGCATTATCACAATTATTCACCTTCCTCGAAGCACATCCCAATATGCCAAGTATCCTGTCCTGGTGGGCGCAATTGACGCTCAATGTGTCCATCTTCTCCATGGCCGTTTACGTCGTTTGGTCCGTCCTCCAGTCCATCCGCGGCGAATTCCAGCATATGGCCGAACAAGAGTCCAGCGGGATTCTCAATGAGATCCATGATTGTGCCAGCAAGTACCTGACCAATGGATGCGAGAGCCCGCGTCGCGCACCGGCGTTAAGTTTGATGTGCGATGACTGGCAGGTTTGCATGGATCGCGATCCGGCCAAAATCGGCCATGCGAAGCTGTCGGCGGCCACCATGGCGACAATTATTAACTCTTTCATCGAGCCAATCAGTTGGAAAGCGGTGGTAAGTGGTTCTGTCACTGAAGCTACAGCTGCAGCTACTCGCAGTTCCCCCCACTACAATGCAGATCCTCGGCTAACTTGTCCTTCTCGTACCAGATTATCTTCCTGGTTGCCATGTGTGTTATGACAGTTGTCAGCAACTGGTCCCTGAGCGCATTCAGAAACAACCTTAACAACCAACAAGGCTATATGCAGCAACCAGGATACTCGAACTCCTCTGATATGAATAGAATGTACCACCCGGGCCTGCTCCATCACTCGATGCCCAACTATGGGCCCCCTTCACAGCATCAGTCGCACCATCTCGCACCACCGTCCGCCGCGGATGCCGATAAGGAAAACGTGCCGCTCAGATTGGAAGCGCCGAATATGGATTTCGTCACGGAACGCAGTCGAGACCGGGAGGCCCACCTCCGCTCGCCGAGTCCCATCAAGCGGACCCGTCAGTTCTCGTGAGATCAGCATGAAATTCCTAATTGGGTAGGCGTCTTTCAATTCTGTTTTACTTTCGCCGTCCGTAGTTGGGATGGTTTGCATAGCTTGTGGATTTTATCGGAATGGCTCGGGTTGGTTGGGCTGGCCTTTTGGTGTTCATTTTATCGGTCAATATTTTTCATATCTTAGTCTCCCCATTCGGGTGTATCTTTCTTTTCTGTATTTAGCACTCTTTGCCGACTTCATTTGGTCTTGGCCCAATATTTTACTTTCTTTGACTCTGTCATATTCCATTGCAGTTGGGTAGAGTGTAGCGAGATCCTGGCGATACAGTGGCATAGATGCATTTACCTTTGACATCGATCTCCCCTTTCCTGATATAACTAAGAGAGAGTCTCATGAGAACAGTGGAGGAGCCTTTGAGAAGATCCGCGGCAAACATCGTTAACCTGAACTAACTAGGTACACCATGGCGTCACAGACGTGGAAGTATAGGAAAACTCGAATGCAAACACTTTCCCGACAAATCACCCCCGGCCAAAACAACCCAAAGGAATCTCGGCAAACTCAGATATACTCCAAAATGAACCCTCGGAACATGAAACAGCTCCACTGCAAATTAAACAAACTAACTACTAGTAATGCATCATCCATGGCCGACTTCGCCGATGGCCGAGCCTTGGCGATTTTGCCGCCGCAACCATAGAAAACCCTCGGCATCGGCGAACTCATCGCCCAACCAGATGCACGAAACCATGAAAATTTTCCGCCCGGGCCGAGTCCATGATTGGGTCGTTATGTTATATCGGCCTGACAGCTCTCGGCATCCATATGCGTCACTGCGACACCGCGCCATGCCGCGCCGTGCCGCGCTGCTGCACACGTTATCTCGCCCATCGGCGAATTTTCTTACTCGGCATCGCATGGCAGTGCAGTACATTGCGTGCGAATGCGTGGAAACGTGCAGGCGAGCCCCGAAATATGATGTTTTCGAAGAACCAGTGGGTAGTAGAATTCGGGCGAAGTGAAAAGTTTTCGTTTGGCTGTGATAGATCTAGGTATAATAAGCTTCCATCGTCCTGGTTTGGTGAAATTCATTAAACTTGAAGGTCTATCTAAACTTGATCAATACACTCGCTCTGATACACTCGCTCATAATCCTCGGATTAGTTACTATATCAAGTCTATTTTCAAACTGCTCCCCATCCACAAATGCACCACGAACCCAAACACGATGTCGAAAACAACACCACCTATCCCGAAGGCGGCCTCCAAGCCAACCTCGTCGTAGGCGGCAGCTTCAGCTCGATAATGGGCGGTCTAGGCCTAATGAACAGCATCGGAATCTACCAAGCCTGGATATCAACCCACCAACTTTCAGCCCTCAGCGCCGGCCAAATCGGCTGGATATTCGGACTATACAACTTCATGGTCTTCTTCTGCGGCATCCAAATCGGTCCTATCTTCGACGCTCGCGGTCCACGATTACTCATGTGGTTTGGCTCTGCGCTGATCATAATCACCTTCGTTGCTATGGGCTTTTGTACCCTCTACTGGCACTTTCTCGTCGTCATCGGAATTCTCGGCGGAATGGGAACAAGTTTTATCTTTATTGTCCCCGTTGCTAGTATTGGGCATTTCTTTAATCGACGCCGTGGCGCTGCGACGGGTCTTGCTTTGTCTGGTGGAAGTATCGGGGGTGTGATTTTCCCGCTTGTTCTTGAGACTCTTGCGCCTAGGATTGGTTTCGCTTGGTCGACTAGGATTATTGGGTTGATTACTTTAGTCCTGCTCATTCCGGGCGTTGTTCTCGTCAAGGCGAATCTCCCGCCCAAGCCGCCCTCGCCGCCGTCTGCGAAGGTCTTTCTGCCTGATTTGGGGATTTTGAAGAATCCTGTTCTTGCATTTACGACTTTAGGGGTGTTTTTTATTGAGTGGGGGTTTTTTATCCCGCTCGAGTATATTGCTTCGTATGCTTTGGCTAATGGGATTGATCGGAGACTGTCTTATCTGATGGTTGTTTTTCTGAACGCGGGCTCGTTTCCGGGTCGGTGGCTGCCGGGGATCTTGGCTGATAAAATTGGCCGGTTTAATACACTGCTTTTGACGAATATTCTTTGTCTGGTGTCTGTTTTGGCGATTTGGATGCCGGCTGGTGGGAATGTTGTTGCTGTTATTATTTTCTCAGTTGTCTTTGGATTCGCCAGTGGGAGTAATATTAGTCTTGTTCCTGTTTGTGTTGGGGAGTTGTGTCCTGTTGAGAACTATGGGAGGTATTATACAACGGTTTATACCATTGTTAGCTTTGGGTGAGTTCAATGTTCCCCCCGATTCTCATGGAGTACTTATTTCAACATGCTAATATCTTTCACAGGGCTTTGACAGGTGTTCCTATTGCAGGAGAGATTCTTCACCGATGCAATGGCGAGTATTGGGGGTTGATTGCTTTTGCTGGGTGTGCTTATGCTGCTGGCATTGTGTGCTTCTCTGTGACAATGTGGCTGCGGCGGAAGGGGGTGAAGAATTAAATCTGCTGTCGGTGGTGATGAAAGGCGATGATTATGATGATGAAAATAAAATTAGATTTAATGATGCATTTGAGATGAATAGACCCTATCTAAAAGCTTCCTCTCCTTACTGTACATTGTTATAGCTCCCCCGCACGACCCCGCATTCAATCACGGCTTCCCCGCACCCGCGGCCCGTTTCCAATCAATCAGGAAAGTCTCGACTTTACTTTCCTTTAACGATTTCAGGTAGCTGGAATGTCTAGACTACACTTGCCAGCACCACGTCTTCTTATCACTTTTGTCTGTGAAATTTGGATGAACACCTTCCTCTTCTGAGAGCTTGAAGAAGCACGCAATGCTATTCGATTGATCAGAATGTCCTTATTGGAGGCACCCGGCTTCCCACCCGGCCAGTTCTCCACTCTCGGGCGATGCTGCCGGGACTCAACCTCCTCAAGAGGGAAAGACACGCGCCGTTGGAATTTCCGTTGGAGTTCCCCTCGGAGATGCGGCCGATGCAGAGATACAATGTTTATAATAGGCCACCCCGAACGTTGTTCGAGTTGCTTTTGGTTTTCTATTTCGATCCGAATCTCTAACACATCCCATCAAAAGTGAGCACTGCTACTACCCCGCCATCGTCCAGGCCTACGATTTTATATGGATTTCAATGGTGCTAACCTTCGTCCCTTCAATAGTGTCTGCCAACCTGGTTCCTCTCACCGTCATTAAGGGCGCCGGCTCTGAGCATATCCCTCTTCCTCAGGGAGAGAACGCCACCCTCGCCGACTTCCACTCTATCCGGACCAACACTACCCACAGCCCCGCATACTTCACCTCTGGCTTCTACAAGATCGAGGCTGGACCCGCTCGTCCTGCCCACTACACCTTCGAGGAGACCAAGTACATCCTGAACGGACAGATCGACATCCTGGTACGTCAATTGCTTCCACCACCATCAGCGGCAGTAGATCTCTTGTATAAATACATACTAACGTTTGGCTTCCCCAGGACGAGGCCACTGGCATCACCCACCACCTCGTTCCCGGTGACTTCGCCTTCTTCAACGTCGGAACAAAGGTCAAGGTTCGTTACGACGACAACCCATTCACCGCGCTCAAATCGCCGGGTCGCTCAGAGAAAAACAATACGCTGACATGGATTTTTTTCCGGCCAGTTCTCGACGAAGTCTAGCGGTCTCGCTTTCTACGCTGTTACTCGCCCTGTTCGCACTCCCCACCCCAACCTCCAGGGCCGCGAGGAGGAGAAGAAGTCGTCTCGTCTGTAGGCTATGAATGTTATGGAATAAATGATAGATGCAATAGCAATAGATACTGGCATTTTGCCTGATGGATTCGTTTTTTGATTTGATCGAGTAAGATGTTGTATTGATTGATCTCCAAGGCTGTAGTTTATTTCCCACACTGCTACATTGACATGCAAATTGCGGCTGCGAGTGTGAGGACGGCGGCTCGGGGCTCTAAATTTTATTGAATTGAATTTAGTTTACCTACTAGTAGCTCGGTAGATCCGCAATGATGGAATTTCCATTCCACCTTTACCTAGGTAGTATGGAAAGGTAGTTCTGATACGAGAGGTCTCATGTCGCGCAGAACCGCTAGGCCTTGGACACACGTCAGAAGGTTTGTCCCATTGCACAGCCTTTGTCAGTTCACACTTCTATATCTAGGTCTTTTTTCCGGTTTAATAGCTTCTCATCCATGGAAAAGTTTCCTCTGCAATCACGCCTTCTTCCAGCAAGGTTATTCAACCCAGCGCACGTGTCTTTTACTTTGAGCCAGCATCTTTCATGCTCCACATATCTTCATATTACTATCTCCTTTATCTACAGACATTATATAATTAGTGAAATCAACCCCTGACACAATATGCTTCGTTTCCGCATCCAACAGCTACTCAACCCCCGCACAAGGCATGCCAGCAACACCTAGGTAGTTGCAAAATGACATGCATTTATTACTATCATAAATTTTATAATTTATTACAAACCCTGGAGGGAAATGCTATTGATAGATACAGTCATCCGGAAGTTCACAATCTTTATCTTAACCAGCCGTATCGGCACTACAAAAACACAACCTAGCACCCTGAAAGAAAATACCCTCCTTCTCATTTGATGAGTAAGATATTTATTTGGCGAGTGACAGAGGTATCGATAACAAGAAATTTGGACTTATCTACACAATCTCAACAAACAAGACGCCAACAATGGAGATTCAATCGGTAAGAAAACAACTTTCGGCAGGGGCAATCCACAGAATTCTGGGACCTGGCAAGGCACCTACCTGGGCTCCGTTGACAGCGGCCTCCCAGCTGATTTAGGGCCGGAGAAATTATTCCCGGCCTGTCACACTTCATGGGGGTTGCAAACACGAGACAAGGTAATGGAGTCATCTTCTGGCTTTGGTCACCATCAGATCCAGCTGACAAGTTGCAATGCTTCAACAGATGGATACGACGATTGAACTGGAATAACGGGGAAGTGGCCGCAAATGTCTGGCATGATTTTTTTTTTTTCGAAAAGAACCCGCATGGAAACCTGTCTAGGCAAAAGAAGCAGAAAACCCTCCCGGGATGGGAGAGTTAGCAATGGCATTACAGACAATTTGTTGCAGACCGCACATACTGCATGCTAATCGCGGAGTTGTTCTTCATATTCATCGAAATGTTCCGACCACTTTTCTACATATCTAACTACGCCGCGGAGCGTGGCATAGATGCGACCCTAGCATCCAACCTACCAGCTATTGTCAAAAGATTATCGATTTCTATGGCTCCCTAGTCTGGTCACATCCTACTAGTGGCTATATTTCACACCACTATTATTCACCTGGAGAGTATTCCGTTTTACCGTGTGTTACTTTCATAAATTATAGAAGAGCACAATCATGATCTACCTTTTCTAAAGTGACCCAGCGTGAATGTTGAGGACGACGAAGTTTCGACAGTAGGCAAAAGGTCCGGGCGAAGGCCACTAAGCTGTCTGGCAACCTTACCGTGGCGTCGGTTTCGATAGGAAAATTCCAGACCATCAGATATAATTCTATTCAATCTATTCACTTTATAATGTTCGTATTCATCGATACAGGCACCATTCATTACGGTCCAATTGAGAAACTCGGTGCTGCCAAATCCTTGACCAGCCTTTGAAAAGGTTGATGAAATTAAATGTGATGATTTGGTTTTAAAGTTTCTCTCCTAGTTTGTAGGCGCAATTTTTAATTGCCAGCTTTGAATGACCAAGTCAATGTTGGCCCCGATCCATCGCATCTACACTGATAAGCTTAAATCCAAGCCCCACATGCCGACCATCTGCAATGCCGATGCCGACCCTCGGGGACAGTCGGAGCAGCTCACGCTTCAAAATTGAGCGGGCGATGGAACTGGGATGCAGGTTGAATTATGATTCGCGAATAATTACTCTATTGCACGAAGAAATGTTCCCTGTCATGCATTTTCCTTGGCTGTCTACAAAATACACACAGACCCTATTGATCTCATCGCTAAGTTTATGGCGTGCGCGAGCTGCTCCACTTGTTCCTGACCCTTTGTATTCTTCCCAATCATCGCAACCACCCTGACCGCACAAGTGTCTAAATACACAGCTAACCACGAATTATCCCTATTAATTCCTTCGATCATTTCTCTTTCAATTCCCGTAAGATCCACCAGTAGTCACTTCAGCACCGCACAGCGAAAACCCATCGAAATCCACCCCAATCCACAATCCCAATCCACCGCCCACAATAAACCCAGCGCGACCGTGGCCCATCACGACATTTTCAGCAAATGAACGCAGCCCACATTCAGATGTCACCACACACGATCACAAGCACGGTGGATCGGAGAGCACCGTCTGCCCCGCAGTCTCGTGTTGATCATAATGGTTGACTTGCAGATTTCTCCCCTCCCTTCATTCCTCTCCTTGCGCACTTCGCGTTTCACGGATTCTCGCATTTGAAGGGTCGAGCTTCGATGCGCAGCGACGATGGTGGACAAAAATGACATCGATGCGGTCGCATACCGCGCGACAGATACTGAGAATAGTATCCAGAAGACGGATAGCCCGATTGATGGGGTTAGGGATCCGTTTGGGGCGCCGCTGAAGCGTCAGCTCAAGTCGAGGCATTTGCAGATGATCGCAATCGGAGGTAGGTGTGATTCTACTACGTTGAGGGGTATTTTGATTGGGATACTAAATGATTAGGTATCATCGGACCTGGATTGTTGGTTAGCTCGGGAAATGCGCTTCACGAGGGAGGCCCTGCTGGGGCCTTGATCAGTTTCCTCTTGGTTGGACTCAGTGTTTTTTTTGTCATGTAGGTCAATCTACTGCGATGCGAGTAGATCCGATGACAGATTTACTAATCATTGTAGGCAATCGTTGGGCGAAATGGCTACCCTTATTCCTGTCACTGGTTCTTTCGTCGAATATGCCGAGCGTTTTATCGACGATTGTCTCGCGTTTGCACTGGGTTGGGCATACTGGTGGTTATGGGTAACGGTGAGTGAGATAGCGGCAAGAAGAGATTCTGCATTTCCTATGCTCCCTGCATGACCTAAGATCGCTAATGGAAGTTCATTTTAGGTCCTCGCCAACGAATATAACTCTATTTCCCTCGTTATTGGATATTGGACAGACGCCGTACCGCAATGGGCCTGGATCCTCATCTTCTGGGTAATGTTCCTTGGGCTTTCAAATTTGGGAATTCTGGCATACGGAGAGATGGAGTTTTGGCTTTCCCTGTAAGTGATATTCCTCAAAGTACCTCTCTCTCTCTCTCTCTCGTTACTAATAATACCCAGAATCAAGGTGATTGCACTGATCGTGTTTTTCATTCTTGCTATTATCATTAGCTCTGGCGGTATCGGCCCTGGACCTATTGGGTTTAAGTACTGGCATCAACCCGGCGCTTTTGCGGATTCGATCAACGGAGTAGCGAAGACATTCGTTGTTGCCGGAACATTATACGCTGGAACCGAAATGTCCGTCTCTGCAGAACCCATTTACTACTCTGATTCGCGGCTAACTGTATTTTAGGGTCGGAATCACCGCTGGAGAGTCAGCGAATCCTCGCAAGGCTGTTCCGCGGGCCATCCAACAAGTCTTTTGGAGAATTTTGATATTCTATATCGGTTCGGTGCATGCTCCTCTGTGTACGATTTTTGCTAATTCCTCTCAGGTACCATATTTTTTATTGGAATCCTCATGCCATACAATGATAAGAGGCTTCTTGGTGATACCTCAAAAACAGCCAGCTCCCCGTTGACGATCGCCCTTGCGGACGCTGGAATCCTCCCCGCCGCACACTTGATCAATGCGCTCATCGTTATCAGCGTGATCTCTGCGGGCAACAGTTCTCTATACGTCGCGTCACGAACGCTACTCTATATGTCCCGCAACGGAAAGGCTCCCAAGTTCATTGGGCGCGCGAATAAGGCCGGAGTTCCTTGGGTTGGCCTTATTTTCACGAATGTGTTCGCTTGTATCGTCTTCTTGGGCCAGTCATCTAGTGCTGGCAAGGTCTATTCGGCCCTCATCACTCTGTCTGGAGGTATGTCACACCAGATCTCGCGAACTTCTGCAATGTATTGACAATCACTAGTCGCGACATTTTTGGTCTGGTCTGTTATTGGAATCTGCCATATTCGCTTCCGCAAAGCGCTCGTCGCGCAGGGTCAGGATCCTGCGAATTTACCCTTCCGCGCGGCATTCTACCCCTGGGGAACTTATTTCTCTCTGGGCTTGAATGTATTCCTCGTCTTTTTCCAAGGGTATACTTGCTTCCTCAAACCGTTCAGCCCTGACGACTTTGTGATCAACTACATCCTGTTACCGGTGTTCGCTCTGTTCATCATCATTTACAAATTCTGGAAGAAGACCAAGTGGGTCAAATTGGAGGAAATGGATATCTGGACCGGCAGAAGGGAATTTGCCGAGGAAGAAGAACCAGCCAAGGAGACCGGGCGTTGGTGGATTCGTCTCCGTGATGTTTTTGTCGGCTAGCCCTCAATTACCTTATTTATGCTAAAAAGAGATACACTTTCTGTTTTCAATGGGGCGCTCGGCATTTCTCCAAGGTTCTTAAGCCAAGATTCTCCCCTAAGCGAGCTCGCGGACCCACGCCGATCGCACTCCCGAGCCCATCATTGAGATCGATCGAGCACTCGCCGCCTCTCATCGACAACTTGGCGCTACTTGGCGTGGTCGAGATGACGCCGCTGACCAGCCGATTCTTCACTGATTCAAGTTTGGCCAATTTAGCCTCGTCGCTAGTCGCAATACATAAGTCAGACGCTTCGCCATAATGGTTCCCCAAATCTCAATCAGGGGACCCCCCCACACCTTAAACATTTGCGCCTTGTGTCGCGCGGCCTTCAATATGGGTCCTAACGCGATCGCTGGTTCGTCCTCGAAACCATCTGACTATCACCGTTTGCTTATATTCTAATGATAAAATTAGAACGCTCATTCGGCTACATCGACCCGAATTTCCCGGTTCCCCACGGGGAAAATGACACCAGTATCATTATTTATGGTTACACGCCATCGATCGCAGTCGCTGCTTTCGCCGCCGCGTGGTTTTTCGTCCATCTCATCGTCCATACGGTGCAGAACATCACGACTCGCAGCTGGTGGTGGATGACCTTTTCCGTCGGGTTAGTCTTCGAAATCATCGGATACATAGCCCGATCTCTTTTGGCCAAGCAGAACCCCTACAATCTCATCTATTTCGTCCTGAATTACTTCTTCATTGTCACGGCTCCGGTATTTCTCGCTGCAGGCATCTACACGATTCTCTCTGCGCTCATCCCAAGACTCGGCAGCCGGTACTCGTTTCTGAGTCCGAAGGTTATTTTGGCTTTCTTCATCACCTCCGATGTTATCTCGACAGTTGTGCAAATTGCGGGCGCAGTATTGGTCGGCGTGAAGGAGTCGCGCCAGGAAGATCCAACTATTGCAAACCACATTCTCCTGGGTGGGTTGGCTTATCAGGTCTTTGCTATGAGCATTTTCGTCATTCTCATGTCGACTTTCCAATTCCGCGCTCGTCATTCTATCAAACAGAATGGCCTTCGTCTGTTCTGCCTCTCGTTCTCGGTTGCTACGATCATGGTCTACTTGCGGACTGTGTTTCGTCTGGCGGAGACGGCGGAGGGTTTGGGTGGAAAGTTGTCGACGCATGAGGTTTATTTTGCTTGTCTTGAATTCGCACCCATCGCGCTTGTTGTCCTGTTGCTTGCGATCTGGCATCCAGGTCGCTGTATTGGAGCACGTGTGCGGACTGAGGTGCCCAAGTACTAACTAGTACTACTTACTACTAGTCAGTAGGTACTAGCAATGCTAGGCATCGGTTTGAACTGCTGCATTGAACACATTCAATCAAACTTCAAACGAAGTTTCTTGTATACTATTCGTCGACTTGATTATTTACGTGTCGGAACGAAGTAATGTTAATCATATACTGCTGTCTTTCTGCTCCATTTAGATAGTTCTCCCGATTCTTTTGTCTAAGGTTGGTAGTTTTCAACTTGATGTTCTTCAGGACAGATTCGGTTAACGCGGGTCGCATGTGTTGCAAGTGAAAGAAAGCACTCTCACTGGCGCAAGAATTCAATGTATCGCAACCAATGATACCCCGGTCGTAATGTATAATATATTGTTAAATATACTGTCATGCAGATCAATAAACCTTGGAGTCAGCACAAAATATCCAGCCTTGGAGTCTGAAGGTCTACAATCTCCCTCCTCTAAATCGGACTCCGTCGGAGTGCCAAGATGCATCGGCGTCCTCCGTCTGCGATAAGAAGCAACCAAACCACCTGGGCATTGCGACCGAGTTGTTATTGTTTGGTTGAAAATTTTGCTTGAAAATGATTCCTCCGAAGGTAGCTTCCTTTTTCTACGAGCTAGGAATATGCATCTCTACAAGCGACTTCTTAGCTATGCAAATTGCATCCCCACATCAACTTGACGATCTGACCGTTAAACTAACATCGTGGCCATCAGCAAGTTCACCCATTGGCCCGATAGTAACCTGCAGAAACCTCCACTTCGGCACGCAGAGGGTCCACGCCAGATTCAGCCCAGTGCCGGCGTATAGGGCACATGTCCAGATTCCGAGCGCCAGTTGATCCTTCACGCTGCTGGTTCACCCAATCATCTCTGCCCTGTACCTCATCCTTAACTCACTGTAGATCGGCGGACATTCCCGTTGGGGGAAGGGTGCTCTTTTGAAAAGATAGTTCCTGGACTTGCAGTTCACGCGGCCAATTGAATTCTTGTGTCAACGGGAAGGTCAAATGTAACATCGTTTGGCGCTGTTTCGGCTGAAGATGAGGGGGTGCCAGGAGTCGGATATTTGGGGGATATGATTATGTTTCTGCAATGCGAGAAGAACTATATAAGGCCCTGAAGATCCAGCAGCTATTGGTATTGATCAACAAAATATCGAAGATTATCCATACAATCCAGCTGATCTCCCGTTGATCGCGACCAAACCTTCAAGATGCAGTTCACCAAGGTACAAACACTCTTCCATCATCCCCGAAGTATGCCATACTAATACAAACCCCAAAGATCATCACCCTCGCCACCGTCCTTCTGACCGGCGCCGCTGCCATCGCCATTCCCGCCGATCTCGAAACCCGCGCTTGTGCCTACACCTGCGGCAGCAACTGCTACACTAGCAGCGCCGTGAGCTCTGCCCGATCCGCTGGCTATGACCTTTACTCCGAAGGTTCGACCAAGAACTCCTACCCCCACGTCTACCACAACTACGAGGGTTTCGATTTCTCCGTTAGCGGCACCTACTACGAATTCCCCATCCTGAGCTCCGGCAGCGTCTACAGTGGTGGTTCTCCTGGGGCGGACCGTGTTATCTTCAACACTAATGACCAGCTTGCTGGTGTCATCACTCACACCGGTGCTAGCGGTAACAACTTCGTTGCTTGTACTTAGATCCCACGGATAGGAAGTATATCATTATACAGAGCAGATAAACAGTATTATATGGATGCAATCGTCTATCTGGTCGATGGAACTATTTCTCTGCATTAAATGCTCGTACTGAATGTAGAAGACGATCTTTCACGTAAACACAAATGGGAATTGTGTCAACATGCTGTGTTGTCTTCCTTTGATTTTGGTACCTAGAGGCAAACAGCAATCGACACCCGCACAATGTAAAAATGTGGGATCTTGTCGTCGCCGGGGTTTGGCACCACCTGTCTGTGGGTATAACTAACTAGTTGTGATGGGACCGAGAGGTGTTCCAGGGATCATATTTTTTATCCCTTCTCGTCCGAATCTAGCGTCTCATGTATCTCAGAGACATCACATTCAAGTTACCTCCGAGTCCAGTATGCCACAGAATGTTGGCGGATTCAAGTTGGACAGAGCAGATAAGCTCGTTGTCGGGATCTCGGGGTTTACTACGTTGTTAAGGGAAAGAGGCTCGGCTGCCCATGTGAGACTCGAAGGTTGCCGTCTTGTTTTCCGGTGTATTCGGAAGTTGTTGCTAAGCTCAAGAGGCAAAGGCTCTGAGATGAGGAGCTGAAGCTACTCCCAGCTCTGAGTGAAAAGGAAATCAAAAGTGAGGCTGGGCTAGTGGGGGCATTTAAATGGGCTGAGGCGGAAACGGGAAATGTGGGAATGCGGGGATGTGGGGTGGCCTGAGCGACGCCAGTCGTGTCCAACTCGCACGCAGGCAGGTCAATTAGATTCAGCTTGGCGGTGACCATTCGATTTCAACTTGAATACGATGTCCCCCGCAGGACTTTTGGTTTATAGCTATCGTTATCGTATCGTCAGCTTTTTCGGCTTTTGAGTGGGTAGAATCGAATCTTCGAAAATCAATCTCCAGGGTCAGATGGTTGAGACGGCATAAGGCTTTCCTTTCAGCTCGCAAGGTCTTTTTCTAGACTGACTTCAAAACGGTGTGTCCCTTGCAACGGTTATTTTACGCAAGGAAAACTTTGAAAGCGATAGCAGCAATGACCAAGACGGCAAATTTGACCTCGTCGAATATCAGATTTCACATTTTCAAGAAGAGACAAGAAATTGTTTGTCATCGTTTTCGCGACACTACAATAGAACGTACATCCATAAATGCCGACGCATCAACAAGGCAATACCTTAGTTAACAGATTGGTAGTGCACTTGGGTTGTTCTTCTCCTCTTGACTATGTGCAAAATACCTAGGTATGATCAATGACAACAGGAAATTCTTATTTCTTCAAAGGTTAAGCCGACACTCTGAGATTGAAAATATGCGGGAGTGAGAGAATGTGAACAAACAACGGCTACCCAGGTATGCCACAGGAGGTCTTTTTGGGGAACGCATCACAATCGGGAGGCTATATTTGGTAATTTCCAAGGTTTACTAGTACCTAATAGTACTAGTAGGTATTTCTACATAGAGAAGCATGCTCCCGCCGTTCAACACATAAGTGCCGAGATGTGATTAATATTCAAGTCTACCAAATATGTAAACTCAGAACGTGGGGTAAAGCCGCGGGCCAGATTAGCATTGAGTACCCAAGTTGAAGTCGAGGTTACAACACGGTGTACTACTCCCCAAAAAAGGGCCCAAATCAAGCCCTCAAGTGAATGCGATGGCCAAGGTAAGCTCGATTTTCAAGAAGAGCCCCTGCAGGATACGAAGCAGACAGCATAGACGGGGGTGGCATGGAAAGATATTTGATGAACTAGATACAGGGTCCAATTAATATTGTGGGAATTTAATGTGGGGCCGGTTATTTTCCAGGGGAGCTGTTGTACAACAATCAAATTGAGTACATGAGCATCACATATGATATAATTAGTATGTAGTATCCGCCGCTTGAAACCATAGATCTCCAGTGGCTGTTATTGTTTAGATTTTGTCCTGAAAATTGAGATACCTATGTATAATTCTGATACTAGTACTAAGCGCTAGTTTTCTTGAGCATTGCCGGTGGTGATGCCTAGATTTGAAACTCTCCAATTCATAAGTGTTTAAAGCGTTTTCTCCATTCTTTCTCCATGATGAATAGCATAGATCTCCGTAAATTCAAGAACTCACCGGGCGCTCTTGGTACTGAAAGTCTAATCTGAGCTGGTGACCGATAGTTAAGCCCTAGCATGAACACAATTTCCTCGTTCGTCCACCATCATTAGTACCTAGACGTCGATTAGCATACCGTAGCATGGAGAGCACTCCTATCTACGACTATTAACAAACTTCATGGTCCTCTGGGCTCCACTTGCGATCGCAGCACCATGATCCCATGACCTGGCCATTTGACCCCACTGGCACTGACCCTGCATCAGATACTTGGCGAAGGGAAATAGTATTTAAGCCCTCATAAATCCGAGTCTTGGGTTTAGAGCCAAATTACCGAATGATTTTCCTCAGCCCACCACTTAAATACGGCTACGATAAGAAGTCCGATGCAATTTAGGATTTTGTGGAAGCAGAATGCTCACCCGGTGATGTTATTCTTTGAGAGAAGAAGTCCTGTCCCGAAGGCAACAAGTCCGTGTTCGGATCTGAGACAGAGTTTCATACTTCAGAGGATGCACGGGTGAACTTATCAGCCGAATTTCGTGGCATGTCGCATATCAAATATTTCACCTACTAGTACTCTCTATGAGAGCATATAATCCTAGAAAGGACAAAGCATGCAAGCCAAATAGCTTCCGACCTTTGTTGACCTATCGTTTATCACTTCGTATATCAGATAGTAAACATATTTTGGTTCCTGAATGCTGAAAATTAGCTCCACAAGAAATGCTGACGCCTACCTAGCTCCGGCATACGGGGAGTTCATATTTCCGCCGAAGGCAGATGATGCTTTTGACAACCTTGGAACGCTAGACATGAATACTAAATTCAGGCTGAACTCAGAAAGGTGCTCTAACCATCAACATACCTCCGAGTCGCCGAGAGCAACCATCTAACGGATGCTTCCGTTTTTAATTGGCCACGCGCTGAAACCCCACCATCAACGTTCTAGAAATGCCAGCATCCTGTGTGTCGGTCGCCACGCCGAGGACTGTTCGGCTTCTCCAAATTGCACCAGCCATCGGCCTCTTTCTCGGCCGGAGGAGAATCGGAGTAAGGTGGCGTTTATTCTACATAATTCACGCCCAGTCTGGACTCCCTCTCTACTAGTTACAGTATCCAGACGTACTGTATTATGATCACTGGGGCGCTAGAAGGTCCGAGTCGCGCGGAGGCTTTGCTCAGTGATGACATATGCTAGAAGACCCCCCCTTTACCCCCAGGGATGCATAATCAAGTCTCCATGCGGGGATCCTCGGATTCATGCATACAGAGTATCACTGCGATGGCAGCTGTTTGCAATCGCTGATTGACGTCAGTCCCCTCGGCATACTTACCTGTGGGGCATTAAGCGTGCAGGGGATTCGTGAATAGCATCGGGTGGGTCAACGTGAAAACCGGTATGACGCATAATTTTTTCGTAGTAATCAGTACCAGAACTCAGAAATCTTCCAGCGAAAAGAAGCGCACGTACCTGGCGTTTGTGGAATTCCGTTTGACTTCCCGTCTAGCCGACTTTTGGACCAGAAATTTCGTTTTTCGTGTAACCTTCCCAAGGGGTGCGATGTTATCAAGTAGCCGTGCGGCCCCCGTCGATCATCCATGTCGCCATTGGTTTCGGATGCATTCCTAACCCTCTTCCCGAGGTATTCCCGTCAGTGCGATTGGCTGGTTTGCCAATGATCCTCTCTGGGCGGCGTCCCACTTTTGGGGGTTTGGCTGCTTCTTCAGACCTCGATTTCGACGAGACTGAACTTGAATCGGATGGGGGAGGAAAATTGAGCAGGTGTCAACGCAAATATTTCGTTCCAATCAATCCCAGCATATATCCCACGAGCAGGCTTATCAAGTAAACAGTCAAGTAGCGATTATCAAAATTGGCGCGCAAAAATCTGCAAACATAGCCGCATTCACCTCGGCCGACCCACACACCCACCCAAAAGTGCATCAGAGGACCCTCTTTTAATCAGGTTTCTAGAGCTATGACGCTAGAAGGCCAGTCTCAACATCAAAGTTTTACTGAGTGTACATAAGAAAAGGGATGGCGGTCGCAGAATTCCAGCTGACAACAATCCCCAGTCCCGACCATCCCACGATTACCCCGGATGGCGACTGACTCCTCAATTTCATCCGCTGAAAAGCGCGATGAGATCATCCCATCGACCGAGAAGCGCGAACTCAAGGAGGAAGACGCGTACGATGTATTGGGCTACTGCTGGCCTCGCTGGAAGAAATGGTCTTACCTCGCCGCTGTCGCTTTCGTGCAGGTGTCCATGAACTTCAACACCTCAGTCTATCCCAATGCTGTCAAGCCCCTCGCGGCGGCATTCAACATCAGTGAACAACATGCTCGGACTGGTCAAATGGCCTACCTAGTCACCTACTCCATTGGCTGTGAGTTGTGGGCGCCATGGAGTGAGGAATTCGGTCGCTGGCCCATTCTCCAGCTCTCCATGTTCCTTATCAACATCTGGCAAATTCCTGCTGGTTTGGCACCTAACTGGGGTACTATTGTCGTCGCGCGTGCATTGGTACGTAATTCTCGATCATTCGATGTCAAATGTCACCTATATGCTAACCAGTCGCAGGGTGGAATCTCCACTGCCGGTGGTAGTGTGACTCTTGGTCTTATTGCCGATATCTATGAACCCGATAATCAACAATTCCCATTGGCCTTTATCGTCCTTTCTTCGTGCATTGGTACCAGTATTGGCGGTGTCATTGGTGGTCCAATCGAGCGATGTGAGTATTCTCCTGTTTCTAGTCCGGGAACTAGACTAACCTATCACGACTATAGTCCTCGAATGGGAATGGTTCTTCTGGATCCAACTCATCTTCGGTGGTGTCACTCAGGCAATCATCTTCTTCATGCCCGAAAGTCGATCGACCATTCTCCTCGACAGGGAAGCTAAGCGTCGTCGTGAAAGCGGCGAAGACCCGAACGTATACGGACCGAACGAACTCAAGAACCCCCGTGTGTCTCTCAAGGAGGCCGGCAAGATTTGGTGGCGACCCTTCCGCATGCTTCTGACTGAGCCCATCGTCTTCTGTCTGTCCCTGCTATCTGGATTCTCCGATGCTCTGATCTTCACTTTCCTGGAGAGCTTTGCTATTGTCTACGAGCAGGGATGGGGCTTCGGTATTCTGGCACAGGCATGGGCTGTCATTCCTATCAACCTTGCCTACTTCATCACATACTTCACATATTTCCCTTGGTTCTGGCGCGATGAGAAAATCCGACAGACCAAGGGCAACGATGCGCTTACACCCGAGCGTCGCATGAAATGGCTCTTGTTCCTTGCGCCGTTCGAACCGATCGGACTGTTCGGTTTTGCCTGGACTTCCTTTGGTCAAGAGCGCGGAATTCCATGGATTGCATCCATGATCTTCTCTACCATGGTCGGTATCGCAAACTACGCGATTTACTTGTCTTCGGTCGACTACATGATCGCTGCGTATGGTCCCTACTCGGCTTCTGCTTGCGGTGGTAACGCCTTCGCTCGTGATCTCCTTGCTGGTATCTCGGCCATGTACGCGACTCCAATGTACAACAACATCGGAAACAAGTGGCACGTCGAGTATGCCAGTACGGTCCTGGCGTGTCTGTCTTGTGTCGTCGTTGCCCCCATCTATGTGTTCTACTGGAAGGGTCCTGAGATTCGTGCCAGGAGTAAATTTGCTTCTGCGCTTGCTGAGGATCGCAAGCAGAATGAAGGCCGCAGAGTTAGCAAGGCTGCTCCCGAGCAACTGCCAGAGAATGCCTAACCTTGGAACCGTCAAGCTCAAGTGGACTTGAATTTCCTTGAAGGCCCCGGGCTCTCGAGGTTCAGTGACCTCAGAGGATCGACTTCTATTTGTTTGCATCCGTTAGATACGGGTTCGGAGTTGGTGATCTGATGATTTAGATGTAAATACCACGCATCACACCTACCCCGTAGGTAGTATACTATTTTACGACTGAGCCATGATTATAAATAGTACTGATTAATGTACCTGGAGGTACTTATTTGAAGTTTTAAAATGCATACCCACTACCTACAAGGCAGTAACTATTATCCAAGGCTTTCACTTTCACTAGTAATTCTATTAGTAGTAGCACTTCTGCATGAAGAAGATCAATTATACTTCTCACCTGACAATGCCACTCAGAATTGCCAGATGATACCATGAGATAGAGCATTGGCGAACTGGTGGAGTGGAACAAAGACGCGGACAGGGGCGATCGGAATTAATTCCGGGGGACTTGTGGGGGTCAACTAGAATGTTTTGTTGCGGTCACTCACTCCACTTGTCTCTCCACTCTGGACAGCAGCGACCACCAACAATTAGTTAACGATTGACGACCAAGTCAAGGTTTACATAATGAAGCGGTCGATATCAAGGCTGGCAAATCGTTCCTTGTTCTACGCGAGGAGACATGCCTTCAAAGCCGCTGGAGCCACAAGCCGAGGTTACGCGACCGCCACGGGCCAACCACGATCGTTGACTCCCTTCGCATATGGAGCTGTAGGAGTGGCCGTGGGAGTTTTGGCTACGGCTGGTATCTTGCGATCAAACGATACAGGATTGAGAAATAATGATGGTACGCCGTCTTATGCCGATAAATCGACGATGCTCAAGGTGGAAATCCCCCAGCCGCGTGAAAGAGACTCAGACTGATAAAAGACAGGCTGCAAGAGAAATCCAGAGTCTGCTGGGTGAAGACGCAGTGAGCATGGATGTAGATGATCTCGAATCTCATGGGTATTCGGAGGCATCTACTTCAAACATCGACAATCGCCCGGTCGCAGTCATCATGCCTACTTCCACCGAGGAGGTGTCTTTGATTGCAAAGATCTGCAATGAACATCGCATCCCCATGATTCCATTCGGCGCTGGATCGAGCGTGGAAGGGAACTTTACTGCTCCTTATTCCGGATTTAGTATTGACTTGTCACGCATGGACAAGATCATTGCTTTCCACGAGGACGACCTAGACGTCGTTGTTCAGCCCGGTGTCAATTGGGTGAACCTCAACGATACGCTCAAACCAGCGGGTCTTTTTCTTCCTCTCGATCCCAGTCCTACAGCTCATATCGGTGGAATGGTCGCGACAAACTGCAGTGGCACAAACGCTCTTCGCTATGGGACGATGAAAGACTGGGTCGTGAACCTCACCGTCGTTCTTGCAGATGGATCCGTCATCAAAACACGTCGCCGACCGCGCAAAACCTCTGCCGGATATAACTTGAATTCTCTGTTCGTCGGATCGGAAGGCACTCTCGGGATTATCACGGAAGCAACTTTGAAGCTGGCAAATGTGCCTTCGCACTTTGGTGTTGCCACTGTCGCCTTTCCAACCGTCAAGGAAGCATCCAACGCGGCGACCGCGATGATTCGCAGCGGAGTATCTCTAGCTGCCTTGGAACTGATGGACGATGTTCAGATGCGCGTACTGAACCAAGTTGGAGGCACTGCTGGAAAAATGTGGCAAGAGAAACCTACTTTGTTTATTACATTTTCCGGCTCACAGCGGACTGTCGAAGATAGCACGGGGGCCTCACAGACTATCAGCTCCGCCTACGGAGGATCGGAATTTGTTTCTGCTACCGACGAGAAGACGATGGATGCTCTTTGGTCAGCGCGCAAGTCCGCTCTTTGGGCCATGCTGGCGATCAGACCAGAGGGCACGCAGATTTGGTCAACTGATGTTGCTGTCCCACTCTCACACCTCGCTGAGATTGTTGAACAGTCCAAGGAAAACTCTTCCAAGCTTGGCCTTTTCTCGACTGTATTGGGGCACGTTGGCGATGGCAACTTTCACCAAACTGTTATGTATAATCCGGAAAAGTCCGAACAGGTGGAGGGGGTGAAGCGCTGTGTTGATACTATGATCATGCAGGCCTTGAAGATGGATGGTACAGTATCCGGCGAGCATGGAATTGGTCTTGGAAAGAAGGAATGCCTGGAGAAAGAACTGGGTCCAGCTACTATCGCTGTCATGAGGGCTCTGAAGAAGAGCCTAGACCCTTATTGGTTACTAAACCCAGGGAAGGTCATAAACTTCTAGTTTATTGCCTCAGGCACTTGATGGTGTTCTGCTTGTACAACTTGAAATAAATATATGGGAAAGTCCGAGGTCAACTTGGAACTTGAATCGATTTATCTACCAGGTGTCATGCACTTCAATCTTCCGAATCATTTGAAGGATCAAGAGGATTGAGTTGGAAAGAGATATACTAGTACTATTCCTCAAATTTGACTACTACTTCCTACCCAACCTTCGAAAAGAAGAGGCGATCTAGATTGGTGCCTGAGGCTCGACACGAGATGAACATGGACATAAATTGCCCAGGTATTTTCCTGGCATCGAGGGTCAAAAAATAAAAATTTTCCTATATTTAAGCCCGGTGAACAATTAGCTATAGTGTCAATCACACCTTAATAGATTGGGGGCCTGAAGTGGTTGAGAGGGGGAAGTGGGTGGACTCGGAGATGCTCGATAGCCGAGTCGATCCCCGCATCATCTCCGACAAGTCCGAGCGTATCTTTAACATCTCCGCACTGGCTTCCACCTCGGTGCTATTGATTTTCTTTTATTCCACGTCCGTCGGCTATCTGTAATATGGAGTCGCCGAGGGGAAGCGCCTCCGTCTCATCGCCACAAATCCCAACAAAGCGCAAAAGACGGACCTTGTCATGCTTACAATGCCGGCGCCGGAAGTTGAGATGTGATCGAAACCAGCCTTCTTGCACTCGATGTCAGGGCCAAGGAATTGAATGTGTTTTCGAGCATCCCCCGATAAACCAGCAAAGGCGAATTGCCGACAATAATCAGTCCCACTCGGAACGTCGGGCTGATACGCTAAATTCACCAATCGCAATAATCACACCCCCGCAGGGCCAATATGCCCCTTCAGCAACGATCAGGAATCCTACTTTGGAAGCCCCACAGAGCCAAGGAACTTGGGGGCTTTTAGGAGAGCAAGCGATGAACCCCTTGGTTCGTGAGAGGCCCGCCATCATGTCAGATTCGGTACAACTACTGGAGCCCCCAAAGCCTCGGAAGAAGGAAAATGTCATCTTTAGGGGGAAGAATTTCAAAACGCAATTTTATGGAGGGAGCAACCCCACGAGCTTGATTGGTGATGTAAGACCTATTTTGCTTCTTTATGAGACATTTTACGTGCTCAATCTGATTCTTGCTAGTTCCCCGAGCTCCGCTCATTTATGCAGGACAGCATTAAGCAGCACCCATCGCTTCCACGTGTCCAGCGTGAACTAAAGTCTTTGCAAATAAAATGGAAAGCAGAGAAGCAAATGGTATTTCCCTCAATCAAAGGGGAGTTCCTCCATCTATTTCCGGATGAAGAAACGTCGAATCGCCTGATCCATGTCTACCTTGACACTGTGGAGACTACATATCGGGTTGTCCATGTCCCAAGCTTCTGGAAGGAGTATCAAAGCTTTCTAGTGAACAAAAAGTCTGCCAGACCCGCGTTCGTCATTCTTATGCTATTAATGATGTCCACAGCGAGCTGTTTGTCGGGAGAAAAAAGCACTCACGTTGGTGACAGCGCCGTTGTACGCGAACGTGCAGCGTTATGGATCGAAGTGTCCGAACAGTGGCTGCAAAAGCAAAGCCATAAGCAAATTTACCTAGCTATATGGCAGATCCGTTGTCTGTTACTTCTCTCCAAACAGGTCAATGTTATTAAGAAAAAACGCATCTGGACAGAAGCAGGTACTCTTCTTAGGCAGGCCATGGCTGCAGGATTTCATCGAGATCCTGGGAATTTAGGCCAAAAGTGCACTGGCTTCGACCATGAAATGCGACGACGATTATGGGCTACCATCACCGAGTTGGAGCTTCAGGCCTCGATTGACCGAGGGATGCCTTCGGCACTTGCAGGTGTCTCGTCGGACTGTGCGACTGTTCAAAATATTGACGACGATGATCTCATAGATGAAGCTGATGACACATCCCGATCCAAGGACTGGGACCGATACACAGCGAGCTCTTATCTGCATGTTTCAAGATCCAGTTTCGCTCTTCGTGCTACCCTGAATTCCTTAGTCAATAACCTCGGTCTTCCACTACAATGGGAACAAGTCGTGGATTACGAAGAGTTGGTAAAAGCCGAGGTCGAAAATCTCCCGTCTTGGATGCGATCAAGTCCTAGTGATGGTGGTGGAGGGCTATCGGGAGCCATTTTGCAGATTCAGCTGCAACAGCTTTTAATTCTTCTACACATGCCATTTGCCAGAAAAATGGATCCCAATTCTCGATGCTCCGTCTCCCGGATGATATGCTTTCAAGCAGCGCAGAGAATCCTCGAGCAGGTTCGGAAGTTATCCCAACATCAATACTCGTTCATTTTGCTCTTTCGGCAAGAATACTTTCGAGCGGCGTTGGCGGTTTGCCACTGCGCATACATAGCTCATAATATTCCAGGTACTACTTCTTGAAACTTTTTTGTTAGGGCAACGGCTAATCGAAAATTATAGGAGATCTACTCGGCACAAACATTAGACCATCCATCGAGTACCTTGACGATTCCTTGATGTTGTTTGAAGATAGAATTACGCGCCTCGGCACTGATTTCACACGATATTGGTACATTTCCGCCGGTCGATCGCTGCTTAATTCAGCTGTGGATCCGTCGGATGAGACCAGACAAAAGCAACAAGCAATCGAACATGTTGCGAGGCAATACCACCGAATCCGGGGCTCTCAAGAAGATTCAATATCCGTAAAGATGAGGGTATGTAAACGGAAGCTCTTTGCCAAAAACAAACACTAATTTGACTATACAAAGCTCAACTTGACAGAGCCCCCCCGCAACCGGTGACCCCAACGCTCTGGCAACATTTTACGACTCATCGTATGATTACGAATCAGTTAATCCGGTATGTCTTCGGAATTCGATCAAGTCGAAATACCTCTGAATGTTGCATATCTAACCCCGGCCAGGTTGATTTCCCTTTGGAGTCTCTGGAGGAAGAGTTCTTTTTCGGCGATCCAGCCGCTTGGACATTCTCGAACTTTGAATTAATTTGATCGCGATATCTTGCTAGTACTAGTATTGTAGCAGCAATGAAAGGACATATAAATCAAGATTCATCCACCCAAAGAATTCAGATATTTCAAGTGAGCCGTAGTACATTCCGAAAATAGGCACCGGGTATGAAGAGGCGACTCGGAGACGTAGGTTCCGAGCGAGTCAAAAGGTTAAATTGGTCAATCTCACCATACACAGTATAGGTCTTGCGTTATCAGATCTCGGGGCTATCGGGATATGCATAGTCGCTCCTTGATAGGTTGCATCCTCTGCTCGGAGATTGTTGAAGCCCTGAGATCTAAAGCCGAGAGACCGACCCATACAGCTCGGAGCTCTAGTATAAAAAGGACATGAATCCAGCAAAAAGTAAACCTCCCAACAAGCGACTTGAGCACATTTTAATTCTAAGTCAATTATACTCTACGTCACAAACGTTCAACATTTCCCGCCATCGAGATGTCTTCCAAATCTACCGATCAGACCAAAGTCGTCGATGCATACATCAAAAAGCATCTCATCGGCACCGACGAGGGTCTCGAGCATGCCTATACAAACAGCACCGAAAAGGGTCTCCCAATGATCGCGGTCTCTCCGGCCCAAGGAAAATTTGCGTCGATGCTCACAACCATTGGTTCCGCGCGCAACGTGCTAGAGATCGGCACTCTTGGCGGATACTCTACCATCTGGTTCGCCAAAGCCGTCAAAGGGCGCGGGAAGGTCACCAGTATCGAGGTTTCGCCGCATCACCGTGATGTTGCCATTGAGAATCTGCGCGCAGCTGGTGTCAGAGTGCCGGAAGAAGTGGATGTTTTGCTCGGAGCAGGCCTTGAAGTTCTACCTAAGCTGGCAGCAGAGATAGAAAAGGGGGAGAGAGAAGCATTCGACTTTGTATTCATCGATGCCGACTGGCCTAATCAGTGGAATTACTTTGACTTTGGACTTAAAGTGTCGAAGGGCCAGGGGGCTGTTATTTATATTGACAACGTTGTTCAGAACATGTTGGAGAGCGGCATCGTGGGGAAGAATCAACGAGATGAGGAGGCTGTCGATGTCGTTGCCAAGACTGGAGCAGACGATCGGGTCCATGCTGTTGTTATGCAGACTGTTGGGTCGAAGACTCATGATGGATTTTTGTTAGCTATTGTGAAATAGTTTCTTATGTTGGAATATAACCGCAATGCAGCTCGGTTTTATTTCTATAAACATCTCCTTTCGCAGATAGACAGTGAAACTCATCATGCCGACTGTGATGTTCCATTCTTCGCTTTATTCCCATTCTCATCATCGGAAACAACATGCTCAGAGTCCAGCTCTTCAACCTGATTACCAAGGAAATTGACAAATTTAGGAACCTCATCAGCCTCAGTGGGCTTCAAAAATACTCCAAGTTCTCTTGTCTGCGGTAAATGGCCTTCGATGTAAGAGTCGCGAGTCAAGAGAACTTCAACCATGTGACCATGCCATGGACCACGCAGGAATTCCATTATTGGCAAATCGAGCTCGTCAAACTGAAGATGGAATTTTTTGACAAGCTGATCAAGTTGCTTATAGCAATGTTGATCTTCGTCCTGGATACTTTGTACCTCCTCTTTATCCATGATAAAATCCGCGTAAGTATGATAAGGCGGCCAAGTCGTGATCTCAATGCAGCACGTGTGTCTCAATGCAAGTGCTTCAAATGTCATTAATCGGATAATGCTGTGGTCTCTTTCTGATGTCGTTTCTGTCAAGTCAACGAGAGAACTCAAAAGCTGGAAATATTGAGCCCTCGCCAGCGGATCGCTGCGAGACCAGGGCCACTCCAGAATCCTGTTAGATCTCCGAAGAGCCACCAAAAGTGTGGTACAGCCTCCAGCGCAACATCGGCAGGTACAGCAGTCTTTCACAAACGGAACTAGCACAATGGTGCCTTTGTTCTTTTTGGTCCACGGTAGCGATTCAAGCATGCCTTTGCTAGAGGTCATGTCAGAGCGAACCGTACTTTCAAGGTGGCTAGCGAGCTGAGAGCCCACGACATGAGCAATTGTTGTATTCGAAAACGGTAGCTTTTTCAAAATGGATGCCCCTTTATTAACAAGCCATTCCAGAGCTCCTTGACGTAGCTGGTAATCCAGAGCGCAGGTCATCAGGGGTGTTAAACCACGGGCATCTGGTATATCAATGTCTCGAAAGCCAGCCCGAAATAGATCATCCCAGACATCCAGATTATAGGGAACGTTATGATACACCGACCCCTGATCTTTCAACTCACACCGTAGAGAGTGGGGGATCGTCCACCCATTTCTGATTATCTCGGTACATACCCGAGGTGCGTGGACATCAAGAATGGTCTCATCACTAAAATCAGTGAGTATCTCAGCAAGACATCCTGCTGGTAAGCATGACTGGGCCATATCATATAGCCTTTTCCGACGATTCCTGTACTCATTAATCAGGAGTAACCGGGCCTTTTTTGACGTGCAGAAGTATATGTCAAAGTTTTGAAAATTGCATCCACCTTGCAACAAAGGAATAATTGAATCACAGTAATCGCCACAATCAAAATCAGTGGTATCAGACGTCGAATATGGACAGTATCCCAGTCTTGCCTGAGAGGCATCGGCCCCAAACTCCAAGAGGATATGAACACCATCAGGCCATCCTACTGCCAATTCGAGCAATGATAAATGCTTTATGCGTTCATTGGCCAAGTTCGTACTCCCGCATTGTAACGCTTCTCGCAGTTCCTGCTCCGATTCTAGCATCAGTATTTTGACAATTTCGGGTAGGTCCACCACTTTGAAGATTCTTTGTCAGAGATAGAAAGAAAATATGAAACAGGACTCGGGATTTGAACTTACAATCAATGTTCCTACGGAGGAGGCAGCGAAGATTTTCCTTCCCAAATCGCGTATAGGGCAAGAAATCCACAATAGCACCATTATTAATGAGGTACAAGGCAAGTATATGATCGCCTTCTCCCCATTTTTGATTTATAATGATTTTCATAATCAAGTTACGGGTGGAGTTGCGGATGTTGTAACCACACTCAATCGCGAACCGCATAAATTGGGACAATAAGTATCGGCCCGAGTTGGTTTCCCTGTTTGGATAAACGTTCACCAACCAGAAAGCCCACTTTGCTGACACAGTTAATTGAAAGTTGGCCAGGGCATGATGTTCGGAATCCATCTACATACCTCAACAACCGAGACTCCTTCTTTCGTTATATCATCAAGTCCAACTTCCCCTGCCGAAATGGCCTTTTGAAAATCACTGATCAATTCTTTCTCAGACCGCTGTAGCAATTCAGGATCATCCATGAGTCCAATCTTCATCAAGCGGCCGAGGTGCATTACTTTTTCCGCCCAACAGTCTTCGCCCCGATAGACCTGCACCTCCAAAACCGGTGAAATGGAATATACCCCCGCTCCATTTGAAAGCGAGACTGAGAGAGTGATCTTTCGATGAAGCCAGCCACTATAATACTGAAACAATCTCTTGGCTGAGTCTTCACGGCGGGCGCACTTAGTGAATGGTGTCATTGCCAACAGACGAGCTTCGATATCCAGGTCGAAATCATCACTTTGGGTGATGAGATCGGATTGTGAATTTGAGTCGGCGAGACTAGCGCATTCACCACAACGATCACACAGTGATTTGAGCAATGAAGGTGCTGGCATGTTATCTCTCGGAAAGGTAGATAAAGTAACATGCTATAACAGCTATTAGACAAAGGTGCGAAGTTTGAGATTGCAATCAGAGTCATACAATATCCTGCACGAGTTTGAATGTATTTTCTTGGAAGCAATTTGTCTTCTGTGCCTGCTGGGCATTGAATCTAGAGACCCTTAGTCGCGAAAAGCATGAAAGATAGGCTGATGGCACTCACATTGTCAAGGCGAGTTGTATCGTCGATTGTACACTATCCAGATCATCCTTGATATCTCGCAAGGCATCTCGTGCGCGAACTGGATAGGCCACATTCTTCCATTTGTTCCTGAGCTTTTCTTTCAGACTATCTGAAATGACAGGCTTGGCCTTGGCGAGCCTATTCTCAAGTCTTTTCAAATGCCGCTCAAGCTGCGACGCCTTCTCGGCTATGTCATTTGCAGTTTCAGAGTTCGTTACCTGGGTGTCTTCTATAAAATCGCGTAGTTGTTTGAGTGGTCCTTTCAGTGATTCGGCTTTCAGGCCGATACTCTCGATTTCGGCGTCATAGTCGCGGAATGCCTCCACGTACTCGGTGATTTGCTTGCATAGCTGGATACCTAGTGAGATGATACCGACCGCACCACTTGCGATCGAGAACGGATCGGACATGATGAACTCAGTTCTTCCGTTTCTTTCGCATTCAAAGTGGCATCCTCGGTAGTTGCAATCGAAAAGATTTCAAGTTGGGAGCATGGTGGTTACTGGCATTTCAATCCAACACACCGACACGAACACAGCCCGTAGACAACTCAGCCTCAGAGCCAGGGCCCAGCGCATAGCTTTGGGGCTGGCGCTACCTCAAACAAGTCCAGATCGCGTGGCTCCAATCAACCCCGGAATAAAATGCGGGGCAGATGCATCACGGCCCCGTTGTAATAGGTCGGAATCAGCAGATACCATGCGCCAATGTTCTGCTTGTGAGATCCAGATAGAGGGGTTGTTAGCTTTTTATCATAGTGGAAATTATTCTAGCTGACATGTCGAAAATTTCACAACTTCCAGTCCATTTTCTATAAGGCTGAGTCCAGTTCTTCCGAACCGTAGGGCTGAATTCAGCCACTTCCGCAGATCTACACGGATCCCTTTACAAAAATTATATTTGAAATAATTCGATTGAAATGAAGAAATTTCATGCTGATGCATTGCACTTAAAAGCAAATAGCTAATAATTCGAGTCTTTCATGCCTGAATCCCCTAATCATAATACTCCTCATCATACTCAGCCTGATCCTCCCTACCATCCTCATAAGCCTCCCTGCGCATCTCATTCTCCCGTTCCTCTTGTTCCTCACGATCAGAGGAGTCATCAGAGTCTAGGCATTGAAGTTAGCAAAAATATCCTTCAAACTCAATTAAGTATCTGGAAGGGGGGATGGGAAACATACTAGTCTCATGCTCAATCACTGCACCCGCAATACCACCAAGCGCCAAACCCGCCGCACCAGCCGCAAGATATTTGCCCATATTACTGGACTTCTTCTCCTCCTCCTGCGGGGCATAGCCGCCGCCACCGCTGTATCCGCGCTCATCGTAGCCAGACGGGGGAGGGCCGGGGGGGAGGCGCATAGTATCCGCCCTCTGGGGGTGGAACGCTTCGTGAGCCGTCGTAGTAGCCGCTTTGAGGGCCTTGGGGTGCAGAGGCTGGGAAGGGGGATTCCCATTGCGAGCGTCCGGTTGCTTCTTCGACCCAGAAGGCGCGGCGGGTTGAGGGTTCCCATTCTTGGTGCCAGCCTGGTGGTGCGGGTGGGGGTGGGTTTGGTGGGGGGCGGGCGCCGGGGGGGGAGGGGCGCTGTAGGGGCTTCGTTCGTAGGGGGGGGCGGTTGTCGTATTGGGGGGGGTTGTTGGTTGTAGGGGGGGGGGCTTGGTAAGGGCTTCCTTGAGGGGGTGGTGCTTGGTAGGGACTGCCCTGTGGGGGGCGGTTGTAGTCCTGGTAGTAGGACATTGTGAGGGTGAGGGTTGGAGGATGAGGGTAAATGGATGAGGAGGGGAGAGAGGAGGAGAGGAGGGAGGGAGGGAGGGGAGGGTTTATAAAAGGTGGTGGAGTTGGGGAGTGGGGTGTAGATGTTGCTAGTGTTTTGTTGGTAGTTGACTAGACAATATCAATATAAAAGACTAGACTAGGCTAGACTGGAACAGAGGAGGACGGATTGGTAAACTAAGGAGACTTTCATCCGGGCCACTCCGTTGACTCCACTCGTTTTTAGCGCCAGGGAAATGGTGGAGGTGAGAGTGGAGGTTAGGAATGGATGTTCAGGGCCAGGCAGATCCATTCGTGAGACAACTGCTGCTGCATGACAGAAAAGCAAAACAAACAGCTGGATGCGGGTGGTTGAGATGAGATGGAATCAAGTGAAACACGAAGAGCTGCGTGTTACCGTCGGCTGATATTGTCCTGGTCAATGTACACTGTGTATGTATAGATCAGATTGGTGTCAAAGCCCAAGGTACATGCGGGTATGGAGTATACGAAGCAGGAAGTCATAGATACAAACCCCTAATTGCAAACTGTGGTTGGCTCAAAGCTTGACGGCGGCTAATAAAGTGGCAGCCTGGAGATGGGACAAACCCTAACTCACCCCTATATACGATTAAATAACGCTACTGAGCCACACTGCGCCCCTATCATCTTCTATTATGATGAATAGTTAAAGGGGCTCCTCTTCAGGGGGAAGTATAGAGTACGGAGTACATAGGCTCTCTGTACTCCGTTCTTCTTACATACTGTACATAACCCCTCATGACAGAATGAACCCTGCCGAAGCGGAAATCCCGCAGCTCCACATCGGCTGTCAGGAGGCAGCAAGTCGAATCATTTCATGCCATGCCCCCCGTAGGCGGACCAGTCAAGACCGCTAGCGCATGTGCACAGCCACTGGCAGTGGCACACGTGGCGCAGTTACATTCGGAGATGGTTGGCATTGGCTTGGCCAGCATGTTGGGTCGTTGGGCGTGGAGGTGGAAGGTGGGCTGTTTTGAAGGCTGGACGAATTGAGTGGAGAGAATAGAGTACAGTGGAGGTGAGGTGGAGTTCGGGTTGAAGGATCAGGGCTACAGATAAGGAGAAGAGAGGAGGGGATTGTTACGGAGTCCAAGTCTGGCAAGTGTTCGGAAGATGTGATATGTATTGTCAAACTATCCGAATAAATAGCAATCGAGATCCAGCCAAGGAGCTACCATCTGCAAAATGCAAATGGCCTGCAGTTCAGCTCAGCTGAGTTCAACTAATCCTAAGCCCCCGCCCACGCGCTGGCATTGCTGTTATCGGGGTAGAAGAAGGCACCCAGCGCAATGATCACGTAGGCAGCGATCAACAGCGCACCCTCCAGGTAATTACTGCGACCATCCAGGACAAGGAAGTTCACCACAAACGCCGTGACAAACAGACACACCGTTTCGAAGAGGGTGAAGTAGAGCGACATGTCCTTGTCCATGCACCATCCGAGGATGACAACAAGCGGGGTGACAAATATAGCTAGGGCATTGATTAGCTCGTGTCCATAAAAGGGGATTCCCACATGATAAATAGGGAGGAGACTCGGCATTGCTAGAACTTACCAATTTGAATACTACTTCCAACAGAAACACCAATTGACAAATCCATCTTGTTCTTCGTCGCGACGGTGACCGCAGTAACGTGCTCGGCGGCATTTCCGACAATAGGGAGAATGATCAATCCAATAAACGCCTCACTGACAGGTGAACTGGCGATCATGTCCGGAATCGCGTCAACGAGGAATTCGGCGCAGACAGCAACCAGACCAGTTGAGAGAAGAAGCATAACCACCGCTGCAGTGCGAGACATTTCTGGCTCGATATCCTGCGGCGGTGAAGTGGGAGCGATGGGGTCCAGAGGGTCGGTAAGACGTGATGCGCCCCTAGCAAATTGCACCGCGTTTCCGACCGGTGGGTGTCGATTGACCCGCGCTGGGAGGGAGTTACTGCGTGCCATGGCCGGGCGAGCAGCGGCACTTCCCAGTTGAGGGGAGTTGGCCGGGCTCTGCGAACTGAAGACTGTGTTCGAAAGCAACGAAGGAATTGGTCCGAAGGGGGACCACTTGCGTTGAGCCTCATTCTCGCCTGCGCCTTCCATTCCTGCGAAGTTCGGAGTAGATTTGGCGCCCGACATCGAAGGACGCGGGGCCTGAACGTGCGCCGGGAGGATCTGCGGGTGTGCCTGAGCTTGAGCTTGAGCTGTTGCCACAGCCTTCTCGGCGCGCTTGGATCGGCGCTTCTTGCGTTCGCGACGACGATCCTTTTCGCTCTGCGCGGTGCCAATCTTGCTGAGAGCTTGGCCGAAATCACGAGAACGGAATTCAGACGAACCCTGAGCGTCAGCATCAGCATCATAATTGATTTCATCATCGACCGCAACACTGTTGGTGCTGCCGATTGAGTGGTCGACGGAGGCCTGGTTCTCGTTCACCATGACCCGCTTTTGGGTCGATTGGCGCGACACCGTACCCTTGGAGGTGGTGCTGGTACTGGATTTGCGGCGACGGCGGTTCTCAATTGCCTTCCGGATGCGCTTGGCGGTGGTCCAGGACGTGGTGGTATCGACGGACTCGTCACTGGAGCTGGATGATGAATCGGAGCTGTTCAGGAATTCGGCGAGAACACCGGGGTGCGACTCCTCATCAATGATGCGCTGGGGCACACTGGCATAAAGGTAGGAGTGCGATTTCAACTGGAACAGAATGTACAGAATGTAGACCAGCAGGAGAACCACGCTGGTACCACGGCTAACTTTGAGCGTTTGGCTGTCGGCAAAGGTGCTGTCGCTGAACGACGCGTGGAAAGCGGTTGGCAAGAGCAGCGACATGACGGACAGACTCAGCATACAAGCACTCATCTGGGTGACGGTGCTGTTGTACATCTGTTCCTGGAAGCGGAGACCACCGAAGAGGAAGGCCATTCCCATGATCAACAGCAGGTTAGCCAGGATGGATCCGAGCAGGGACGCCTGCACAATACGAATCTCATTCTTGACGAGTGCAATGATGAAGATGATCAGCTCGACGGCATTACCGAAGGTGACGTTGATCAAGGCGCCAATGGTATCACCAAGGCGACTGGCGACACTCTCCGTCGCGTGGCTCAGCAGACCTGCCAAGGGGATGATTGCGACGGCATTCATGGCGAAGACAATGGCCGGGCTGAGACCGGCAGCCTTGCAGGCGATGCCGATAGGAACAAAGACCAAGAGGACATTGACCCAGCTGTGAATGAGAGCATCCTTGGTGTGGTCGTAGAAGCGGATGCTGCCATTGCGCATGCGACGCAGCATGCTTAGTTGTTTCTTTTCATCGTCGGGCTCGGTGGGGCTTTCACCCTCGGCCTTGGCGACTGGGGGAGTCACTTCAGCATCGCGAGAGGTAGAGGAGGAGGAGATGGTATCGAGTTGAGGTTTGCTTGGGGTCCTTTGGATGGTAGGACCGCGAGATGATGCGTGAGCTTTCGCCCACGAGTTAATCCGGTCTGGAGGTGACAAGTTAGTGGAGGTGATCATAAGGAGATAAGGGTGGAGGTGAAGGTGGAGTTGAGCTAACTCACGCATGTATTTCTAGAACCAGTCACTGATTCAGGGTAGGCAGAAGCCTTGTGGTGGAAGATGGAGAGAAGAAGAAGAAGAGAAGGAGAGAAGTTGAGGAGATTAAGAGGAGTCACGAAAAGGAAGGAACAAGTCTTGGCAGCCGGACCAAAGATCGAAGATGAGGAAGGATCGACCTGACACTTTGGACACTTTAAGAAATCGCTCCTTCCCTTTGAACCCTCCACATTCCTGCCTCGTCAGCCATTCCCACCTGACGAAGTTCAGCCCTAACTGGAACTCCTAAATATGTCACTATGTCAACTTTACTTTTACTTTGTACCGACAATCCTGATGTCACTTCACCCAGAATGTGTACACGTACTCTCAAACATTGATTCTCCCGTAAACCTTGCACCTCCTATTCGATGATCGCCACGCCTCGCAGGGCGGCCCCACCCGCCTTTCATTATTGGTCCTCGCCAACAACGACCTGGCGAGAACGAATAAGACAATTGTCTAACCCTGCCCCCCGTAAGCCGTACGCCATATGGAGTAACCTGTACGTTTACGGACTAGATCAGATACGCTTGTACATGTGTACTCTACATGATGTCATGTCATACGGGTTTCGGGTGAGAATCAAGTGCGCAACCATTCCCTGTTCTAGCCATTCTATTTGTAGACTATGTGCGAGCGAATCGAATCACTATTCGCCTCGCCTCACTCCGGTCCAAGGTTACTCGTATCAGTTTCCCCAATCGGTATAACTGTGGCAGTGACTGTGGCTTGCACTGCCACGTCAACCGCTGCACTGCCAAGCGGAGCGGAGTCTTCCCACCAATTATTTCGGCGAATCTCCGTGCCGCTCCAGGTTAAGCTAAACCAAGCCAAGCCAAGCCGATTCTATTCTATTCCGCGATCCCAATGCTCTCCTCTTACTGTCGAACCTTCCAATTCACGTACCCTTTCGCCCCCGCTAATTGCCAAGATCCGCGTCATGCTCCGGTGAAAGCTCAACAGTTGAGGAGACGGGGCGGGAATGCCTTGGTCAGGCTCTAGGTGCACTATTGTGTCATTTTGAGTCCCGTCGCCCGACGCCGTCGTCTAGTGGTGACCATAAGCAATACTCGCATGAGTCAGATGTCGCCTCCAGGTAAATCAGGGATGATGCGAACATCTCTTGCTGCACTTTATCCAGGGTGAGCATGTTGGCTGGGCTTCGCAGCGTAGCTTCATCAAGCGTGTCGCGAATATTTGGCTCAAGCATTCCCATCATCAAGATGGTTGCGCTGCGCAGATCTGAGAAGTAGTTCTAGAAGTAAATATATTGGTAGCTGGTGAGTAACACTAGCTGCGAAAACTAGAACTTGAAGAGACTTCCTTGGTCCTCGCCTTCAAGTTCGGGTCGAGTCTGGTCCAAGTTGGCAGGGGGTACCATTTTCGGAGGAATAATATAAACCCCTCGCACTTGGCTATGATTTTCAGCGAGAAATTCTTGGCCATCCTCGGATGCCGTCGCGATCGCAGTATTCTTCCTACGCCAATGACTACCAGTAATCACGCATCGAGCGTGATCCCGCAGGACTAACGGCTTGGGTAAACGTGCAAATCTGCCCTCAGAATTGACCCGCTTCACATAATTCGCAGACCACACGGTGACTATCATATCCAGGTTAGCTGTATTTCAATGTGGTCGATAGCCTGAGAATGGTCCCTACACCGAAGAAGGATGCGATCGGCCAAGAACCCCGCAAAATCCTGCAGAGCCGCTTCACATCACCCCCTGTCACCTTGCAACTGGATGAAGCGGCGCTTGTTAAGCCGGTTTGTAGTTGTATGGTTTTGGCAGATGAATCGGTAGGTGTAAAACTGGAAGAACCTAAGAAAATGCTCTTGCAATATGATGTGGTCATAAAATGCTTGCACCAGTCTGGGGACGCTGTATCCCATCTGCACTTTTTCTGGAAATCGGGTCAGCATCTTTTCCATGAATGATTTGGGTTTGGGGTCATGCAAATTGTGGGGACCACGTTGCACACATCCTTGCTGTGAGGTGTTCAGTATCTCTTTTATGATTGATAACTCAGTTTATGCATATTAGCCTAAGCTTAATAGGGGCAGTAACTATGATATGAATTGATCGAGGCAGATATCAGGTTCTGGTTCTCTTGGAAAGAGAAGAAAGCAGGACATAAATATCCTGATATTCATTTACTTTTCGTTGGAGAATCTCTCCTGGTCATTTTGATTTCACTATTGCATTGTATGTCGTAGCAAACGAATTCATTTTCTTTCATGGACAACAGAGCATCTGTCTCAGTTCAGTGACAAATTGAAAACTTATTTGCTGTGCACCACAGTATTCTTCTCATCATCTCCCTATAATAAACACCATTCATATTCATTTCTTCGTCGCTTCTTCGCCAAAGAATGGCATCTCATCTATGTTGCCTGCGGGATGAGTCAACGACCAACCTTCAAGAGTTTATGGGTCAACTTGTGTGTAGTAAAATAATGTGAAAAGTATTATCCATGGATAAATACTAGTATTACCAGTAGTTTTATTATCATGATCCATCTTCAACTTGAAGTTCCAAGGTTCCAATTCGAGATTCAGATCATCGTACTCGGAGTCGTGCCTAGGCGCAGTGGGCAGGAAATATATCATAGACTCTGGGCACTAGAGAACAGAACCTCGGGACCCCACTCCAGGGCTGACAGGAATTCATATTTTAAAATCAGAACTTGAACTCGAAATAAATAATCGATTGCGACCTAGATATCTGCCCAATTCCCTAATGATTGAAGTTGCCCCGATGCTGTTGGAAATGCATCATTACACTTTTCACGTGACCGGGATCATTTACCGACATTTTGCCATTTCTCGTATCGCCGCTTCCATCCCCAAACTTGAAACTTGAAGCTCGACCAGAAGCCAAGGGCGAGAAGTTTGAAGCTATGGGTACAAGGTGTGGCTATCGATAAACCCACACCTAGAAGCTTGATGTGATCCACCCTCCACTAACGGCATTTCGCTCGGCACAATCGCGGATCCCTTCTCGGCAACCCGATATCCGCCGCATGCAGTTCGCGATCGCAACTTCGACCTTTCTTCATTTTTCACAGCGGCGAAATCTCACTGGGGCTCATCTCGACGGCCTACCTGAACTGTTTTTCCTTGGTCCACCAATCCATTTGAATGTCGTCAAGTTGAAATATAGCACACTGACAAGTGTGCGTAAACTTCGAAATGACGTTGAAAGAATCCCGGTCTCAGACCGGAAAAGAGAGGTACGCATACAATATCTGATGCATGGATACTGTGTCTGATACCCTCGAATAGATTGTCAACCCCTAAACGGCTGTGGAAATATCTCGATCTAGACTCGCATAGCGTACTCATGATGCTGAAGGGAGCATTGGCGCCGACTATTACCATTGCAATGTATGCTTACATCCAATGATCTCCGACTAAAGCATCACTACAAAGCTATGCTTACAGTTCAACTGCAATTGCTGAAACACCACATACAGATACCAGAGTACCGCAATTTCAAATATCACCACAACTATCGGTTACCTCTCGGCCTTGATCTCTGTCCTCTCACAGGGCCTTATGCCGCGCGCAAAGTTCATGAAGATCATGTTCTTCGATCTACTGTCCACATGCGTCTCCGCATCAATCTGCTGTCTCGCTGTATTCTGCGCCGTCAAGGCACGCGAGCATAATACGCCCCCCGATGCAAGCGAAGCGGTTCGAAATGGTTTTAGCAGCGATGCCTGCGCTGTCTCTGCGATCTGGCTAATTTTCATGATCTGGTATCTTCCCTCTTCCCAATGAATATCTCTAGCTCTTTGACATGCTAAGAATATTCTTCCAGGGCGGCAAATTCTTTACGCGCGCTCAAACCAATGGAGCTGCAGGATCCAATGGTTGCGTTTTCGATCTTCGCCTCCGTGACTGTCACTCGCGCTGGCATGTTTACGTCCCTCTCTGAAGGATTGGAGTTTATCTCTCAGCTTCTGAAGGGTTTCATGATCGGCTTTGCTATCGCGGCTGGGGTGTCACTGTTGATACTTCCCATCACTAGCCGCGGTAATGTCTTCCAAGACATGAAGCGGTATGTCGCGGCTGTGGAGGGGGTTCTTGATGCGCAGATCGCCTTCGACGAGGGTGGTGCTACGGGCGGGATCTTCGGAAGGGGGTTTCTGCGTCGGGCACGGACCGCGATGGGTCGTGATGGGGAGGAGGTTGAAAGTGAGAGTGACACAGATCTGCAGGACAGGATTAAGGATCTGCAGGGGTCAATGGCTAAACTCAATGGGATGCATACTACGCTGCATGCTGATCTGTTCTATTCGAAAGATGAGATCGCATGGGGAAAGCTGTCAGCGGACGATCTGAGTAGTATTGCCTCGTTGTTCCGGAGTCTCTTGCTTCCACTGGCTGGAATGTCGATGGTGCCGGAGATCCTGGAGTCGATTGTTAAGAATGAAGGTCTCGGCACGGCTGAGGGTGACGATCTAGGAGAGCTGGAGTCAGATTCGAGACAGGGGGATGTTCAGCGGGTTGTGGAGACGCATCATGCGCGGCTTGTTGAGGCGGCTGATTTGGTTCGTTGTGGATTGGCGCATTTTCTGTTTGCCTTGGAGCTTATTTCAGCTAAGCATTTGGATCGCTTGAAAAAGACACACCTTGCCAGGTACCACCATGACGAGGAAGCAAGGGGGGAAAGCTTGAATCCCGGCGATCAGGACTTTACGTCAATGTTTGAGAATCAGTTGCACGCTTATTACGCGCGAAGGAAGGACCTTCCCGAGGCACTTATGAGTCTTGAGGCATTTTCTGAGAAACATGATCGTGATGTTGATGGAGGGGCCCGTGGACATGGCGTGGCTGCAGATCCGCCTGTCTGCCAGGAGTTCTTTCTCACTCTCTATATGGCTCATCTCCAGGACGATCTCTTGACGGCAACCATGAAACTGGTTAATTTTGCTGACAGCAAGATTGCCGATGGCACAATGGCCCGGTCGAGATTGATATTCCCCAGGCAAAAGTCTATTCGCGACTGGTTGTCCTTGAGCCACGGCAAAGATAGTCAGTCCTTGCCTGAAGATGGGGGGGTCATCTGTGGACCCTGCGAATATTGATCGCACAGAGCGACAAACAAGATTTCCCGATCCGGAACATCTCCCGCCTGCAAATATGTGGGAGAAGGGTAGTACAATCTTGCGTGTGATTTCCCATGCGCTGAAATCTGACCAGAGCACCTTTGGCTTCCGCGTAGCCGCCGCCTCGTTCTCGGTCGGCATTCTCGCGTATCTGCATCAGACGCAAGACTTTTTCATTCGTCAGCGATGTATTTGGGCGATGATTGTCATTGTCATTGGTATGAACCCGACAAGTGGACAGACCATGTTTGGATTCGTAGCGCGCATTGTCGCAACGGTCATTTCGCTCGTATTAAGCCTGATCGTATGGTATATTGTTGATGGGAAAACGGCAGGAGTGATCGTTTTCCTCTACTTGGCAAATGTGTTCGAGGTAAGTTATGAATCTAAATTTTCAAGATTCCAACATGCCCAGGTGATATCATTCTAACAAGAACAGTATTACTTCTACGTCAAAGTACCGCAGTACTTTGGCCCGTCGGTTATTTCAATTGTCACCTTGAATGTCATCATTGGCTATGAGCTACAAGTCCGCAAACTCGGTATACAAGCTGCAGAGTCCAACGGTCAGCCATACTATCCCATCTATCTTTTTGGACCATACAAGCTGGCAGCTGTGGCCGCTGGATGTGCAATTTCCTTTTTCTGGGTTGTATTCCCATATCCCATCACAGCTAAGTCTCAGCTCCGTCATCTCCTCGGCCGAAGCATGTTCGTCTTGGCCAGATTCTACAGCTGCATGCACACAACTATCGAACTTTGGTTTGGTGGTGGACTAGGCAGCGCGGACGATGAAAGTTCCCCAGGTTATCAACTTCAAGCATCCCGACACAGAATATTTAAAGAGGAGATGATGCTACTCAACAGCCTTCGAATGCACAGTCATTTCAGTACATTCGAGCCCCCAATCGGAGGGAAATTCCCGAAGAAAGTCTACGACGATATAATTTCCGAGATCCAGCGCATCTTGACCAGTATGTCCTTGATGGCACACACGACACAATGCTTGGACGTACTTTCTATCGAATCCGAACATGCTGGTCATAAAAGCGATGGTCAATGGATGGCACGGTTGGCAGAAATTGCTCTAAAATCGGCGGATTTCAATTCCCATCGCATCACTTCCTTACTTTGCCTTCTCTCTGCTGCTATCACTAATTCCCAGCCCTTACCACCGTATCTTTCGACGCCGGACTCATTCCCTCTTGCGCGGCAAATGCAGAATATTGACGATGAGCTGTTGAGTATTCGACATATCGGAGATCCCTCGTTCTCGGCATTCGTTGCCCTGGAGGTATTGAGGTCTGTTGTGAGTTTCAGTTTGCAGGAGTTAATCGAGTAAGTTTAGTCTAACCAAATTGGCTTTGTGGAATGCTAACATAGTCAGTAATGTGCGAAAACTGGTCGGGGAGTTGGATTTTGATTTTCATATCCCTCAGATTCACCGCGACGCGGAATGATCGCAATTGTTGCAGCCCGGTATTTAAAACAAACAGCGGCACCACATGATGTCCAGAAACCTTGGAATTTGATCTAAGTATAATGAAAATCACTTGCATGCGTGGGATTAATGATAGAAAGACGAATCGTCATGATATCCACACTGCAAATTTCAATTTATTGGAAATGCAAAAGCGATCCTTTAGTAGTACTTGATCTATCTTCTATGACCTCTCACTTCGAAAACACCACCATCTACTTGCACCTACAACAACTTATACTTAGCAGCAACCCCCAAACAAATAACCATAAACGCAACAAAACATCCCACAATCCCAAAAAACCAAGTCAACCCACTATCCTCCTGACCAGGAACCTCAACATTCATCCCCCACAATCCCGTAACAAGATGACACGGCACAAAAACCGTCGCGATAAGCGTAACCTTACTCAGCGCCGAATTGATGGTCAAACTAATCCTCAAACTCGACGCACTAAGCTGCGCCAAACAATTCCCCTGACTCCGACCAATGATCTCATCAATATGTCCCAACGTCGACAACGTCGTGACGAGATGATCCTGTACGTCACCGAGGTAGAGGAGTAACTCGCCGCCCGGAAAGACGGGAGATCGATCGGGTGCTTCGCAGCGCTTCACGAAGCCGTTCAGTACGTCCACTTTGCTGTGTAGACAGCGGATGATGTGGGTGATTTTCTTGCGGAGGATGTCGACGGTTGGGATGAGGGATTTTACGTCGTCGATTCGGGCGATGAAGACTTGGTCTTCTATCGCTTCGGATTCGTGTTCTACGGAGCGGGTGTAGGGTTCGAAACTGTCGACTATGTCGTCGCTGTGTTGGTTGTTAGTTTTGCATTCGATGTATTAGCGGGGGGACTTGACTACTTACATCAGAGCGTAGCAGATCCAGTCACTTGACAATATCAGGGGATCGTGCATTTTGCGGATTCGCGAGCGAACTCGCTTGATATGATGGCATCCGCTTGGGGAGAAGGTCACAACGCCGTATTGGAAGACGAGAATGTACATCTCGGCTGGATGGGGGTATCCGGGTCTTTCCTCTTCTTCTTTTGCATTGTCGACTAGTGTCTGGAAGGAGATGAGGTAGTAGTTTTTGAACACCTCTACCTTCTCTCTCGGTTCACGGATGACGATATCCTCCACCGTGAGCGGGTGAATGGAAAGTGCCTGTGCTAGCTGGGATACATCTTCTTCCGATGCATCGCACACATCGATCCACCAGGTTGGTCTGGATGGGTCGGGACGTTGCTTCGTCTTCTCTTGGATGATGTGGTCGATTTCACCACCGGGGAAAAGCTCATCCCATGACGACCCTGTGCTGGTGTTTAGTGTGTCCGAGGAAAAGAAACTGAAGTGGTCGGGCTGCTGTGGCTTTTCGACTTGCGCCAGTTTTTCATGGACGGAGGAGGTGCTGTTTGCTGACATTTTGGCAGGTTTTCTGTTCGGCCATCGGTGGGCTTCTGTTGGCGCTGATTACGGCGCTGTTCCTCATGGGAGAGCTTAGCCCATAGTAATATGACGGGCTTCGCTGGTTGTTGTGTTGTGCCAGTGTGAATGCTGTGCACGTCTTCATCGGTATGTATAGCAGAGTTTGACTGAGACGCTGTGACCTGGGATGGAATAGAACAAAGTAGGATGAAATGAAATGCGGCGAATGAGTAATGATAACCAGGGTGAAAACTCGGGCTAATCTTAGCCCCCTTTCGCTCTGTGCTTTCCCCTTCTTCCATTTCTCCATGATCCATGTGCCCTCAGCCCTACCCGTCGACCCACTATGATGACGGTGGGTTGTGGTGGCCAATTGTGTCCAATTTTGACAGGATTGGGATCGGAAGGTCGGCACTGAAAACTTTTCCGCTGACTTGGCACTAGGCAGATGGATTCTGAAGTAGTAAACGAGAACGAAGTGCAGGGACCTTGGGAACAAGAGAGAGAGAGAGAGAGAGCATGTATAAAGCGCTGCGTTGGAAATTTTCTAGCTGGAGCGAATGAAATGCGTGGTGATTAGGCTGGTCAGCGGTATTTGTATAGTAGCAGTCGTTATGCCGTTATCCACATGATCCAACGCGACCATCGATCCCTCTTGAACATAATTGAGTGCTTTCATCCATCCAAGGAGAAGTGCACTCATCTGATGGTGCGTGGTAATTCCCGGAAGCCGCCGGCTCTAGCAAGGGGTGAGATTGGCACAACGAAGACAAGTGCATACGTCCGCATTATAGATACATTATTCACCCAGATATTAAGCAGCGGTCACGAACCACCTGCCGATTTCCCTGTCCAGATAGCATTGGAAATTGAAATTATGGGCTAGCAATGGAGTGACGCGCCGACGAATCATCCATTAAACTGGCAGCCCTGGAGTCACGGAGAGTTGCAGCGACTAGAATAAATCGCACCCAGAACGAAGCTTGAGAATTTTGAAGAGAAAAGCATGATCTTTGATACAAGTCAGCATAGCAAAATGAAATTGAAGTTTGCAGTGGTTATATACATACGATGATGTCCTACGTTCATTAGTAATTATCAATGCTATCCCCCCCGAATGGCCGTCAGGGATCTGCGAATCCGGGGATAAGCTAGGACGAAAAAGACGATGACAGCCAACAGTATGAGGAAAGTGGGTAGAAACATAAACGTGAAGAGGAGCACGCTGATTCCAAGGGTGGCATGCTTGCCGCGAAAAGCTGGGCGGGCCATGACGACTTGTGGGTGAGCTGGATGAGCAACAGGCTGTCTTTTGTGTGGGGTGCCCAGGTGGTGAATAAAAAGACTTGGCAGAATGTGATCGAGGGAATTGGGAGAATTGCGAGGGAATATTGGGGATAATGCCCAGTTGCCCGGTAATTGGAATTGAAGATGTCACCCCGGTCGCCGATCGGAGATCGCCTTGTATGATATACGGGGGTATACGGGGGTGGCTGCAGGGGAGAAGAAAGGGGAAGGGGAGGACGAATGAATGTGGGTGCCTGCGTTGATGAGTGGGCTATTTGTCTTGGCTGAGGTCGGAGGATAGTGGTCTTTAGTGAGTATCTCTAATTGCAATTGACATCTAGAATAGTTGAGTAGATGCTTAACAACTACTCTGAATAGTGCGTATATCTGATTTCCCTTCCCTTGCCATTCCTGCACCACATATCCCCATTCTTTTCGTGGACAAAAGACCCAACAGGCAGATGCGGAATCCCAATTGGGCTTGGCGCAGGCAGCAACTTTTCCTTTCAAATTGAATTAAATGAATTATGTGTGGTTGTTTTTCTTGTTTTCGAGACATTCCTGCTGGGACCCGTCGATTCCGTCAACTCCGTCTTGTACAAATTTCGTCACCTGGGTCAGGCTACGTTTGATGAAAATTCTAATTTGAATGCGGCAATTCGTGTGCCAGGTGTTCTTCCTCGTTTTCTGCCACTCAGGAGGCTCTCCACGGTGGGTCACGAGAGAGATTGTTCCACAATGATGCAAGCGAGAGAAGAGGGAGGAAGGGAATGATATGAGAGTGTCAATAATGAATAGAAATGGCATGAGTGACAATTCAGAGTCACTGTCATTATACAAAAAGTATTATCCTCAAAAGTGTCACTCAAAAATGTCTCATGCAATGCAGCCGATGCTTCTTCGCCTTGTAGGGCTGAGGTGGATCTATGACAACCACAACAAAGTACCAGAGTAAGCAGAAGCAGAATCGGCAGAATAGAATAGAATCGAGGATAATTCAAGCTCTAAAATAATAATCTGATTACGGTAACATTAATTGGATGATTATAATAATAGTAACAATATTAAATACCCCATAAATGCAAATAAGAATCCCCTTCCCCTTAAGCGCTGATCGATCGCTAGCGTCCCCCCCGCCGCCTTTTCTTTCTTTCCACGCCCGCCTTTTCTTTCCAACCTCACTTCTTCTCCCACTTCCCCCACACCGTCTTTTCGAAACCTTTTCTCCGCATGTCTCGATGTCTTGGCTCGCCGGGATCTCCCTTGAAAGTGCTGAAAATGATAACCTTGGTGTCGACTGGGTCCTGCAATATGAATTCGGTGACTTAGGTATGTCCGATAGCTATAGCTGTCCCCGCGGAGTTAAGCTCATATGCTAACCACCCACTGCAGAGCAATCGCAGGCCATCGCTGAGTTTCGCACTCTCATGGCCGATCTGACTGAAGCTGGTCTTCGTGTTCAAATCCGTCATGGCCATGGAAAAGCCCTCCTCGTCTGCATTCGTGTCCCGAGGGACCACCTCGGCACAATGGTGCAGCAGTCAAGGTATACATCTAGCTCAACATATTGCCTCATACCCCCAAGCCTACGTCATGAGAGCCATACTAATATGATTCACAGAGTCAAAGATTGGATGTACGCCATTACCCACAAACTTCCGTCAGCCACAGAAACTTCCGCAACCGCCGAAACCCCCGCCGAAGAAATCCGCTCCATATACCACGCCGTCACTTGGTCCAAAGAGTTGGGCGGCGCTGGAATCACACCCGAATTCGGCAAATGGGAACGCATCACCGCGTCATTCCCGCTACACGATAAGGACGCCTGCACAGAGTTGTTGAGGGCGTGGAGTAGGAAGACCGTCCTCACAATTCGGGATCTGGATACCATCCGCGCGCTCTTTGGTGAGAAGGTCGCCTTCTATTTCGCCTTCATCCAATGCTATTCTATTGCTTTGGTTATACCTGCCGCGATGGGCATTGTGGGTTGGTTATATTTCGGTCCTTATTCGATCATCTATGGGTCTGCGCTATGTGTGTGGTGCATCTGTTTTGTCGAGTACTGGAAAGTCCGCGAATTCGACCTCGCACATCGGTGGGGGGTGCGCGGTGTGGGTGTCCTCAAGGTGAATCGCCCGCAGTATAAATGGGAGAAGGAGATCAAGGATCCGATTACTGGCCAAGTAACGCGTGTCTTCCCTGGATGGAAGCAGTTTCTTCGTCAACTTTTGCTAATCCCGTTTGCCTCGGTCGCGGCGGTTGCGCTGGGAAGCTTGATTGTCGTGACTTTTGCTTCGGAGGTGTTCATCTCTGAGGTCTACGATGGGAAATTCCAGGGTTATCTAGAATTCGCGCCTACGATTATTTTCTCGCTATCGCTGCCATTTATCACTTCGCTGCTGACGAGCATTGCGACCCGCTTGACGGAGTACGAGAACTACCGCACGAGAGATCTTTATGATCTGGCCCAGACGCAGAAGACTTTCGTCATGAACTTTATCACTTCGTTCCTGCCGACTATCCTCACAGCCTACGTCTATGTTCCATTCGGAAAGACAATCGTACCCCATCTCGACATCATCAAGCGAGCGGGTTTGAATATTGAGATGGCGCACAAAGACTTCCAAGTTGATGGGTCTCGCTTCCAGCAAGAGGTCATCTACCTGTCAATGACAGCACAGATCTTCAGTTTCTGTGAGGAGATTATCCTCCCATACGTCAAACAGAAGCTCTACCAAAAGTGGCGCAATTACCAAGATCGCAAGGCTGGCTTGACTCGCCAGCGCAGTTTCTCCAAAGCAACCGATCTCCTCCTCCTGGACCCGCCCGGCGAGACTCCATTTTGCAACGACTCCGCGAAGAGGCCGACTCGGATGGCTACGAGGTCGAGGAAGACATCCTGGAGATGTGCGTTCAATTCGGATATCTCGCGCTATTCGGCGTTGCCTGGCCACTTGTCCCACTCGGTTTCTTGCTGAACAATTGGCTCGAACTACGCGGTGACTTTTTCAAACTCGCCCGCGAAAACCAACGACCACCACCTATCCGCGCGGACTCAATCGGTCCATCTCTGCTGGGGCTGGATTTCCTGGCTTGGATGGGAACGATCTCCACTGCGGCTATTGTCCACATTTACCGCGGTAACATGGAAGAGGTCCACCTCTCCTCTCTTCTTCTCACCGTCTTCATCGCCGAACAGGCCTACCTAGGCATCCGCTTTATCGCCGCCACAGCCATGCAGAAGATCTTCGCGGAAACATTGTACCAAGAAGAAATCTGCCGCCACGCCGTGCGGAAGGATTTCTACGAAATGAGTGCGGGCATTGCGTCGGGTCGTGCGGGTTCACCGGGTGATTCGCCCGGCCGTGTGCGACAACGTGTTCGCTTCCATGAGCGTGTTAACGTTTACGAGTCTGGGACTGATACGGGGCATTCGGATGGGTCTCCTTCTCCGACGACGGAGAAGGTCCAGGATGATGTTCTCAAGGGGTCGGATCGGGAGGCGGCGTTCTGGAATGCCCATTCTTACGACACGGCTGATGCGGGTGCGAAACTTATTCGGGCGCTGAGTGAGAACCCCATGGAGGAGAAGAGTGCGAAGAGGGCTTGATTTGCATTTTCGGTTGCTTTTGCATCAGCTAGCGTGATTTTCTAAAATGAATAGATTTTTTTCCTAAGTTCAATTCTCCGACTGTGGCCTACCCAGCGCGCATGACAAGCGCTGCAAGCGTACTTTAACCTCCCTACTTCCAAGGTTGACGCCATTCGATAATACGTTTTTGCGCGATGGATATCCACAACGATATCTGATTCGATGCCGGCTCGTGACACCCCGAAATGGATGTGGCGGCGAAGTTCCATCCTCCAATATGCATGCAGTAAGCACTGCGTGCCTTTCCAGTCTCTATCCAGCTGATATGTACATATACGAAGACACTAAACTCGATACGACTAGATCGAGAATTACCGCAAACGCCTCAGAGAAAGTTAGGGACCCGCGTTCCCACTCTCTCCCTCCTTGCCAACCTTAGGAAACCCAAGACTTCGAACGATGGGTCCCACCGTATCCTTTGGCGATCACAACTTCGGGCCGCAGGTCGGGATCAATAATGGGACTATCAATAACGAGTTTCATCATTCTCCCAGTAAGCTACATGTTATCCCTTCAAGTGACTACCGAGCTAACTGCGATATACTAGCCTTCGAGACACAGCTACCAATGGTACCCGAAGCTCTCTTCAACTCATTCCGAGACCAACATGAAAACGAATGTCTGGAAGGAACGCGAGTTGGTCTTCTTCGCCAGATCAGAGAATGGGCTTCCTCTCCCCGAAACTCGCCCAATGGCCAATGTATAGTATTTTGGTTAAATGGAATGGCCGGAACAGGGAAATCGACAATCTCTCGAAGTGTTGCAATGTATTTCAACGAAAGAAACGCATTGGGCGCCAGCTTCTTCTTCAAAAGAGGCGAGGGAGACAGAGGAAATGCCGGGAAGCTTATATCATCAATTGCACGACAATTCGCAATCAGCATCCCTCAACTGCACCCTCATATTGAACAAGCAGTTTCTGCTGACCCGGGCATTGCCATGAAGGGGATGAAAGAGCAGTTTAATAAACTGATCATTCACCCTCTTCTGAACTTATCATCTGAGCAGGCAGATGTTTCGCAGACAGTCGTCATATTAATCGATGCGCTGGACGAGTGCGACGGAGATGAAGATATAAGGCTCATACTCCACCTTTTACCCCAACTTCAACAGTCAAATCCACTGCATTTCCGGGTATTCATTACCAGCAGGCCAGAGCTTGAAATTCGTTTAGAGTTCTCCAGGCTTTCGAACCACCAGGACTTCATTCTGCATGAGATTGCCAAAGAAGTTATCGCAAAAGATCTATCACTATTCCTGAGCCACAGACTGTCCACAATCAGGTCAAATCGCTCCTTACCTGATAATTGGCCAGGCGATTCAACACTCGACCAATTCGTAAAACTATCCTCGCCGCTCTTCATATTCGCTGCTACCATTTGTCGCATGCTCGAAGATCGCTCCTTTGACCCTGCGGAAATCCTTGCCGACATACTATCGTCCTCAGACATTCTATCGAAACTGGATAGAACATATCTTCCGGTTCTCAAAAGGCAGTTTGGTAGCTCCGAAACCACGAAGCATCGAGAACGGGTAATTGCGAGATTTAAGCAGATCGTGGGTGCCATTGTGATTCTCGAGAAACCACTGCCGATCGCCTCGCTTTCCAAGCTTCTCGATACCACAGAGACGACGATCCAGAACACTTTAGACACTCTACACTCGGTTCTTAGTGTTCCAGATAAGAAACATTTCCCAGTGCGGCTATTCCATCTATCGTTCCGAGACTTCCTTCTTGATCCAGAAATACGGGAAAAAACTCCCCTGTATATTGATTCAAGAGTTGCAAATCGTCATCTGACCATTCAATGCATGTCATTATGTCGGAAACACCTCCAAAGGAATATTTGCCAATTGGCTGAAGATGGGACACCTCGTGTAGATCTCGATCTCGACACCCTATCTTATCATCTCCCTTCGGAGCTAGGCTATGCCTGCTGCTATTGGGTATATCATCTAGTATCATCTGCAGATTCATCAGGCGATCCTTTCTTCGAGAATCTTCTCAGGGAAGCAATTTCATTTCTTCAGAAACACCTCTTGCACTGGATGGAGGTTCTGAGCCTCTTAAGTCAAACTTCAGAGATTTTAAGGTCCATAGACCTTCTATTGGCAATTATATCAGTAAGTTGTACATACTATTATGTCAGATAGCAGAGACGATTAACATTAGGAATCTAGAATCGGAAGGATGACAGCTCCGACACGTTCGAGTTTCTTCACTATGCAAGACGCTTCATACTCAAAAACTTCCAGGTCGTCGATGCATTTCCTCTCCAACTCTACAGTTCTGTATTGGTATTTTCTCCCAGGAATGCAATCCGCAAAAAGCTTGAATTCAATCTTCCCCCGTGGCTATCCCAACTACCGGTGGTAGATGAAACTTGGAGTCCAGCGTTACAGACCCTCGAAGGCCATGAAAGTCAAGTTTTCGGAGTGACTTTCTCGCCTGACGGTCGGCACTTGGCTTCTGTTTCCGATTACTCAATACGAGTCTGGGACCCCACTACAGGCGACTTGGAATACAAGATCGAATTCGATGAAGAACTTAACACCAAACCCTCTGACAGCCCTGAGAGGAATCACTTCGAGCCGCTGGCCTTTTCCCCCAATGGCCGATTTCTGGCGTCTCTGTCTCTTCGTGGGAGACTGAGGGTCTGGGATAGGGCAATCAAAGCCTTGCGGGATGATGCTCAACTCAACCGCGCTGATATCCAAGCAGTAAAGTTTTCGCCTAGCAGCCAACAACTGGCGTTTGCGTCTGGCATGGGGGAGATGATCCTGTATGATCTCATAGATGGCACTGTGACGCATAATATGATCGGATATCGAAAGCCAGCCCTGGACAGGGTATTTTCTCCTGGTGGCTGTATTCTTGCGTCTGGATTTTCAGATGGTACGATTGAGCTCGCTGATCTCATGACGGGAGCAATCAATCACAAGTTCGAGGGTCATTCAGTGTTTCCAGTTGAGTCTCTACAAATATCGCCCAATGGAAAGCTTCTAGTGTCTTTTTCACCGCATCAAGGGAGGACTAGACTATGGGACGCCACGAGTGGCAGGCTAATTCACGAAATTGACACTGGTGTTCAGAAGCTAATGTCCCGCCGACTGGCTTTCTCTCCTGATAGCCAAGTACTGGCTCTTGTGGGGTATGACGGAATCAGCCTTTGGGATACTATGACGGGTAATCGCAAGATCTCATCCATACATATTAAGTTCCGTGAAAGACAGAGTGATATTCACGATGTTCGTGAGTTTGCCTTTACATCCGATAGCTCCATGCTGGTGGTGGCTTGGGCAAATAAGTTTATAACTGGCTGGGATTGCTCGACAGCAGTTCTAAAACTAAGTTATGAGACGCAACCAGACTTAATTTTGTCAGCAGCGCTAGCATCAGATGGCCAACAAATGCAAATGGCATCTGGTGGAGTTGATGGTATTTTACGCCTCTGGGATCTCGCCGCACTCACGGCTCTAGAAGTTGAGTCTAATGAGATTGAATCCATGTCGATGTCAGCCAATGGAAGGCTATTGGTATCAAAATATGTGGCAAAAACGATATATCCCCATTTCTTTCATCCTCCGAGTCCATTCAGATGTCCTCCACCATTAGGTGTCTGGGACACAACGACGGGCGTTTGCAAGCATATGCTTCAGGTTCATAGCAACGACTCGGAAAGGACATTTACGTCCAGAGGGAATCTTACAATACTAATTTCTGCAATCGCCTTCTCTCCTGACAATCAAATGATCGCGCTGATGAGCAATTACACGAACCGCACTGACACAATCCAAGATAAGATATCATTATGGAACACAAGAACAGGCACCCAGAAAGGCACACTCCACACAGCTCTGCCTAACGGGCAACAGCCCTTATCTTCATCCCCTTGCCTAGAATTTTCGCGAAGTGATCTATTGGCATGTGGTATGGATTACATAGTTATACTCTGGGATACGAAAACTGGCGCACAGTTAAAATATTGGCGGGTGGATCAGAAGGTTACTAAACTTGAGTTCTTCAACGGCGGGCCAAGCCTGGAAAGTAACTTGAATATTACTGGTCTCCGCAAATTTGGCCATGAAACACACCTGCGAACCAACTTCGGTGTGCTTGATTCAGGGAATGATACTTTCTGGAAAAATCCATTCCAAGTGAGACTGGTAGCTTTGGCTTTGCGGCGAAAGCGAAATCTTCGAAATGCATTTGGTTCCATGATGATTAGAACTGGTGAACGAGAGGAAAGGACAAGCCAGATGCCAATCACCTTGATGCAAGATGGAATTTCAGGTCAATCCAATACTCAAAACCAAGCTATCTCGCAGGTATCCCTGGAAACCAACAATCAGTGGATCACATTGAATGGCAAAAAGGCAATTTGGCTTCCTCCAGAGTTCCGGCCTTTGACATTTGAGGTTGGGATGCGTGACAATCATACCATAATTGCCTTGGGACTCAAATCTGGGGATGTCTGTTTTATTGGATTTCGCATGTAATGGGGTAACAAGTATTATTAACGAAAGCCATTCTCTCTCCTTGCCACACCAATCTTATTACTCAAGTTCATGCAACCCAATGACGTAGGAAAGCTCTAGTGCGCGGACAGTGTGCAAAAGCAATAGACCGGATACCAGGTAGTTCCTTCTAGCGGGCGTCAAAGGGACGAGTGAATCACGCGCTTTGATCTCTTTGTTTTTTTTTTTTTTGAATAGTTTATTATTAAATTTACTTCTCACAATTTGGCTGCCTGTAGTGAGTGGGTCATAGGTTGCGTAATGCAGAGAGCAGGTGTTCTCGCCTGTGTGTTCACCAGGATAGGTTAAAGCTTAACCAGCCAATACAGAAATAGAACAATCCGGCCTGCAATATCCTAGTAAGCACTAGATACATAGTATACAATAAGTAATACTATACTAGCATACTAGTAATATATGCCAAGCGTAGGGCTGAGGATCCACGGTCAGCCCTACGCCCCACACTTTCCTTCTCCGCCTTTTTTCCCCTTGCCAACCTTGGCTTCCTCTCTTCCTCTCTTTTTGTTTCCACTTTTCCACTCTTTCTTTCTCCTGTACCTCTCTTCACCTCCTCTTCACTCCTCTATTCCCCCCTCCCACCTACCTCCACCACCTGTCGGTCGTGAGACATGTGAACTGGTTCCATTCACGACCGACGACATCATGGCCACCCCCGGGGCCTCCTCCGACACCCTCATCGCCCCCTTGTCCTCACCGACTCACCCCCAATACCCCCCAAAAACACTTCAAAAAACACCGGAAATTCCCTCATCGACCTCACCTTCGGATCTCGAATTGTCCACCATAGCCCCCATTCCCAAACTCGCCCGCGAAGCCAGTGATATCACCTGGCAAGAATCCCTCGAATCTTCCAAAGACCAGGTCACCCTAATCCGGCGCCGCGGTCGGTTTCGCCTACTCCACCAGCAACAGTTTAAGAACAGCCTCCTTGCCAGCGTAGGATATCTCGAGCTTGCCAATGCCGGCGACTTTGCTGCGAATGTCTGGAATGAAATTCCGGTCCCGAAATTCGCCGCTGTCCTGATGGGTATTGGTGGTACGTTGGCGTTGGGAATGATCCTCGTGGCCATTCAGGATTTCAAATTGAGTTATCGCAATGTCAAGCTTCTCCAGGCGGAGCGGGTACACTTGACTCGACTTCAGCAATATCATTGCAAGAATGTGGAGATTACGAGGTTACTGGGGAGTCGGCTGGGTGTGATTTACAGGGAGATGGGCACTGAGGTCGTGGACCGCATTGTCATGGACGTTCTGATGGGTTTGGGGTCGATGCTGGTCGGTATCGGTACCCTGATGGCTATCGGTGGTGCTAATCCGAAGGTGTACAAAGCCAGTAACCTTCTCTCGGGCTATGTCGGCAATGGACTTGCGGCGTTGTTTGGAATAGCCAATGCTGTCTGGTCAGTGTGTTTGATTCGAAGATTCCATTTACATGACGCTGCTGTCAAGGCGAGTGAGCCCGATGATGAGATTCGGCGCCGACTGCATACCCGCTTTCGACGCTTTCATTGGCATGCGATCGTCAACGGACTTAATGGATTAGTTGCCGGTGCCGCGTCGATGGTCACTGCGGAGCGATGGTGGGGTTATGTTGTACTGATCCCTTGTATCATCTCCCTTGTTTTGTGCAACTATTTCTGGAGGAAAAAGCTCGGCTACGACCGTCCTATCTTGGATCACGCTTCTCTTGCCCGGATGCAGATGACACCCTTGCTAGAAGACTTGGAGTATGTCATAGCGATGCAGAAAGGTCTTGCTGCACCGGAAGATCCCATCTCCCAAACCATCGTCCAGCGAGACTCCTTTCCATCAATCTTGCAATTCATCGTGCGAAATCGAATGTTGGAGACATACTGCGACTCACTTTCCCGCGATAAAAAGACTCACTTCCTCCTCAACTCACTCCCCTCGCCGACCGATCAAATCGTTCTCAACCATGACGTTCTTCTTCAGTTATCTGTTCCCACTACCCACGCCCCGATCCTTCTCCGCCATGCACAAAAGTTCCTGCGGAACGAAGGCGTGCGCACTTTTACCCATCGCGAGCGCCACCTATTGGAGCTACTCGGCTACGCTGTCTGGCGGGATCAGACACCGGTCGTCGATGCTCGATAGGATGGATAGACTAATTTCATTGCGGTTTTCCACTGCCCAGGCGGCTGGTCGCCTGCCCTGCATTGCATGGTGTTTATTGTCATAGATGCTGGCCATTTTCAGTTCATACGATACACATGTGCATCTCGATTCGCGGTGTTATTGTCTAGCAAGTCTAATGTATCCGATGAAAGAATAGAACAAGGATCCCTCGATCAAATATTCACATTCTACTAGTATTTGATGCTTCGTCATATCTCGTAGCGATCTTCCGTAGACACCTGGCACTGGATCAAATTGTTCCTTGCAATGCAGCAATTTAGCTATCCAGACCAGGGCAGTTCTCGCTCGTCTCGGCGATAATGGAGCTATAAGGTGAGGGATCGGTCCAAATGATGTTGAAGCTGTACATCAAGTTAGTAAATTGTCTCCAACTCATAGTCTCTGCAACTAGCACATACCTATCATCGGGATAATCCGGCGCATCCTTATCACCAAGTTCCTTAACAATATCCGTGAGAGCATCATGCTCCCAGCAAATTAGAATATTGCCACTTCCACTATACCCATCAACCACATCCTTCACGCAGTCAGGATCATCCCGGTCGCAGGATGTATCAACCGTGAGACCCAGGTCGGTAGCGAGGGGTTGCACAGTGTCGAGGGGTCGTTGGCGTTTACCATCTGCATGGACTAAATCAGCACTGCTCCATTTCATGTTGTGTTTCGATACCCAAAGAACTGGAGCTACCAACCGCTCTTAGGTGTCTGAGCCATAATATATCCAATATTATACTCGGAGCTCGATCCGAAGACATTACGCAGACATTGTGCACGCTGCACGCCCGCGGTGCTGAGTCCGTTTCCGTCGTCGGGCTTCTCACCGTGGCGGATCAAATAGACCGTTGGTGAGGCGGTTGCGAGTGTCGCGGCTGCGAGGAGGGAGATGAGGGATACGTTGACCATTTTGCTTGAATCAGTTCGAGTTGTCTTCAAGTTTGACTTTTCAGTTCGAGTGACTCAGATGTGTCGAGTGATCGGTATTTATACGCCCGTCGTACTATAAAGGTTCCTGCGTTAATCCCCGATCCAACCAAGGTTCAGCCCTGGAGCGAAGAACAACCTTGTTGGTCAGTTGCCCCAAACTTGAAACCTGGAACTTGGAATAACATCTAGGAGTGCCCCGGCTAGTCCATGCGAATACCACCCTGGTTGTGCCGACTTTCTCTCGGTCGGACTTTTCCGATCGTGCCTGACCAGACATCTCCGTGATCGGCGCGACATGCGCGGTGGTGCTGTTTTGATTCGCTTGTCGATCCTGGGGCTAATGCTTGTTTGGGGAAATGGAGATTGCCCCGCTCGGGTTTGTTTGGAACGCGAATGCGAGATGGAATATCTAGAAGATATTCTATTTATTTGCATGGGGTAGCGGGGTGAATCGGGTTTTGTATTTGGGTTGACGGAGAGCCCTGGATAATGGTAAGTATATCAGGAGTAGTATAAGACTGCCGAGGTGCAAGGGTGCAGTTATAATCCAGGATCTGTTCAGGTGTTCAAATGAAGAATTGGAATCAATTTTGTAAGCTCGAAGATGAAAATGTGTCTACTACGAAGTACTCCGTACTGCATCAACACTTGCAGTGTATCTCTGAATACATGTGGGCAACAGGCACGATAACCTGGAAAATGAAATACTCTAGTAGGACTATGGAATTGACTCCCCCTCCTCCCTAATTGACCAAGAATACGAGGTCTTGTCCAGCTAAAAACTAAACAATCCACTTCTCCTCTTCCCATACGGATAAACAATCAACGCTGCAATAAACAGACCAATAGTAATCCCAATAGCAACCTGAATCATGCCAAACCCCAAGCTAAACACCGAGCTAGCAGATGCAAGACCCGCCCCGGGCGCAGTACTAGGCGCCTCGTGCGACGAAACATTCTGACGAATCTCATTGGCAGATTGAACGCCAGAGATCAAGGTTCCCGTCGCGGCCAGTCCAGACGGTACCAGGATGAATATGCCCGGGAGAATTGCAGTCGCTGCATGTCCGTGCCATAAACGACTGTACAAATTTCCCATGATGCCGATTGTGAATGCCCCGACTGTGTTCGCGACTTGTGAGTTCGATCCCAGGCGTTTTGTGCTGAAGTAGTTCGTTGTGTAGCCGCATAGCGCGATGACTGTCATTGGAGGAAGTTGTTTCCATTTCCCTTGGTTGATTATGAGGAGCCAGACTGTCATGACGGCGACGAATGGGAAGCGTTGGACGTAGGGGTTTGAGAACGCGCCATCCTTTGGGCAGGTGATGTCTGATACGGCGCCCTTGTCTATGAGTCCGTAGACGGTTGTTCCGACCGTGATGCCGTAGCCGAGGAAGAGTGAGAAGATAATCGCGTATACCATTCGAATAGAACCTGCAATGATCTGATGGGATTGTAGCTCGAGACTACTGCACAGGACCAGAAATCCTGGAAGGATCAGTGCGATTGAGGCTTGGGAGATTGCAGAAAAGCAAAAGAGGTATTGCCGTTTACCATCCACGATGGCCCTGGGGATACTTCCAAATGCTCTTGCTAGAAAGGAGGTCACCACTGTCGAGGTCACTTCGAAAACATTCGAGTAGAGAGCTGATCGAGGAGCGGCCACATGTTGCATCAGTCCAACAAGTATACCATTGATGAAGATAATGGGCATATCGATCGGTCGAGCGTTGAATGCGAATGGTCCGACTGTCGCGGTAGCAACCCCGTATATGAGAACAATAATATACTTGGGGAAACGGGGCTTCTTAGCCATCACCTCGTCCAAATCTTGAACGGCCTCCTCAATGCCTATCACGTCGTGGATGATGTTCTTGTATATGAGGTGCGTATCCGATAGTCGGGCCAGATCAACCCCTTGGGCCACTCTAACAAGCTTCACTTCCGTCGTTCTCGTGGACGGATCATCGAAAGACATTATCATGCATCCGGGCAGATACAGAAATTGACTGTCCACTTCCAAGACCTTCGACGTCATCTGCATATACTCTTCGAGTCGGTGAGTCGGAGCTCCGAAGGACATCAACGCCCGACACAACTGCATGATATACCGCTGTCGACAAATGATTTCGGCAATGTGCACCGTGACTCGAATCTCATCTTCCAATTTCACCTTCTGATCAGACTGTTTGCCCCGGCGCTTCTCGGCCGCGGAAATCACTTCATTCGAGACTGGCGTGGTCGCTCCGCTCAAACTCACATTATTCCCGCTCCGAGTCGACTGCGCTGAGTTCGGCGGCCTTTTGTACCACTTGACTGGCTTTCTTTTGGGCGTAGTTGTCCCGGCTGAATGTTGAGATGGTGCTCCTGGCGTCGGACCTTTTTCTCCGGGTTTCGAATCGACAGTAGAGACGGACGATTGACTGTTTGTGCGCGACATGTCTCCCCCATCCTGGCCACCGCCATTCAACTTAAGCAACTGAGACAAGATCCCACCTCCACCGGAGCGATATCGTAGTCCTTCGTCTTGACTGGACTCATCATCGCCCCCGATAAACACGTTCCCACCATGCGGATACGGTTTCGGGCGCGTCTTGCGTCGCTTGGCGGAATGGTCTTGTGTCAGGTCCCGTACCAGTCGATGCGCTTCCGAACTACTTCCTGCTTGGTTTTGTCGCTTTTCCTCTTCTGACTTGTGCATGCTGTCCGTCACATCTGACACTGGTGGTTGACCGCCGGTCGCCCAGTCGCTGTGGTATACGCCCGAATATAAATCGTCGCCGCCGGTTGGTGGTCGTCCCATTCGCTCGGCCCAGCCCCTAGCTCGGCCTCTGAACTTGTCTTTTGTTGATCGGAGCCGATTGCGCGTACATTGGAAGTTAAGCGTCTGGGGCGCTGGGCCTGATGGCTTCGGCTGTGACGCTGGACCCTCGGCCTTTTCATTCGTGCTTGTATCTTGGTTCTGGTCCTGACCCGCTTGTGGTGCTCTCTCGTTGAGCGGGGTGTCTGCTATATCTTCTGATACGTGGGCATAAGGTGTTGTCGGATGATGCGGTAGTCCTTCGCGCTGGGAGCGATCGTGTTCGGCGCTTGCATGTCGGCGTGGTGCATTTTGAAGCAATCCGCCCGTGGATCTGAATCGTACTCGGGGCGATGGTTGTTGTGTTTCATCTTGGATGGCTGTTTCGCCGGAGTATCGTGATGTGAGATCTGCTAGATCCTCTGGTGGGTCGGTGAAGTAGTTATCGCTATCACTATCGTTCGAGGAGGCGGATGTGTCTTTCTCTTGGGAGGACATTAGGGTTGGTGGTGTCCTGTTCGACAAATTCTAGAAAAACATTGGCCTTCGAACGGTGAAACGAAACTATCAAAATAGAGTCAGCTCAGACTCGAGACCGAAAATCGAGGCACCTGGTTACCTTTCGCTCCAAATCTCTCACTGCAGGTATCGCTGAGAATTCAAACTATTCAGCCGGCTTTGGTCGGCCACACAACTGATTTCCCTTGAGTCGATGGAGTACTGTGTGCGTGAGGTGGCCATTTGCACTCTAATGAGCTCATGGAGGCGGGACGGGGTATACTCCCTCGGGCCGTGGCAAACTCATCACTGACCGGCAAGTTATTTGGCCCAATCGAAGGAGATGAGGAAGTAACCTTCTTCGTCTAGAAGCAATTAGGATTAATTTGCCGCTTTCAGCCGCGTCACCTCTCGGGATCTTTGTCCGAGCGGAAATAGAACCAGCAATACATCTAATCTAAATAGAGTGTGAATGATCACTACTGTTAGCGGATCTGAGATCAAGCTTTGGGTTTTCAACATACTACATTTTCAGGTATCCATGAGATATAAAGTTAAAGAAATTTCACGCTGGCCTCCATAGACAGCTTGCGTCAGCCGCTTCAGAGTCTGCGATCAAAAACCACAAGAATAGGATATTGAAAATGTGCTCCACCTAGTATCCTCTCTCTTCTGCTGCACTCGACCTCGGCAGTATTTACAAAACGAATTTCCGAATCCGATGTCAGCTCGTGCTTCTTAATTGTTCTCCGCATTTCCATTGGACGCACTTGGGGCTTTCGTGAGTATTTGGTCAAAGTACCCCGTCATGCCTGCGGTATCCTCCAACTCGCCCACCCATCCAACATACTGATCAGGGCGAATGATGGCCACAGCACCCCGAACAAGATCAACTCCCCACTTCTCATATGCTTTGCCTTGACATTCGGCATCGTAGTTGCAGGCCCTCTCCGACCAAATACGATCATAAGCCCATCCCATGACTTCATCGAATGGTCGCAATACCTCTGGGAAGTCGTGATACTCAACCTCATCCCAAGGGCTGCTGTGTATGGTTAAAGTGCTGATCGGGCCATCGAACTGGCTGATCGGGGCGACATATCGGTTGAGAATAGAGGGTAGTACACTGCCGAGTTGATCAACCCGGTCTTTCTGCATCGGAAAGCGGATATCACCCGCAAGGACGACAAGTCGGAACCGTCCATCACTCTCTAATATGTTTGTTGTCCATCGCGTATCAAGCCGGGCTTGGTTGAGGAGCTTCCGAACGGGGAATTTCTCTCCGGGCACTAGTCCCTGGAATTTCTGCTCCTTGTCATTGCTGAGTTTGTGGACTAGATTGCTGGCGGGATAGAATGCCTTGCGTCCTTCGTAGAAGTCTTCAAATTCCTGATGGATCGTGCGCGCGTCTGTCTTCTGTATCTCCTCGGACGCATTTTCGTCTTTTGTAAATTGCGACGAGATTTGTCGATCGTATTCGACCAACATCTTCGCCAGAGGCAGTCGCTCGGCATTATACGTGTCCAGTATAGAAGGCGAGGCACCTCCTTGTGCGACAAGGGCCAGTTTCCAGCCAAGGTTGAAACCATCCTGTAAACTCATATTCATTCCCATTCCGATCTTTGGCGAGTGTGAGTGGGCAGCGTCGCCGGCAAGGAAGACACGGTTCTCTCGAGATAGTGTCGAGGCGACTCTCTGGCCGACGCCATACGCGGAAAACCACTCGCAAATCTTGAAATCGAATTCCCATGGGCTAAGGATTGCTTGGACCATCTTCCGGAGATCGTCGGGGGTAAATGTGGATTTGTCGCGGCGGCCGTTGGTTGTGCCATTTTCTGCGTCGGGTGTCTGTGTATCTTGGCCCTTTGGCATTGGCACGTAGAGGCGCATGAGGTTGCGCTCGCGGGGAACTATCAAAATTGAACCGGCAGCATTCTCCACCATAGCCAAGCGGCGAATATCAGCTGTGGGTATTTTTTGGGTTAGTCTGGTGTCAAGATGCGCATCGCGATGAATCACTTACGGAAGTTGGAAATGGGGACAACATCAGCCACACCCCTAGGGACGAGTTAGTTCCAATCGGTCGAATTTGGAGGCTCGGGTTACATACCAGACATATTCGGTGCTTGATCCTTCCATGGCAAGTCCCATCTGGGTCCTCGTCCAACTACGCGCCCCATCGCAAGCAAGTAGGTATCTCGCTTTGACGATCTCGACCTTCTCCTCCCTTTGAATCTCCGGTGGGACGCCATTGGATTCATCGGAAAGCTGGCGATTTACAACACCGTTTTCGAGCTTGATCGGTCCGTTCTGCGCTTTCGCCTCCCCATTAACTGAATTCTTAGGATTGAGAGTCCGAAGTTGAACAGTAATAGGATAAGCTGCGTGGTCCTCTTGGTCCAATTCATTAAAGTTGAGTGCCTCGGCGACAACACCTCGCTCAACCTTGATAGACGAATTCTCGTGAATCGAATCGAGAATGAATTGTTCCAAACGACCTTGTCCCAAAAGCGTATGGACGAAAGGCATGCGGGATTCATTATTCTCGCCAGAATGCTCTTGGCGCACGAGCTTCCCTTCCTCGTCGAGGCCCTATTCAATCCGAAAGGTATTAGTCGATTGCGACGTGTTTGAAGGGCGCAATGAAACGAACCCAGTAAGTTGAAATAACTGCCGCAACTCCTTCATTCCGAACGCGATGGTTGAATCCACAGCTATCGAATAGCTCTAATGTGCGCGGCACCAGCCCGTCAGCATGGCCGAGCATCACCTTCTCTGCGCGCTTGTCCACAATGCGGGCCTTGACTCCATAGCGAGCCATCCAGTATGCCGCCATCAGGCCGGCAGGGCCGGCTCCGATAATGAGTCTGGATACATCACGCTGTCAGTTCTCGCGCAAATGAAAGTGACGATGCGATTCTGAATAACTCACACATCTGTTTCAGACTCGGGGTACTTCGTTATGGTCATGATGGACTTTAGTAGAGACGAACGCGTATACCTAGGTATGTTGGTGGGCAGCGAACGAGAGAAGATTCAAGAAAGAATTCGCAATGCGCCTACGTGGGCAGATCACCGACTCTTAAGAGAAATTCAATCCATCATATGTATGATTGACAGCGCAGCTTGGTTTTGTCGCGGCGCATCCCCTGCGCATGGCACTAGACTGCATCATGTACATCTACCAATGGTCAGATGGTTCGTGTAACCTTGTCATAATTGCTTTCGATCGCTGGTCAATGCAGGCGGTTTATCGAGTGGATCGTCCGGTCGGGTATTATTCCTAGCTGCAATTGAAAGGCATAAAGGGCGCGAGAAAAAGTAAACCACACGGTCGCGGTGGGGAATGGCGCAGCTGGCAGCAAGGATATCACGCAGCTGAACATGCACAAGCGCCTCTGTGGAGAGCTGAAGGGAAGAAGGGACATGGTGGCGTTCTTGGGGGGGATTTTCCTTCGTTCGTCAGGTTTGCTTGTCAGGTTCGTTCATTGGGTTCAGCTAGAACTCGAAAGCAATAATAAAGTTAAAAATAGAATATTTGGGAAAGGAAAATGGTCTGCTAAACAGCCTGGATCCTGCAGAATTGTGCAAATCGCTCATGTCTGTCTATTTGTGAATTCTTCCCACGTTTCTTGTCAAAAGCCATGAGCTATCAGGAACTTGAATGGCTGTCTTTGTTCATCTTGGATCTTCTTTTTTAATTGGTTCCTTTTTTTTTCACTTGGGTTTCTTTTCTTTTTTTTTCGCGACCTCCGACCCCCTCGCGCATTCGCGCGTTAGATGGGGCTTGTACTACATCAGATCGCGCACAGACAGCTGGGATATGCAAATGCGGTTCTGACAGATCGCTTAATGGTTTACGGAAAGTTTTTAGACTACTCCGTACGTATGAATTAAAGGCACCCCAAGGCTTATGAATCATGTTTAGACACAGCTACTTTGTGGTGATCTGTGACTTTTGTAGTTCTTTCTCTGACTGTTGCCGCAACTTGAAGCCTTCCGAGGTTGAGGATCTTGACCCACAGCTCAGCTCCACAGCCCTGGAGCTTGATTCGCAGTTGTTTCGCTACTAAATAGTTGACTAGTGGTTACTATCATGACGATCACACGAAACTGCCCAATCAAACCTTGAAAAGAATATGCTAATGGGCATGCAGGTGTTATTCCTTCGCAGATATCGCGACTCACTGGGCTCTCTAAATGCTTTTCCTCTTCAAATTCCGAGGCTTCCTTTTCTATGAAGAATAAGCTGGCGCATTACGGTGTGAACACGATTCACTGTTACCAAATTCTACGTCGAGATTCGCCCCAGTAATTCTTCCGATCACACTATTGGCAACTCGATTTCCGAGATGGAGGAAGTCCCGATTCAATCCAGGGCGGAAGAGATGCCGGTCTAATACTACGGAATTTCATTAGGTCAAACTTGGAAGCTATGAGATATTATTTCTCAAGCTCAACTATCTTCTTGGGTATCATAATAGCAAAAGCCGTGCAGGCTGCACAAGAAATTCAGATGCCATCGACTGTATACGATGCGCATGCCGCCAGCGAATCCATCGTCATCCAGTCCATGTTACCAGAGTCTCCTAGATAAAAGTGGGTGCCGGGCATCTTCCAGGTATTAGCAGAGGTTAAACTTTCTTGTGGAGGGAGACTCACCATCAGACTCCAGTCAGCCATTATCTCGGATACCGGATCGATTCCCATGTCATCCTGGCTATTCGTATCAACGGTCGCAGCATCGATCTTACCCTCCAGGATACTCAGACATCCGGCCTCTGCCTCATCTGCTGCTTCTAGAAGCACGGTTGGGAGTTCCTCTCTTGAGAGACCGCGCATCAGTCCATTAATCTGTGCACAGACAAGACAAAGGAACAGATATCCTTTGATGTTTGTTTCGCCTGCTTCAATGCAGTGTAGAGACCACTTTTTGGCCTCTTGCAGGACGGAATACAGATCCCGGCGGAGGGACATCGGGCCTAGGGTGGAGGTTTCTTCTTGAACTTGCGTTTTCAGTTCGGCGGCGATAAGAAAGACGGCTTGCATGGACGATGTGCGGAAGCTGCCACTTCCACAAAGTGCAAGTCGAGACAGGTCGTCAGTCTCTAACGGCAAAGCCTTATCTTGTGAATGGCTTGCCATGGCTGTTGACATTGGGAAGATGTTGCACCATGTCTTCAGCGATGTCTCGATAACAACCCTTCTTGAGAATGCGTACTGGGTTTCTTTCAATGACGCACTGAAAAATGGCATGTGAATTGCCGTCATATAACGCCGGATGAGGAAGTCCACGATTCGCGTCTGGAAACGAGATGGTTTTCTTGCGCCGGTCCCCTTGGCTTTGTACCCCTGTAATTCTCGAGAGATCTGTTTTGAAGCTCCACGTAGTTCCTGGTCAAGGCGAAGTGTCTCCTCGTATCCGGCGTGGGAGGATATGCTATTGAGTGTCTTGACAATGCATAGGCGGAGGGGCAGCATCTTTCGAAGGGCCAAGGCGACAGATACATCAGTGAAGACATCATCTGGTGCTGGCGATGGGTTTTGCTGGTTGATTGCTTCATCGTCAAAGTTACCAGGTGGCATGGTGTTGAAGTCGTTGAGAGAGCAGAGAGGAGGACCCCCTGATTCCATGCTGGCTTGCAAATCGAGTTCCAATATAGTATTCCAGAGCCTTCGTCGCATTTCCGATGAATAGCATGACATTCTGGGGAGGAACTCTGGGTCTCGATTAAGCCCCATGTAGACTGCGAAACGGAGCAGCTCACCGGTGGACACCCACACAAGAGCCCCGTCGACTCCGACGATTTCTCTAGCTAAGAGAAGGAGAATGTTAATCTGGAGGAATTGGAGGCTGAGTCGAGCTTTGAACTCGGGTTCTGAAATCCAGGTCTGTGCTTCATGGACCCATCTGATGGCCGTTGCTCTCATGGTAAATCTGTCATCATAGACTGTGGAGCCGATTGCCATTACGAGCTTCAAGAGGATCACAAAGGCTGTGTCCCCGTTCTTTGATTCCATGGCGGCCTCATAATCGCGTCTAAATGTTGGGACATGAAGCACGCGGTAGACTGTCTCGGAGGCTCGGAGATAGTTTGCAACCAGCACATCAGCGACATCCCTGCGGGGAAGATCGAGCGTCGGTGAACATGGCCATGCTGGGGTGCGCTGAGCCTTGATCATTTTTCCGAGCCACTTGCACTTGGACAGGTTTGTCATCGCTCGCGCACCTTCATTATGAAGCATGGGCTCTATCAGATCAAGAACTTCGGCAAACTGTAAATATTCATTGTCAGTATCTGTTCTCCATATTGCATGGGCAAGAGTAGTGATGTACCTGAGCAACTCCATTCATCCAGTGACTTTGGCCAAATACTCTGGTTTTGTGCATGATGGATCGTGATATGGTTGGCGGTTGGCCCTCAGTGGCGCTTTCAGAGGTTACATGAAATGTACCAGCGAGGTAAGATGTGGTTGTACTGATATTGTAGTTGGGACTTGGGGTCGTAGGTCCGGCAGAGGCCCGGGGTGTCTTGGCCAGCTGTTCCTCGAGTTGCTTCACTCGAAATCTCAGGTGATGAAGCTCTTCTGTTGGTGGTTGACTTGAAGGGGTCATGATTGCCCTGTCTGATGGAACTGACATAGATGGGCTTGGTCCACTCGGCGCTGTCATCACTGCGCTGGGTGTATGGGCAGCGTCTGTTTGCATCTCTGTGTGAGTGTCATCTGGCGGATGGATTTTGGTGCTTTGGTTGTCGGATACGCCCATCGCACGTTTCCAAGTAGATGGCGGCGGTGGTGAGACCGCCTCGTAAACACAAGTCGCATTTTTGGCTCTCACGCAGTTGCTGCATGGTGTCTCCCGATCGCATTTGATCTTTCGTTTGCGGCACAGTAGACAAGATCTGAGAAGCTGTCAGCTACTCACGAGACGTGAAAATAATGAAGAAATGTGGTATTCCTTTGACGTACATTGGCGGCCGGCGGCGACGCCGTTCAGATCGCGGCTTGTGGTGAGGATCCATACTCTCCCATATTTCGGATCAGATAAGATACAACGCTGCTTTGTTCAGCCACGGCAGACCCCGAACATCTGCAAACACCGAGATCCGAGAGCCGAAGGATGTCGGATGACTTGCAGAAGGGAAGTTGGAAAGGAGAGAAAGATGTGCAGAGGAAAGAAGGACGAAGCAGCAAAGGAAGGTGAATGTCGGAGTCGGAGTCGGGAATTGCACATTTGGTCTTCCTCGTCTGCAATTTCCCGAGATGCGGGCTGGGCCAATCACGGGACTGGCATCTATGGGTGAATGGGCATTGCTAGAGTATAAACAAGACAAGACAGAGTCATTCTTTCGTAGTTCTGGAAGTGTGAACCACAAGGAACATTGCAACATTTAATAACTTTTCTTTTTCACCACTATCATCGCTTCGCAATCCACACATCATGTGTGATGACGGCTCTTGCACCCACTGCAATAATGATGCAGCTTTTGATACCTTCAACACAAGCACACAACCTTCTGGTACATCCAAAATGGCCTCAAAATACAACCAGCCATGCTTTGCTCTGAACTACGAGTGGCAGAATGAAGTCACCACTCTCAAGTCTGCAGAAGATGGTAGCAACCTGGGTCCACCTCCCGATGGAGGTATCAAAGCTTGGCTTGTCGCAGCCGGAGCAGCTTGCATCTTTTTTTCGACTCTTGGATTCGCAAATTCATTCGGTGTCTTCGTGGAGTATTATCTCTCCCACCAACTGCGAGGCCAGTCGGCAGACAAAGTGGCCTGGATCGGATCCGTCGCTGTTTTCGTGCAGTTCGCGGCAGGCGCGGTTGGTGGCCCTCTTTTTGACCGTTACGGCGCTTGGGTATGTAAATAACACTCCTTTCATTTGTATTTTCCATCTTTAGAGGCACCACTGACACCAACAAGGTTATTCGACCCTCCATGTTCTTCCTGGTGTTCGCCATCATGATGACTAGCCTTTGTGCCCAGTACTGGCAGTTCATGTTGGCCCAGGGTATTCTACTTGGCATCTCCATGGGGTTCTTGCAGTTCCCAGCAATGGCTGCAGTCACGCAATACTTTGATAAGAAGGCTGGCGCAGCACTTGGCCTGGTAATCTCCGGCTCCTCCATCGGCGGTGTTGTCATCCCAATCGCGCTCTCAAAAATGCTGAACAGTACCAATCTGGGGTTCGGATGGTCCATTCGCATCATTGGCTTCCTCCTTATTCCATTGCTGGCTTTCTCTTGCATCACTGTGAGGAGTCGTCTTCCCGCTCGTCAATCGGCTTTCCTTCTTCCTGGCGCCTTCAAAGACCGCACATACTGCATGCTCATCGCGGCGCTGTTCTTCATGTTCATCGGCATGTTCCCGCCACTCTTTTACATACCCACCTACGCCGTGGAGCGTGGCATGGATGCAACCTTAGCATCTTACCTACTTGCTATTGTCAACGGAGCGTCGACCTTTGGTCGAGTCGTGCCCGGAGTCCTCGCCGACAAATTTGGAAGAATCAACGTCTTCATGTTCGGGGGAATAGCTTCTGGTGTCGTTGTCTGCTGCATGAATGAAGCAAAGTCCACCGCGGGATTGGTGGTCTACGCCGTGATTGTCGGCTTCACCACTGGAACCATTATTTCCGGTGGCTCGACAGCTTTGACGCTCTGCATCAAGAGTCGTCAGGATAGTGGTACCCTCCTGGGAATGGCACTGGGCCTTAGTTCCATTGCTGCTTTGATCGGTCCTCCTGTGAGTGGAGCATTCGTGCAGCACTACGGCAGCTTTGCCCAGATGTCTATTTTCAGCGGCGTGATGTGTCTGGCTGGTGGCTTCATTGCATTTGCGGCGAAGTCGACTACTCCCCATGGCCTGCTCGGGAGAACTTGAGCATGCGGGTGCCGGTGCGGGCTTATTCATCGACATTCGTGCTTTGACAAAGTTTCCTTTTGAAAAGCCCGGCGTCTGATGAAAATTCCAAGGTCACTGAGTTCTGGATCCAATGAATTCTCCATATGATTGCTTCGATAAATCCCACCCATAGAAAGCGAAAGATACTTTGTTGATCCAACGTCAGCTTGAACCCCATAAATTCCGAGTAGCCAGGGCGAGTTCTGAAAGAACATAGGTATTGGCCGGTATATCTCTATCACAACTTCTCAGAAACCAACAAGACTGGAATTTCCATTGTGGATAAGAATTACCACCGGGGCATGTACTACAGCTTTTCCAACTCAGGCCGACTAGTAGTATAACTGTTAATCAATGTTCCTCCGGGTCAGGGTAATTCAAACATACAAGAAGACCAAAGTACTTCCAGATTCATCACAATCAGGCAGTAGATTTTTGTCTTGGTTCGCGGTATCTGAATGAGATAACTGCTCGCTCCCCTGGAATTGAAGACGGGAAGACTGGAAATGACCATTCCTCTGGAACATAACGTAACTCTGCCTCGACATCATGCTGTTCATTCGAGACACGAATTGCCTTGCTGTTTTCATCGTGAAGAATAAATCCCAGTAGTCCGATTTCTTGAAAAAGTCATCGTCGTATCCTGCTTCCTTCTTCATCCATTTCACCAAGTTTTTGCTCCATAATGTCAAGCTCTTTCTCCATCATGGCAAGTTCTTCAATGAGCATCTCAATAAGAGCTGGAATTACCGGGGAATTTGTTCGAGGTCAGATCCATGGACTTGTCCGTGTTTGATATGTAGCTGTCTAAAGTTTCTTTGACTTGTTTAGCGGATGTGGAAATGGTGGTCGGTTGGCAAAAGAGTTCCTTGTCGAGTGGAAAGGACAAAAGTGTGCTCGGAATTCCGCTTGAAGTTTGGCCTTTGGCTCAACGGGTCATGGATCGGCGGTTCGCAAATTGCCGGCGACGATCCACAGGGGTACTCTCGAGAGTATTGAGGGAACGAGAGGAAAGCTTAGGTTTCCTTGGCTCAGGACCTTGAAAGCCCCATCGCCTCGACATCAAAATCTGTCAATTCATCAATCGCACGAGAAGCTTGATCAAGGACATGTTCATTCTGAGAAGTAACCCAGAGAACTTCTTGAGTTGGCTCGTTCCCTAGCTCTAGTAGTGCATTTGCGAAAAGACGTTCGGCGTGAAAATCCCTCGCAGTGATCAAGAATTCATCGATGTCATTCTGGAGCCGGTGGACTGAAGCTTGAAGCTGGAGACCCGCAATATCCAAGTGTTCAAAGTACTGGGGCTATGCCATTGTTTCGTCGGTGAGTGCTCTTGGTTGTTGAGTTCTGTTATTGATGGATGACTTTTCAGAACAAATAGCATGTTTCTGTCGGATCAGCTGCTCTTCCATGACCCTCAGAGATGCAACTCTGACTCTCTGGCCTGTGTGGACCTCGTAGATTCGGAGGATCTTGGGATCCTGAGAAAGGTGCCGGAATCGGCAAGATCTGGAGCAGAGGTTTGCAGCGGTTCTATCTCATCTTTTGGCAGAATGTCAGTAAAAGAGGAACTTAGGGGGTGATTCTGAAACAGACCTTCGCTTCCCACAGGTGGGCTGGATCTTCAATGATCATTCCAGTCTCCCCGGAAGGTCCTCTTCCGTGGCATATTCAAGCTCTTGGATGCAAATATTCTCTGGAATTTTTGTAAAGGTAGCTTGATGTAAAAGAAAGAGGGATGTTTTATCAAATCTTAGAATGGCAGGGGCTTGGTTTTGGAGTGAAAGTTTGACAAAATTTCCGTGAATGTGAAAAGTGAATGTGAAACGTGAATCTAAGCAACCTGAGAACATTTCGGGCCTGAAGGTCTCAACTTGACTGGGCGCCCCAGCATGTCCGTCACTGACATCTTGGGCCCATAGAACACTGGCAATTTTCTTTTTCGTTTACGACATGGGAAAATGAAAGAATAAGTAGGTAGAATTAAAAAGGTTCGGGAATAGTCTGATAGGTGAAAAGAAATATAGATGCAAAGATCACCAAAAAGGAGATATTACTAAGGAATTCTTTTCTTGGAGGCTTTTTCGCAGAGTATCTAATCTTGCGATCAATACTCAACCTACTTGAATCTCACGAAAATAGTACTACATCATACCATTCTCCATTGTCACAAAGATCCCCTGTATATAGTCTATCTCCCAGCCCAGAATCGCAGGAAGGCTTCTTTCTTTGTCTTTGAAACCGGATCTTTCTCATTATTCCCGTCATTCACAATAGGCAATCCATCATTTCCAAGATTGGTCACAGCATTCTGCGTCTTCCCTAGGAAGTAATTATTCTGGAAGAACGCTGCGATTAGTGGAATAAATGCAATTCCAAGAGCTGGTGCAATACAATAATATAATGCACGGCGGTAGGCCACAATAGCACCGACCCGCATCGGATCATCGAAGTCATAGCTTCTAATCATAGTGACCTGGCCAAACAGCTTCTTCACATCGGCCTCTGTCGCGGTTTCCGGGAGGTGTGTCCGTAGTTGGTTTGGCATCTGGCTTGACCAAATAACGACGACAATGGCGGATCCAATAGCGCTGCCAATTTTCGACCAGAGGGAGAGGAGAGAAATCACGAGCGCGACATCCTGGTGAGGAACTGATGCTTCAGAGGCGACACGCGATCCAACGACAGACATTGAGCCACCAAATCCGATCAGAATCATGGAAAGAACCATGGCTGCTGTGTTGTCAGTTGCCATGTCTCCTTGCAACATAATTCCCATGCCGATAATCTTGATACAGAGACCAACAATCTGGATCGCTTTGTATCTGTGGGTCCAACGTTGCAGGAGCCCGACGAGGGGTCCTGCAATACAAAGTGCGAGGGTTAGCGTATTTCCATAGTAAACCCAATCTTGGTAGCTCCATGGTTTGGCGATGTAGACATAGGAGCTCCAGTATAGACCGCGCAAATTCCCGGCAACTATTTATTTCATATTGTTAGATATTCGGGTTCTCAAGGCTGAACTAAACGATTATACGAACGCATATAGGTACTATCAATTATAACGGCCATCAAGAAAGTCTTGTTGAAAACCAGTCGACGAGGGGCGCTCGGGACTCGGGCCCATAAGATCTCGTATACCACGTAGGCGATGAGTAAAATGCCCCCCCACAACCATCATTGCGATCATCGAAGGGTTCTTCCATCCTCCATCGGCATAAGTCTTCAAAGAGAATGGGAGGAGAAGCAAAGACCATCCGAACCCCAGGAGAACGAGGCCAAAGGCGTCAATCTCTTCAAGGTTGTTCTTGAATACTTCCATCCAAGTCTGTGACGGCTTGACGGCCGGTGCAATGATTGCGCCGCGGGGGACTCCATGGCCTTCTTTCTCTACCAATTCTCTAGCATCACGGCGATTGGCGTTTGAAGATGCGATATTGACAATACCATGCTTCTTAGCCTTGCGGTCTAGCCAAATGAGAACGGCAATGGCCGGCCCTAAAGCGACAGGCATTATGATGGCAAACATTCCGTACCCCCAGCGCCACTGATTCCGGCTGTCGATTGCCTGGACAATCTTTCCAGAAAACCAGGTATTGACGATAAATGGAGTAGACAGGAGGGAGCTGGTGAAGCCACGCCATTCCAGGGGAGTAAGATCGGCAACAATTATATCATTGGTCAAGTCCAGACCGGAGCTACCGATTGCGACGAAAACCTCACCGACGATATAGGCGGATATTGTTTGGCACGAGGCAACGATTATGTACCCAATCACGTAAAACGCGAGCACCAGGAGATATGTATATGGGCGTGATGTGATGTCGGAGATCTTAGCAATGAAAGGCTTGCTCACTGCGCTGATTATGCTTGTAGCGATGGAAAGGGTCGACAGGATGGAACTATGCTGCCTAAAGTATGAGGAGGCCTCGAGTGAATAGTAGGATGTTGTCGATGAATCGAGTGAGTAGGCCCACGCGCAGACCAATACCGAGATGGAGACCAGCCACAGCGATGTACGATTTATCTTGGCCTCGCGGTAGATAGCCTCCATGCGAGTGACACCCTGTGACTGGAGAACATCGCCAACTTTGGATTTTGCGAGGGTTTTCCCGTCAATTTGGGCCTCACTTTCCGCCGAGACGGTGACAGGGTTGATCTTGTCGTCGACTGCGTCGGGCATTCTGGATCGCGTGAGTGGATTGACGGTCGACAACAGAAAGGATAACGAGCGAACTAGCTTCCTTATATAACTTCTAGCCTCCGAGTCAACCCTCATGGTGCCTAGCGCGAGCAATCCAAATTTTCAAGGTAAAAAAAATTATCTGTGTTTTGAGGGGACATCCAGCCAGTAAGAGGGTTCTACAGGGTACATTCAGCGCGGCCATCTAATCTGATCTGATAGGGGCTCCACCTTGAGCAGGCCTGAGCACAGAGTTTTATAGGTTCTCTCAGTCTCGGTCGCATTGCATTTACTGTTCCGGACTAGAGCGGGATCTATTCCAAGGTATCATCGACCTGGGAGGGAGTGGTAGCCCTCATTGGTCCAGGGCCCGATGAGAAGGTAATTCAAGCCGGGATGCCTCCGGGAATCAAGACATTTGACATTCTTGGCGCAGGGTTTTTCAGTGAGCGGGATCCTATCATTGAGAATCCCAGCGAATCGAGGGATTTCAAGTTGGACGTCTAGCAGCTACTCTTCTAATCTTCACTAGGTATATACAAAGGAACTTGAAGCTTCGATCCCGTCGGGTTATTGCCAAAGCTTTGAAAAGGGGTTGAAAATAGTACCACGTGTACATTAGTATCGTTGGACATGATCTTCTGACCCTCCTCCTCTCTCTCTTTTCCTCCCTAGACTACTACCAGGCTAATTTAAACCGGCTACCTACCTAAGTGGGTATTGACAGATATTGTTGCATAGAATTATGGTGTTATGAACTAAGGAAAGGAAGTAATACCTGAACTATGAGCTAGGTCAGCAATGCCAGATGTCAATCTGTACAATACTGTACCGTGGACCTCGATTTTCCACTTCTTTCGCTCAGTAAAAGAAGAGAATTTCTGCTGTCTTCAGGGAGGGCCGCATTCGGCGTGCCCAGAACCGCCGTCTTTGCCGCGCTGAAGAGCCCAGCAGGAGCAGCAGCCTGGTACTAAGCATACTCAACTTTCTACCGATATTCCGCGCTATTTGACTAGTACTGGAGTGATCTGATCTGCCTCGCTCTTTTCTCCAAGAGTCTTCGTGAAGTCCGTCCCGAGGTCGTTTATTGGCAGACGCCAAGACTCGCTCGCTCGACCCCATATTCCTAATCAGGAAGGCAGAGCACTATCCTTAGCTTAAAAAATATACTCGTCGGTAGAACTATGCACCGTAGCTTATATACCACTCGCTTTGATGTTTGCAAGATAACTGCAACTTGAAGATAGCTTTTATTCCTGCTTCCATGGCTTCTAATCTCGAACTCGTGTCATGAGTTCGCTGCAAACTGGGTACACAGGGCCATTCAGATAATTAAGGCCGAGCAAGCGTTGGTGGTCGATCATATTACTAGGCCACAAGCGATGGAGTATCCGTTGATAAAATATCCAGAAACTACCCAGGCACATTTGGCAGCATCTTGATACCTATGGTTAGTAATTGATAATTCACTAGATATCCCATTTGATCGGAAATAATCTCGGGTTGTTTAGGGAGAATGAGGGCCAAATGCAACCGCCATTTAACGATGCGCCTCGAGTGGTGAAACTTGATGAATATCACTTAGTCTCGTGCAGCACTCCATCTAGAGTTAGTCTAGGACCTCGAGATATATCGTTCTTTGAAAGTCCGATATATATATGCCTACCTAGGTAGGTACACTACATTCCCGTATTTGGGGGGGCATCTTCTCGACTCCTCTCTACTAGTACTCGTGGACCCACAACGATGCCAACAGCATCGACGCCGAAATTAACATCATCATAGTCCACTCTCTTCCGTATCCCTTTAGACTTTGTACCTCTCAGCTTTTTCCATCATTTATCCATCGGAAATGCTGTTTCTGCCATCACCCATCCACCGCCAGCGCGTCTTTGTTGTCCGTCTCTCGTTCCGCTCGCAAGGGGGGCGATCCGCGCGGCCCGCGAAGCTACCGCATTCCAGACATCCTATCCAGATCAAAACATCAGGTTTATCGGTATCCTGACGACGCCATGCCAACCGCCTGGTCTCCTACATGCCAGAAGGGTCTGGCCAGATCCCTGGTCCTTTTTCCGCCATGCCTGGAGTTCCAATGTTTACTTCTTCTCCTCCCTCCCTCTGCTACCAGCTTGAAAGGATATCCTTGAGGGTTGTGGTTGAGAAATTGAGGTTTGAGGATGCGGAGCTCACTATCTGTTGCTACTCTGGTAGCCTTTGTTGCTACTGTGTCGGGATCGGTCGCTCCTCTTCGTGAGAGTGACATTGAACATCTCCACGAAGTCAATCAGGGCCCATCGGAATCAGTCTTCTTTCCGGGTTTGTTTCCGACACTGTTATCCCAGGTAGGCGGTACTCCGAACTTTCTCGATGCACTGCTTGGAGATGCAAAGCCAACAGATACCCCGAGTCCGGAGCCTTCCAGTCCCCCTGAGGCTGTCAGTCCGGTGGAAACGCCGACTCCTGCGGAAACACCCTCTCCAGCAAAGACATCCACTCCAATTGAGTCTCCTGCTGCCTCGGAAGAACCTGATTCGCAGAGTCTCACATCTCCTTCAGCACCTGCCTCGCCGCAAACACCGAGTTCTTCAGGTGTTCCCTCGTTGCAGTCTTCTACACCGGTCCCTTCCTCCGCAGGAGGTGCCCCCACAACTGTGACCTATACTTTGACCCCAGCCTCGAGCCAAAGTTCGTCATCAAAGCAGATTCAGACATTCTCAACTCGCCCAAAGCCAGAGTATGTGATCGCTACCTCCCAAGCTACGGCTCGTGCTGACTATTACCAGATCTAACAGCCCAACCTTCGCCCCGGCGTCCAAGACATGTGCTCCCAAAGGACAACCCTCGCGTCGTGTCTTCTGGTTGGACCAACAGGACCACAAAGGACAAGGCGCTGGTCTGGCTCCCTATATCTCCGAAGATAACTCGTACCCCGTCTACCGAAATGTGATGCACTACGATGTTGCGAACGATGGTACGGGCGATCAGACAGCAAACCTCCAGAAAGCTATCGATGACACCGGAACCGGGGATAGTCGCAAAGGACATGGGGTCACTCGCTTCCCTGCTGAGGTGTATCTCCCCAGTGGTGTCTACCAGCTTGGAAGCACGCTCAAATTGACCGTTGGAACTATCATTGTTGGTAACCCCAACAATCCACCCGTCATCAAAGCATCTCCCAGTTTCCGTGGCCAATTCCTAGTTCTGGGATACGACAAAAACAACGGAAACCCTGAAACTAGTTTCATGATGGTGATGAAGAACGTGATCTTGGACACAACTTCGGTGGATGCCAATGTCGCCATCACTGCCCTCCAATGGGGCGTGGCTCAAGGATCCGGTTTGACCAATGTCGAGGTTCGCATGCCGACTGGCCCTGGTACACACACCGGTATTGATCTAAATGCTGGTTCAACTATTGCTGTCACCGATGTGGTAAGTTTTTCTCCCGTGACAAAATCGCGATGCCGGTCTCAACTAACTTCAACAGCGCATCATCGGCGGTGCCACCGGTATCAAAAACTCGAATCAACAGGTCAATTTCAAAAACATCCACTTTACCGCGGTTGGCACAGCCTTTTATGCCGCTGGCGGATGGACTGTGCTGCTCCAGGGTGCGACTTTTGAGTCCTGTGGTACTGCTGTCAACATGACCGATAATGGACTAGGCAGTCTGGTTCTACTAGACTCGACGTCGACCAACAGTGGAACTGTCATTCTGTTCCATGACTCCTCTCATGACGACGGGAACCAGAACAGCCAGTTCACTATTGAGAATCTTTCCCACGATTCCCAGCACCCTATCGCGGTTGATAGCACCGGTGCTACTCGCTTAGGACCTGCTTCGCACATTGACACTTATGTCTGGGGCTCAAGAGTACCTGGCCAGTATGAAACTGGAAAGGCTTTCGTTACTCAGCGATCGGAGAATCTACTGGTTGGTGGCAAGTATTTTACCAAGGCCCAACCTACCTATGGGGAATATGGCGATGATGATATCGTGAACGTTAAGACGGTGCCGGGCCATGTCGTCAAGGGTGATGGCCGAACTGATGATACGGAGGCTTTGAATGCTATCTTGTTGAAGAACGCTGGGGAGTGCAAGATTACCTACATTCCATTTGGTGTTTACCGAGTTTCCGATACTCTCTTCGTACCTGTGGGCACTCGAATGGTTGGTGAGGCATGGGCTGTCATCTCAGGCTATGGTGATGCCTTCAAGAATCCCCGTCAACCTCGTGCGGTTGTCCAGCTTGGTCGCCCTGGAGATGTCGGCGTTATTGAAATTCAGGACATGCGGTTTGCAGCAGGTGAAATTCTCCCTGGTGCAAAGATTTTGGAGATTAACGCTGCCGGAGCCCAACCTGGAGATGTTGGTCTATGGAACACCATCGTCACAGTTGGAGGTACCGCCGAAACGACAATTTCCAATAGCTGTACCTCACAGGATCCCAAGGACTGCATGGCTGCCTTCATGGTGATGCACCTAACAAACAGCTCGTCTGCATACATCGAGAACTTCTGGGGATGGACAGCGGACCACAACCTGGATAGCGAATCTCTTCTCACCATCATTTCGACCGGTCGTGGTATTTTGGTCGAAGCGACTCAAGGCACCTGGCTCACCGGTACTGGCTCCGAGCACCACTGGCTCTACAACTACAATTTCCACAAGGCCGAAAACGTGTACGCCGGTCTTCTCCAGACTGAGTCGCCTTATATGCAAGGTTCTGGCGAATATGAGAAGGCACCCGCACCCTGGTTTGCCTATGCCCAATATGGAGATCCGGACTTCTCATGGTGCTCCACTGACGACGACAAATGTCGCAGCGCGCTGGCCACTAATATTGACGGGGGCTCCAACATTGCCCTCTACAATTCTGCTGCCTGGGCCTTCTTCGATGGGTCGTGGAATGGTCTCTACAATGAGCCCTGTGAGGGTAAGTGTCAATCGAATATGATGCGTGTTGTTGGATCGCCACACAACTTGGTGTGGTACTCGATCGGCACCCGCATGACGGATGTGATGATCTTGGACGGAAAGACTAATCCGACCGAGACGAGCCATCCTGGTGGATGGGAAGGAATAATTCAGGCCTATAGAGAATTCTCTGCATAGACAGGAATTGGATCAGGCTTGGTGCGCGCATGTGCATAGCATGGCATGTTATTTGGACATAGATGCATTTCTGAGACGGTCTTATATGGCTGAGTACTATTTTCTTAATGACTAGTATGATTTGATTTCCGCTTTCGTTCAATTTCAAGATGTTCAAACCCTTCCGGTTCTAAATTTTATCTGTGCTCCTAGTATTGATAATACTAAGGATTTTGCTCTCATATTTCCATCTGAGTTGATCTTTGATTGTGAAAATAGTACCATCCGATCTTTGGGCTAGACGGCAAGTTCATGCGATATAGAATTCGAGTTTTTGGTTGCAACTGAAATATCTGTCATCCGTTAGACGATTCTCCAGAAAAATATAGACATTGAAATAACTTGAAGACATCACGCTAACTTGTACCTGAATGTAACCTTGAAAAATGAAACAGCTGGGTACCAACAAGTCAATGAGATCCGACGGGGTGCGATAAATACTACCGTTGCCATTACGACGACGGAAGTATAAGGTCACTTTGCGAAAGAATGCCAATGCTGGTATTAAATCAAATCCAAGCTCAAAATTTTCATTTTCAGGATAAATACTGTGATTGTTTTCTGCCCCGTTCCCCATAAATAATAGTTACGCTTTTGCTTTTTTTTACCTAGCGAATCTGATCAGAGTATGGTAAGCTGATACCAGGATTATGATATTTTGAATGAGAAGTCCCTGGAGTATGAATTCACAGAAGACATAACCTCGTTGACATGATTCCCTTCGGGACACCCATCTAAGAAGCAATTATTTAGGTATCTCAGACTGTTGCTGCAAGATGAACGGTTGCTAGTAGTATAAATGTTGAGAAATTGAACATTCAACCAATTAGATCAAAAGTAACACCGTATTCATTTTCTATGAAATTCACTTGGCTTCCCGAAAAGAACTCAAAAAGATCGAAAGCACGACGAATGTTCGAGTATCACAAGACTTTTGTTGAAGTTGACATGTGGCTAAGAAAAAGCAATGACATGTCTTTCTTTACCACCTGTTCTCGCGGCAGGAGACAGTAGCGCCTTGCAAGTTCACAGATTGCCCGTGGGCCAAAGATAGCCAAGTCGTTCTGGCGTTGAAATCCAAAGTCCCGTGAGCACATTCGATGGTGCAGGCTCCGTCCTGTGGGAAAGCAATGAGCTGCCCGTTTGTGGCGTAGATTCCCCCGTTTTTCGAGAGTGCGGTGTTGCCCCAGAAAGAGCTGATGGGGTACTTTTTGCCATCAGCGGGGATGCATCTGTCGGCATTGAGTCCAGAAGGGTCATTGGCAAGTTGAATGGTTATGGTCCGGACATTTTGGTCCCATTCGGCGAAGGCAGGAGCAACTTGAAGCAAAAATGCAAGGCTGAAGAGGCTGGTATATCTCATTTTGAATAGTATTTTGGGACGAGGTTAAGAACAAGATAGGAGGAGTTTGAGAGGTTTCTTTCGTGGTGGGAGTGATTTGAGGGGTACATGGTACTTCCTTAAATAATTTCAACCGTAGCCTAGACCCGCCAGCATAAAATCACTTCAAGGAGTTTCTACAAGGTTTAGACGGGCCGAGGCTGAATTCTTGCTTCAATAGGCTTCTGAAGCAGCAAATCTAGGAAATTCTACGACGTGAATACTAACTTCATGGAAATGGCACGTTGGCCCAGCATTCCAGATTCCAGATGCAGCCATGACTTTCAAACTGGCGATCTAGCCTTGTATCTCCTAGACTGCATGGCTCAGGTACAGATCCTCAGTGGATGATCCTCTTCGGGTAAAATGACTGAAGTGTAGATACAACAGTATATGACAACCTGGACAAGAAATTACTTGCTAAGAAATACTTGTCGATGTGACGGTACCTGCCAAACGTCGCACATCGATCGCTAATTGGCTGGATATCTCAACCGCTTCCGGGGATTTTCAGCAAAACCACGGGATGGTTCAGCCACCCACCGCCTGACCCACTAGCTTATTAGTGTAAATCCCAAGTCTTAGATGCTTCTAGCGAAGTCACATCGTTCATTTTATGAAATTTCTGGATGCGCCCAGGAACCAAAAAAGGCTTTACAGGAAAATGAGAAGAGAAACACAGCCCTCCCTGTTACCTCCTATTTGTTCCTAGGTAGGTAGATTGCGGCAAACCTGCAGGCCGGGAGGAAATTAAGGGTTGAGGAAAGAATATCACCTCAGGATACTGGTACCTTGATAGCCCTCAAGTGCTAATACCCTAAGATAGCTACGGTACTATAAACAGCCCTGGAGCCCTGGAGTTCGTAGGATTCTCCGAGTCCACCCCCAACTAGAAAGACTCGTAGCTCCAGAGCTTCTTGAACTTGAACTTGACCTCCCATTTGGGAAACTCACTGGCAGGGAAGAACTTCAAATTCGAGTTGAGCTTCCACAACTTGAAGCTTCAACCTTTTTTGGAACTTCCAACTTCAACTTACGTTCCAAGGTTGAAGAACTACTAGTATAGAATGGAAAGCTCGAATCATGCCAGTGATACCTAGGTATATAGTAGTACCTAGTAGTAGGTAGTGCCTAATAAACTTGAACCTAGTAGTACTAGTATGACAGCATCCATGGCTTGGAGCTACTATCCTACATGACTAGTCTTAATTCGCTAATTTTGAGATATTTAAGTTAATAATTTGCGATATGATGTATGTTCTATTTTGCTACCCTTTCGTTCCTTCATTGGGCGAGTTGGATGTTTGTTCGTCGATTGCGCCTGCATTTCTTACGCACGTAGCATCAGATTAGGCCCCCCTTCCCGAGCCTGTGTAAAATCACGTGAGACTATCTATTTTTACCACTCCACGTGACTTTCCCGTGACCAGAGCTGTCCAATTTGCCTCTCGGTGCTGGCCGGAACAAACTCGACTCCATCCATGACACCCACAAATCCACAGCCACACCCACGAATTCATCCACTTTGCACCGCGTCAAACGTCATCAGTCTTGGCTTAGTCGGGAGTATTCCGTAGGAGACCCATCAATCAATTCAACACGCAGTTCGTTTCCTTCATCCCGCTTCAATGCCAGAATCTCCTTAGGCTTAGGCGGAGTCGTCCTCCTGAAACTAGATCCTGAAATGTGTCCCGGCCAGTCACATGCCTACCTGCCGTGGCTGGTGGAGATCTTCCCCGACATCATGGAATTAGGGGGGTAAAGCCTACAATGTGGCGCTGCCAGCCGAGGTCTCCGAGGCCTTTAACTTTGTTTGAAGGCAGCACCATATTTGTTTCTAATTCAGTGTACGGAGTAGGCTGTGCCAAATCCCGACCCCATTTTCCAGCATGCAGCATATCACAGCACGATCCAGTACTGTAGAGCCCAGCTCAGAAATAAGCATCACTTCGGCTATACAACTCATGCAGCCCGTCGCAGCAAATAGCCTCATGTGCCGCTGTTCCTCGAAGATCTCTCACTAAACCGTCAACAATGGGGGCGGACAACGGTTCAAACGAATCATCATCCGCCTGCTCAGCCCAAGTGGAGCTATTAAATGATGATTTGCTTTCCAAAATTGCACTTTTCGCTTCAATTCCACTGATCGGCCGTAAGCCTTGGCCCCATTTCTTTCTGTTCTCCGTTCTTCCCCCCTAAACGGCGTCATTGCCACTGCCACAACTGCGGACCCTGATGCCTTGACCCCAGTTTTGTTTGCCCATCGTAGTTACTATGTTTATCTAGGGGAAAATTGAATGCTCCGATCGACACTATAAAGAACCCCTGGGTCTCCCCGAACCAAAACTTATTATTCTCGTCCTATCTACTGCCTAGCCAGCCCTATATCCAAAATCCATCCCCAACAACAAACCACTTCGAAGAACATATCTCAACTTCATCTCCCTTCCACCACCTCCAAAATGAAGTTCACTGCCATTGCCTCCGCCCTTTTCCTGGCCACCGCTGCCATGGCCACCCCCGACATCGATGTCGACTCCATTGTCTCCCAGGCCGAGGGTATTGCCACCTCCGCCAAGAGCGCGGGTGAGTCCATTGGCTCGGATGCCGCTGCGGAAGCTACCTCCATCGGCCATGCCTTCGAGACTGGCGGTAGTGCTGCTCTGTCCACTCTGACCGGCGAGGCTGCCTCCATCGCCACCGCTGTTGAGAGCCACGTTACCTCGATCGTTTCGGGTGCTGAATCCGTTGGCTCTGACGCTGCCAGTAAGGCCTCCGCTTGGGTCTCTACCTTCACTTCCACCAACTCCGATGGCGAGAAGACCACCGGCGCTTCCACTATTACCTCCCGCGCCTCCACGGCCACCAACACCGGTGCTTCCACCACTGGCTCCGAATCTGCCAGCCCTACCACTTCCAACGCTGCCGTCGCTGGATATAATATGAACGCCGCTGCTGCCGGTATGGCTGGTATTCTCGGTGTTATGGTTGCTCTGTAAAGGAGTTATCCCTGAATGTATGATTTTTGGATTCGGGTTTCTGGCATGAATACTCGGGTACGGATATGGCTTCTCTTTCACGACTTTCCTTCATTGGTTTACCCTAAAATATCTTACCGTGCATTCTTGCCGGCATGGGTTAATACCGGCGTTCTGAACTGTATATATACCTGTCAATACTTTTGAATTATGAACTTGAACATTTTCTTTCAATTGGTTTCCATTCGAATACTGGTCGTATTGTACCTAGGCAATTCTATCACATGTACTAGTAAGCAAAATCGTGTACATTCCAAAATTCAAGTTCAACTTGAACTTGAAGTTGCAGGCTGCCATGTGGGCACATGAGCCTTCAACCATGGCTGCCCAGGTGGTCTTAGACATCCTATGCCTAGAGACTCGGAGTTCAGAATCCATTCCAACCTTGGAATTTTATCACCGGCTCTCCCAAAACTGCGCATCAATTGCAACCAATCGATTGAACAACTGATTCCGAGACCTCATACCCGTAAGATGGAACGATTGCCCGATCTCCTTGCCGACCACGACCATTCCATCGGCAGCCTCTTTACTACCAGCCGTCAATTCAACAATCAACTTGCCCTTCCACCCCAATCCTTCCGTCTTCCGCACCTCCTGGATCTCCGTGACTGGAATCTGAAACAGAACGGATCCCTTCTTCCGCGCTTCAATGCTCAGATCTTCCAATCCGGCTGATTGATACGTCGTGAAGTATAAAATGGGCGGTTCCTTGGTGGAATCGATAACGGCTGCCCCGCGCTTGCGCTCGAACTTTGCATCAAATTTCAATGGCCCGTATGGTGTGCCGGAGAAGCGATGGTTTTGGAGCATGCCTAGGAGATTCTTTGTGTGTGCTGATCCTGCTATTGCCATTGCTCGGTCGAAGGCAACGTGGCCGCGAATTGCGGTTGCGATTGTGCGGCGGAAGAACTTGAGGATTTTGAAGATCGTTCGCTTTTTGGGTTTTGATGCGGCGAGGCTCTCGGATGATAGGTTGGTGCTTGAGTCGGTTGAAACGCTAGCCAAGTCGCCTGTTTGGGGAATGGTCACTGCCTTGGACTTCTTGCGCTTGATTGGCCATGCGGGCTCACTGTCCTCGGTTGTTGGTGGTGGTGGGAGAGGTGATGAATTGATTTCACCGATTCGGAGGAGTGTTAAGGTTAGTTGGGCGTTTGTGGGTACTCCTTTCAGAAGTGTCCTATGCCATGATAGTGTTAGAGGAGTCGCTTTGCAAATGATGGGTTGATTAGTGGGCATACATGTTGATATCGAGCTGCTCCTTCCAGTCTGGAAATTTGCGGTTGAGAAGATCCGTCGTGTAGGTGAAAGCCGGTGCACCGAAGAAGGCGAATCCTAGAGCGAATCCGACAAGTTTGATGATCCAATAACTGGATGCGAATGGGGCGACGAGACACACGATGCTCAAGATACCTGAGATGCGGAGGCGTGTTGAAATGAGATAGAATGGTGGAGTAGGAGAAAGAATACTGCAATCCTATTAATACAAACTTTCTCATTTTTTCTTGAGTCTGGAGAACTCACTTGGCAAATCTTTCATAGATATCAGTGATATCACTGACCACTCGCATGGCTTTATCCATTCCTTGGGATACCTTCTTCTTCATGGGCTTTTTGGTCTTTTCTTCTGCAGATTTCTCCGCGGCTGCTTCGGGTGTGTCAGGCGTGATATCAGCCGGTGCTGCTGCAATAAGTGCAGTAGAACCCTCCGCAGTCTCTTCGTCAAGAGGATATCCGAATTTCCCAGCAGCACCCTCGACGGCCATCGTCGCAAAGCTATCCAGCAGCACTTTGGCTTCTTGCTCGGCAGTCTCTCCCTTGTGATTCTCCGGAACACCGGTCAAGCTGTCTTGGGATTCCTGTTGTTCGTTTCCCGGCGTGTTTGAAGTCGAATTGTCTCTTGGTGGCTGCGTTGGAAGAACGGGGAATAGGAGCGGCCGAATCGGAGGAAACATTATCAGCGCAATGAGTAGGCTCGTTGTCATCGGGATTAGGAGGTCAGCCGCCCAGGATGCGAAGTAGACCTGTTTATAAGTTCCAAGGTTAGTATAGAGTGCTGTCAAGCAGGAGAGAAACAATTTACACCGCAAAAGACCGCAGTGCGGACGGGCTCTTTCCACGACCGCAATCTCCCAACATGTCGAAAGAATTCAATCAACCCGACAACCACAGATATATAAAATCTTTCAAGTGTCATCCGAAGCTTTTCCGGAGGATATACCTCATTTTCCGCCCGATTCAGGTCCAGATCCAGATTCGCGCCCGGTACAGCTTTCACATGTAAGATTTGCTTCACATGTCAGTCCAGAAGAACGACTTCCGCAGGGCCAAGCCTTACCTTATTGAATCGCCGAATCAACATCCAAAGATCTTCATTCGAAAGACCCTCTGCAAGTGTCTCTTCCACAGTTCTCGATGAAGGCTTCCATTGCACATTTCGTGGGTTGTCAGTCACTCGTTGGAGCGGCCCGCTCTCCTCGGGTGGTTGGGTGAATTCGAAGCTGTCGGTGTCCTCTATCTCACCGGGAGATTCATGCTCTTGGCTCATATTCAACAGTTCGATGGCGGGAATCCGACGAAAGCTGCATGGATGTTAACGTGTCGCGATCGTGGAGCGGGGGATTGGAGAAGACGGGGTGAGCTCCGTGTCCCTGATGACTGTGGGGTTGCAACGTCATATTTCGGGCTATTTTTAGCGAAGATCGGCGTTCAGTTATGGGGTGGTTGGCGAGAAAGAAGCTTGAACAAGCCAATTCATCCTGGCGGCTTAAGTTTTGCATAGCGATACGTGAATTAAACGGCTATATGATTGGACCTGACGCTGCGCGAAAAAGGGTATAGAACAAGTCCAAGGAAGTCTCTAAAACCACAGGAATCGAACGGTCACTCTTCCTTCGCATATGTTGGCCCTCCGCTTGAGACTACTGAATTGGAGGCGCCAATCTCTGAAATTGAAGAGTTGTTATCGTCGACTGTCATGCGTGGGCCAGCAAACCAGTGTCGCGCAAACAAGAAATAGTAAGCCATACACCCAGCCCACACGAACCCATTTATTACAACTGTGTAATTCATATCCGCCGCTGCGACGAGAATTAGTCAAATTGCCCAAGATTGATAGCTGCGCAAGTAGAATGAACTCACGCGAAGGATTGGGACCGCCGGTTGGAAACATGGAGAGCACAACACCGAACAAGAGGTAGACAACTGCAATCCACGCAATGGGCTTGCTAAGACGACCGGTATAAAACTCGCCTGGGTAGAACCGTTCTTGGCCCCAGACAAGACGGCAGAAGATTGGAGTTCCCCAGGACAAGTAATTGCTTGCGACAAAGAGGGAGAATAAAGCGTTTGTTGCAGCATTGTTGATCAGACATAGGAGGCCCAGGATGAGGCTTATCACCACTAATCCACCAATCACTCGCACAGGCTGGTAGTGAATGCGTTTGCTGATATAGCGAAAGAAGTTCGAAAATGGAAGGGCGCCATCTCGTGAAAATGCCCATGCCTGGCGAGAGGCCGCGACAATCTAGATTGTTAGTATGGCTTAGGGGAATGATATTGGAGGGGGTAGACTTACCAAACTGAGTCCAATGAGAAATTGTATCAAACAAAGTACAATCATGAAGCCCAAAGCGCCATCTTTGCCCAGAGCATCGTAGTAAATCTGCAAGTCGAATTAGCCAATGCGCGATCGAACAAAATTGCAACAATTTACCTGTGCCATTGGTTGTCCAAACTTCGAGTTTATTGTATTGGTCACGTTCTGATCCATTGTCGCAGCCATGACAGATAATGTGAGAAATCCAAGTACACATGCAGAACCAGCCGACCAGATAATCCCCAGGGGCACTGCTTTGGCTGCATGCATCGCCTCTTCACTCATATGCACACAGGAATCAAAGGAGCCGATAGACCAGATAGGTGCGAGCCATGCAAGCATGAATGCCCAACCGGTAGGCCATCCAGTCTCATTGTCGACGTGTTGAAAAACATAGCTTCCAGGATTGAGCACTTCACCACGTGTGACTTTTCCAACCGGAAGGGCAATCACGGTCGCGATGACCAATGAGACATTGATATAGATACACGCAGTTTGAATCTTGGGCATAATGCGACCGGAAAACGCAGCACAGATTCCATGCAAGAGAATCAAGCCCACGTAGACGGCGTAAATCACGCCTCGTGACGCGGACCATCCATCATCGCGGGAAATTGAGACACAGGAAAGAATCATGAGCGCAAGTGTATAATCGACCGAACAGATTCCACCAATAAGACCGAGCGTGTTGCTGTATCCGATCAAGAAGCTCAGTGGATTCTTGTATTTCTCGCCGGCAAAATAATGGGTCCACCAGTATAGACCTCCCGCGGTTGGCATCGCAGATGCAAGATCGGCCTGGAGAGGAGTAAGTCAAGACAGTCGCACATTGATGTTGGGCGAGCTGTAAGATGGTCATACCATTGCCAGCCCAACCAGAAGAATAAAAATGCTTGCTGTGAACCACCCCCAAACCATACCGACAGGTCCTGCTGGCAGCGAAAACGCAAGGGTTGACGCAATTGAAGGAACTAATCCCATTATACTAAACGCGACCGCAAATACCTGTGGAGTCGAATACTGCCTCTTAAGTTCCTGTTTGTAGCCCATTTTCGCTGAGCGCGTGCCCGTCAGCTTGCAATTCACGCATACCGGCATATTGACACGTTTGTGAAAACTCACCCAGGAGTTGCGAATCTCCGGTGTCCGCTAGACCCGGTGTCCCGGAGAAGGTCATGGCCTCCGCGTCCCTCATCTTAGTCTTCGAAGGTATAGCAAAGTGACCTAAACAAGATCGAAGCGTAAACACTCGGGCTGCATGGCGGGGGAGCTCTTTAAGAGTTTTAGAAGTGCACGCGGGGTCACACAAGGCTCCGATCTGGTCTGGGCGTGCTTGCAGGCGGACCTGACAGGGCTAGAAAGATTTCCAGGTGGATCTGCAATCGCTGGCAGGTGGATCGCTGCGTTGAATCCTTTACCAGCAAGTGTACGGAGTACGGAGTACGGAGTAGCAATATCACGATTGGCTTCTTCGGCAGCAGGCGTGCAGAAGGCGTTTGTTGATTTTCCGTTTTCGTGAAGGTAATACTGTCTGATAAGCTTACTATGCAGGGGCTGCTGTGTAGGCGGCTTGAGAAAACTCATTCTTGAGTCTTCGATCCTTGCGTCGTAAATCGACGCTGCATTGATTGGTGGAGCCCTTCAAGTTAGCCCGAGTAAGCAGCCAAATTCCACCCCCTTTTCTGATCGCGTCGTTCCTAGCCTGAAGATCTGTGGAACAGTACCGAGTACGGAGTTGATGTAAATGTTCCGTTTTTTAGTATCTTTGCCCTATGCATGTGCTATCTAATTCTCTGTCAAATTGCAAGATGTTACCTGATCATTGATATGGGTGAGTTTAACCGGATCGTGGTCCTTCGAACTGGCCCCGCAGCTGACTGGGTCGCCCGGGTGATCTGCAGCTAGAATAGATGCAATTTTCTCTAACAATGACTCTATTGAAATTCCTATTGGCAAAAAAAACTTGCAAACCAGCGCAGGAAAATCGATAAGAGTTTTCTCTTTGAAAACGAAATACAGTTTTTCCGTGCATTTTGACTTGGCCCGTTTTCTCAAGTCCTCAACTCTCAACTCTCAACTCTCAACTCATTGCCCGGGGAAATCTAGCCTTGAGAATCGATAATAATTTCACTCAAATATCATTATATTGGCATTATGTTACATAGATAAAGCTCAATATTTCACGTATGCCTGGAGTTCCAAAATTAAGATTCCAAGATATTAATACCATCCAATAAGTGTAATGGACAGTCTGAATAGTGGCCAGTCAGGGATCAGGAACCACCACCAGTAGTAGTTAACCCCTACAACATTTGGAGACTTTACAAGGTTTCACCCTTAAAACCGAATATCCTTAAAGTTCATGCCATGGTGCTTGGGTTATATCTCAAACCTGCTGCTCAGGAGGCACCTGCTGATGGACAGGCAAGTGGTGTCGTACCTCATCCTCAGGGTGATGATGCAGGCCATCCGTGACAGTGTGCTCCGATGCTGCCGAGGATTCACTCTTGCCGGCCTTGACTTCCCATTCATTGTAGTCTTGGCCAGGGTTGATATTTTCCCAACGGACGAAACACAGGAGGTGGTAGAAGCCAGAGGCAAGGAGCGATCCGAGGAGAGGTCCAACCCAGTAAATCCAGTGATACCCGGGGAAGCTACGGTTGATCACATCGGGGCCTAACGAGCGTGCGGGATTCAAAGAACCGCCGGTATAGTAGTCACCTAGGGATCGATTAATGTTAGTTCACACATTGAGTCTAAATTCGAGTCATGCGTACCGATCAATTCTGCGACGAAGAATGTGAGACCAATGCCGACGGGGGCAAGATATGTGGACTTGTGCTTGACCACAGCCAACATAATGATTACCAAGACCAATTGGGCAGTGAGGAACATCTCAATGAAAAGACCCTGTACGATAGAGGCACCACCGCCCAATCTGGTGGCACAGTTCAATGGGCCTGGAAAGAGAGCGCTAACGACACCTGCTGCGGCAATACCGCCGACCAACTGTGCAGGGAACACAAATAGACCACGCATTGGAGGCAGTCCACCAGTGAGACAAAGAGCTAGCGTCACCTTGCTGGAATTAGCATTCCGAAATATTCAGAGAGGCGTTCCACATCGTACCGCTGGATTGAATAGACCGCCAGTCACACGGAAGAATGCCCAAACATTGACAGTCAAAGCGAAGCCGAAAGAAAGAGCCGAGTAGAGAAGATTCGAAGTATTTGGGTAGGAGCCAGGCGGAGGCATTGGTGTATTAGACACTTGCGTTCCGGCGAACGAAAAGAACAAGAACAAAAACGTTCCAACGAACTCGCCCACCACGCAAAGCAGGTTATAGCGCATCCTATCGGGCATTTGCAACATGGGAAGCTGGCCACGGCCACCGGGCCCCGGCGGGCCGCCCAGAGTAGAAGCTCCAGATGGCGCACGTTTGTGAAAGATCATCTTGGGGTGATGATTTCAACTAATTAATAGAATCGATTCGGGTCGAGAATTAAGATACTTGAAGGTATTAAATCTTCAAAAAGTCCAGACGACCAATTCTGTGTCAAACGTCCCTGTGACGAGATATTTATCCAAACACGACAAGCTATCTCAGACGTCACTATAGCAGGCTCTCCAAGTGTAGTCTTGGTCCATTCATCATCGACCGGATCTTGGCGCAGGGTGTGAGCGAGTTCGTCCGAGTCGCTAAGCATCGAAGTAATAGCCAGGGCAGTCTTGCTCGCCGGGCCATTTTACCTATTTTAGAAAGACGCACTTTCAAGCACCTAAGATAATAATTCAGACATTCAACAATGGTGAGGTCAATAATTTGATGTGTACCATGTTTATGGGGGTCAAGCCAAGCCATATGTCAAAACGGGCGCTTCCGAGTGTCCGCAAACGGATGTTCCGGCATTGTCTAGAACACAATCTGACACTTTGAATGGGGTTCCACACAAAGATCGGCTCTATAAAGATCGGTAACCGCTCTGATTGGACAGTGGATAAATCAACATATCCTATCCCACGCATCCCTATCATCTAGGTCTCATAGAGATTGCTCACCTGGGCATTTATGGGGGTGTTACATTTGAAGTTTAATTTCACGAGATGTACTCCGTAGAGTTCAGCTAGTACTCTATGAAACTTTAGTTCTTGAAGATTTTTTTTGGATTAGAATTGACGGACAGGTGAAATTCCGACTGGTATCTCATCGATGGAATGTATTTCCTAGGGAGTATGGAAAATTATCTAGTCTGGTGATATTGATCAGTGTCTTTATCACGCTTAACGTGTAAGATACGGATACTTAATTTCTGGAACATAACGGCCTCCAGCTTGACCTTCTGGGCTATTAATCAGATTCGAGAGTTCCCGAAACACCAATAAGGTTGAAATCCGGTTGAAAGGTGGCGATTAAAAGTCAACCTCCATATTTTGCCCACTTGATATGATTCAAGTACTGGAATTGAATGAATCATCGTCGTTGTGCATTACATGACTTGCGCTAAGATTACGATGCATTCAGGTGAGACCTAATATCATGACCCATGATAGAATGGTTGACAAACGATCGGATTCTGAGGGTTTTAGCTCTTCCCCAATAAGAAATACCTTCGTGATTCGCACATTTCTTCTTAGTTTTGGGGGACTGCATATTGAAAAATCTTGCCAGAAGCGATATGCAGCTCTCTTATTTATGCAAACCGTCAATTTCATTTCACGGGATGAAACTGAGGTCAAATGCCCAGGTGACTTTTGTCATTTTTGAGCGCTTGCCTATGCTTTTCCCGTCGACCATAAAGGCTGTCTAGAGAGTATTGTGAAATTCAAATATTCAGTATCAACTCGATTCCCAATGTCCACACCATAAGTTACTACTTTGGTATTGAATAGCAGTGCGCAAACCCTGGACAAAAACTAATCTGTTCTGCAAGTTAATGCCTAGGTAAGAACCCCTCTCACACGAACTTGAACCTTGGAAGCCAATTGTAGGGTTCTTGGCAATGATGTAGCATTATGCGAACTCATATTATGCCCCGCTAGATTATGCGGTTTTTATCCAAAAAAAAGTGAGGTGCGACAGATTGGTCAGTTCATCTTTAAAAATATCTTGATTAGAAGACAAATCTGCGTCGGGGGACTTCGGCACAGGTGGGGCCGTTCCTACACGTTCTCGTGTGGGCTGATTCGGTCGGGATTGGAGACCGGCGCGTGACCAGACCTAAGGGATAAAATCGGTGGATAAACAGAGCTAAGCGACGTGGCGGCGTAGAACTCGGGACGAACTGCGCAAGCCCCGATCATAGTACTCACTCCATGGTCAACGGAGGATTCTTCTACTTTTGTGTGACTCTAATTGGCGGGAGCCTGCTATCTGTCAAGGGAGATCGGCGATTTAAAGACGACTATTATAGAAGTTGCAGTAGCAAGGCCCCGCTCTATGTCATACTTAACAATTGAATTAATTATCTCTTGAAGCATTGGTCGGATTTTCGCAAACACTTACATCTCCTCTGAAGATAGCGCCGAAAAAACTCCAGTGGGCGGAGCACCAGCACACCGTGGTTAAATAATTTGATTTCAATTGTACAAGTCAACCACTCAGATTTCGGGATTTGGTCAACCTCCGCGGAGATGCGGGACAATCCGTTATCCTCCCGTTTTAACCGCAGAAACCGGCCAGGTACACCATCTCGACATTTCTAGATTTTGCATCCGGCCGAAGATGGGTCATGTGTTTGCAAATTTGAATTGGCTCATAATATAACGAGTAGAATAAATACCTGGTGCTTTTCCGGTCCACGGCAAGAAAATTCCATGTACATTAACTTTGATCACAGCAGTACATAGATCTTTGTTGTACTATTCAAGATCTATACCACATTTCCCCTCGACGGACCTCATTTCTCTCTCATCAGATAACCCACACTCTTCACCATGGGTTCCGTTTCCGGTTTGCGGCCAGACCAAATGCAGCTCATCAAAGCGACAGTTCCTGTCCTGGTGGAGCATGGCAAGACCATCACGACTGTTTTTTACAAGAACATGTTGGACGCACACCCCGAGCTGAAAAACGTCTTCAACATGCCCAATCAGACCAACGGGCATCAGCCTCGTGCTCTAGCGGGTGCCCTATTTGCCTATGCCTCGAACATCGACAACTTGGCCGCATTGGGCCCTGCCGTGGAGCTAATTTGCAACAAACACGCTTCTCTCTACATTGAACCCGAACACTACGAAATCGTTGGGAAATACTTGATCGAAGCCATGGGCGAGGTTCTTGGAGACGCTCTCACTCCAGAGATCAAGGACGCCTGGGCAGCTGCTTACTGGCAGCTAGCAGATATCATGATCGGCCGCGAGAAGCAAATCTACCAACAAAACGAAGGATGGACAGACTGGCGCGACTTCAAGATTGTCGACAAGGTCAAGGAATCCGACGAGATAACTTCTTTCTACCTGGCTCCCGTTGATGGCAAGCCGCTGCCTGCGTTTCAGCCAGGCCAGTACATTTCGGTCAAGGTTCATATTGACGAGCTGCAACATGATCAGCCTCGCCAGTACTCACTCAGCGACAAACCATCCCCTAACTATTATCGCATCAGTGTGAAGAAGGAAATCGGCTTGAAAGCGAGCGAGCCCGGTGCGTCAACTCACCCTGGCTACGTTTCCAACCTGCTTCACGAGACCAAAAAGAAGGGCGATTTAGTCAAAGTCTCCCATCCCTGTGGCGATTTCTTCTACTCCTCAAGCGAGGAAAACCAGCCTGTCGTTTTGATTTCTGCTGGTGTCGGCCTCACCCCCATGACCTCAATTCTGAACACATTGATTGCCAAGTCATCAACCACAAATCAAAAGCTTCACTTCATTCACGGTGCTCGAAATTCCAAGGCTCGTGCCTTCCAAGATCATATATCCTCCATTGCGAAAGACAATTCGAATATTCAGGCGACTTTCTTCACCAGCCACCCTTCCGCCGACAACAAGCAAGGGGTTGATTACCACCATGCTGGCCGAGTGGATCTGAGCAAACTAGATGCTAATGATGAGTTATTCCTGGATAACTCCCAAACACAGTACTACGTTTGTGGACCTGCGGAATTCATGAATGGTACGAAGGCCAGCCTTGAGGCTTTGGGTGTCAAATCGGGAAACATCAAGATGGAGCTCTTCGGAACAGGAGGCTTGTGAAATTGAAAGCACGGCTTTTCTTCTTAGAAACATTTTTTTTATTTGGCGGGCGTTTATACATACCATCTCATCTCTTTTTATAGCATGATTGAATGAAGCAAAGGGGCGCACATTCTTTAGTTCCTGTTTTACTCATGAACACAATTTCTTAGACATGGAAATGCCATTTCCGTGCTACTAGTACGCGTCTGTATCCATGAATATCTTGGCCACAAGCAAACTTGAATGTAATCGCAAGGGTAATTATATGAGTTTCATACTAGTATCATCGAATACTGCCGTAAGCGACAGAGCTTGCCAGTTTAACTTAAAACCTTGGAATGTAGTTCTTCCAAGGGTGCCAAAAGCCAATAAAAGTCCCTCATGATTTTTTTTTCCAATATATTCAAAGCTATATCCTACTCCTACTTTAGATAAATTTCAAGGCAGGATAATCGACAAAGGTTGATTTTTCGGACGGAGATACCGGTAATCGTCCGATTTTTCGGATCTTGCAACAGCCGACCGAACACCCTATTTCTAAGCAAAATCAAACCAAACACCGCCAAGTCCTTGCGAGCACGACCAATTTCATAAACACAGATAGCCTAGGAAGGTACTGTTAATGGTATAAGAGACCTCGGGAATTGCGTTCTTGTCAGCTTTTCCGAGAAATTATACCTATCTCCCGCAGCGCTCTTAAACCATCGGGTTCTGACGTGTAATATTTTTTAGAAAAATGAGCCCAATCATCGGTGTCTTCCCCGCCTCTGGTGGGCTGGGATCGAGCGTTGTGAATCATCTAAAAACACTTGTTCCTGCTTCGCAATTATTGCTAATCGCCCGCCACCCCGAAAAGCTAGTCGCCAGCAGCCGAGAAGGCGCTTCTATTCGACAAGCCGATTATGATATCCCATCGTCTTTGACCAATGCATTCGACGGGGTGGATGTGTTGATGTTAATTTCGTATGCGTCGTTTGAGGTCCAGCATCGGGCTGAGGTAAGTTTCCTGGACAGGTAATTCTAAATTAGACACTGACGAATGAGTAGGCCCACAAACTCGCAATCAATGCCGCTATCGCAAGTGGCGTGAAGCACATCTTCTATTCATCGCTTGGGTTTGCGGGTAACTTAAGCGATGAGAGCGTTGCACATGTCATGGGCGCTCATCTTCTGACCGAAAATTATCTCGCGGCCCAGAAAGATAAAGTATCCTATACTTCCATTCGGGAGGGGCTCTACTCAGAGTCTTTTCCTATATATACGGCCTGGTTTGATCCCAAGAGCCCGGTTGAAGAGATCACAATTCCACATTCGGGTGATGGCCCCGGTGTCTCGTGGGTGAAACAAGACAATCTCGGCGAAGCAACTGCTAGGCTAATCGTTTCATACGTGACGAACCCTACAAGATTTAGCTATCTCAACGAGAAAGTTCTCCTGTCGGGGCAAAGGGAAATATCGCTGACGGAGACGGTGGAAATTATCGGTCGCACTATCGGAAAAAAGCTTCGAATCAAGGAGATTTCGGTCGATCAATATGTTGATTTGCCTCAGATTGGGGATAAGCACACATACCACGGTATTGACCTCTCTAGAGAGTGGTCCACTGCCTGGCAAGCTATTAGGAATGGAGAGGCGGCTACTGTTTCTCTGGCTTTGAAGGATATCTTAGGCCGGGAGCCTGAAGATTATGAGACAACCATTCAGAATCTTATTGGCAATATCTAGGCAGCTTTGAATGCTGAATACCTTTTCTAGCTTTTGAATAGACATCTCATTATATTGTTGATTTTGTTTATTCCTTTATTTGCCACGACTGCCGATACCGTTCAGCGGGTATGGGACCTGAGGTAAAAGAAGCAGGATTGCACGCTTAGCTGGTTTAATGCAATTCACGGAGATAGATGCCCCATTATTGCAATTTAATGACCTCTTCGGCCCGGTCGTATGACCTCTATGAGTTAGAATGATTCTAGGTCTGGGCAGCACAATATGAGGATTCCAAAGATCCGATGTACTGAATCATCCTTCCTCTGGGTCTTTGATCTCCGGTCGAAATCTGTATTTGGAAATATAATTCTGCCAGCAGAAAAAGCGAGAAAAACGTAGTTGACGAGGTCTAGGGACTTGGAAATTTTATATTCGATCATTTATAGATTTGAATTTGCTGAGCGTCTGTACCCATCTAGCTTACTATTCAATCACTTGCTATGGTACACATAGTGCTGCACTAGCTTATTCCTTGAACTCCTTGACCCAAAGGTTGGCGGCCGCATACTCCGCGTTGTGAGCACCGTACCAGAAGATTTCCTTGGCCTTGTCCTCTCCGTAACCATCGATAGCGAACCAGGCGTCGCCCTTGTGTGCGAAGTAGCCCTTATCAGTTTGGTTAAAGCCGATAGTGGTGGCACCTTTAGGCGTGGCACCAGAATGGGGACGAGTGAGGCCGACTTCTGAGACAGAATTTTCCACGATGTAGAGGCTCTGGAAAGCAGTTGGGACACTGTTTTGGGAGGTGAATGAGACGGCACCATTAGCACCGCTGCGAACTACAACAGAATTAGATGAGATTCGGAATATAATCTTGCCATTTATAAACTTACGAATGGCGATCTCGTGAGTGGTGGTGTTGGCTCCGATCCAAAGGTGCTCTGCAATATGAATTAATTCATGTACATTTTGGTGATGGGGAGTATTAATGACTTACCACCGTCGGTGAGGACAGTATAGCCGCCGTCGGCGACGAGGGTGAAGGCAGCAGGAAGCTTAGCAGCAGCAACGGCGCAGGCAAAGCCCGCAATGGCAGCGAGGGAGAATTTCATTTTGGGTTTGGTTTGGATGAGTACGGAGTCAATCGGTGCCAGGGGCTACGAGTCTTTATACATGATCTCTCAGGTGACTATGCTGCAACAGCTCGGTTGAAGCGGGTGAGACACTACTAACCTCAATTACCAGCAAAAAATGGAGATTATACCACATATAATTGAGCTGATTGATGGCTATAATGGGGTAAACTTGTTTGAGGGTCGATCATCCGGGGAAATTGAAACATGTCTTTCATCACCTCATGGCCAGGCAACTTGATTTTCACCGACTTTCACAGAACATCTTTTTGACAATTTCGTGATTCATAAAGCGTGGGTTCAACTTTCTCTAGCTTCGAAATTCACCAAGAATGGAACTTTTCTCAATTACCCCTTTTCCCCTTGATGATGACTGGACGCCGACCCTGAGGTACGGAGTGCCTAGGGGGCCTTTCCATCTGCTGCGGGGTGGCTTTTAAAGGTATTAGTTACTGCCGATCTTCTATGATCGTCGGGAATTTTTCGGAGGTATTCCCAATGACGTCTTTTGTGCTATTCTTATCGAATAAGACTGGGCAGTCAAGATTCTGGGGGCGTATAATTGATGCCCCATCACTCAGTGGTTTACCTTTTCTCAATATAGACATTGAGGGGTTCCATAGACTACTAGACAGTTCTTGAGTACAGAGCAGCCAAGGTGGTTGTGCTAAGCAACCTTCCGTATTGACATTCTTCGGGCCTCCCGAGGTCGGAGAGACCGGAAAATGGGTAAAGTATGGGGACCGTGACCCGGTATTGATTGGACAACTCCGTTTTATCGGTCTTGATACGTAGCTCATTGTATCCTGTCAGATGTCGCACTGCAAGCAGAAGCTTCATTATTAGTCCGTGGTTCTTTTTTTGCCTTCACAGCCAGGGGAGACCTTTGCTCAAGAATTTGCGACCTCCACTCGTCTCGCTGATCTATTCGGGCTTCTGCTTGACGCAACTCTGCAGTGGCGTTTCTTTGTATCCGGTCTTATCATTCTCATTGTGGTTTCCTTTTCGATTATGTAACTGTCGATGGCATTTGTTTTCCACTATTTCTTTTTCTTTATCCTCTTCTTTTCTCTATCTGCCTTCTTGTTCTTCCTGGTTCAGATCTTATCCGGTGTAGGTCCGTATTCTCCTTTGCAATAGGCGAGTTTTACAATGTGGTTAAATTACAAGTCCGGTTTGTTTTGTCTTTTTACTTAATTTCTTTTACCTGTTTTAATCTAATTCACGTCCCCTTAATTGTTTGAACAAGTGAGGAAGATGATCTAGTGAGTAGTCTGTTCAGCGTTCACACTATAGACATAGGTATAATTCCTTTTGCGCGAATGTTCGACAATCAGAAAGACGAAAACCTTGGAAGCTTTACGGGACTCGGACCGGTTGACTGCCGAAACGAAATACCTCTCGAGTCTTTCTTCCAGTGGCTGGATGTTCCCTTTGTCTGTCTTACTCTGCTTTCTTCTCTTTTCCTTCCCTGTGCATCTGCACGGCTTCGCAACATTTCCATACTGCCCAAGCAATTTGTAAATGAGCCGTAGTGATGGATTCGCAATCAGTTCATATATTGGTCTCATCTAAGTCTTTGATAGCTGGTCCTGACCGTATAACTAAATCGTTTCATTTCAAAGGTTGTTACTCTGGATTTTGGCTCGCTGGCCTCTTTTATGAATTGTCCACAGGTTTTCTGTATTTGATTGCCTCAGTCCTCTTGAAGTATAAACCAGTCAATCTACTACATCACGAAAATAGCTAGTTGAAATATGACTCATTGCGATCACCGAAATCCTCCTCATTTCAGGTTGATATCGATCTTATTTATACAAGTAAAAGAAAAATGTTCCCGGTGCAGACTTCGCATCCATTGCTCCCAAAAGCAATGTGTCATTCACATATTTGAAATAGTCAATGATGGGTTTATCATCATAGATCATGGCTGTCGTGATCCCACCACGGTATTGCATGGGACGAAGCTTTTTGAGTTATAGAATCAGCTTACATTTGCCAATGACTAGCATGCAGCTGAATTCTCGGGGTTTACTTACTCTGGCATGACCCCAGTCCTCATTCCAAGCTCGAGAGCCATCTTCCTTATATCCCATAATGGGGTCAACATCTTCAGTGGATCGGAAGTCTTTGCCAGCCCATTTCAGGGCCTCCATCTTTGCCTCGGTCGGGTGGTTGGTGTTTACACTGCCGCCTTTCCAGGCACCTGTAAAATGATCGGGGCCGACAGGCTTAAGTTGATCAAAAAGTTCCCAGACTTCATCGTCGGTGAGATTTTGACGTTTAATCAAGTCTTCGACTTGCTTTTCAGGTGCACTTCGTTTATTGTCAGTTGCCATCTGAGTCTTCAAATTGCAGACCGTTCCTATTGTCTCCCTGACAGCAGTAGTACATACGGCAGTACTTACGGAGACATATTATCGGTCGACTCAGATAGGTAGAAGATCTGGGTTTGTAGAACCTAGGTAGGATAATGACCGGGTAGTAATAAGTCCTTGGCCGAAGCTGTCTTATTTATAACTGAAATTTGCGCACGTATGTAGCTGACTTTGCGTCACTGGGCTCAAGTTTCCAGTTTAGTGCATGAATCGTCTTCGCACATGATATCGATCGGCTCCTCTAGTATCTCGTCTATCTATGGTTCTATTCGCTTGGGCAAGAACGGTGGGGCTAATCCGCGTGGATCAAAGCCATATTGCCCCTTCAATGGATAACATACTCCATAGCGGCCGACTAACTGTCCCCATGAGGGGTAGTGGTGGCAAAGCTGAGCAGACGATGGGCCCTGATGCATTTCCACACTCACGGACCCACCACTCGCAGATTGAGGATGGCAATAAAATTTGCAATGGCATTGGCAAAACCTGCATTGTGATTTATAAATATTGAGATGGAGGAGTACACCCCAGCGAGGACGTGTGCGCATGTACCAGAATCAGATGCAAAGGGTCCACTAGGGCTGCCCCACGACCTGATGCTTGGAACGAGATCTTCACTCAAGATCTTTGACGATCGAAAAAGGAAAATCCTAGTGGCTGGGATCGGCTTGAAGGAGTCTCCGATTAGGCCGAGAATGCGTTGGAAATTGGAAGAAGCCTCCCGATGGACGAGTGAAAGAGCTTGAATTGATCTCCACTCCGAAAAACGCCGGCCGAGGCTGCATACCCTACAAACTCAGATGCTGCTACCTACTCCGTATGGGTTGAATGAGTGTGTCACAGATCGTCACAATGCACAATGGTGCCCAGAGTGTTGTCTCCCACCGCTTCGATGACGAACTTGCTGCAATTCCTTCCGATACTTCTTTTTCTTGATGTATCCACTCTGTAGGGATCCACATATCAACAAGCTCGCGTAGCTCAGTTGGTAGAGCGCGGCACTAGTAATGCCGAGGTCTTCAGTTCAAATCTGGACGTGAGCAATTTCTTTTTGATTTCGATCAAATGCCTTCTGTTCGAAGGCAACTCATTTAACTTGACCTTAACTGCCCAGGTGAATGATTTATTTTTCTTTCTTTTTCTTGTAGGGCTGAGTGACCTAAAGCAGCGGTCTATGCCAAGGTGACTAGGTAATTTCTGCTAGCTAGTAGAGAATTTCAAGTTCAAGTTCGTTCCAAGGTTCCAAGATTGGCAGCGCTGGAGGGTGGAATGAAACTTGAATATACCACCTACTAGGTAGTAGTAGTACTACGTACAGAATCGGAGTACCTAGTCCGTTTGTACATGCGATTTGTTAGTACTAACTCTGATGCTTATGCAATCATGTCACACCATATTTCCAGTTCTGAATTCACTTCTTATCTCGGAATTCCAACCTTGGAAGGCTAAATAAATGTATCGGCTCGACCTAAATTCTACCTAGTAGTAGGTATTCGAAATACCCGGT